TCAGTTGGGCTGTAGCCAGAGCCGTGAGTATCCATAAGTTCAAAGTAATCAGTACTTTTGCACAATTCGCCCGGTAGAGCAGGAGAGAGAGAGAGACCTTGCCAAGATTTTGGACCACCCCTCACGGTCCACGCCGTGATCTGCTCTCCCAGAAACCAGAATTGATTGAGTCCCCGTAAGACGCCAATCATATCGGGCGCCGAGAAACTTGGCAGCGCTCTAGAGTAGGACGTGGCTGTGGCTGTGTTTTTTTTGCACTTTTTCTTGTCGCTCTGTTGTTTCCCATCAGACCAGGCTCGTGGTGTGATTTGATCATCGGAGGTTGTGACGTGTGTGTGAATGTGCAATTTACAAGGTGCTGAGTCTGCCTGTTCTTTCGTGGCCACCCCCAGGCTCTCTCTCTAATCTACTCTACTCTCTCCTCTCCTCTCTTCTCACATCTTCACGAAACGCTGCATACTGCTCACCCATGACCTGAAAGGTTCATTCTCCCGCCAGATGCTCACATGGACTCCAGCGCTCCCCAGCCGGCAGGGCGCCCTCGCGCGCCCACCATCACGGTAGACACTGCTGCAATTGACGCTGGAAACGATGATGCCGGTAATGCTCCAGTGCGATCGCCCGCGGGAATTCACTCGGTCAATACTGACAAGCTCTCCTCACGAATAGGCAATCCAGCCTCTGTAATCTCTTCTCCCCTCGACGACGTAAACACCCTGGCCGTGCCCCCGTCCAAGTCGAGGTCCGAATCGTGGTCTTCTTCACCCACTACCAAAGTCGGGTCTGATCACGATCGCGACATCCACGTCTTTCGACAAGCTCAAAAGGGCGACATCAACGAGATCCTCAAGGCCGACCCGGGCGAGGAGCACCTCTACAATGTCGACGATAACCCTTTTGCCTTTTCTCCCGGCCACCTCTCCAAGCTCATCAACCCAAAGAACCTGTCGGCCTTTGCGGCGCTCGGTGGACTCCCCGGCCTCGAAAAGGGCCTGCGAACAGATAGTCGCGCGGGCTTGAGTCTTGACGAGGGGAAGCTCTCGGACTCGGTGTCCTTTGAGGACGCGACTGCAGCGACCAGCCCGTCAGATTACTCGCCTAAAGCGCCAAAGCATTCCGATACGCAACCTAGTCAGCCAGACTCGCATGGGAAGAAGGACAAGTTTGTCGACAGAACAAGAGTCTATGGACCTAACCGGTTACCCGAGCCAAAGTCCAAGTCGTTCCTTGAACTTGCCTGGATTGCGCTGCAGGATCGCGTCCTTATTCTTCTGAGCATCGCTGCCGTCGTATCGCTCGCCCTGGGTCTGTACCAGACATTTGGAGTTAAACATCATGAAGGCGCCAAGATTGAATGGGTGGAAGGTGTCGCCATCATTGTCGCCATCACGATTGTCGTCGTTGTTGGTGCTCTCAACGATTGGCAAAAGGAACGACAGTTTCGTAAGCTGAACCAGAAGAAGGAGGATCGTCTTGTCAAGGTGACGCGATCGGGCAAGCCAATGTCCATCTCGATCCACGACGTCCTGGTAGGAGACGTTATGCTTCTCGAGCCTGGTGATGTTATTCCCGTGGACGGTGTATTCATCGGTGGACACAATCTCAGCTGCGACGAATCTTCAGCGACTGGTGAATCGGATCTCATTAAAAAGGTTCCTGCGGATGCTGTTCTTAACGCGCTATTGCACGAGGATTCGCCCAAGCTTAAGAAGCTTGATCCCTTCATCATCTCGGGCGCCAAGGTTCTTGACGGTGTTGGAACGTTTCTGGTTACGGCGGTTGGACAGCAGTCTAGCCATGGAAAGACTATGATGTCTCTGCGCGACGACCCAGGATTGACCCCATTGCAGGCCAAGCTGAATCTTCTGGCTGGTAAGTTGATATGACCCGATATTGAGTGCCTCACTAACTGTTGCAGGTTACATTGCAAAGCTAGGAAGTGCCGCTGGTCTGCTCCTCTTCTTCGTCCTTCTCATCGAGTTCCTAGCCCGACTTCCTAACAATGATGATCCCGGCGAGGAAAAGGGCCAAAGCTTTCTCCGAATCCTAATCACCTCCATCACCATCATCGTCGTCGCGGTTCCCGAAGGACTCCCCCTCGCTGTGACGCTATCTCTTGCTTTCGCCACCAAGAAGATGACCAAGGAGAACAACCTGGTACGGCATCTCCAGTCTTGCGAGACCATGGGAAATGCCACTGTTATTTGCTCCGACAAGACTGGTACTCTCACTGAGAACGTCATGACGGTTGTTGCTGGTTCTCTGGGAAAGAAAGGTCAACTGGTATTCGGCGAATCCAACTTTGAGCAAGACAACGGCTCAGGCGCAAAGAAGGACGAGGCTCAAGGCACGGATTTGATCTCTCTCAACCAGCTCTCATCAAAGCTCGACCCCGAGTATCAGACGTTTCTCAAGACGGCCATCACTGTCAACACTACAGCTTTTGAAGCCGAGGAGAATGGCAAGCAGGCCTTTGTGGGAACAAAGACAGAGACGGCTCTGCTCGACTGGGCTCGTCGATGTCTCGGCCTTGGCCCTCTGGGTGTCGAACGATCAAACCATCCTGTGACGCGCCTCTTCCCTTTCAACTCTCAGCGCAAGTGTATGGGTGCCGTCGTCGAAGTACCCGGACAGACCAAGGATAAGCCCAAGTACCGACTCTTCATCAAGGGTGCCTCCGAGATTGTTCTCGCGCAGTGCACGACTATTCTTGATGATCCTACAAAGGCTCCTAGCACGGAAACCCTCTCGGACTCGCACAAGGAGGAGATTCGAGACATGATCTTTGCGTATGCTACAAACTCTCTGCGAACTCTGGCTCTTGCGTATCGGGACTTTGAGTCTTGGCCGCCTGTTCTAAGCTTGAGTCCTAGCTTGGGTAACGAGGAAGATGGGCCCAAGGAGATTGACCTGTCGGATCTTGTCAACAACCTGACATGGATGGGCGTCGTCGGTATTCAGGATCCCGTTCGAAAGGGTGTCCCCGAAGCTGTTCAAGATTGTGCTATAGCCTCGGTCTCTGTCAAGATGGTCACTGGTGACAATGTCGAGACTGCCCGAGCTATCGGACGCGAATGTGGTATCCTTACCGAGGAAAACATCAAGGAGAAGAACGCTGTCATGGAAGGCTCCGAGTTCCGTAAGCTCGATGAGCGAGAACGGGCAGAGGTTGTCAAGGGCCTTCGTATCCTTGCTCGATCAAGTCCTGAGGATAAGCGTATCCTCGTCAAGACTCTTAGAGCCCAGGGTCAGATTGTGGCTGTTACTGGCGACGGCACAAACGATGCGCCTGCTCTCAAGGCTGCTGACGTTGGTTTCTCGATGGGTATCACCGGAACCGAAGTCGCAAAGGAAGCTTCAGACATTATCCTCATGGACGACAACTTCTCCTCCATTGTCAAAGCCCTTGGTTGGGGACGTGCCATCAACGATTCCGTCAAGAAGTTCCTCCAGTTCCAGCTCACGGTCAACATCACTGCCGTCTTCATCACCTTTATTTCCGCCGTCTTGGACGACGAGGAAACATCGGTTCTCAACGCCGTACAGCTTCTCTGGGTGAACCTCATTATGGACACCTTTGCCGCTCTCGCCCTCGCTACAGATCCCCCTACCGGAAGTCTTCTCCACCGTGAGCCTGAACCCCGAACTGCGCCTCTCATCACCATCACCATGTGGAAGATGATCATCGGCCAGTCCATCTATCAGCTCATCGTGTGCTTCGTCCTCTGGTTCGCAGGCCCCGATTTCCTCGGCTACCCTGAGAAGGAATTGAGAACCCTCATCTTCAACGTCTTTGTGTTTATGCAAATCTTTAAGCTCGTCAACAGCAGACGCATTGACAACCGTCTCAACATCTTTGAGGGCCTGCACCGCAACCACCTCTTCATGCTCATGATGTCCATCATGGTCGGTGGTCAGCTCATCATTATATACGTTGGAGGCGACGCCTTTGTGGTGACCCGCCTCAATGGCCCTCAATGGGGCATCTCTGTCGTTCTGGGCTTTTTCTCTATTCCCATGGGTGTGCTTATCCGTCTCTTCCCCGATCGTTGGTTCCAGGCTATCGTGGATGTTTTGGTCAAGTTGTGGCCCAAGTGGCTTCGTCTGCGGAGAAAGAAGAAGTCGCCCGAGGATGGCGAAGAGACCCCTACAAACCCAGACGACTACGACCTGGGTGATGCTCTGTTTGGTATCCGCGATGATCTCGAGTTCTTGAAGAAGGTTCGAGGTGGACGTATGGCGGTCTTGAGCGATGCCATGGCCAAGTCTCGTGAGTTGATGCTTCTCCACCGTCATCGTTCCGAGTCTCGCTCTAGGAGCAAGGTCAGGAGCAGGAGAGGATCTTCGCGATCTTCCAACAGGCCACCCATCTCGCCCATGATGTCTGTCGTGGGCATGCCTGGTATCGTGGCGGCTAGCGTTGGTGGTCTTGGACCTTCTGGTCAGAGTGTAAATGAAAGGAGCGAGAATCCTTAGTACGATAATAGAGTGCGATTCGATTTCAACCAGTTTGTGTTTTCCTTTTGTTAGCATATGTAGCATTTTCCTTGGTGCGGGAAGGTTTGGAGTTGTTAGAGGGAGTGGAATAAGATCGTCTTGTGCAAGCTACGAACCACACGCCAGGGTAATAGGCGTAAAAAAGGAAATAAATATTAGTGTACGATTTGCTGAGCTGAATATAATATGAAGATAGCATGACTGTCCCTTCACCTGGTGATGTTCTCGATCTCCCACCATCACGGCTTTACCCTAGACCAACACATTCACTCAACAGCGCATGCCAAGGGTGGCTATGTTTTCACTTGTCGCCCGACAAACATGGACGGGCATTGTCTAACTCGCAAGGCGGAATTGTTGTGAAATACGAAACAAACAGCTGAATGCCTTGGTCTTGGCGAATCCTCTCTTTGCCGATCGCGGAATAAACGTGGAATGGGGTCCTTTAAGATGGTACTCATACCATGGACGCCCTCATTTCTCAATAAACATCATTAATGAGAATGGCTTTCTCAATGAGAGCGTGTGTCGCTCTATGGCTAGTGACAACTGCTGCCGCTCAATTTACCGTCACGTCCAACTATGTCATCTCAAAGACCACAGATAAGTCCTTTACTAGGACCTCGACTTTGCCGCTCAGACCTGTCGTCGCACCAACTGGTGAAGCCATCTCGGTGACAACATCCACGAGAAGCTACAATGGCCTCGAGATTGTTATCCGATACTTTGAACCTGGGGAATTCGCCTCGACAGATATTCAGCTCACGACGAGCGGAACCAACCTTCTCGGCCCCTTCACGTACTACTACCAAGGCGTCGTCTACACAGCGCCTGCATCCTGCCCGACACCATTCACAGTCTCGACCACAACGAGAATCATGATCCCCGATGAAGTCCGCTCTCAGTTCTCTCCGACAAGCCTCACCAGCTTCACAGGCACACACGGCAACGGCGCAGTCTACACCCAGGTCACGGCGTACCTCTCTGACGGCGCCGTGCGGATAAATACCGCAGACGCAACGTCTGATTGGCTCGCCACGTATTACCTGGCCGACTGCCGTAACCCGACGGCCACAGATGACTCGTACTGGGGCAATCTCCAGCCAGGAACAAGTCGCGATGATCCCGTCAACGACTGGTTGAACGACAAGTCTTCAGTCAAACCGTGGGTTATTGCTCTCGCCGTCGTCTTTCCCAGTCTGTTCCTTCTCGGCTTCGTCGAGTCGTGGTTCTGGTTTCGGAGGATGATGGTGGGGAGGGGAGCTCTGAGGGTGGGCACAATCTGCTGGATCCTCATTTTGCCGCTTCTGCTCTTGTTTGTGAGGTATGCGCCCGCAAGAAGAGATACCGATCAATCTGAGCTCCGGATCCGATGGAAGAGGTTCAAGCTCGGGACAAGAGTCAAGCTCTGGCTGCGCTTGGGGTTTCGGAAGTCATTTCCGAGTGAGCTTCTGGAGACGAAGCCGAGAACTTCCTTGCAGCCGAGGAATGAAGAAGTCGAGGAAAAGGACAGTCCGTTCAACAGCGACGGGACGAGGAGGCGACCTCCGTCAGAGGAGGGAGACGTGGTATGGATAACAGAACCGGGGCCATCGCAGATAATTACTAGATGAGCAGAGTCAAATGATTGTCAGTCAATTGACAGACAATCGACACTTTCACTGATACAGTCAATCGACTCGTGTTACGCGACCTGGTGAGCTAAAGGGTATCGATGCCTCTTTTGAACAAATTCATGAGAGTCCGGCCCCGCCACCACATGACCCTCGATTGGTCCCCTTGGAGGGTCAGACACGAATCAATTGATCAATGAGAGCCGGCTATCTTGTCCGTCACGAGATGCATGACAGCGGGGGCTTCAACCGCCACTATCCAGCCATCTCACCCATCACGCACACTCATCCTCAGCCTCCAACCCTTATCAACCCGCTAGAGACCAATTCGGTTTATCTATCCGTGCGGCTCATACCCCGCGATCAAGCAGTGTCCCCCGCAGGCTAGTCCCCATCAGGTAGCCACACGACAAGTGCCGTCTGTCTCTCTGACCTTGTCCTGTTGCCGTAATGTTTGCTTTCCCAAGTTCCTGACCAGATAAGCCCGATAAGGAAAAAAGAGTCGGTATCGACGTTATGGCTTCCCAGACGAGGCATCACTTGAGGCTTGACCTGCTCGTGAGGAGGCATGGCTGAAAAGTATATCAAGGAGCCGTGTGTCTGCCTTCTTTGTTGATCTTTTCCAGACACATCATCACAGCTTAGACAACAGCAGCCATGGTACTCCCTCACCCTTTCGATCCTCTCTCTGCCGATGAGATCTCGGCTTCCGTCGACATTGTCAAGAAGTATCACTCTGGACCATGCTACTTCAACGTCGTCTCTCTGCACGAGCCTCGTAAGGCTGAGATGCTTCGATGGCTCGAGCATCCTTCCGACAGCAACCGTCCCGCCCGAGTTGCTGATGTTGTCGTCATCCTTCCTGATGGCAAGGTCTATGATGGTCTTGTTGACCTCAAGGTCAAGAAGGTGACCAAGTGGGAGAAGCTGGATGGTCTTCAGCCTATTGTAAGTTTTATCGCACTGTTCAACAGCCTTGTCTAACATAGCTAGATCACCCCCGAGGAGCTCAACCAGGTCGAGATCATCATGCGAAAGGACCCCGAGGTCATCAAGCAATGCGAGATCTCTGGCATCCCCGCGTCCGACATGCACAAGGTCTACTGTGATCCTTGGACCATTGGTTACGATGAGCGCTTCGGCAACTCTGTTCGCCTCCAGCAGGCTCTCATGTATTACCGTCCCGACCCGGATACCTTCCAGTACCAGTATCCCCTCGACTTCTGCCCTATCTTCGACGGCGCCAAGAAGGCTATCATCCACATCGACATCCCCAAGGTCCGACGTCCTCTCAGCCAGCAGAAGCCCATTGACTACATCCCCCGTGCTATCGAGGCTGCTGGCGGATACCGAAAGGACATCAAGCCCATCAACATTACCCAGCCCGAGGGTGTTTCTTTCACCATGAACGGTCGTGTGATTTCATGGCAGAACTGGAAGTTCCACATTGGCTTCAACTACAAGGAGGGTATTGTCCTCAACCACATCACCTTCAACGACAAGGGCATTGAGCGTCCCGTTTTCTACCGTCTTTCGCTCTCTGAGATGGTTGTGCCTTATGGCAACCCCGAGCACCCTCATCAGCGCAAGCATGCCTTTGACCTCGGTGAATACGGTGCTGGTTACTTGACCAACTCTCTTGCTCTTGGCTGCGATTGCAAGGGTGTCATTCACTACCTTGATGCCGACTTTGCTACCCGCGATGGTTCTATCCGCACCATCAAGAACGCCATCTGCATTCACGAGGAGGACAACGGCATTCTATTCAAGCACACCGACTTCAGAGATGACTCCGTCACCGTCACTCGCGCCCGCAAGCTCATCGTCCAGCAGATCTTTACTGCCGCCAACTACGAGTATGCTTGCCAATGGGTCTTCCACCAGGATGGTACCATCCAGCCTGAGATCAAGCTCACTGGTATCCTCAACACCTACTCTCTCAACCCTGGTGAGGATGCTGGTCCTTGGGGTACTGAGGTGTATCCCCAGGTCAACGCACACAACCATCAGCATCTCTTCTGTCTTCGCATCAACCCCATGATTGACGGAACAAGCAACACCGTCAACATGGTCGACACAGTCCCCAGCGAGGCTCCTGTTGGCAGCCCTGAGAACTTCTATGGCAATGCCTTCTACGCCAAGAAGACCAAGCTTCGCACCAGCGGCGAGGCCAAGACCGACTACAACGGCGCCACAAGCCGTACATGGGAGATGGTCAACGAGTCCAAGCTCCACCCTTACAGCAAGAAGCCCGTCTCTTACAAGCTTGTGAGCAGAGAGGTTCCTGGTCTGCTGCCCAAGCCTGGTAGCTTGGTGTGGAAGCGTGCTGGCTTTGCCCGCCACGCCGTGCACGTCACTCCTTGTAAGTTACCCTTCACTCACACTGATCTATACACATACTGACCATTCTAGACCGTGATGATGAGCTCTGGCCTGCTGGTCGCCACGTCCCCCAGACCTCCGGCGAGCCTTCAATGGGTCTCCCCCAATGGATGGCCAACAACAACGAGTCTACCGAAAACACCGACATCGTCCTCTGGCACACCTTTGGCGTAACACACATCCCCGCCCCCGAGGACTTCCCCATCATGCCCGTCGAGCCCATGACTCTCCTCCTGCGGCCGCGCAACTTCTTCACCAACAACCCCTGCATGGACGTGCCTCCCAGCTACTCCATCACCCCCACCCAGGTGGCTGAGAAGAAGGGCGCGCTGGATCAGACTGACAAGGTTAGCCAGCTGGCCTTTGGTGGTAAGAGCTGCTGCGCGGGTGGAAGTGCTTCTGCTAGGCTGTAAGCGTGGATTTGAATGTGGATTTAGTGTATATATACCATGGCATTGATGAATAGCAATAGAAACTGCTTGATTGTTCTGCATTTGTTCTTCGCTTCGAAGTAGTGATTGACGAGCTGTGCGACCGCTTCGGCGTTGCCTGCGACTAATTTCTAACTTTTACGCTCTAGTATGTACGTGAGATTGATCTGATTTGTTAGTCCAATAAAGAAGGGGCTCTATCCTTGTCGCGTAGGCCCCAAAGCCTGGGGTTGTTGAGAACTGGATGCCATCGAGGGATGCACGTGCCTATTCACGTGCCCCAGCGATGGGTGTCAGTCACCCTCAAAGCCATTGTCGCGTTTACTACTAAACAGGAGAATCTTCCCTCGCTTTGGCCTCACGGCTCTTTTATGGTCCTGTACTGAATGTTGGCCATCGACGTTCTGTCCACCATTATGGCCCAGACAACCCGGCCACCCGGCTCACGAATACCCTGTAGTACTGCGCTCTTGAAGCCGGCCACTCCCACCACGTCTTGTACATCTAGCTTGAGAATCCTTTTCACATCGACGCCCAAATCGAAACTGGGGGTACCTAGAGAGGTACCTTTTATCACTCCACGAAGAAGCCACCGTCGGGCGCAACGCTCAAGACGCCACCCAACCCAACAAAAATGAGGCGGTGGATACAGGCCTGATTCGAACCCAAGGAGCCGTTGAAGGATGCGGCTTCCACTTTCTACGCTGATGGATATGGAAACGCTGATAAGTGCGAGAAGCAAGGAACATAGGGCCTATCCGATAAGCTCGGTCCGATGGTCTTTTAATCTGCCAGTTCCCACGGCGCACTTACGGTACCGTCGCCGACATACCGGCATCCATCAGGCATGGCTGCATGATCTTAACGAACAGTTGAGAAGAGGCCGACGCGGCCATGAGAGCACCGCCGTCAAACCCGGCCAAAGAGGTTACAGTCATTGCTGTTAGCCTTGCATCGCATCATGACTCGACCATCACGAAGGTGGAGGAGATGAACAGGGCCTTGAGCGACATGGAAAAGCTGTTGGGTAATGTAGAAAGATCTAGGTAAGACTTTGAGGGCTAATCTAAATCTTAGATGTATGAGCCTAATGTTGGCTAATGTTGCAACCAGGAACGGGCGGCGAAAGTTGATCAGCACCACGAATACTTCGACACGACAAACAGACCATCAAAGTAGAGGCTTCGCAGCGCGACATGGAGGCTCCGCAACGACTCGTCTCCAAACGCGACACTGCTTTCTGTTGCAAACGAGGCTCATCAACTCGCTCCCGGGGCCAACAAGGAGCAAGTCGTCCCTTGCGCCCGTTGGCTCTTGTCACCCAGGCTCCGACTTCGAACCAGGCAATCTCGGCTTCAGTTCGCCCCAAGTACGTCCACCGCGCCGCTGATCGCGAGGGCTCAGCATGGTTCGGCAACTCTAAGAAACATGATTGGGCGGTGCTTGTGTGCGATGAGAACCCTGCTCTCCCTGCTCTTCCTACGAACCATTTTTGCCTTCTTGGCAACACAGCTCGAGAGTTTTGCGTCCCGAGCGGACACAACCCGCTGCGGCCCCTCCAACGTTCAAGATCTACCGTCGCCTTCTGGTACATAAAAGGCCACACAGAAGCAGCTGTCTGAACCACCCGCTATCAACCAGCCACTTTTCACCCTACTGATAGAAACATGGCTGCCTGTACTGACTTGATCTTGTCTAAATCATTTACAGCTACACTGGATTACATGGCGGCAATAAGTCCCTGCAAGCTTGAGTTGGCTGTGGCAAAGCTGCACCGGTTCAAGAACGAAACCAGTCGTGGTATTTGCTCGGAGCGATTTGATCTCGACGTAGGCTACTCCAAATCAACAGTTGGGCATGACTAACAGCTTTCAGGACATTGAAAGCCGTTCTCTGGGCCGTTTCCAACGCCAACGCCGTCAATATTTACAAAACCATTTGAGCCTTCGATTGCATTGATGGTATCCTACGCTTTAAGGACCCCTACAACCGCCTGAACGTGTTGGTCACTTCCATATCCGCCTTCACTGATAGAGCATTGAAGATGTTTGTAGCCATGCCATCATGCTGGAGTATCCCGACTTGTTCATCGACATCATCGACGCCAAGAACGCTCTTCGTCTCGTAGGATCTACCCATTCTGTCAATTGGGATTTCATGCACACGGGAGGCACTCTCGACATGTCGCACATACTGTTAGAGATCTAGGAACCTGTTTCTGAAGGAGCCGGGGAGAGCTCTTGTTTAAGCCCTATCACCTATGGCACCTAACCGGGCGACAATTCTATACTATCTTGAAGGCTAAAGCTGAGGTTAAATTAGATGATCTTTCTTACTCATTTTGGGGGATGCGTATTTATATTTATGTGAATCTTAGCCCATACTTCCTTATGGTTATTGTCCGAACTATCCTAAACTTGGACGGCGGGAGTGTCAAGAGTGGCCGGCCAATCGCTGGGATGGTTCCCGAACGACATGGATGTCTATCTTCCCACCTTTACAGGTTTAAAATGGCCCAACGAAAGTAGACAACAAAGTGAGAGAATGAGAAGATACTCTGATGGGAGGCACCTTTCGTGTTAGCTTTCTCGATTAGAACAAGGCGGCTTTGAGCGAGATGAAAGAGGCTTAGAGAAACGACGAGATGTGAAAGGTGAAAGCTCTCACTAGAGTTTCTGAAGCTGGGTGCGTGACTTTGGGCATAATGATTGGGGAGCTAGGGGACCCGAGACAGTAATCTTCAGCTGGCACTTTAGTTGAACATTGTCGTGATCCTGAGGACCTAGCATGGGGAGGAACTGACCGAGTCCTTCATGGACCTTCAATGGAGGGATGAATTGTCTCTACGAGCAGATGGGAGCTGATAGTCATCTCCTTGCGGCTAGTGATCGTGTCTCGCTTCGGCGGCAGAGTGCGATTGAGTTCCCGTCATGACTCACAGCTTAGATTCATTGTTGCCACACGTTTAAAAAGATATCAAAAAAGTGAACTGACTTGTTTCTATGCCTAAAATTAGGTCTACCCAAACGATCTTGTCTTATTTCCAATTTGTTTCTCACACATTTTCAAGTTGCAGGTCTCCCCTGGTCTTGTGGTTGTAGGAATCCCCGCTCCCCAGCCGTGTACTTGATCAAGCTGGTAACCAATGCTCTGGTCAAGTCCTCCGGAAGATTCGTCAATGTAATTGCAGCCACAATATAGTGAAGGAACCTTTCAAATGGATCCCCATGATGATCCAACAGGTTTGGCTTTATCCCCCCCTGCATCACCATGTCCAAAACATAGCCATGGTGCCTATGTTGTCCACTTGCCAACTCCGAACGCCATTTTTTAAAATCCCAAAGAATGCAGATTTCTCCGTCTGGGACTGGGAGACCAAAAATCTTGACGAGGTGATCAGCGTATCTCGCCAGGTCCCACCGGAAGCGAATGGTGGCAGCAGTCTCTTCGAGCTTGTCTGGTGGCAGCTCCCTTTTTACTGCACGAATAAGCGTTTCGCGCACCGATGGACCCCAATTATAGCCCCAATCTCCAGGGCAGGTCTGTAGAAATAGCCATGCCATTTCCGGCACACGGTTCTGACGGATGAGTTGTGCCATCTCGTCCATCATTGCTTGCCTGGGGGTCTTTGATGGCTCAGTAGACTCTCGGGAAGATGAATTGGTGCCCATGTTCACCGTGTTTTGTGTGGACCCGTTAGAGCCTTCCATGATCCTTAAACTTTTGACGGTAAGACTATGGTACACCTGATTCGAGAATTGTCCCACTGGTCGGTTGTTCTGTACACGAAGCGTCGAGTTCTGAAATTAGCAAATATGGATCACCTGGTTCCTGCAAACGTCGAGGACTGACTATGAAAGTGCTTTATGGGTTGTAGGTGGTCTGTCTAAAGGTAGGCAGGAGTGTTTGTCTGGTCAGTTTGTTTAGGGTTGTGAAGTGACTTGTTTGCGCCAGTGATTCAACGAAGAAGCTTGCGAAGTGATGTCAAGAAGACCTTACCGATGGAAGAATCAAGATGGGGCAACAGGGTATTTATCTTTTCTGAACAGAACAGCTGGCATGCTGCATGAAAGGCTTTTATTTATATCGTTTGACCTCACATGGCTGCCTTGACGGGGCTTTCAACAACTGGTTTATAGTTTTTTTGTGCCATAAAGTTTTACAATGAAGCTTTCATGTTAAGAGTCAGTAGTTAACTCGAGGGTCTCAATTTCTTTGTGGAATTGAGCAAGTTTGTCTACCAAAACGAACTTTTTGTGTCAAATTTCAATGGAATTCTCACTACTCCCGGTCTGACCTGAAAGGTTATCTGCCTGTGAACACGAAGACCAGTAGCCCCTGCCTTGCTGCGCTGTGGTAGGTGTGGCGAGAACCTCTTGCGGATCGATCACGACCCTTCCGACCATCGCAATCTTGAAGTCTCTAGCGACACCTCCGTTGTTGATCCCCTCATCTTCATCCTCAATCATAACCGCATCGACGTCAATTTCGTCACCCCCGCCCTCAAACTTCTCATCCTCGTCACCAGGAGCTTCGGTTTCCTCACCCAAGCTTCCAAGAACAACACCATTCTCCACCGGCGGCACCTTTCCGTCAATGTGGTCCATCGTCAGTTGATGCCCAGGCGCCTAACTTAGGGCAACAGCTTCGATGTTTTCGTCGGTAAGCTTCACGGAACTTCCCGGATCTGCCATCATGAAGCGTGCAAGAGCCGAATAAAACTGGCCTTGTGCTTCCACATTTGCATCGTCCATCCTCTGCCAAGGTACGCTAACTCTGGGGTACCAGTTCGATGTGAGCTCCAGCCACATGGAAATGATCTCGTAGGCACAAATCAGTCGGTTTTTACCCTGTATCTCGGATGGAATGTACCCTTCCGCGGCGACAATGGGAGCGTGCTTTTGTGCCATGCGAGAAATTTGGTAGGCATCGAAGGAGTTTCGTTGGTATAGGATGTCCGGTTTAACACTGTTGGTCTGCCCTAGTCGCCAAAGTCGACCAATGGCGTGCAAGATCGTTGAAAGGTTTTGAGGGTACTCAACAATTATTCCATGGTGACAGGCTCCATGGAGGTTAATACCAAATCCTGCGAGTTGGAAGGTTGTGATGAGGGCTCCCACATCTTCGTTGGGGTTGTTGAATGCTTGGATGGCCTTGACACGCTCAGCCATGGGGTGAGCGCTACGAATGTGGAGTGATTTGACACCAAGGTAGGTGAGAAGGGCGTTGAGGATCCTGAATATTGTTAGCTACCGCTAGATATTGTTGGGGTGCACACTTACATGAGAGTCAGGGGATGGTTGACGTAGATCAGCACTCTTTTTCCCTCGTCGTTGAGCTGAAGTACCCTCTGAACTGTCCAAGCCAACTTTGGGCTTCCGTAGCAGATCATCTTTGCCATGTCAAGTCGGTCCCTTGGCATTGAAACACTCCCATCTGGACGCGTAAGGTAGAAGAACCACTGAAGTCCTCCAGTCCTATCATTCTGGATGAGGGAATTGACCTCGTCCACACCACCAAATACTCGCTCAGGTCCCTCAACTAGAGCCCTTGCAGCAGATTCGGCGTCCGATGCGAGATTTCTGAGCACCTCCCGATCAGCATCGTTGAGTTCCTCGGGCTTCTTTTCTTTGAACTTGTCTTCAAATAGTTGACGAGCTGCCATCATGCTGAGCAACGTCGTGTTCCGCATATTCGCCTGGGTCAGCAAGTAGAACTTCGGATGCGTCATCAAAAGAGCGAGTGCACGGAGAACGGCGGAATTGACCAGAACTCGCTTCTTGGACTGCACAACAGTATGTCCAATGTGCTTACCATACTTGTCGCGGCCATCAATTAACAGGTCATCGACGTGTTTTTTGGTCAACCCTGACACTCGCTGTTGCTCTGCTGCACTGTGCTGGAGCTGAATGAGTCGGGGCATACGAGAAGGCATCTCATCCCCAGGAGAAGTGATGGTTCCGTCAGGTAAAGTGAGTTCTGACAACATGCCTCGACGCAGGCAAATCATCTCCAGTAGCGGCTTGATCGCCTTTTCTGCCACAGCTCCGTCGTCATTGACATCTTTGGAGTAGGCCTGGAAAAGAATGGGGTTGAGACGGAATAGAGGGGCTTGACCAGATGTGACAAAGCTCACATACTCTGCCCGAAGTCGTTGAGCACGTGGTGATATTGTGCCGCTCGACAAAGTTTCGTCGCCGTTACCATTCAGGCAAAGATCCAAAGTCAAGGGCTGCCCATTTTCACCCTGTTTGATCGCTTCCCAGGCATCATTGTTGTAGAATGACTCTGCCTTGAGTTCACTTCCCACTTTGAACTTGAAGCCCCAGAAGTGCTGCCACATCAAGTTGATGTAACCGTCGAAATCCTTGACATGGTTGAGGATCGGGGTTGCAGATACGATGAGAAGTGCTTCGTGGTGAAGCGTCTTGATCAACTTGTGGGTGACCGAATTGGGATTCTTCACCAGGTGGCCTTCGTCGCATATGATGAAGTTAAACTGGGCATTCGGCATTGACAGGCGGACTGGTTCATGTTGGGCGATGTCATTATTGTTCGGATCCCCCACTACCTCAGGGATATTGGTCGAATCGGTCAATGAAGTATCGTGAGTGGTGGCGTTTCCATAAATCCGGTTCTCTTCATCATCAACGAGTTGTGGTAGGTCCTCTCTGTTGACCAGCTTGGTCTTTTCTCGATGAATCATGCGGAAAACGGCGGTGGTATACGACGTAAGGAGCAGCTTTCTCATCGTCTTAGAAGTCAAAGTTAGCGACACGAACGAGAAGATGGACTGAATAACCTACCGTTGGATGTCCTTGTTTACGCTCGCACTCGTTAACCCACTCCTGCACCTCCTCGGCATTGTTCAGGATGGAGCCCTCCAGCGCAGGATCGGGTCGGTTGCTGAGATTCCCGTATGCGACCTTGATGTCGAAGAAGGGCCCAAACCACTTGCGGAACTCCCTGAAAGTTTGCGGAACGACGACGCCGGGGCAGAAGATGACACTAGGCTTGAAATGACGTTCACCGGGTGCAACATTTCGCGTACCGTCGACGATAGCCCGTCCAGTCCGAAAACAGTCGATGGCCAGAGCAAGGCCAATCTGAAGTGTTTTTCCGATTCCACACTCATCAGCGAGAATCGCAGCACGAAGAGGAGGTGTTAGACGTTGGTAGATCCACCAAGCACCTGCAATATCGTCAGTATTGAACAAGTTAGAGTGTGGATGAGCGTATGTTGATGCCGGACCACAGCAGAAAGTTGACTTACCAACAATTTGACGCGGTTTCGCCGCAGGGGCATCTGGCACCATACAACTCATGCGCAGATTTCTCCAGTCTGGGATACCGATTTGTTGACAGATGTAGTCAAGGTTCTCCTGCTCAGGAGATAAAGTGTTGATCAACAGAACCGACCGGCGAACTTGGTCCATTTCATCGTCACCCTGTGCCTCATCACCCGTGTCAGATTCTTCTGGCCCAGGTACATCTTCCCCTTCACCTGCACCAGCATCCTCTGACCTGGCCCGCATTTCGTGGTTGACATGCGTAATTGTATCCCAATACGCGGCGTTTGCGACCGATGTGATGTTATTGGACACCCCTACGGGTGGTGGAGTTGAAGAGGCACTGTTGTTCTGGACATTTGCAAGTCCGAGGAGGGCGTTCATGAGAAGACTTTTCTGCGTGCTGGTCATGGGAATAGGCTTTGAGCCCGTGCGCTTGAAGATGTGGTCGGTGATGTCTGGCCTTGGGCTGAGCTTGGTCAACACCTTGACGATACATTCAGTGATGGTAGATCCCAGAGCCAGTTGCACATCTTGCAACCCTTGGCCGGGTGTGATGTTGTACTTTTGTGCAAGACCTGGGCATCTGCTGATGATATCGTCGGCGGTTGCGAGCGTTGCAAGCTCGGATTCCGAAGCGTCCATGCCGCATCCTTCGTGGGACTGAGCAAAGTTCATGTCGTTGACCGCATTTTGAGCTTCGGTTGTGAGACTGTTCATGTCTTCGAGCCCAAGTGTGCTTTGCTCAGCGATGGTTCCGTACCACACAGCGCACAGATTGGCCCTCTCGCTAGGGCTTCTGTCCAGTTTCATGGCAGTGCTTCGCCTTTTCTTGAAGGCTCTGAACACACACAACGCCGCCTGCCAGTTGTTGTGCGTAAAACCCCAGATCTTGCTGTTGTTTTGGTCAGGGTCCTCAGGAAACCTTTGAGGAAATGACGTGAGGAGCCGATACAGAACGGCCACGTAGGATAAACTGCTGTCCGCTTGATGGTGGGCAATGGTATCCAGTGCCTGTACAGAGACGGGGCCGCGGTTCCGAACCACAACTCCGGGGTTCCTGTCCAATTCCCCACGGAGGTAGGGGTAACGGGTTCGGACGTTGGAAATTTCCTTCACGATGTTTGGAAGAGTTGGCAACTTCTGACCATTCTAGAGTCTAGTGAAGTCGAACACAACCCGTGCAACTGCACAAAGAGTTAGTACAAACCGACGAAACTTGTGCAGGGGAAACACTTACCATCTCGATCAAGCCATGTGTTGAGTTGATGAGTGTTGTCAAATCCGATAAGACCAGCAACCCACGATAACTTTGAGTCGTCGTAGGGGTTCAGAAAGGTAACACCGGAGAGCCGATTGTTCTTTTTGGCCTCGTGCTGGTGAACAAGATCTTGCAGGTTTGTCGGTTGACTGATCTCGGGGCGCTTGAAACGTGCAGACTCCCGAAAATACGCCCTCTTGCCCCCCTTGGGCCACAGGGTACCCACCTTCCACTGCTCTTTTGTGAGGGTGGCCCTGTTGTTCGTGGCAGGGATGGGTCGGATCTGAACAGGGCGAGTGCTGCTTTCATCAGAAATGCGAGCCGGTAGATACCTCAGAGGATCATCAGAATCCTCGTCAGCGATGGTTATCGTAAGTGAAAGGTCGAGGATGACATCTGAAGATGTCATCTGCCGCTTGGCATCGGACGGACCTGCTGCTGAGGGTGACCCGGGTCGCTTGGGAGGCATGACGGCAGCGATGTTTTCGTTGCCAGTGACGAGATGAGAGAAGTGGGTTGCAGATGAAAGAGTGAGGAGGGACAAGCTTTTGCGTCACCACAACGAATGCTGGTTGGTTGTTAACTAAAGACTTGTGAGCTTACATTCATACGGTATGTGAGAAGCAACACTCGCCTTGTGCAAATGCGACCTTTGTTGTTGATTAACCAAGAATAATGACGTTGATGCGAGACTTGCGGTGTGGAGCAGCTGAAAGGGGGTAAGGCAGGGTCGTCGAGGTGCCACCTTGGACGAGGGAAGACAAGAGACTGAAGCAAAGCGAAGTGAAAAGCGAAGGACCTAAGTGAAGATTCTCAAGGGGGCACGTTGAGAAACGGGAGTGGTGGGGTCCTGAAGGTGCCACCTCGGGAACAGGAAGCGATGAGGATGAAGGAAGAAAAAAGAGAAACTGTGTGGAGCAAGATTAGTGGTTCTTATACTTGAAAATGACCGGAATGTCAGTGATTCATAGTTAACTTGATCTGATAAGGACAGGACCCCACCCACCCAGCTGTACTTCATCTTGCCTTCCATGATTTACTCGCCCTGTTAAACGCTTTAGCAAACAGTCAACCACAAACGAGTTTAGAAACGCTCGCCCCAAGCTTCTTTGCTTGTGTGCGAGGAGCTACACGCGAGTTAATCAGATGATTTAGCTGGTTTCGTGTAGGTAGCTTCATAAGTGAGTCTCTATCACTTGATTCAGAATTCTTTTGCGGCGGTTCCATCAGCTGATCTACCAGCCCCTAAGACCTCCATCAATCGATTTGCCAGCTCTCGGTAGACATCATCAATTGATCCGCTAGGTAACGGATAAAGGTCATCAATTGATCCGCCAGTCTCCAATAGACGGAGCCATCGCGTAAGACTCGAATCGATTGATAGGAATGATGCAGCGGATGAGTTGATGGCCTGTATCTGTAACCTAGCTGATCAATTGATGATCTCTATCCGTTAGCTAGCGGATCAATTGATGGGCTACATACGTTACCTAGCTGATTAATTGATGGCCTTCATACGTTACCTAGCGGATCAGTTGGTGATCTACATCCGCTACCTAGCTGATCAATTGACAGCCTGTATCCGTCACCTAGCTGATCAATTGATAGCCTATACCCGTCACCTAGCTGATCAATTGATAGCCTGCATCTGTAGCCTAGCGGATCAATTGATGCTTCATCGGGACCTAGCAAATCGGTGGGCAGTCTGCACTAAGGCCTAGCAAGTCCGTTGATCAAGGTCTTGGGGAGGGCTGGCGGATCAATTGACGGACATATAGAAGGGGGTACGAAATCAGTTGATGTTTTACATCGGGACCTAGCGGATCAATAGGTTGATGACCCACACCGAGACCTCACGGATCAATCGATAGCCTCCATTGAGATCTAAGAAATTGGTGGATAGAGGTCGGTCCAGGGGGCTAGAGGATCAGTTGACGGTCCACACCGTGGTCGGATCGTGCTACTTGGAGTCGCGGGAAGATGTGTGTGCAGGTAAATGCTGAAGAGAAGTGTTGAGACCGAAAAGAGGTGGCGAATTGAACGAGAGGCGTAGAGATCGAAATAAAACGCGAAAGGCAGGATTCTCAATGTGCCACCTCGAATAGTATGAAGAATCACGTGTGGCTGTTCGAGTAGCTGCCTAAGGTAAATATGAGAAGTAAAGAAGAAGTAGAAACGCGCGAGGCGAGAGTTTTAAAGTGCCATGTCGAGCGCTGGGAAGCGTGAAAATGGGGGGTTGCCAGGGTTGAAGAGATGAGGTTCGTTTGTAACCCCGTGGAGCCGCAAGGCAACCATCATGTGATGAAAGAGGCCCCAATGTAGAACTCTTTCCTAGAGCGGCTCCATCAGCTGATGAAAGAGTCCCCAATAGAGAACTCACCTTCGGGGCTCTTTCATCAGCCGATGGAGCCGGTACATTCTGGTCTCTATTGGGGACTGTTTCATCAGCTGATAGAGCCGGTTCATTCTGTTATTCCTTAGGCCGCGAAACGTAGAGGCTAGTGATGTTGCAGCTTCGAGTTTGTGAAGTCGGCCAACTGTTCTGGTCGATTTGACCCGGGACCATGATGTATTGATCATCCATTGGCTCTGAAGAGTGGGAACCTCTCAAGAGACGTTAGAAAAGGACGCACGTACACCTTGTGCATCGATGAGCCCGGCGTATGAGGAAAAGAGCGATATCGCCACCTGTTCAACGAGGTCAAGAAAGCCATCTCTCATATTGACAGTGAAAGTGAAACGCTGCTCCCACCACATCAACGATATCATTTGGCGATGTTTATCAGACGCTCTTCGGGCTTCTCGGTAGTGGCGCTCATCGTTACACATGCTTGCATTGTGCTGCAAGTGTCGAGCCCATAGTGCAACGCCAGTCTGTCCGATATAAATTGCCGCGTTGTTGACGCCCTCGTGAAGACGGTCACAGTGTGCATAAAGCCTGGAGTAGATCTAATGTCTAGAATTAGGCCACCCTGGTGTTACCCTTCAAATCTTCGAGAGATCTGTAATGCCAAAAGTACCGTGTTGAAGAGTGTTTCGAGCCCCAGGAATAAAGCCCTGCATGATGAATCTGGCATGACTGTCAACCTTGTTGTTGACGAGGAGTGCGTCGTGGTGATTTGAGGGGAGACCAAGCGGAACAATTTCGTATGGAGATACGGAGATTTTGGAAAGAAGCGCGCGGATATATCCCTGAAGACGACAGTCCCTTCCATCAGCCTCTCCAGCGGCCAAACACAGTTCAGCCAGTCCAACTACAGACTAGCTGACAAGCTTTTCGGCCACCGTTGAACAGTTTCTGCCAATAATCAGGTAGCTTGTTGGTACAATAACTTAGTAGAGCACATGTCAGGTTTGACCTTTCCGTGGAGGAATGGACACTTACTGTGTACGTGGATGACTGCTCATACGACGATTACGGCCCCCTACATACCCTTGGGGTCTCTTGTGTAGACACCCTTCATCGTATTCGAAGGGATATAACTGCTCTTGTTTCTTCAGGTGCGTTGGGACCCTTTTCCCCTCGCGCAGTTGGACTGGGACGTGTTGTACAGTCTCATGATAGGAGTAACCGCAACGGACTGTAATTGCAAGGGGCTCCTCTGTAATGGGACCGACCGGCGTGAACTGTTTCCAGAGTAGCTTTGACATAGCGGTCACCGCAGAATCATTGTCAGTTTGGGAACCGTGGCTTCTCAGTGGCGTGTGTGAACCCCCTCCGCCACCACCGCCCACGGGCAGGTTCTTGCCCTGGCATGAAGCGCATCTCCCACAAGATGTTGACTTCGCTCAGCCTCATACGAATATGTTATTAGGATCTCATTAACTGATTCTCCACGCTCTGATCTTCGCTCAGAGGCTTCAGCTTCTGGACGGTGAAATCGGGCGGCTCGAGGGAGTAGAAACGCAGATGACCTATCAACGGCTTCACGAACATTACAGTCACTTTATCCATTCTGAAATCGACTGGAAAGCTCGAGTACATGGTTCTATCTGCTGCACGAAAGGTCCCTTCTGTTGCCTGAAGAGCTTCGATCGAGTCAAGGCACTTCCCGCCCACCTTCTCACAACGGCTCATCGCGTAAGCCGGATACCTGCCTCCTTTGATTCTCCCACTGACTCCTTGCAAGGAGCACGGCACTTACCTCGGCCAAGAAGCAGGCAGAAACACGATCCCATCCAGTCCCGGGAGTTAGCTATTAAGGAAGAAGATGTCAGTGCCGCCATCGCTCTTCTGTATCGAAACGAGACCCCTGAGTGGGACTTGGAAAGCCATTGGCCCGGGCCACAAGAGGGAGTGGCTAGAGCTTCGTTTTCTGCAAGTCTCTTGCCCTCGAGTTTTCTACTATCGCAAATAAGTCTATCTATTGACAGTTTCACCCCCGTCAGGTTATCCTCAGACACTATCTCTGCCACACCAAAGTTCTGTTAAATCATTCAGTCCTTCGAAACCAGTGCCGCAAGCTTTTTAGTTGGCATTCCTTTTCGGCTTATAACCAGCAGCTAAGTTGCCGCAACTCTTGAAGTGCCGTACATTCTACACTATCATGATTATCTTGTTTCTAGCCTTAAAATCATGTGAAATCACATGTCTGCAGGACTCGCTGCAGTCAATATTCACGATCCCCACCCGCTGAAAGCACCCTTCTGCTTCTGCTCGCCTGAGAGCTAATCGTTCAGCCCAACCATCCTCAAAGTTTTCTCCCTCGCAGTACCCAATAAAGGCCACGAAAAGCTCGTCAGCCGTTATCTCAAGCGACTTGGTCACGTCCAGGATGAGCTTGCCCCAGATGTTGTGGGGCGGCAAATCGTGCAAATCCATCTGTGCTTCTCCATTCCATCTGAAGTCGTTCGGGAATTTCGCCATAGCCGTCTTGATCTTGATCGAAGCGCTCTTAACGTGGCCGAATGGGTTGGCGGTGGCTAGTTCCTTGGACAATGAAATGATCTTGGCGAGGGTTGAACACTCTCTCGCGAGACGTATCTCTGTACCGATGAGGGATGCCCATGACCAAGTTGAGGCGTAATACTCTCGGTGACGCATGGACTCTTCGCCAGCTCTCGTCCAGAGTAGTGACCGGGGAAGGTCTGACTCCCACATACCAGCCACATAGTCGTTGCTGGCGTGAGGTTTGACAAGAGCCGCTATGCCCGAGAGCGCAGGCAGTCTGTCTGTGTCCTTTGTGATGAGCCGCTTGGTGAATTCGTTCACCACCATGTTCCAGTTCACAACACTGCGCGTTCCTCCCTTGTGAAACGATATAAAGTCGACCTTGGTCTTCCTATCCTCCTTTGAAAAACGAGTATCCCACTTTGGAATACGTTTCTTGCCAACCAGCTAACATTCGCATCGATTGAATCGTTTACATTCCCAGACTAGTTCACCCTTTGTGAAGTACACGACTCTAGACGACACCAGCCACTCCTGCAAAGTCCATGCTCGCCCTCGCAGAGGGTTATCTTGAATGTTAGACATTGCTGCAGAGTGTATGCAGATTGACTTGGGTGGAACGGTCGTCAGCCTGGTATACAAGATGTTCTCCTGAGAGCCATTGGTCCACGACATCTTCTTGGGCTCATCAGTCGCCCTCTGACTGACTGTATGAAAAAGGCCTGCCTTGCTGTTGAGTACTCCATCGGCAGAGATGGTCAAGACGGCTTGCTGATAGACGTTGATCATCTTGGTTGATTCCCTGGTCCAGTCGTCGGCATCATCCTGGATGATGCACAATGAGTCTATCCATATATAATCGATACCCAGGAGTCGAGTCACGGCCATGGCATCAGCAAAGGTTGGAGGTAGCTCAGACCATTCGATGCCCTCCTTTCTCTGTGCAAGTGATTTGTTTGTTGTTGTAGGAGACCGATGCTCTTCTGCCCCCCAACAGTGGCTTAAGGCAGTGTACCGCACCTCCTCGTTCCGGCTCTCATAGAGATGTGGCAAGCGATCATCGGATCCGACGAACAATACACATGCTGGCAGCTTATATGTAGCTTGTTTGCACATCGCATGATTTGTCTCGCAATCTTCGAGCCAATCGGATATTAATGTTGCGTCTCGTAGGGTGAATTCTGCTGGCAGTTTCTTGGCAGGCCCTACAGCCGGGCCTGGGCCTAGGGAGCCTTTGTAAAGTGTCAAAAGACAGTTCAAAATAATAATTTTTGGAATTCGGGGCGTTACCTGGCTCAGTAAAGAACTCCACGGTTTTGTAGGGGCGAAATTCATACTCTTCATAATCGGTCCAGCCAGGCGGAAAGTCGTAGCCATCAAGTATATGAAACACAAAGAATGGACCTCCCTGGCTGTAACTAAACTCAAGTACACGAGCCCACTCAAGGTCTAGGTGGGCAGAAGCACCCCTGAGTATGATGTCGCAATGAAAGCAGTCTATAGAAGACTTGATCAACTTTTTGACTTCAATCAGTAACCCACAACATCCTTACCCCAGTTGCGAATGTCGAGATTTCCGCATATTGGACAGCCTGCTCCAGTTGAGTCTGTTCCAACACTGAAGATACCATTCCCTGATGCTTCTCCTTGGGATTCTTCTCCTAGGGGTGCTTCATCAAGGTCACTCTGGTCGACTTCCTCTGACTCCGACGAGCTGCCGTCTGAAACAAAAGAACTCCCTGACTGAGAGCCTGGGACCTCTGGGCGATGCCAAGACCTATCGGACGCTTCTATTCAGACCTCGTAGTTTGCTATATTAATGGAGATTTGGTGTTGGAGGAATCGAAATCTTCATAGATGAGCTACTCTGTTATTATTGTCCCAACAAATGATGATTTTGCTGCAAATATCTCTTATCGGAGACAGAAAGAGGGGCAGTCGGAAGCTAATAAACCCTCATGATCCGACTGGCTACGCACTACCCTTGTCTTTGCATATTTGCTGACCTATCACCTTTGCACAACCGGAATCGTGGATAAGCATGGAGGATTTGTTTGTTTAGGCCCATCTTGTTCCTGGTGCTTGCCCTTACAACTGTGCTCTTTGCCACTTCAACACTCATCGCTTATTAAAGAGGTCTAAGAAGGAGCAATGTGCTCTTTGTGATAGTTGAAGCCCGGCCCTTGATGATTTAACTAAGCCAGAAGCTCGTCTAAGGAGAGCGATAACAAGTCCATCTTGTCTTGTTCTTATCCTGTCATGCACTGCTAAAACTCGCATTTCTCCTCATCATCCAGATCGAACAGAGATTGAACTAGGTTGTCGAGTCACCTTGATCACTCCTATATTCTACTCTAGTGATAGTTATGGAGCCAAGATGACTTCTCATGCCACATTAAGCGCTGTTACGCTTTTAAGCTTGAGTCATATGGATAGCTCAATCCCGTGAAAGAGGTTCCTAAGCTTGGCCGTACGTCGGAGTGATTATTAGTCAAAAAGCTTCCTCCTCAAAGTCAAAGAAATTATCAAAAAGAGTAAAGCTAAGAAAACCCAAGGCCGTTATAATTCACCTCTAACTCCTGAAATATTGTCAAATCCCACCCCCAGGTGCCTCTTCAGTCTTGCTTGGCTAGCAACTGATCCATGGTGGGCCATTGCGTCCATGGAAAGGATAAGATCATCAGGGAATGGCCTCCGAACCTCCGTAGTTCTCGTAGGACTAGTGAGCAAAACCTTGACAATAGCTTGGGTGGTTTGATCCTCCGACATCTTCAAGATGGCAACCAAAACCAACTCCAAGCCATCCTGAAACCAAGGTCGCTCGTAATATACGACACCGTCAATCATGCAGACCAACACGACGCCTTCAGGCAGTTGGTGCACAAGCCACTTGAACATAGTGCACAGCTCCTGGATATCGCCATGACGGAGCAGTATAGTAGTAACAAGCTACCAGTGGCCTCTAGACACAAATACTTATAGACGGATAAATGTAAACTAGCATGGTATACTCGGCAGAGGTGACCTCGGTCTGCCCCTAGTTAACAGCCCATTGTTTATGAAACCCCGCAAAGATCTACAAACTGTTTCCCCGCGGGCTCGATAGGGTCTGGGGTAGTAAGGCCGGCAAATGGAATCGGCATCATGACTCAAGGGCCTCTAGTGGGGTGAGGTTGTATTTCAATAAACGGAAAACTGCAGTTCTCTCGTGGATATTCTCATATCCGCCTTTCTCCGCCCCCGCAGTCGCTAAATTAGTGTCGACGCCGGATGTCGCTGTCGGATATCATATTCGGCAGTCTACTAAGTTGCTGGACCAGTCATGGCGAGGACTGGAGTTTAACCCCAAACGCAATAGTTAGGCCCTGCGGAGATATAGTCGGAGCTATGTCGCCAATATTGAGGTGTCGGCCTCCCGCTATCAGGGTAGGTATGAGTGCAAAGAAAGATTGCTTAATTCTTCCCAATCCTATCGGACAGGTGGTCAGTACTGAATGCATACTTGATGTGCATGGTCCTCATAATACGCGAGAGGCCACTGCCAAGGCGAGATTGATCCGCAAGAATGGCAATTGACGAATTGCAGGACCTTCTTGTCAATCACAACTACTCCGTCTCAGTAATACATTTTATGAATGTTGAGGTATTGGGGATCCATTAGGCCACCCGTTGCCCATTTCTTAGTTGCCATGTTGCTCAGCGCGCACCCTTATATTACTATTGACTGGCATAGGGTAGGATCAAGTCTTGCACACCCACACCATCATCATTAACCTTCAGCCATCGAGACCATTAACATAAAGTAAGAAGCATTAGATTTTAATTATTTTATTGTTTCCGAATCAGCTTCTTTAATATTGTGAGTGGCAGCCGCGTATTCGTGAAGGGTTGTCATGTGTATAAGGCCTGACGGTCAGCAATACCCGCCGTCGATCAATCGCCAATAGCAGTCTAGGCTTGCGATAAGGTCAGGGAGTAAGAGGTATAATAAAATAAATATTATAAAAAACATTATATCAAAACGTAAAGAGTATTAGTATTTGTTTAAAAATTATTATACGAGGCCTTAGAAAGTTGTTAACAAGAGCTATTTTGTCTCATGCCAGCCTCTTCGGCGTCGGCGCAGAATGCCAGAAGCTCACGAGAGTTAATATCCGAATTACACTTGATCCATCCCTTTGTCGGACTCCGGCCTTTCTGCAGCTCAAGTACAATACTGGGAAGGAGTTTGGCCCAGGGTAGTTGAGCAAGGTCCTCAAAGGCGATGATCACTTTCCAACATGTGTTTCTAGTCAGAAATGGCCAAAGAGGTAAATCCCACGGGACCTTGGCCCCTTGGACGCGGGATATCTTCTTGACCTACTCCACCACCGCCATCTCGTCCCTGGGACCAAAACAACCTTGTCTCAACATCGCCACCGTTGGAAGATATGCTACTGGAGAGCACAGACACGTTCAAGAATGCTCAGACACTGCTGGCTGTGAGCCCAATCAGGAATATAAGCATGTGAGCGACGGCTCGGCTGCACTCCTCGCCAAGACTTTCCGCACGTACCGAAACCGCCAAGACTTGCTCGTATCCCCGCGTTGCTCATCCGATAGCCTTATGGATAACATGTGTTGTCCAGGGCAGGCTCTCATCCATGACCCATCATCCATGGCAGTTGAAGATGCACATGATAGTTTAAAAATATCTTGAATAGGAACACTTTCAAGGGTTTCCCGGCCACGTCTATCGCCTACGAGCCATATATGCCCGGGCTACATTTGTGGGTTTAATGCTCGCTTCGTGTAGCTGCGACTTGAAACAGCACATGTGAAGGCTGAGGATTTGAGTTTCTTGAGAGATTTCCTCCGCTCCAGGCTCAAACCATGGGATCTAGACCTGGGTCCCCCCATTGGCAACCCTTGGCCGGCTGCATGTGGTATGACCTTGGCGAATCACCGTGTAGATACGGCTGACTGGAGGTGCATCCGTTCACGAAGGATTCTAAGTAGAAACGGGCCGGCGCAGCTGTGGGCCAGCTGCAGCACATGAAACAAACGCCGACGGGGAATCCATGCTCAACTCTGCAGGTCACACCATATCCATGCAGTCGATCCCATGGAAATGCTCCTTCAGGATGCGATTCCCTGCCGCTTGCTTGTGCCCGCCCGACCGCGGGATATCGCTAGACGGTCCTTGCATACATAGAGCTGTGGCAGTGTTTTCAGCTTGCTTGGCTTCGGTTGACGATGCCGGCGAGGGACAACTCCTTGAACGATGCAGTAGAAAATGGTTATAAAAGCGAAGGTGTTCCCGTGAGATTAAGAGAGAACCTCTTCCAACCACCGCCTTCAACCGCTTGTCATCTCTCGTTACGGCGACAAGATGTTGGGCAGTTCTCTTCTTCTCGCGGCCACGGCTGCCATTTCTTTCCTTCCTGGTCTCGTGAATGCGGCACCAGCAGTTACAATCGAGCGTCATGAGAATGGCACTGTTACCTACGGTATGGACTATACCGAGGACGATGGCAATGTCCTGGGCAGGAGGAGGGTCATTTTTCAGTTTGAAGGCTGCTCCGACCCACAGGTAAGAGACATCTATGGAGCGTGGAATTCCATGCTTGACATGGCCGGAGTGATCAAGGACAAGGTCAACTTCAACGAGGATGTATGTACTGCCCAACCGCATCGACGCCAGGAGCCTGGCTAATCATGAGCAAGGTTGCCAAAGATTACCTGGGACATCCGTCCCGAAACAACGAGTATCAGCAGATTTTCAAGGGTCAGACCCCAGCCTTGAGTAAACGCCGATCAGGATGCTTACCTTTACCAGATTTCATCAAGTCTGTCACCACCTGGCAGCTGGGCAGCTCAGTCGATTATCTCTTGCGGATGCATTGCGACGATCCGATCCGCAAAGATGGCGCGCGAGGCTCGGTGCCTAAGGACCTATGTCCCAAGCTCACATTGCCAGAACACTATGACAGATGTACGCAACCGGAGTTTTTCACCATGATTTCCAAGACTGACCCGTTTCTAGGCCAAAGCCGGTGCTGGTTTTCGTGGAGAGAAAATGAGGGGACCGAAAACGAGGCACTATACTGGAAGCCCAAAGCACTCGCGTATACAACAAACAGGGACCGCAAACGTGGTGACTATATTAACTGGTGCCCTGAGTGGTTCAACCTGAAAACCTGCAACGACGCAGCTTCCAAGTATTCCAAGGATCCAGATGACTACCAAAGGCACAACATGGTCAACTACCAATGCAGAGGTAAGTGGCTTCTTCCTATACCCGTCCATCAGAGTACCGTCTGACCCTTGTATAGAGCAAGCCATGGTGCACGAACTCTTCCATCTTGATGAGAACCTGGTCAACATCGGCAACTTCGATTCACATGTCACGGATAGGAGACTAAGGATTCAAGGCCGAAGGGCAAGCACGCTCGCCAACGGACCACTATACACTAAAGTCCTAGCTCTTTATGCGAAAGAGAGGCCTGGTTTCTGGGTTGCAACAAACGGTATACGATCACACGCCTAGCGGATCTATATGCTATGCTAATACGTGGTATCACCAGCCGATAACCTCGCCTTGTACTTTCTGGGCAAATGGATCCAGGAACGTTTCGGTCTCTACCCACACCACCCTATTGCGAAAGACGTGCCAGTGATTGTTTTCAAGAGGGCAAAGCGCGACGACGAGCCCACCGACGACCCCCCCGACGACCCCCCCGACACGCCCGACGTCTGGGATCCGATCCGCATAGTTGATGGACTATTGGCCCTGGGTGACCTGAACGACCTGGCTGTCGCGCTAGGCGCCGGATCCCGAGAGGAGGCGCGGGAACTCTACAGCGACGAGCCAGACGCCTGCCTCGACCTTGTGGGAGATGGCGAGAACGAGGACCCGGTATGCGCCGATGGAGGCGAAGTCGTGGAGCTCGAGGCACCTGCAGACCTGGGGGCAGGCCCAGTGGAAGAGATACCTGCGGGCCCGGAGGAAGGCATCCCTGCAGGCCCGGTATCTGAAGGCGACGACCCCAACGGCCCCGACGCCGAGGTTGTCACAGCTCAAGAACCCGAGGCTGCCCCGACTGGAGACATTGCGGATGCCTTTACCGCCGTCCTCGGGGAGCCCCTGCCTAACAACGGCCCAGATGCCGAGGTTGCCACTGAAAACGCAGAGCCCGCCCCAACTGAAGTCAACCTGCCCGAAGGCACCGACCCCAACGGTCCGGACGCAGAGGTTGTACCGAATCAAGGTGCTGAGGTGATCCCGAACAAGGGTGCGCAGAGTTCGGTTCCTTCCAACTCGACGACACAGGCGCAAGGGTTCAGGGGTGGATCAGGCGTCAGGTGATGACCCTGAGCGGCACCCATTTCGATAGGTAGTAAAGTCAGAGTAGTTACAACAATGATTACGTTTGGATACGAGGCGCTGCGCCAGAAACGCGAGGCAGAGCTGGTATTGATGTCAAATGTTTTCAAGGCAACATCATCCCCCCCTGGAAACCGGGTTGACATTTAGCAGCCGCTGCTGTAACCTAAAATGGGACTTATTCTTTATAGAATGGGACTATGGGCCTGAGTCCTCGTCAAGTGGGTGGAAATAAGATGTTGATGCGCTATGTGGGCGGTGATATAATCCAGATTAGATGCTAACTTGAACACTGCAAATGCCATCTTAATCTCTGCAGACTATTCCTCTTTTCTTGCTGTGCTATCTATGCTTGGCCTCGTTGCCTCGATTTGACACAAGTAACTGACGGAAACACGCGAATCATTCGAACTTGGTAAGCTCACCCGCTGCGTTCACGTCGTAGTGGTACTGGTTGATCAACTCGACAGCCAAGGCGAACAAGGCTATATTATCTAAAGGCAAGTCGTCAGCATGCACACCGTCTAGTTACGTCTCATGGGTCCGGGTACTTACCAGCATTCCTATGCGTCTGTAGTCTCCGGCAGTTCTCCCAGCCGTAAGAGTTGGGCAGCTCGATGTCATCTGCGAGCCTTCCGGCAGTAGTGTGCGTGAGCTGCGTTAATAATTAGTCAAATCCTTCCTTGCCTAGAAACAGCCTTGGTCTGATGCGTAGCGTACCTCGTGAAGCATGGACGACTCAAGTCTATCCAACAAATCAATCTGAGTGACCCTCAATCTTTCGAACCATCCTCCAAAGTGGGTGAAAAGCCAGCGGTGCATCCTGGGATTCGCGGCGGCCTTGACGGAGGCCTGGTTAATTCTGACGCCGCCAAAGGCAACATCATTACCAGGAAAGCCATGCAAGGCGGCTGTAAGGTACAGCTTCGAAGGGCTGAATGGCGATGACCTCGGGGGCGTCTTCATCCCAGCCCCTGCCACCAGGCGGGTGAACTGGCGAAGTTACTGCGAACGCGGGTTTCCATGGACTGAAGAGATCTAGGATCTCGTCTTCATCCCTTACATCCCTTTTCTGAACCGTGTCCCAATTGTGGATATTCGGTTCTTTAGGATGGTTATGTGGCTGTATATAGTCGACGTTGCAGTGGATTTCCTAACACGTGGGTGGGTGAGGTGAGCATCATTTGGGTGAATTCACAACGGGACTGAATGAATTGTATACTTACTATGTCATGCATGGTCCTTGATGTCGAGTCGCCGCCCATATACTGGATCCCAGGGAGTCTGTCCAGGTGACCTGTTGGCCATCACAGTCAGCTAGTTATGCCAATCGTGGTGATTGCCAAGCTATACTCACTAAAAACCAAGAGTAAGTTTCCTCGTGTGTTCTGCGCCCCGAACAGCAGGTCGAAGACGTTCCTGATGCGGCCGTCGAAAGTGTTGATGGGGGCACCCCCCTCTGCCCATGGTCGCAATGCTTCGATGGCCAGCCCTGCCCTTCTGATGGCAGAATGGTACGACTCCTCGATTGCAACAAAGGTTCTTCGGTTGGCTATTTGCTTTATTAGAGGGCGACTATACTGACGCGAGGAGTAATTGGAAGCCTGAAAACTTACAGCAGCTGACGGTGTCAACAAAGATACGGCGCTGCTGACCTATTACAGCCTGTAAGAAGCCAAGAAAGAAAAGGAGCTTCTTCAGCATCATCTTCGCTGAGATATATGCTGTAGTGTTGCGGGTGTACGGGATAGTTTCGAGTGTTTCTGGAACGGCAGAGGGCGTAGATTATATATACGACACGGCACGGCAGGGTTGAGACCGCTCACTTGCACCACAACATCCTTATCCTACCCGCCAATTCTCTAGACCTCAGATATTGGAAATTAAAAACCTTGTGCTGACAGGCTGCAACACCAGGTCTCGCAGTCAGGCACTGTGTAGATCATGCCAGAACATGGAGGAAAAGAGCGCAGGAGTAAAGATATCTCGTCCTTAGTGGTTGCATATTTCCATCAAAGAAATGAGCACCATGTGTCGGTTCAAATAATCTTACTCAGATTACAATTGCCGACATGGCCATGGATGGTGATCCTTGGCGCAGGACCACAGAATGCGACCGTTTGCGGCTATTTTCAGCGGCTATGCAGTTAATAAATACAACACAAAAAGACATGCAAGAGCACGAGGCAATAAAAACATCATCCTCCAGTGAGATATTGGGAAACATTCTTTCCATGACCTTCCTGACATGGGAGGATGCTGCGGACGTGGCCAGATAATCAATATCATCCGTCACTGCCTTTTTAATCTGATGAAACCATATATATTGAAATGTGGCTATGGGCACTGCACAGTGTCAAATATTCATCAAAGTTGAAGTAACCACGGAAAAGAGGGAATCAGACCACACTACTCTTGAGCAGAAACCAGGTTACAAAAGCTCGCACATCGGCACGCCCAACTCTCTGGAGGCTTCCCATCGTCACCAAAACTGAGAGGGAAGTGGCACATGTCACTCAAAATCCAACATGCTTCTACAATCCCTTCTTCTTCTTGCTCTTTCATCTGGCCCTTTTTGTCTCGCCCAAGATGCATCTCCTACTGTTTCCGGAACCGTTCCTAACGGCGCTGTCGTCTTGGCCGTAAACCCCACGGCGTCCGGCCAACTTGAGATATTTCCCGCCGATATTCCGGAGGAGGATCAGTTGTATGTTGCCTCTATCCATGCCTTTTCTCAATCCAACGCTTTCCAGGGCCGCACCTGTTGGAGTTGATACAGACTTTCTTGAGGAGGTAGTGACAAGCGATACCACGAGCACAAAGGTGACTCCCCCTTTCTAGTAACCTCCATGCCTTACTGATATGATCAAGTGGATTGGTACTACTACCGACTTTGGTACTGCAACCATCACTACTACACAGGATGGGCAGACCGGGGAGACAACCATACCTCAAGGTCTACGACTGGTCCTTAACGAGGAAGGGGAGATAGAGATCACCATCAGCAAACTCGTCCAGGACGAGTTGAACAGGATAGAGGACGAGATCAAGGTTCCAAGGTGCGACGACATCGAATGCTCAGGCAGACGCATCGTCCCCATCATTGGTGGTGTCATCGGTAGCGACCTTATGATGAAGCAAGTGAACTACGCCGAAGAAAGGACCCTGGAGTATATGGGGATCAACAAGGCCGACCTGGATGAGAAGGCCATGATGATCACATATTTTGACGGGGATCTGACCCACGACGCCCTCAATGCCACCAAGATGGGAAATCCTGAGCTATTCGGCACCATGCCTGATAGATTCGGGGGTGCGGTGGCCTCCTTTGGTCTGTTTACTGGCATGCATGACGATGCCGACACCCTGTACAAGGTCAAGGCGAAGGTGCAAGTCATTCCCAAATATCCCCTTCCATCCCCGCCCGAAGACTGTCCAAAGGACCTCGCCTGCGCGGGCGTGCGCTGCAAGGGGTTGATCGGCATATGCACCAACGAATGGAAGGGTTGCAAGTGTCGACGATCCGGCAGGCCCCTCGTGGATAGTTTCTTCTGGGGTCCGAACTGGATATCGCTCATGCAGATGTTTTTCCAGTTTGAAGGTGGCGAGGAAGTCCCTGCTGCTTCCTGCAGTGCCGAGGATGGGGCTGGCAATACTAACGTTGCCAACGTGGAAGCCAAGACTTGGACACAGTATGATCCCCCTCTGATCTCTCAGTTTTTTTCTTTCTCGGCTAACTGGAATAGACTGATAGACAATTTCTGCAAGAAGAAGCCATATTTGAATGACTCTTTCAGCGAGAATTGGAAGCCGGCCGACTTGGACGTTGGTGAATATTCCGACTGGACATTTGACTTTAGCCTCGAGGGGTCAGGAGATGACGCCTGCGCCGCCTACAGCTGCGACGAAGTCTTTGGCAAGTTCAAATCATGTAGGTTGCATCGACGTCCCAAGAATCACCCCACAACTGACATTTCAAACTAGGCACCTACAGCTCCCACAGCGCGTTCCGCCCGGGTGAGGTGAAGCTCGGCTGCGGCACAGCCAAGTACAAGATGAATGACCCCCAAGGCTCGCCAAAGACAAAACTGGTCAAGCAAAACGAGCATTGCTACGACAAAGACCAATTCGGTAAGCACATTGACGTCGAGCAAGCCACACTCACATGGCAGGCCCGTTTTCTGTGCTTGGGGGGGATAAACAAGCCAAGGATCAAGGCAGGAGACTCGAGTACCAACCAGGATTGGTACCATGTAAAGCCGTATCAGTTCAACACGTACTGGAGGAACGGCTGCGAGCTCGAGACGGGCGAGACTGAGATGGGCATCTTGGATCCGCTTGCTACGGGAACCGCTAGCGTGGATGCTTGCGTCGAAATCTTTGTGGATAACTGGAAGAGGTGCAACAATGGAGGCACGGGTGGGAGTGTGCAGTATGGGTGTTTGGTGTATGAGTTCAAGGCAACCAACGAAAAAGTATGAGTATCAAGCTGGTTGGGTGAACTAGCCTTGAGGTTGATTAGTTCCCTGTACATATACTTGCTGCTTTGCCGTGGTTAATCTTTCCGGGCGCGAAAATAAAGACAGAAAGTTTTTGTTCTAGATTTCTTCACAATAAGTGCCTGATCATTGATCCATCGTATCTGCCAGACGAAAGTTTGCTCTTCTTCCACATTAATCCTCACTGTGTGTCTGCCAATGAGCGAACGACGGGTGTGTTTGATGTCTACCACCCACATCATCTCGAAGGTGACATACCTCACAAGATATCAGGAGAGGTCAGCCAGAACCAATATGTCTTCGGATCTAGGCGATAGGCTATGACCTCCAACCCCCTCCTCAGCCGCCCACGCTCCCGAGCGAGTCTGAGGCTACCAACGACACCACCGAATCCCCAGAGAAGGAAGATGCTCCGACTGACCTAGGCTCTGGGGAGGACGCTCTTAGTTAAGCTTCCGGGCCCTTGATACCAAAGTTGCTGTATGGCGTTCTCTTTTATTGTCTTTTACATTGCCGGAGGCTGAATCCGCTGTTTACCACTCTGGTGACACAAGACTGCGTTGGCTCATCGACAGCCAGTAGTGCAAACGGCTAGTTACCTGAATACCCAACTTGAACAACGAGAATCGGAATCTTGCCCGTTGATATCAGCTGTTTACCAGACTCAAAGCCATTGTTGGTTTTGCTGACTGATCCGGTCGACTGTGAATCACTGTCAAACGCCCTCTCTAGGGTATATAATGACTTCCTCTCACCTCCTCGGACTCTTCTTCTTTCTCTTCCTTTCATCATCACTTTCCTCAACCCTTCTCCTCACGCTCAACGGGAATCGTCGGCCCTGGTCTCGACTACAGATTCACTTGACTGTGATTCACTGACAAGCGGCCCCCTGGTCGGGTATAAAAAACCTCGATCCCCGACCCGAACTCTTTTTCTTTCTCTTCTTTTCATCCTTCCTCTGGTTTCTAAGAGGGTATTTCCGTTCATCATCTCGTTGATGGGATTATTCTTCTCACGAATCTGCTTCCTTACTCTGCACACATTCACACTCCGGGCTTCTCCTCTGCCTACTTCCACTTCATCATGGATCCCTTCAGCTTCCTGTCAGGCACCATGCCCCCACACCTAATGGAGTCCTACATGATCTGCCGCTATCAATCTGAGGCTGTGGTCGAAAAGATCGCCATAATTATCTAGAGCCTGCCGAGCATCAAGGCTGAAGGGCACCGCCTCCTGATCTACATCAAGGATACCGCGTGCGCACGGTAAGCCGTCACTACAACCACCCTTTACCTATGTTGACTAACCATGGATGAATCTGTAGAGAGGCGCATGATATGCTGCAGCGGGCCGGGTTCAACACGTTTGACTTTAGTGACCCGGGCCACTCCCGTCGTGAGCGTGCCTCTGGTCTTGCCAAGTTCAACGACCCTGGCAACTCGGAATTTGATGTCCTGATCACCTCGTATCGACGCGGCGCGGGCAGAGGAAACTTCCACGGCGCCTGCCGCCGTGGGCTCATTGTGGAGCTCCCTGATGACATTCAGACCTTGTACAAAGCTCGACAGTCACTCGACCACATTGGACAGACAGAGCCGGCTAGATGGATCACGATGTACATCAACCACTCGTACGATGCACACGACGAGTTTCAGCTGGCTCAGCAGGAAGCCAGAATGATCATCGAGGCTCCTGAGCTGCACCAATCCCTGTCCACTGACTTCACGGTGCCCCGGATCGACGAGCGAATCACTGGCGAGCATCGACTCATTTGTGCCTTTGAGATTCTACAGCAGATCCAGCTCACTGGATTCAGCAAGTACCCCAGAGCTCGCATGAGCTGGGAAGAAATGGACATGCCTGAGGCGAAGCTTGAAGGGCAGTTCTACGCTGCTGTTGGACGATTCCTGATGGCAAACCCGACCACGACCGACAAGTTCACCAAGGAGACTATGGAGGGGATTGCTCTTCGATGGGAGCCAGGCAAGGAGCTGACCATGGACCGTGTCGTGGGAAACTGCCCTGCCCTGCCCAATGGTGTCAAGATCTACACCTGTGTGAAGCCAGGCAAGGGTCGTGGCATGCTTTGAATGGCACGTGGGGGATGGCTGGAGGTGGCTGAGGGGCGATTAAAGGGGGCGAATGAGTGAGCAATGCTATCCATGGTAAGATGAAAGAATCTTATCATCGCAGTGATGAGGAAATCACGCACACAACAAAAGGGGCGACCGGTTTGGTGGAAGAGTGGCGGCGGAGGTTGTTTTCTGCTTTGCAAAAAAGATTAGCATTCAGTTACTTTCAACTATATGTTAATCCCTAACTACTTGCTCGCGATTGTGACATTGGAGAAGTTGGCTTATTGGACAAAAAGCACTAATCCCGTATACTTCCTTAAAGATCTTTTCCCTTCTTAGAGAGTAGCTCACAAATAGCAACACGCGAAGCGCGTGTACTCCTGTTAATCATTAAGTAATATAGAGGAATCTTATCATCGCGAGGATGAGATAATGACTGGTTTGGCAGGGAGGAATCTCATCATCTCGATGATAAGAAAATCACTGAAGGGGGCGACCAGTTGAGTGGACGAGTGGGGGATAGCAATATCTGAATCATGCGTGATTCTAGGTACCATTAACTACAGGACAGAATCTTATCATCGCAATGATAGGATAATTAATCACATAGATAGCCAAAGGAGTGATAGGCGTGGTACAATAGTTCATAGAAAGAACTCAATAACGCATGGGAAACCAGCCATATTTTAATTATTCTATTAGGAAATACACTTGGGTACTGAAAGTAACAGTTATAATAACTAAACGAAAAAAACAATGAACCCATCTATGTTGCCGCGATCTTGCGCGCTTCATACCCCTTACCACCCCTACTCCTTCTTCGCCTTCTTTCCCTTCTTGTTCTTGGGAACCCTGACAAGCCAATAAAGTGCCAATGCGCCGCAGATATTAAAGATGATGTACACCCACATCAGACCGAAATTCCTCCACCTGTCTGCATAGTCAGACTGCACGCTAGCAAGGAACAGGTTTGTGTCGCCGATGGTGCAGTAGGTACACTCGTCCGTGTTGTTGGGGTCCGTCAGATAGCCACCAGCCTTGCTCATATAATCATCCATGTACTCTTGACAGGTCTGTCCCGAAGGTGGCGGGAACTGGATGTACTCGTTCGCTGCGCATTCTGCCTTTGTATTCGCCACAGCTGTTGATAAGATAGCGGACACTAAATATGTGAACGGACTGACGCGGTACATGAAGATCCAGAAGCGAGGGAGTGAGCTTGGGGGCGCGAGGACACCACAGAAGATGAGACACATCATGAAGAGCAAGTTCGCGATGTTGCCGCCTGTCTCTGCTGATCCACAGCCTGCGATGACGAAGTCGGTAAAGGTACAGGTGAAGATCATGAATGCTAGAAGCAGCAGGAACATGAGGGCGCCTCGTTCAGCGACTGCATCGGATGGCTCTGCGTTGCGATACAGTCCAATGGGATAGTACCAACAGAAGTACATCAAAGCGGCCATGAGCGTATTCCAGGGGATCTCAACGATGATTTGACTCAGGATAAAAACCTGCCAGCCATACGTCTTTGATGGACGCTCCCTCACTTCGTAGAGATCTCTCTGGATGACGAAATGCGGCATGGTTTGTTGCACCATCTGGCCGAACACGGTTAGGATCTGGAAAATGGCAAACATCTGATTCTGCAAGCCGAGGGTCGTGTTTGGAGCATTGTAAAAGACGAAGCCGACGAATAAAGCCACGAGAACACAGAGGGCTGCCTTGGAGTAGATGTATGAGGGCGTTCGCCAATATTGCTCAAACACACGACGGGTAACCTGGACAAGCTGAGTCTTGAAATCTGCTGCGAATTCGTCGTACGAGGATGTATCTGTGTCCTTTTCGACGTGATGGTGGGATAGTTCCTTGAGATGCTCCTGGACTGCGGCGTGTTCGGGCGAATCTCTCCAAACCTGTGGCCAGTTGAGTTCGGTCTCTGAGCCTGGGGCTGCTCCAATGACTTCGAGCATCCATTCAGCTGGGTTGGCGTCTGGTGAACAAGGATCGGCGCCGTTCTTTTCGAAATAGTCAATCATGGACCTGGAATGGTCACCGATGTCGCCAAAGTAAACCGTCTTTCCACCGCTAGCCAGAAACAATAGTCGATCGAAACGTTGGAAGAGGATAGCTGAAGGTTGATGAATGGTACAGAGAATGGCCTGACCGCTTCGAGCAAGCTTTTCCAACAGATCGAGAATGGCCCATGAAGTCTGAGAGTCGAGACCTGATGTTGGCTCGTCGACAAAAAGAAGAACTGGGGGCTTTGCGGCCAGCTCGACGCCGATTGTGAGACGTTTTCGTTGTTCAACGTTGAGGCCTTCACCGAGGATTCCGACCACAGCTTCTGAATAGTCTTGCATATCGAGCATTTTGATGACTTCGTCGACGTAGGCTAGCTTTTCTCTGGTTGGGATGTGCTTTGGCTGACGCATGAGGGCTGAGAAGTTGAGCGCCTCGCGAACGGTTGTAGTTGACAGATGAAGGTCCTGTTGCTGAACGTAACCGGTCTTTCGTTGGAAGGATGCGTCACGGAGTTCGTCGTCGACTAGGATGTCTCCTGAGATAACTCCCATGCTCGTTCGGTCTGCGAGACAGTCGAGAAGCGTAGTCTTGCCAGCTCCAGAAACACCCTGTAACATGTAAGTATCAGATCCGACACATTCGAAAAGGAAGGCATACCATCAGAGCCGTCATTGTGCCAGGCTTGACCCAACCAGCAACGTTATCCAGAATCCTCCTATTCTCACTCTTGATCTTGACATCATAGCACACATTGTTCCAATGGAAAACACTCGTCGACTGAAAGTTAGAAGGACGTCCCTCTCCATAACCCTCCTTCTCGGTGATGGCTCCACGACCTGCTGGGCTCGACTCGGCATCGTTTCCCCTTCCTCCTGCAAGCTTGTGGCCTTTTCGGAACACGAGAACCTCGCCCTTGGACTTCTTGGCACTGACAAATTCGGCAAAGGCCATGTAAGTGATGAGGAAGAAGATTGTGAAGGCGATGACGATGCCAATGTTGCGCCACTTGTGCGCGTGGTAGTATTTGAAGGATAGGTTGATGTAGGCGTCTCCGTCAACCATTGGCTCGCCCTGGACGGAACCAACCGTGGAGCAGACGCGGTTGACTGGGTCTGCGTCGGGGTATGCGGGGACAAAGACGTTGCATTCGAATTTTCGATCGTGGAATTCGTTGACCATGAGCGATTCAAAGGCATATGCGAGGGGGTTGATGTAGTTAATCCATCGACACCAATCCAGCATGTAGTCGATCTGAATGATGAAGCCAGTAAACGTGACCAAAGCCAGGATGAGGATAGACGAGGGAACCATGGCCTGTGAAAGAGTCCTCGAAGCTGAACCGATGGTACGGAAAATCATCGACATGCAGAGCGTTACAAGGAACGTCATGAGCAAGAAGTAAAAGAAAGCTCCCGCTTCTCGACGCAGGTTGGTCATGAAGTACAGTGTGAGGTTGTAAACGATGGCGTTGAGGACCTTGTACGGTAAATCACAGAGCATAGAGGCGACTGCTTCTGCTGACGGGTGGTACAAGGCGTAGCGGTTGTGTTTTTCGACGATTGGACGTTGGGCGTAGAGCGTGAGAATCTGATTACACCGTTAGTATCAAGTGTTTCGAGATTGAAGGGGGAATTTGCCGTACTTCTAGGGCACTCGCAAAAGCATTAGACAGGCAAGCCATAAAGACCAAGGCGCCTCTCTGATAGAAACTTGCCGTCGACTGGTCAAGATTGTAGAAAACGCTTCCAACGATCAAGCCCATGAAGAAATTACCGAAAAGCATCGATAGAGTCAAAGTCGGATCACAGATCAATCTCCTGAAGCCTCGCCACACACAAAGAGACGTCTGCTGTCCATAGCTCAGAGTGTACGGACTCTTGAGACGCTGATTCTTGGCTTGTACGGCACGCTTGATTTGTCGGAACTGCTCTGCCTCGGGTCCGTTGATGGGATGCTCTTGCTTGTACTCTTCAATTTCCTGCTGAAGCTTGGTATATGCGGCAGAATTCTTCCAAGCTGCTGCAAACTCAGCCGGGGTTCTCGGGGCGCGAGCTTCAAAGCCCGGTCGAATGACTCGTTCCTGGGGACTTGTCATGGACGTCAAAAAGTCGGGCGTAGTTTGACGAGCTGGACAGTCGAATCCGAGTTCCATGAAATAATGCTTCGCTTCGTTGGTAGGACCAAAGTAAATCTGTCGACCCTCGTATAGAACCAACGCCTTGTCGAAAACATCATACGCAGCTTGCGGGGCTTGATAAATCGAAACCAAAGCCGCAGTGTCGAATAATTCCGTCTGAAGACGCAAAGTCTTGCAAAACTCTACTGCGTTGGCAGAGTCGAGACCTCGGGTGCTGTTGTCCCAGCATTGTAGGGGGGCGCCGCTGAGTGAAGCTTCTGCGATGGTAACTCGCTTGCGTTCTCCGCCGGACACTCCTCGGACGTATTCGTTACCAACCCGGGTGTTGACCGTGTGGGTGATGCCGTACATGGCCATGACGACGTCACGGAGATGGCCGACGAAAGTCTCCTTGTCGATGCCTGCCGGGACATTCCTCGGGGCCCTGGCGTGGGCTGCGAAATCCAGGGTGTCTCCAACGCTCAGTTGCGGGAAGTGCACATCAACTTCGGCGGTGTAGATGGCTTCACCACGATGCTGTACGTGCATCTCCTCTGCCGTGATTCCTATCATGGCACTTAGCTTGTCGTCCACAAATGTACACTTGCCACGGCTTACCTCGATAATTAAAGTACGCATCATCGTTCACGTAAATACCGCTCGTCTCTCCACTGATAGTCTTGAGAAACGTCGAGCATCCAGCACCAGGGGGTCCAAGCACGACCAACATCTCTCCATTCCGCACGATACCATCAAAGTCGCGAACAATATCAATGCGGGTCTTTCCATACCCCATCAACTGCCGTGGCCAGTTAGCTGCCTCGAACCAGATATTCGCAACATCCTTTTGGTAGTCGGTAGGCTGTCCATAGCCAAAGACGTTGAGGTTCTGGTAGCAGACGCCGGCTTTTCGAGATGAAAGACCATTGTCGTGGAGGAGCTTGACCACTGACTTTGCCCACGTGAGGGCCTTGAACTTTTCGCTTCTGGGGTTCAGGGGACTTTCTTCGTCTTCCATCAAAAAGGGGTTTCCGCTGACAGAGGACATCTGGCTCTGGTGGGTGTATTGTCGTGCCAAGTCCCGCACGATGCTGTGTCTGCGCTCCAGCTCCGAGTCCTCATCTTCATCTTCTGTACTTGTCTGTACCGGGGTATCGGTCTCCTTGCGTGCTTCAGGGCCGGTAGATGTATCCTTCAATGCCGAGACATTAATAGTCGAGTCGGTCCCCATGTTGGAATGTGTCTCAGGGTTGGTTGGTTGTGTGACGGTTGGGTCAAGGTTGGTGTCTCCTAGAGGGGAGGTGGTGCCCTCCGGGGAATTGGATGCCATTGTGGAATGAATAGATAGCTATCTTGAGTAAAGGTATGTGTAGAGTCCAAGAGTACTAGTAGATGGGCTTGTGTTGAAGTTGGGGTGAGGACTATAGATGCTTAGGTCCGTATAAGTGGTGGACGACAGTGAAGGCCTCACTGGTGTATCAGTAGACTCATCCGAAAACTCGCTTTCTGGGTCGTAAAGAACCCTTGTACCCCAAAGAATAAGAATATGACGGGATCCGCTATTGGGTGCTCAAGCTGGACTGGGAACCATGTCTCATGAGCTTAAAGTCGAAGAGCGAGCTTCGCCTTATGAAGTTCAGGGAAAGGCGGGCTTAAGCAAACCGCAGCATCCGAAATGCGAAAGCGACGAGAGTCAGCGGTCCAGCGGCGTTTTCTAAAGACCCGTCAGGAAAGTGTTTCCATGGCATTTCCCAACTCCGAGCTTACACCCTTGTTCGACAACAAATGTCACGATACAGTGGAGATTTTCCTCGGGGCGTATCTAGAACCCGATGTCCGGGTGTGGCAGAGCCCACCCCTCCTCAAGACCTGCGAACCTCCAATAACATCTCTCCACCCCTGTACCTAGCCGTGCACTGGATTGTTGCATGATCTGTTACCTGATGGGGCATCAAGGTCTGGCCTGGTGGACCCTCGTGATATCCTGGGGTCTCATCCAAGGGCTCAGACGGTAGTTGAATGGATATCCCAAAGTTTAAGCTGATGCTGCTTAAACTTTTAAAGCCGACATCTTCTGTGAAAACTGGCATCTCGCAAATCCCGTAGATGCGAATTCTCGGAAAGACGGTATACGAAAAATGTCCGACACAGTCTCGAATTCGGTGGACCTGTACGGTCGAGCATCCACCAAGATGTCGTCAATTAACCCAGATCAACCAAAGAAGGCGGCAGGCAAGAGGATTCTTGCTTGTGTTCTCTGCCAGCAAAGGAAGAAGAAGTGCGATAGAAAGAGCCCATGCTCCAATTGCATCAAGGTAAATGCCTCGACAGTCCCAAGACAATCGTCCAGAAGACTTACCATCAAAGCTCAAAGCAGTTTGCACCCCCAGCACGCCTGCTCCTCCAAGGAAGCGCAGACGTCCAAATCAAGATCTACTGGAGAGGCTTGCAAGATGCGAGGCCTTGCTCAGACACTGCACTTGTATCCGACTCCCAACACCCGAGAGCAGCCCCCGAGAGCAGTGCGAGCAGTCTCCTGTTAGTTCCCACGACGATGAGATCAAGAGAGGATCAAGCCCGGAGCCATATACGACGGCGACCAAGTGAAAGGGGCCATTGATCCTCTGACAGGAACAACGTCCGGCCTTTCCTTTGCAACCCACATTTTCCAACGGCCCTTTTGACGTCTCTTGATGTCGCTCCTCGACAACTCTGATCTGGAATCAGACCACACCATCCCAATCACACGCCTGCGTGCCAAGTGCCATCTTTTCTCTTCAGGAAACCTGAATTGTCCGCAGGAGCGGACTTCTAGGACGGCATTGGATGAGCCGACTTGTATATACCAACGATACCCCCCGCGAACCCCCAGGTTTGCAACCATTCTACTTGAACATGGCAGCTGTCGAGGAGAGGAGGCTTGGATGATAGTATACGATCGATAATGACAGTCCTTCTTACTTCTATATACAAAACCAAGGGAATTGCATGGTTTAATACCTCTTCAGATACCCACACCCCTTGGCTTGGCCTTGTTTGAGGGGATTATCGCGATGTCCGCTTACACACTGTGCGCAAGTCGGACAAAGAAGAACCGAAATCCGCAGACGCCAAAATTCGGGGGACTTGGAGGTCCTCGGACAGATCTGGCCCCCCTTCAGTCGTGTCCACCAGGCGCTAAAAGCCAGGGTTGACGAGCAGGGCTGAGGAGCGACCAATGGGCTTCAGCGTGCCTAGGGCCCCTTGGCCGGGTGACCAGAAAGATCACCACATAGCGTCACCCTGGAGGGTCGGATGGCACCACTGTTCATGGCATGCCATGAGCTTAATCGCCATGTGTCTCCCCATGGCCCACCGTTCTTTAATTGATGTTGTCGACGTCGGGGTCTACGAGAGACCCGTTTCCCGAACCCGCGGGCCAATACGCGTGTTTTTCTATTGAATCATCAAGATGTTTTTCTATTTAGAAGTCTTGTAGATTACCCGCTTTTAGCCTGTCGGTTTGACTTCCCGCATCGCTTAGGAATGCGACAAACGATTGGCAATGATCAAATAGCGCAACTCTGGTGTCTTTCTTATGGGAATTTGCAACCGCTCGCGAATCTTGGAACGGTATCCGGGCTTGATAATTGCTCCGTTGAACATCATCATGGCGTGAGCTATCCCAATACGCAAAACCTCCGCCCCATTCTTCATCTCGTAGTTGGTCGATATCCCCTGCATCGACACACACACACTATGATGCGGATTTGGGCTTCGTAAAACCTCCTGTTTCTGTCTTTCACGATGCGGAGCGGAAATCAACTACAACGCATTCTCGGACATCGCATCCGCCGACCTTAACACACCACCACGGAGGTTCAACGGACGGACTGTTGTCAACCCCGTGTTCCCGGCCGAGAACCCCTCATTTTCTTGAAGGAATGCAGCAAGGAACTTGGCGAGGGAGTGCCTGAAGGAACGTTTATTGGGCTGTCCAGGGGTTGCCACGTCGATCTTGGTCGGTAAGTTGTCGGAAATGGTTGCTAATGGTGTCTTCCCCTGTCACGCTACCCCAGGTTCTGCTCGAGGACTCTGAGTGGTCAGATGAATACGTTGGAGGGTTAGGGTAGGTGACGGAAAAGTTGACTGTTTTGGGAATCCGAGGCTTTACTTCGGAAATCACAGCCCTGGACAACCACGACTGTGTTGATGCAGGAGTTCCGATGGTTGATTTGGGTAAACGTAATGCACCAGGTCATGCCAATGTTGTCAACAACAACAACAACAACGTGGAGAGATCTGAGAAAAAAGAAAAGAAGGTAGTGAACAAAGCCTTATTTACCCCCTCCTCGAGTAAGTCTAGGCTCATTTACACCAACAAGCCCCCGGGTCAGATCCAGGGGATACTGAAGTGTCGCCCTGCTTGTTGCTAATTTTACGAGTCTCTATTATTTAGAAACTCAGCCGCATCAACAAATGTTTCGTCGTCAGAGTCATCCTGGTTCTCCGGACTATCCCCACTCGATTGATTCCGACTCAAGGCCTCCAGCAGAGAATGGAAAGCTGATCGAAGACTGCTTGAAATTCTGGAACGCCGTTCAAACTCCTCAGATGGCGTCCGTCCATATCGGCCCAGGGCGTTGACGTCAATGCCTTTAAGTTCAAAACTTGCCAGTCTTCTCAAGGTTTTCTTATCACCGTATTTGGCTGCCTGGTGAAGAAAATATGCGCCATGGTCTTGGAGGAGATGATCAGCTCCTAACTCGAGTAGAGCAGCGATCACGCCGTGAGAGTTGAAATTTATGGCGACAGTCAGAGGTGATCTTCCAGAGTCGTCCTTCGCATTAATATCTCCGCCGTGTCTAGACAGAAGTCGAGCTGCATTGGGGTGGTTATATTGCGAGGCGACGTGCAGAGGTGTTGCTCCCCCATGCAAAGTCCGGGCATTGACCATAGCACCCGCGGATAGTAGCGTTTTCATCATTTTCGTCCGGTTCTTTCGAGCCGATGTGTGAAGGGCCGTCACACCATCTCCGTTTGTCGCGTCAACATCTGCGCCGGCCCTTATAAGCAAACGGGCAATTTTCGCGTTTGTTGCGTGACTCAAGACGGAGCATCCATTCTTCCTTTTGATGTTGACATCGGCGCCAGCATCTATCAGAGCCTTTACTTGGTCCACACGGCCCCGGTGGACGGCGTACATCAGCGGAGTGTCCCCAACGATATCTGGCCTATCAATCTGGGCTAGAATATCTGAACTTTTGCTTTGCAACGTCGTGCCAAGGTCGACGTGGCAATGGCCTACTATTATCTTGTGAAGAAATGTCAGCTCGAGCATGTCAACACTCTTGGATAACGGGAGGAGCTCCTGCAGTTGGGCAGATTGGCTCGGCCGCCTTATGACATGTTTGGTCACCCAGGTCCGCATTGAGTATCCATCATCATCCTCCTGGTCAGGATCAGCACCGGCTTGAAGGAGCAGTCTAACCATCTCAAGCCTCTTCTCCCAGGAGGATTTTCCCAGTAGAGCCGCAATTAAGACCGAGTGGCCATCCCTGGCAACATCGAGAACGGCTGCCGGATTGGTGCGAAGGATTTTTTGCACCCTAGAGACACTTCCAATGTAAGCCTGAAGAAGAATGTTTTGATTTGAATTGGCATATCCAATTCGGCGGTATGATACGAGAGCAAGAGTGAATGGTCTTGCTGTCGATGCCTCGACCAACATGTGGATGGTGCGGTTGAGGAACCAAAGCGGAAAGCTATATGCAAGTTTGAGTCTGATGGATCGGGTCTTTGAGCATTCTTTCAGGCTGCATTTTGGGGATGCCACAGGGTTACTTGTGTAACCGATGAAAATTGACCCAATGACGGCGTCAAGTACTCTAGGGAGCCTCCAGGTATAGCTTGACCTTGGGAAGTGGCATCTGCATGAGCAACTGGATTGACAGCCTGACTTCATCATTCCGAGGGTGATGAACAAGGAGGAATTCATGAACCCTGGAGGGAATTCTGACTCTCTTTGACCTGTGTATGGGCGGGCTTTTGTTTCTGCCGTATTCTGTTGCGTGATAGATGGGCCTTGCTTTGTTGTCTCTTTTATCGCCGCCGGCGTTCGATTGGCCCTGGTTTCCTCCCGGATGGCGGAAAGCTGGTCAAGAACAGCTTGATGCCATCCTGGGGGCAGATCTGACGTCTTTTCTTGAAGGGCCTGGAATGCTGCAACCATATATGCGTGACTCTGGATGATGGTTTGTTGTGTTGATGATAACTGAGTATTTGTCGTCTGCGAGATCGCGTCGAGTTTCTGGACGACTGTACTCTGTTGCTTCTGTGTCTCAAGACGAACATCACAAACTTCCAGGTGGATCCGATTCGAAATGAAGCTACATTGCGAGTCAGTCGCAGAAGAAACGGTCGTTCGGAGTTGGACTACTTGCCTGTTGTGCGCCACGAGGAGTTCATTGATCTTAGTCCGTATTTCCTTGAGGTTAGATTGCAGTTCCGAAGCCTTGGAGTGTTTCAAACACCACTTGATTCTCTTCATTGTTGGCTTTTCCGCCTGGAGTTTCTTGGTCAAAATGTCTAGGTCAGACAATGTGACTTTGGCCCTGCGCAATTGCGCTTCGAGGTCGGCCACGGTAGCCGGGACATGCTGCCTGCTGGTCTTTGAATCCTTTGTCGTGTCCTCAACCCGGGCTAGAACTGCCCTGAGATCTTCAACTTCATTGGACAGAGCCCGGATCAAGATGGGCGCGTTCTTCAGCTGGGACTGCAGGCTATGGAGAGCCTGGGACGAGCGGAGGGAAACATCGAGGATGCCGGCCACCGAGGCAATCAAAGAGATGGGCTCTGCCATGATTTTGGTTTGTCCTGAGGTTTACGCGAGGGAGAAAATTGTTGATCATGAGAGAAAACCCCTCTTTACCTTTGTTGGTTGATGACTTCTCAGCCTGATGTCGCTCAGCCACCAACAAGGCATACTTGCAGTGACCGCCTCACTTTTGCAACCAATCACTCTCAGTGTGGCTAAGCTGTCCAAAGCACTGTGAAATTTCGAGTTTCATATTGCGCAAGGTTGGCGGTCCAATGGAATTTGCCATCACAGTCTTGTCTCCCCAGAGCGTCCACTACCTCACCATTCGAGGGCTCACACCTAAGTCAAGAAAAACACGACACACCAGTGCATATTAGCTTATCATCCTCCCAAAATGTTAAATAAATAGCATTGTGATATGATGCTATGATGTGTTCATGTCGTTTTTTTATAGCTAAACCCTGACCCTGGGTGGAATAACCGGGCCAGAATACAGACAGGTAATAAAATGTTATAAAAATAAATAAGATCTAAAGTGTTACTATCATTATAAAATATTCTTAACCATTTTGGTATGATGTTGATTAATTCTCTTCCCTATGCTTGCAAAGGATTAGGTAACCCTCTTCCTTTTGTCGTCGCTCTCTGTCTTGACCTCCGTTCGTGGCCACAGATGACAATACATTTTGACCCTATTAGCCGCATCATCAGCTTCATCATCGCCCTCATCATACAAACTGAGCATTTCCCTAACGGCATGGCCGAGAAACAGAAACTTCCTGCATGACAACTCGTCAATTCCATGGTGCATTCCGTCCATACATAGGTACGAAAAGAAGACCGGCAACGCAGTCGCCATCGTAGAGGACATGTTCAACTTTATGAACTGGGGAGAGCGAGACGATGCACCTTGATGCTACACTCCTGGCGAGGGTTTCTGTGGCACAACAAAGATGGAAAAGAGGAATCTTGACAGGCCTAATTAATGAATTGACTAACCGCATTACCACGTCATGTCCTATTTGGCAAAAACTCCCGAGCTGTCTCATCATACCTACTTCACCCACAACTGTCAGAATCATCGATCTACCCAGTGACAAATGGGCTTGAACCCGAAAGAAATCCCATGACTCCATGTGAACCCATCCCATCCCAGTTTCGCAACATAACCCAGTTCAAACCCGATCATAATACATATCTGCCCCCCGTCACAGCATGCGCCTTCAACCAATCCCAAATAAACTATACCGCCGGCCTCATCTGCCGGATCACAAACGCCTTTACCAACTTTATGGACTTCTTCTGGAAGAACTTCATTTCCTGGGGGAGTTCCGCCACGGGCACATCATCATTTTCGATCGAAGGCAGCTGGAACACTTTCTCCACCCGCCGCTTGTTCCCAATCCACTGATGAACCGTGATGGGGACCCGTGATCGTGTTCGAGTGTCTCAAAGTGTGAGTGTCGGGCTGAGGTGGTAAATCATCTGGAAGAGAGTTGCCAAGGATGCGATATCCCTTGAGTAATCCTTCCTCGGTCGATGCAATTGAACTCTGCAGAAGGCACGGGGGTTCGTGAACCGAGCAATGATGGGGAATCGCGAGTCCTTGCTTCACTTGGTCGTACGCGTCGTTGAAGTAGGGTCGTCTGATTGTCTTTTGAGAGTGTTGAAAAGAGCGATGTTGTCGTTTGTAATGATGAAGGGACGGTTGTACAGTGCCAAAAGCCGCCTCGAATACCCAGTGCATTGTGGGGCACTCCTGCCCTCAACAGTGGGAAGCCAGAGTTTGGTGGTATGGGTTGCGCAGGGCTCCCAGTCGCAGAGCGAATGGAAGTCGGTAGCATTTGTCATGAAATCCATCCACTCATGTTCGGCAACGTCCAGCATCAATCTAACCGACTTCTCCAAGTTCTTCCCTCCTTCGCCGAACTTCATCGAATACGACGAAACAAAGGCCCCTGCTGTCTCTCCAAGTACCACTTCCCCACAAGAGGACGATCTGTAATGCCTGGCTTAAGTCCGTATCTGGGAATGCATGAAAAATGCCAGAGTAGCAGTCGTCCTGGCCGAACATGTCCTTGACAAGAGTACCGTGATGTGCCATGTGCTGTGCCTCGCGGTCATTCTACCAAGCCTCGCGAGTTCGTTCGAGGATCTGAAAGAATTTGGGTTGATCAATCCACGACTGGCAAAGGACTTTGGCGATCCCGGACCTGGCATTGCCGAACTCTGGCTTCAAACGGGGGCGAAAAAAGCGACCGCCATTGAGTACGGCATTGTCGTCCCCAGTGCTGGCGCTGGTGGGTTCCTTCGGCGAGCCGACGTTCACGTCATCCGGACGCCTTGCGACACTTTTGCCAGTCTCCATAGCGTTCGCCGCCTCTTCCTCCACTGCAAGCAGGTCATCTTCGTCGGCCGAGCTCTCTGGTACGTGGGTGGAAAGATCTTTTTCGTCATCAACAAGACGTGCGACGAGGGGACAGCCCATTCATCATCCCTGTTCCTCCGTATTGATGTTGGGCAGCGCATCCAAATCAGAGTCATCAGATCCATCAAGCCCGTACTGCGGTCGAGACTGGGTACGGCGTCTTGTTCTGCGGTGTGGGAGCTCCTAGTCCTCATCGGCATCGTGTGGCGCTGGTCCGTCCGAATGACCAACAGCTTGGCCAGTGGGTGGTCCTGAGCCCAATCTCCCCAGACAACAGTAAATGGGGGCAAGCCATCCCTCAAAGCGTTTCTCATAGTCAGAATCGACGTCGCTGTTGGGGGCAACATCGTCGCAATTGACGATCTTCTGGCTCAGTTCCCATCAAGGGCCGGGCTGCAAGTCGGGATTGACATCTGTGACAGGCTCTGCATCGACATTCGTGGGAGACTCCAGGTCGCAGTCAGTTTCCGCAGCCGGATTCGAGTCGGGGATCTCCAAAGCAACAGGCGACTTGCTCAACGCGGCCATAGGCGACGGCGCCAGTGCATTTGGTTGGATGCTGCTGAGTGGCGTGCCAGGACTAGAGGGTAGAGGCAGTGCCCTGGTCGGGGTGGAGAGCTTTTGGTGACTTGGCCACCACTGATCCGAAGGGCGTTCGGCTCAGAAGCTGAGCCTACCAGCAATGTGAGGGTGATCACCGGTGACTTGGAGAGTTGTGTGATGTTGATTCTTGTTTCGACGGGGAGTCGCGTCACCTAGAGGAGAGGATGCATCGGTAGGTCGGGTATGTGAGGGCGGAGCATCGGTGTTCGTGATAGCCGGAGCTTCGCATGCGGATGACGAGACGACTGCTGCTTCACGGGGGTGTTGGTGTAGCACAGCTTCTGGATAGCGCGCTCCAGGTCCATGGCGTCAGTTGGGTAGTTGACCTTTCGCAGCAAGTCTTTTTTGAAGCCTTGCATGCGCTTGACAGACTTGCGAGCCCGCTTTTGATGTTTTGTCTTCACGGGTACCACAAAGCGAGAGGCAAGGCTGCCGATGATGCCAGTACGGGCGAGCGTTCGACGTATAAGAGCAGCGACAGAGCCCGTGTTCCTTGGCCACACATTCTCCGCCGCATCGGCAGGTTTGTTGTAGCGCGTTGTCGTCTTGTCTCGTGCCCGTCTCTTCTGGGTAAGCGTGAAGGCCATGTGCATTTTGTGTGCTGTGGTATGAACGGTTGAAAGATCAGAAGGTGTACGGGGCGTTTCCCTGCCACATGTCGATGAAACTCAGGCTCAACCGGGTCGGCGCCTTCCCACACTTCGACAAGTGCTGGTAGGATAATGCCCGCTTCATGGCTCAGACGGTGTGCATGCTGGAGGTTCCGTGGCTCTCACTGACCAAGAGAAAAAAGACCGGCGATAATCCGTAATGAAACGATGAGTGTCGAGTCTTCACCTCGATGCTTGAGAGATGGCTGGAAGGGTTGTTGTGGGGAAGCGTTCCAGCCAGCCTTCGAATGTTGGGGTTGAGAAGAACTCACGTGGTACACACGTGATGAGACAACTGACGACACCCCCGTTAAGACCGGGACGTCCATGACTTCTTTAGTATTACTTAGTCTAAAGGTTTGCTGAAATAGATGTAAATTTTATGCAAAATGGTAAAGGAACTATAAGAGTCTTTGACAATAGCTTAGGTAACTTAAGTCTAAAACACTTTCAGGTCGGCTGATCCCAAGACCCTTCCATTACCAACCCATCTCACTTCAAATCTTCGTCTTGCCAATGCCTCCCCTCTTCTTTTCACTACCGCTGCTTGGCCCTGTTGGGTTCGACTGGGCCATGTTCGTAGCCTTCGAGTTTCCACCCTCAACCACCAGGCGTACTTTGGTGACCGCCAAATGATGAACCGCACTCGGTTGAGGTTGTCTGATGGGAATCCGCTCTATGGGCTATCCCGAGCCAGAAGAAAACCCCAATTTACGCCACCGGTTTGGTCATCTCTGTCAACCCTGGACGTTCCTGCGCTCGCAGATGCTGTGGGAGTGGAGGGGCCATCTTCGTCAGCCATTTCAGCCTTTCTCTTTGAGCCGACACATTGGACTGGAGTTCGCATCCCTTTCGTGTACCTCTCAATCGTACCAGCACTATCTTTCCAAATCGAGTTCATAAAGCGCTCACTCAGGAACGTTAGCTTATGGTTGTTTACGTCCATGGAAATCAGAGATAGGCGTCGTCGAACATCTGGAGATCGCCGCCTTAATCCGTCAGGGCCGGCACTTCGATCAAGGAATGATTCAGTGAGCTCCATTATCGTGCGTTCCACATCCTGTGTAGCTCTCAACATCGCCTGGAAGACCGTCAAACCTGACAACCGTTGTCCAAGCGATGTAGTGATGCCATCCGGTAGAGAGATGGAGCTGTTCATCCCTCGCTGGATCGTGACCATCTGAAGGACCTTGCGCGTTGCCTGCAGCGAGAACTGTGCCGAGAACTTTGTTTTCCTCGCTAAAGCAGCAAAAGAAGTCAGGTTGAGCAGGAAGATTAGTCGCCCGGCCCTTACTGCATCAAGGTATTCTTGCTCTGACTGATTTCGAGGTTCAAATGACGTGGATTCCGGCAAAGTGTCTTTCGGCCTGTGCAAGAAAATACAGCATGATTCAATGTTACCGAACGACTTGCCATGAAGGAGAGCGGTCCCAAATCGGTCATCGTACCAGGTTTCGGGAGATATCCAATCATCATTCTCAAGGGGATACGGCGGATCCCAGATGAGCTTGGCATAACCGACCATATCGCGTGTGATGTCGGCAATCGGCGTGGTCCAAATAAGAACAAAGCTCTCACTTTTGATCGTGCGAATGAATTTGTGCCTTTCCAACCTTGGGTTCTTTACGCAATGGGCTCCGTCAAGGACAAGATATGAGAACTCGTCATTGGTAGTGCCCAGACCCTTCCGCCAAAGTTTGGCAACCGCCGTATCGTAGGAGGAAATAATCACGGCCCTAGCCACCTTTGTTTCACTTAGCAATTCGATCTGGCACAAGGGTGGGGGTACGAACAGCCGGACTCTGTTCTTCAGCCAAGTGCTTGAGGAGCTCTTGAAGTTCTTCTGTTGTTCTCAGCACCGTTTCATCACGACCCGGATGTGACTGCGAGTGCAAGCAGTAAACTCTGAATAGACCACCCCAGAAATCGGAAATCTCGGCATAGAGTTGCGAGAGTATGCTGAACGGGCATAGCCAAAGTGTGGGCTTCCATGATACTGCCAGGCTGAGAGCCCTCACTGACTCGTCTGCAAGACCTTGCTGCCGAATTCGCACAGACATCTCAATGCCTGCCATACCACTGCCGCACTCGTTGGCCAGCAGGGCGCAGTGTGGAGCTGAGTTGACTTTCTGGTGAACTACAAAGGCATCTGAAAATCTGTTAGTCCACATTATGAATTTGTAAAAACAAGCCCCGCAACTGCCCGGGATACACTTACCAATGACCTGTGACGGCTCCAGAATCCGTAAAGGCTGATGCTCGTTCATCCTGAGATCCTCCCAGTCCGGAATGCCGACAGCTCCGCAAATCTCCTGCAAGTCCCCTGTTTCTGGGAGATATTCCGTTATCATACAGGGGATATTTCGTGACGCAGTGCTGGACTCTGGATTAGTTGGGTGCTGGGGCGCGTCAGATCCTGGGCGCTGTTCTCCTGCCAGGTTCACGGCAAAGTTTCGCAAGTCGACTCGGTTCTCCTTTGTAAGCTGGGCCGCTGCTTGTTGGCCATGCTTCGGAGGCTGTGGTTGAGCATTCAACCGAGTCGATACCATCATCCCAGTTATGATATATGTTGTGCGGCTGCAGAGAGTCGCTTCGGCATCGCGTGCAGGATCCTCTTTCAACTCGACGGGAAGCGGTAGTTCGGAATCGTTGGGCAGGTCGACAAGTCGCTTGCAAGATGCAACGTCCACGACTTCGTCGCCTTTGGAGGCTACCATGCGATGGAAACCAATCCGCTCTTCATTCTTCATGCCTTCTCGGACCACAAGGTGGACCAAGTCTTGCTTCACCACTTCGTTTCGCCTTAGTTCTGCGTATGGGGCAAACCCAGGATGCGTCGTGTTGCTGTTCTGGCGCTTGACCTTGAGCTCCTCTGACTTCTTCGTGGACCGGCGTCTTTTCTGCTGCGAGTAACCACAAATGCACGAGCCCAGTCTTCACGATGGAAGCCCCGAGTGTACTTGGTGGGACTGCTCTGGGTCGAGATCGGAGGCGTCAAAACGTTTTGGGAAGCTTCGCATCATCTGGAACATAATGAGCATCACACTCGGTTTCTCCTCGATGCCGTTACTCTCGCCGTCGACTCTGCAGGAAAATCGTGGACTTTGACGCCGAAATGGTCTGTCAAAGCATGGCATGTGTGGTGAATATTGGCGGGAGTGGTTGGGGTCGGAGGAAGTGTTGTTCACTTGTTCTTGAAATAGGGCGGCGGAAAACGGTTGCAGAAAACACTGCGGTCGCGGCGACTCTGGTGTTTGTTTGTTAGATCAATGCATCACGCAAACCACTCATCTTATGGGCTGCCAACAGAGGTGAGCAAGACACCGTTGCTGGTATTGAACGGCCTCGATTGCAGGTTCGTTTCTAGAAGTGGGGCGCCTCGCTGGTTTGGTGGGAGGGTCACGTGCCACCCGAAGCTCACACCAAACTTCTGTCGTCCGACGACGGGTACCTGGATTATTCTTAGGCAACCTTTTGCCTAAAATTACAGCAAAATTCGCAAATATCAACTAGGATTACTCAAATATTTTACTCATACTCAATATGAGTTTGTCCTCATATGTGTTGAAATCATCATAAGTCCAGAGTCGGCCACGGCAGCGAACGACGTTCCGTTTGCCCTTTGAAAACAGGTGTGGGTTTCAACAGTGGACGCCATCCAGTTTTATCGTGTTTTCGACAACCAACAGGAGTTTGCAGCGCTGTGCAGCAAACGATTTCTCCAGGCGGCACTTCTAGTTCCACTCTACACTCCGGTTTCCCTCTCCTCTCCATTTGCCCTCATTCACCACTCTCTTCTCCACTCTCTCGATTCCGCCCTCCCTCCTCCCTCCTCCCTCTTGATGCGCATCGCCATTTCTTCCCTCCTCTTTCGCATCTGTCTTCTTGACAAGGTCATCGCGCGTTCCGAGAATGCCAAAACCCACCTACCCAGCAAGCATGAGAAGTGGTTTTTCTCGATGAGCTCCTACGGGCAGCATTCATCGATCTAGGGCAGTCTGCTCATGTCAGTAGGTAGACTCCCCCGCTCCGAGGAGAGGCGCCTCTTACTTACGGAGGCTTCCACCTCAACGTAGCACCTTGACAACCTTGCATCTCTCGTTTTTAGCTTGCTCTTATTTGGCTAATGGCTCTTACTTAGTTCTACCACGTATCCTCGTCACGCGCGCTCCTGATCACTACCGAGCGATGGACCGCCCAAAGTCGCCTGTCGAGTCCTCAGGATCTGTACACCAGCCGTCGGAGTCAAGCCAACTGCCAGAGTCCTAGTCGTGGAGACCAACCCAGCGTAGAGCTAAATGTTGCGGGCCTACGAGGCCATCAGCACCGGCAAGAGGAGGAAGAGCAATACACCTGCCGCGCAATCATCATCGTCAAAAAAGACAGAAGCTCCCCGTTGGCAGTCAGGCTGCCGCAACACCGCGATTCTCTGCTGCCTTCCTTTAGCGAACTGCCAGATTTCATTCGCCCACGTTTCTGTTCTCTCTCCAAGCGTCTTGCCAAACTGATCGCCGGACACGAAAGGGTGAGCAATCAGCTGCCTGGTGTCACATTTCTCAACCACGGCGCCCATGATTCTGGGCCCTGGGTCTCTGATCTGGTGGGACTCAAGACCACTTTCGAGCTGTACACATGGCTGGATCGCGATGGTACGTCCACCTTCTTTCACTGTGAACGAATAACAGCTAACCATCCCTGCAGTGGAGAGTGGCCTGCCCCCTCTCCAGACTCTATACGGACAAAAGAAGGGCCTTTCCAGCCATCGCGAACATCACCAATGCAACCCTCAGAGTCAACCAAATCTTCCCTGGGTTACAAGCGCTCCGCACCCGGGACGCTGCTGCACAAGAAGACCACCCGACTGGTCCCCGCCGCTCGCATATCCTCTGTCAGTCTAGATGAAATTGATGCTGCTGGATCTTACATCGCAACCATCTCCCGGCTCTTGACGTCCTTCCCAGAAAGATTCCCCGAGAATTCAGTGGCAGTAGGGTCAAACAATTTCTGGGAGCACAGTCATAACAACTGGCAAGCTGCTATAGTTTTGTTTCAAGCATTCAGCAATCGACAATCACGGCAGCAAGCCCACCCCGTCAGCCCGAAACCAAAGCATGCCGGGTGGTTTGGCCGCATCACTGGCAGAGTAAGTGGTTGCTGTGAAGGCAAACATTGACCTACCGGTATCAGTCAAATTCAGTCTTAACGACACCACCTTCGAGGCAACCTTGCAAAGCGCAGGATTTGACGCCTGACTAAATCAGCTCGAAGAGATGGCGGCAGCCTCTGACTTCAAGGTTTTTCCACAATTGTCGCAACCTTCTGCCAACGACAAGCCCACCAAAGACGACGACTTGACTCAAGGCGACCACGTCAATGACTCCATTGCGCAGGCTATGTCCCAGATGAACCAGACCACCAACCTTGCCGCCGAGCTCAAGGGGCGGCCGGGCGTTGTGTACACGCCACTTGACCCAGTTCAATTGAACCCGCTCAGAGTCTGGCTATGGAAGATCCCCAACGTGCGATACGACAGTCACTCGGACGTTAGTAAAAGCTTCCTGGAGGCAGCAACTGCGGTGGGCACGAGGGCCGCCGGATTAGGCGAAGTCAGCATGGGAGAGGAACATCAACTCATCCGCGAGCAAGTCCTTCGCGAGGAGCATCCCCAAGCAACCTCTAGCAAGGAATCCCTCCAACAGGGCCCCGATGATGTCGCGTTTGAGATCTTGCGCATGATACGCCATCTGATGGGTACTTTCCTTCCCAAAGGTACGGACCTCGAGGCCCTCTACCGGGAGATGAGTTGACATGACCGATACGTGCCGCCTTCTTGGCAGATGAATGCGGTCTTGGCAAAACATTGTAAACCGGTGTGGCGTTGGCGCTGCACTGTTATCGGACTGAGCGCACATTGAAGGCGGGGGAGCTGACGTTTGTGAAAGGCGACAGACACTTCAAACCGAGTGTGATTTTCTGGCCTCCAGCTGTGTGCCATCAGATCCTCAAGGAGCTTGTCGAATGGTCGGGCTCCTACTTATATATCGCCATGTGCTATGGCACGAAATTACACCCAATCGAACCAACTCTGAAGGACTACATACTGGATGACACCGAGGAACTCGAGGCGTGAATCGACGAACAGGCTATGTCGCACAGAGGCGGGCAGATCCTTCGAAAGATCCTCCTCATGCCGAACACGACCGCCATTCGCCACATGGCTCGGTGCAAGACAGCGAATATTATCGATGAGCACGCCTTATAAAAAATCTACAAGGAAGGTCCCCACGCTTCAACCACGAATTCGAGGTTATTGATAAACAGGGACGTCCCATCAACCATAAGGGTGCTCCCAACGACCATGAACACACGGACGTCGACAGCGACAGTGGCTATGGGCCCCCGCCTCCGCCGGGAACACTCGAAGAGAAAAAGCTTGTTTTCCTCGTTTGGAAATGCAAGGCTCAACTGGGTGACATGTGACAAGGGTCACGCCGCGAAAAACCCCTGTTCAACGACCAACAAACTTGTCCGCGCACTCGACCGCGAAGCCTTGCTCATTGTCTCGGCCAAGCCACTTCTCAACCATTTACGGGACTTTTGGGGGTATGTGAACCTGATCTGGCGGCATGAGTGGCCTTTTACGCACGACGGCGAAAGTGAGCCCATCTCACCCGAGACATTCTACAACGATGATGCCTGGGACACCATCAAGACTGGCGAAGAATTCAAGAAGCTTGGCATGGCGCGACTACTTGGGCAGGTCCCCGAATGCCTCGATCTTACACGCCTTCACGAACTCGCCCTGCAACTTTCTCCCCGTGAGGAAAAGCTTCGACAAGAATACATCGCCTATGTGCAGGGTGGGCGTGGACCATTGTTTCTACTCCATCTGCAACCATTCCAAACGTTGCCAAGATCAAGTACGGGGCCATTCTTGCTCAAACCGCTCTCCGGCCACAACATCTTCCAAGGCGCCACTTCCCAAGTACTAAATGGTTCAGGGCTGAGGGTTCTTTCGCTTCTCACCACAAACATTAGCTTCTATCTATTGACACAACCCAATAGACGAAACGTCAAACATCGTGGTGATACAGAAGCAATGAAGATCCTAGCGGAGCAGAAATTGGCGCACTTCATGCCGATGGACGGCAATGAAGATGAGGTGGGGGAGTTCAAACCCGCCGACGGGGGTTGGGCTCAACAGGGGTGCGAGGGACCATATCCTTTGACGACATGAGGATGCAGACGAGGGCAAAAGGGCAAACCAGGGTTGTACCTATCGGGGACGTTGCGGAATGCGATACCTTAATCACATCCCTGCAGCTCAGAGCTTTCGGTACCAACTTCCACGGTACTTGTTCAACTGCCATTATAGAACAGCCATCCAGTATTTCCACGCTTCAGCAGGATGACAGAATGCTTTAGTCGAGGGCGGGAGAGAATCCCCACGGAACTCGTGAGGCTAGTCGAGGCAGGTTTCTGTTGGATTGCCACAGGGGGCCTTTTGGCAGAACAGTGTCTGCATCATGAGGATTTTAATTAATCATTTAGAAGCATTTACTTAAAATGCGATGATGAATACATAAAACTAGGATGAACTCATAAGATATTATGTCAACATTAACCTAAAGTATGAGTACTCTTGTATGATCCTGTTCTAACCGAACGACAGGACCTCTGCAGCCAACCACACACTTTGCAGGAGGCTACGGGGGTTTTCTGCCGCTTCATCATTCTGAAGGCTGTAGGAATGGACGGTCTTTGGGAGGCTCCTTACCAGATCCTGAATCGCATCACGAGAACGGCCAGGCTCACGAGAAAGATTGATGAATGACGGAAGGATAGCAGGAAAAACGTCAGCCCTGACGATTCTTTCGCCGTCATTCCGTGTCACCACTCAACGGTTCACACCTACCGCCATGATGTCCAATCCGCCACCCATGGCAAAACAAAGACACGACCAGCTCACATACACCTCAACAAGGGCCAGAAAAAAAAGAACAAACGGGCAAAAAAGAAATTCTCAATCATTTTATAGGAATAGCCCGATGCGGGGGTCGAACCCGCAACCTTGAGATTGTGTACTCGTAAGAGTCTCACGCTCTACCGATTGAGCTAACCGGGCAGCACCGGATCGCGTTGTTGAAGATATGCGCCGCTTGGGAGGGCTTAGCAGCTGTGGAGGTGGAACGCGCAAGGCACCTCGAGCAACACTCGTCAGATTCCAACTTCTCATCAACCAATTCGCCTTCTTTGCGTGCATCAACTTGCTTTTTTTTTTCCTTCTTACTATAGTTCATATGAAACAGCCTAGCGATTTTTCTTCTGATCCAAACTTTTAAGGAACTGCTGCACTTACATCAGTCGGCAATGACCTCGGAGTGAGCCAATATAAATCCGGGTTATCAGTGCCGTTTCTCTCTTTCTTTCGTTCTTTTTTTGGTCTTGCTTGCTCGGGTATGTAATAAAGCGAGGCATGCATGTTGCGTTTAATGAAGCATACGTTGGCTGTGTTGAAAGTGAGGCTGAGCTGATTGCAGCCTGATCTTCAGAACAACACTCTCGCATACTCACCAACGTCAAAACTTCCAACTGCCGTATGCCATGTCTTTCGGGTACGCCGTAGGCGATGTTATAGCTGTATTGGGCCTTATTGAACGTGTCGCCATCGAGCTGCGCAACTACAAGGACGCCCCTTCTCATTTCCAGCAACTTCGTGCCGAGTTGGACCTTGTCCACGGTACACTGCACCATGTCTTACGCCTGGAACCAGAGAGCGATGAGGAGCGCCAGACCTTGGATAAGATTCGAGCAATTGTAGTTCATTGTTCGCAGCCTCTACAAGCCATGGCCGACAAGATGCGGACCAAAGAAGGCAACCTCGGCCACTTCCGAACTACAAGAAGCCTTTCCAGTATCGGAACAAGACTCCACTGGTCTATGGTGGCCCAGAGCGATGTAGACGGATTCAGAAAGACTATCATGTCTGAGATGGCAGCTATCAACATCCTCTTGAGCGTGCAGCAGTTGTACGCACACCCCTCGACTGGTGGCTAGATACAAGAGCTAAGCAATCATAGGACTCGTGTCAAACAACTCGCATCGCAATCCCGATGCATCGGGACCTCCCAGGCCCTGGCAGTAGAGAGACACACAAATGCCATCGCTGGCCATGCCAAGTCCATCTTGAGCATAGCATCAAGAACGCAAACTACCGTCGACGCCCTGATGGCCAACACAGCTATCCAGGCGGAGACGTCTTCAAGACAAGCAAAAGCCTTGGACCGAAACTTGAAGGCTATCGAGACGAACATCGATAGCCTATCACGGAAAACTGGAAAGACTTCAGAGATGATAAATCGCAATGGGGCGTTGGTAACTCGCCACGCCAAGCGTCTCTTTCGCCTAATGCAGGATATCAAGTCAATGTTTGCTCTGTAAGATCCCCCATGGAAGTTGAGCACTGTTGTGAATCTTATGATACTTCTAAGTAAAGACAAGGGCCGCAATAGCAAAGAATAGGGATGCGCAAGTCTGTCGCCTTTCAACTAACTTGCTCATTAGATTTGCAACATGCTCAAAAGAAATGCTCGAGGCAATCGGGCGAAACACGTAAGTCTTGTTGGCAAGACTGAAGCAGTTATTAATCATTAGCTCTAGTCGCATGCTTCTCGACATCACGGGCCAGTTGAAGCGTATCATACGCGCCATCGAAGCTATCCCATTGCATCTCACTCTTGATATTGTGAGACTAGATGATGCTCACGGAGAGAGCTGGGCACTGCCACTGCAGGCGTGCCAAACATGGAATGTGAGCATTGGTTACCAGAAACTACTCATAAGAAGACCAGTAAGGATTAATTGCAGTAGTCCTTTTCCGATATGCTTCGACTCGTTGTATATGCCAACGAGAGGCCCGGCGCAAATCTCATCATGCGGAACCAGTTCTCCATTATGGTGGCACAAAATGGTATGGAACTTAACGAGGGAGTTTGGGGGCGCTTTGTCAAGTCTGGGCTACACATTGAGCAGGCTATGGTTGTCTCGCGGATTTCTTCCTTGGAAGGGGACTGTGTCGATCCCGAATGCGGCGGTAAAGTCGTACGCCAAGCTGTCCAACTAGATCAGCGCCGCAAAGTATGGTAAGTGTTGGATCGGACACATGCTGAAAGTTCGACTGACCAAACACTCCCAGCACTTTGTGTGGTCGATGGGCAACTACACAGACGACCACAGCACTGCTTATGGATCCTTACACCGAAGAATCTCGGGGAACTGCCACCAACCATACGCGAGAAACTGGGAAAGCACACCTTGGTCCCAAGTTGCCCCCCATGCAGGTTGAAGAGGAACCTGAAGCTTTCCGCAAGGTGAAACTATACCAGGCCTCTCAGCCTATGGAAGACATAGATGAGGCCTTGGAGCTTTTGGATAAAGACACCCTGAATCCAGCTGCGAATGCATTCGCTGGATTCACATTCCTCCGAGAAGGGGAAGAACTCGCTGATGGTGGCTTGGTCCAAGCATCAAAACAGCACTTGGAAATCGCTGTGAAATCCGGTAATACAACCCTATATATACAATCCACGCTCACGATGGAACCATAACTGACGATAAACTAATATCTAGATGCTTTAAATTATGAATACTGGTACCTTCTTGGTCGCGCATGCATCTGGTTGCAAGACTATGAAGGGGCTCATAACGCTCTTCAGCAGACTATTTACCTTACATCCCCACCTCCCTCGATTTGGATTACGATCGGGAGATTATTCTTCCTAATTGGCCTATATCACGACTCACTAAGATGCCTTAGCAAAGCTGCTCGGCTCAATCCGTCTCCTTACGAGACCTGGTACAACCTCGGCGTTTTGGTAGGCTCTCTCCTCTTGCTAAGTTTCATCAAGAATCTAACACATCTACAGTATGACTGCTGCAATCGCCAACATGATGATGCAGTCGACTGCTTTCAAAGGTGCATTGCGCGTAATCCACAATTGCCAGAGGTGCACGCACGACTCCGAGCTCAACCAATCATAAAGTCAACTTCCGACAGTGAAGTGTTGAAGGGTCACCTCATTTCTACAATGTGTGATAGCAAGCTACGGATGAGCCAAGATACGAGCCTAGAGGCTGGAGGCGATGAGATCGTGATCAATCCTATAAGTGATATGAGAGTATTAGACGAGGATGATGACAGCGACGAGTATGATGACAACGAGTATGATGACAACGAGTATTATGACGACGAGTATGGTGACGATGAGTGTGGTGACGATGAGGATAGTGACGACGATTGGCGATGGCCCTGGACCCAGCTAGTCGAATCCTCTGTCTTGGAGCCGATGACCTGACATCTTGTTGGCCATTGAAAGGAGAAACTATGATCATATGACACGGGGGTAGTAGGCTAATCGGCGACTTGAATAAGAGAGAGAGTAGGAGCCAAATGACAGGCAGGAAAGCTGTGATGGCCGAGCGCCCACCCGCAGGTTGTATTTATCAGTAACCCAGGTTCACATCTTGTAGCTAAGCCAGGACAGATACCGAAGATGGGCACACAAGTACTCAAATAGACTATAAACACCAGTCAAGCCACACAGCGCCTCGCTGTTTGGCTCCCTTCCGAAGGGTATCTCCCTCGCCCCTGAAATCTGAGACTCTTTCAACGAGAGTAGCCCCGGACGACAACCATCAACATGGTCCAAGCCACCGCCTCCGATTGGCCCCGTCCTCCAACTAACTACCTGGCGTGGACACTGCTAGAAAGAGGAAGTACAGTTTCTCGACCCCGCTGTGACGCCCGCTCGCGATGGTTATCCACCTAATGCTGGACTGAACCCCCTCAACTTGTCAGTCCCCAGATCACCATTAGGTTCACGCATCAACCTGGGGCACTATCTCCGCCTTGTGGGTATGACACACACTAGCCAGCGTCCTTACGCCCGCACAGATGTACCAGAGATGTTCCCCGGGCTTGCCTGCATCTCCAGCCTCCACAAACAACGGAAAGGGGGCGCTCGTGGCAAGGAGAGCCCCGACTCAGACCCCGCTGTCGATCTTGATCCAGACGATGAACCCGATGACATAAAACGTTCTCAGAGGTTTACATTCGCTCCCGTATTTTTATCGGAAGAGTCCCCGGAGGAACCATCCGGCCACGGTCCGGATCGAAGTCTGTGGTTCACGCGTATCAGCCCCATGTAACAGACAAGGAAGGTGGGTTCATGCACCGTAGAAGGCGCCTCGTCCAGGCCACTGTTTATGCTTTCCTACACTATTGCCCTTGCCAGAGGTACTATTGAAAGTTTCGTGTGGGAGGTCAGCGTCGACCAACAGCAGGCCACCCCTTGGAAGAAGTCTCACTCAACATGAGATCTAGATCTTGTTCCAGACAAGGGATTGCAGGAGGAGCAATCTCACACCAACAGATAAAGATGCGGCGGATACCACATCCGCGGAGTAGGGTTCTACAGGGTGCCTAGACGCCGTGTAGACTGACTCGTCTCAGGGACCCCCAAGCGCCGACGACCATATCATTGTCAACAGCGGCCGCTTTCCGTCCTGCTCCGGCCCCAGAGCCCGGAAGCTGTAGGCCCGGTATTGCCAAGAGGCTCTGCCAGGCGTGGATTGGCCAACTTGAGTTATTTCATCCCAACAGTATCTTCGCGTAATCTAACGGAATGCGCGACACATAGGACATGATAAGACTCGCGTCAAGGGTATATTCGGGTAGAAGACCACTAACACTTGGACCTTCCGTGTATCCCCGATGCCAACTTGAGGTAAGCCATACCCGTCGTGCCGCCCCTGGAAAGCCACCCTCAGAGATGGCCCGGGCTTTGTTTTGGTCCACATCGTGAAGGCGGGGAAGAACCTGGGGAAGTCAATCAGGCTGAACCTGAGGAACGTGCATTAGGGTACAGACCTTGATGATCAGCATGTACCACCGGATCCGACGTTCTCTGTGCCAACGAATATGACAAGAGCCCGTCCTGTTGATAGCTCACCTCTCACTTTCAAAAGGTCACCTGGGTCATTGTTGACACTTGCCAACGGTCGTGAAGAGACATGAACATCAGCAAATTTGCTTTAGGCGTCGGCAGAAAGAACACCTGAAGCGACAGGTCGAGCAACCCTCATGGCAATCAGACCTGCCTTATCCGGCGATCCTGCATCGCAAGACAACCGCAACGGCACAAGTTGGATCTACATCCCTGAGACTCAAAACCATCTCGGTGTGACGTAACACCTGCAAGCTGTCAGACCCAGGGATTCACTCTCTGGGGTAACTTCGGCCAGACCGTGAGACATGCGTGGGTAGACGGGTTAAGGATGGAGATAGAGTTGCATGTTTGCGAGATTAAGTGAAGCAGCTGAGAGGTTCCCTTGACTAATTGATGCCTGGTATAGGAAGTGAGCAGCGAATGGGATCGGCGCTTTCGTAGTGCGAGGTTGCATCGGGAGCAACCGGGCAAGGTGAACCCCTCACCGACTCCGCAGACGGGGAGTTTTGTCCAACATGGTTCAAGGGGGATGGTGCGTTTGGTTGAGGTTTCACTACGTCATGTTAGAAGAAGGGGGGGTTGGTAGGTCAACAAGTTGCAACACTTTCTCCGTGGAAGCAGGGGATGGCATCTCCTCGCCGTGTGTCTTCCCCAACAGCCAAGACTTAAGATGCCGGGGTGTCTCGGGGTCGCCGACTTCTAATGCTACCTTCCCCGCTATAGGCTCGGCGTATAATGGAAGATCACTTCTAGAACAGCAGGGTCTCGAACGATCCTTCATACAGATTCGGGTCCACTGTGGTTGCAACCTGCATGGTGAACAAACCTCCATGGTGGATTCCCCGTAAGGGTGTGATACCCAGGGATGTCTGTGTTGGCTGCACGACGATGCACAGATGGGGGCGCACGGTGTTTAGGGGGTTGGTATGTGCTGAAATCCAATGATTTGATTTGCTATGTACAACTGTACAAACTGTTGGTTGGCGACAGCTCAGTCGATGGCGTCTTGCCAGTGGTTCATATCAACATAACGTCAAGGAGTGTCCTATCTTCCAGCTCCCTATCACCCCCTCAGAGAGTCCCCCGCACTCCAACATCCTCCTCGCTTGATTCCATCTTGGTAGCTTTGTGATTGCGTGATTAGTACACGTAAAAGACGGTAGCCTCACTCTCTTGGCTGCGGAGCTTGCGGTTTCGCCTCATCATGATGATCCTGGCCACCCAAGCGAGCGCAGCGGTAGCGATACTGAAAGCAGCACTGCTAGACATGGCAATGGCGTAGCGGGGCTCGTCGCTAGAGGGCCAGAGGTAGGGCGTCCAGATGAAGCTGATGTTCATGATCATGGTCACCATGCTGATAGCCACGGCCTTCTTCTCCTTGGTCTGGCCACAGACGGAGCCACACCAACCTAGAATCAGACTGTTGACGGCGTAGGTGCCAATAGTAAAGATAACCATGCACACGTATCGTCCGGCGGTGTTGAGGGTGGCGGCGGCAGCGGCGAAGCCAATCACGGCGACAGCCTTGGATGCAGTGATATGCCACGTCCTCTCATTGAATTTTCCGGAAGAATACGAGACGAGAATGGTGCTGGCGCCAGCAATGAGGTAGGGTGGGCAGGTGAGGACAAGGGTGATGGTGGTGTTGAAGCCGAGGGTCTTGACCACGGTGGGGAACTAATTTTGTCAGAACTCAACGAAACCTGGCTCTTTCGGCTTGAAATTAACGTACGAAGTTCTTGAATCCATTTGCGGCCAAGTGGAAGTGCTAAATGCAAAAAATGAGTTAAAATGAGCCAGGTTTGAGGCCAAACGGTCAACTTACAGCTGAGATATCATGTTAGCAAATTTTGGTGGAGTGGGGGGGACAAGGTAGCACTAACCCATGAAGCAGAAAATCCAGACCATGGGATCCTTAGCGGCCTGCTGCAGGCCCTTCCAGGTAGAGGTCTCACCCTTGTTACCGACGGTGTCGAGCTCCATACGGTTGTACGCAAGGTCACGCTCCTCCTGCGTCAGCCACCAGGTAGTCTGCGGGAAATCAGGCAGCACAAAGTAACCGACGACAGCAATGACGAATGTGACGGCGCCCTGCAGGATAAACAGCCACTTCCAGCCAGCGATTCCGGCCAGATCGTCCATGCCGTAGAAGATGCCCGCGGCGATGAGGCCTGCGAAGGCGGTGGCTAGGATGTTTCCCGTGTAAAGGATGGCGATGCGGGTGGCGACCTCCTTGCGGGTGTAGAAGATGGAGAGGAGGTAGACGGCGCCGGGGTAGTACGGGGCTTCAGTGAGACCGAGGAAGAAGCGGGTGAGGAGGAGGCCCTTGAAGTCCTTGGCTACGGCGGTGAGAGCGCTGACGACGGCCCAGAGCATCATCATGACGCCCTTTGAGCTGGGTTAGTTTGCTGAGGGTTTTTATCAAGGAAATGCGTCGTTGACTGACCATGTAGCGGCTGGGGCGTGTTCGGGTGAGGAACATGTTTGAAGGGATCTGGGCGAGGATGTAGCCGACGAACAGGATGGAGACACAGGTTTGGTATTCTAGACAGGGGAATGCATGTGAGTACAGCACAGATGAAGGGCTGTAGGAGGGGACCGCGTACCTGTGCCCTTGAGGTTGAGATCTTTCTCAAGATCATTGAGACGAGCCAGGGCAATGGCATTTCGGTCCAGATAGTTGAGCCAGTACATGCTCCAAAGCATGGGCTAGACATGTAAGCACAGAGTCAAGGCATCGCGCAGAGCAAGTCACTCACCATCATCCATCGGTCAAGCTTCTTCACGAGAGCAATCTCCTTTGGATCCGTCTTCTCATGAGCACCAGAGTAATCAACCTTTTCGACCTTGGGGATAGGCTTCTCTGGGTTCTCATCTTGAAAGATCTGAGGCTCGACATCACGACGAACGTCGGTCTTGTCGTCGTAGGCAGTGGTAGCCATGGTCATGAACAAATTAGAGATGTGTCAAGATGATGTTGATGATGCAAAGACTTGAGAAGAAGGATGCAGCAGTGTCTAGCTGACTCTGAGGAGGAGAGGAGGGCAGACAAGACTGTTGAGTGCCTTGAGGAAGAAAAGAAACCGTTTTTTCGAGGGGAAGACGAAGCCATTATGTACTCTCCCGTCCGGCTCAAACGTCTTTTCCCCATGTCAATCACTTCCTCCTAAGACCCAATGACTCTCGTTAACCCTCTTTATCTTTCTCCCCGGAAATCTCGCCGACCCGTCCCGGGATGTGGGGTGCGGAGTAATGGGGTAATGGAGTTCGACGCAATGTGTCGTGCGGGCGAACATCTCGAAGCTTGCGAGATTCCAGATGGTCTAGAATCCTGCTACCCCAGGCGGTCTCCCCCTTGCTCTGGTGCGTGTTTTTGGTCGTAGCGCTTATCTAGATTGCACTTGGGGTACAAGGGGGGGCGCACCTTGAGATGACCCCCCTTGTATTTCCCCCCTTTGTAACCTTGTACATCAGTCATTTAGCCCTCTCCGAGCCAAGTGCCGTCCTTGGCCCTCATACGACTAGACGAGAATTGAACCAACAGCCAAGCTGTGAATGATGCGCCAAGGAGCGAAGATCAGTCTAGTAGGAGTAGTCGCCAAGGCAGTAAGGCAGCCATGTATCCTCGTCTACCAGTCAGAGCATCATGCCAAACAATAAAAGCCAGGGTGTTTGGCGCGGGCTTGAACTCTATCTGGCCACCAAACCTTCCCTGGGTGGTTCTTTTCTTCTGGAAAGAGGCCACTGTCGAATGAGGGCCAGCCAAGTTCGATAGCACGTGGTTCGATAAGAGGGAGCAATCTGGTCGCGTACGCTTCATCTGGTGACGATTCTAAGCCATGGAATGCACCATACAGACGCCAAATATATGCGGCATTTCCCGTACGCCCGCAGAGAGAACCCTTCCTATTGCGGAAGGAGGTTAAGCTTAAACATTAAGTTTGCGGAGTGAACATGGAGCTAGTTTTGACTACCGAGGGCCTCTTGGCGAATAAGAGTCGCAGAAAGAGGGGATCTTCCCCGCGTCATCTTCTCTCCCTCCCCGAATCTCCCCTGCAAGGTGTCACCAACGGTGGGAGGCAGTGTTTCATTATGGGGTCAAATATTTGAGGCATTTGCGCTAGTCATGAACATACAGTAATCGTTAATCGTTAATACGTCTTTCCAAGCATCCTTCCAACCTCGACGATCCTCATGACCGACTCTGCGCTCTCCTTGGTCAGCTTCTCGGCCTCGCTAACGGCGTCGTCCAATGTCATGGGCCGCTGGATGATGCAAGTAAAGGCATCGATCCCGATGTCGTAGTTGACCCTGGCGCCAGGCCCAATCGTCCCCGCGATGGCGATGACGGGGAGACCGTGCTTCTTGGCCAGGCGGGCAACCTCTGCGGGGATCTTGCCCCGTGGGGTTTGGTCGTCGATGCCACCCTCGGCCGTCAGGACCAGGTCGCACTCGTCAAAGATGCTGTGGAGGTTGATGTATTGCATCACAATCTCATACCTGGGTCGAAGGTGCGCACCTACCAGGCGAAGACCTGTTCCGAGACCTCCCGATGCGCCACCGCCTGGGGCTAGTCGGATAGTCTTGTCGCAGAGGATGCGGCTGGCTACGCCCGCTAGAGTCTCCATGGCGAGGCTGAGACGTTGAGTCTGCTCTGGGGTAGATCCCTTCTGCGGACCAAAGACGTTGGCTACGCCGTCAGGTCCACAGAGGACGTTGTGCCAGTTGACAGCGACGTCAATCTTGGTCTTCCAGATGCGAGGATCAACCCCAGACAGATCGATGGAGTCGAGGGCAAGGAGTGATTCACCGCCTCCAGCGGTTGGCAGGGAGCGCCCGTTGGTATCGAGTAGAGTCGCGCCAAGAGCCTGGAGCATCCCCGCACCACCATCACAGGTTCCAGAGTCCCCGCATCCGACGAGGATACGGGTGGCCCCAGCGTCTAGGGCAGCGAGAATGAGCTCCCCAACGCCAAAGGTGGTGGTGCTGCCGGGGTTTCGGCGGCTGGGGGGCACTAAGCTGAGACCGGCGGCAGCAGCCATTTCCAGCACGGCAGTGCAGGCTTCTTCTGCGTCTTCCCCACCGGAGCGGCCCAAGATGCCAAAGAAGGACGAGATGGGGTCTCCCACGGGCCCAGTCACGGGGACATGCCGGAGCGTGCCTCCGGTCGCCGAGACGATGGCGCGGGTGAAGCCCTCTCCCCCGTCGACGAGCGGGACTTTACGGACCGAGGCGTGAGGCTCAACGGCGAGGATGCCGGCCTCGATGCAGTCGGCCGCCGTACCGGGCTCGAGGCTTCCTTTGAAGCCGGAAGGGCAGACGAGGATTCTCATGGCGCTTGGCATTGGGAGAGAGCCCATTGCTGAGTCAGGAAGAGAAGAGTGTATGAGATAAGAGCGTGTGATAAGAGTTTTTGAGAGGTAGAGTGTGGGTAGCGAGTGTAGGAGTGTGGTTATTCAGAGCGAATGTGAGTTGCCAAGTTGTAGGGCTGAGGGTGAAGCGAATGTTGAAGAGTAGAGTGTTGGTTTGGATGATGATGATATTCCCAGATGGATTCACGGGTGCAGATGCATCGTTTTATAGATGGAACAGATTCCTTGTGCGACGAGATATTCTTGATAATCTAACCATTCTAATTCCGTTCATCCAGCTCATGGTGTTCATCCTCTATCACAGACTCTCGAGGCCAGACGTTTCGCCTCTCGCTCAGCCTCTCTCGCGTAGGGTCCTACCCGCCAAGAAGAAGGCGCTGGGAGAGGAATCGAGGCCATTACCCGGAATAGCAACATGTCGTATGTCTTCCTTCTCACTCAGGAATCGTCGGCAAAGTGTCGCGGGGACAAGGTACATCCACTCACGTCACGCGAGCAGCCCCAGCCACTAGACAGAGATCAGATTAGAGTCAAGGACGGTTTGAATAAGGTGAGTCGGGCAAAAAGTTGTAGGACTGTGGACGCGTCATTGCCAATGTTGTGGCAGAAGGCTGAGGTCGATCATCGAGTCTTGGTATTCACGTCCTCGGTAGAGCATGCAGACAAGCTTATGTCTATACCGAGGCAGGATGGTGGACTCGGGGCCTTGGCTCATCCCGAGTTAAAGTGGCAGGACGGGGGTTGATTTTAACTTCTTGGTCGAAAAATGCTTGGCCCTCGAGCCTAACGTGACCCGCGTTTAAGACTGGAATACCGCTCCCAATCAGATGCCTCCACGGCAGCGGCAGCTGAAGGAGGGCATTCATATTTAGAACAGCTGAAACGGGGCCAAGATCGACTTTGGCAAACCTTAACTGATCCTTTTCCTCTTGGCATCTCTTTCTTGACGAATAGGATGCCGGGAGCATGAGAGAGGCTGTGATAAGAGCCATCAGCCACCACCATGACGAACAATCTGCCATGATGACCGACAGGGATCAAGGAGCTTTGTAGCGGGGCCACGTAACAAAGACAACCAGTGACAGCTGTTTCAAAGGCCCGCAAAAGCCTGTCAGTCTCGTGCTCTTGAAACATTTATGCGAGAGGAGAGCATCTCATTGGGTTTGATGACGGCATCGATGCTAGGGATGGGCATGGCATTTAGGCGGTGCAACTAGACCCGCCACGAAGAGCTGATGCGGAATGTTGGCGCGTGGTGGACCCTTTTTTCTTCTTTTCTATTCTTTTAAGCGGAGGGCTGTGCCTTGATCGTAATCTTGGATCTTGAGGGGGGCTGGAGGCGATTGCCAGCTTGGTTGTGACAGATTAATGCTTTGGCATGAATAGATAAAATGCCGCTGTGATGATCATCATTTCAAGGGAGAGACAGGTCAAAGCATCAATCACACAGATTCATTCGTTAACACCATTCTCTCGCTTTTTGCAAACGCCCTTTTTCTCTTCTGTGCTCTACACTGCAGCTCAGTCTTGAATAACACCTTCGCTATTCTTACTCACACACTACACTACCACCATGAGCCTCCATACTCTTTCCCGGGCCAACTCCCGGTCTTCCATCTGGAGGTCCTGGAGTCCTAGGTTTGACGTGCTCACCAACTATGACAAATCACGCCACAACTACCCGTGGCTGATGGACGAGAGAGAGGGACATGATCCACCCGACATTACTCCTCTACGTCGTCCACGGCAGCCAATGCCGTCTCTTTTCGAAATTCCGGATGCCACACATCAACCTGGGCAACAACAGTACGGCCCGGTGCGCGATTTAGAGGAACAGTCGGATCCGGAAACTCTTCTAGAAACACCAGAAGAAGACCCCAACTTAGTAAGCCACTAGCCAACCCCCCCTTGTCTTGACCTTCTAGCACGCCTTCCATGCAATGTACTGACTCATTTGACGCAAAGGTGACTTGGGATGGTAACAAGGATCCTGCCAACCCTCACAACTGGACCAAGAAAAAGAAGTGGCTTTCTACTATACTTGTTTCTTGCTTCACCTTCATCTCCCCCGTCTCGTCCACCATGCTCGCCCCGGCTTTGCCCGACTTGGCAGATGAGTTTGACATTGAGTCTGACTTTGAGACTTATCTCATCATGTCCATCTTTCTGCTTGCCTACGCCATTGGTCCTTTTCTGTTGGCACCCTTGTCCGAGATGTACGGGAGGGTTGTTGTTCTCCAGTCTGCCAATATGATCTATCTCATCTTCAACACCGTGTGTGGCTTCGCTCAGACCAAGAACCAGATCCTTGTTTTTCGGTTCTTGAGTGGTATTGGCGGGAGTGCTCCACAAGCTGTAAGTTTGACTCATCATTTTGATGTGGACTCTGCTAATACTTGGCATAGCTTGGAGGAGGTGTCCTTAGTGATTGTTGGAGAGCTGAGGAACGAGGAACAGCAACAGCCATCTACAGTCTTGCTCCATTCCTTGGACCTGCTGTGGGGCCCATAGGTTAGTCAACTACGACATCATCTTGAGCTTTAACACCCACTAACACCCTGGCAGCCGGAGGTTACTTGACCCAGTACATGAACTGGCGATGGGTCTTCTGGGTAGTTTCCATGGCCGACGCCCTCGTCCAAATCCTCGCCTTCCTCTTCCTGAACGAGACATATCCTCCCAAGATTCTCAAGAAAAAGGCCGACAAGCTCCGCAAGGAGACTGGCAACATGGCCTTGCATACCGAGTTTGAGAGTCCCGATCGAACCTTTTTGCAGTCGCTGCGCAAGAATCTGATGAGACCGTTCATCATGTTGTTCACGCAGCCGGCTATTCAGATTACGGCGTTGTACAGAGCCTATCTCTATGGCCTTATGTACTTGGTGTAAGTGTTCCCTTCGGGCTATGGCTTCTCATCTGACACCTCTCCAGGCTTGCTTCCTTCCCCATGGTATGGGAGGAGCAATACGATCAAGAGCCCGGTCGAGCTAGTTTAAACTACCTGTCACTAGGCATCGGATTTGTGATAGGTCTTCAGATCTCTGGACCTCTGATCGACAAGGTACGTCAAACATCAGCCTTATACCTACTATCAGAGGTGCTAACAGTTGATCGACAGGTCTACGCTACCCTCAAGAACCACTACAACCACCCCGGCCGACCCGAATTCCGCGTACCCCTAATGTTTCCCACTGCATTTGTAACACCAGCTGGTCTGGTCTTATACGGTGTCTCGGCCCATCTCCAACTTCATTGGATTATACCCAACATCGGTGCAGCCATCTTCGCAGCAGGCTTGATCCAGTCCTTCCAATGCGCTCAGACATATATCATCGACTCCTATGAACGATACGCCGCCAGTGCTACTGGTGCAGCAGCATTTGTCAGAACCATGGCTGGCTTCAGCTTCCCCCTCTTTGCCCCTGCCATGTACGAAAAGCTTGGGATTGCATGGGGAAACGGTCTACTTGCTGGTACGGCCATGTTTCTCTGCTTGCTTGCCCCATGTGTACTCTGGCGATGGGGTGAATGGATCAGGAAGAAGAGCCCTTACTGTGCTGGCTGATCACCTTCAACTACACAACCTTTGACTATACGAACGATACGACGTAATGTTTTTCCTTTAATCTTGTTCAACCAGGGTCCATATAGACGAATTAGACGGACCTTGTTTACGTTTCACTACAGACGGTCCCTACCGCAACTCAGAGAAACAGGGTAGCGACATTGCTGTTGTTATTCTATCAGTGCCATTCAGGGCACAGGGTTCTATGTATTAAACATATTTGTACATTATTGGGTATCCATTCCAGTCATTATGATACCCTCACATTTCAATCACTTATACAAAACAAAAAGATCGCAAGTTTATCCCGTAGGCGGAAATGTTCCTCATTTCCCCTTGTTCATACTCCGTGGAACACCTTGACGACGCCCACGGCTGACCTCTCTGAGCCAGTTTCCATGTCGTCGCGTGATGAACTACGTGTGCTCAGGTCCTTGTGGCCCTCCAAGTCGCGAGGGACAACACCCGGAGGACTTCGTCGATCTTCAGGACCAGCTTCTTCGCTGCTGATCTCGACCTCGTGCTTCTGGTAGATCTTGAGAGGCATCGAGTAGGTGGCGTTGATCTGCTCCTCGCTGTCGAGGCGGTGCAGGGTGCCTCCTTCGGCCCTGACCTGGGAGCGCACACCGGAACGGTGATTGGTAAAGTTGGATCGGAAGGCAGTCGATGGATTGGTCGAGCGCTTGCCGTATGACGAGCCGTTGAAGGAGCCGAGGTTGAAGAGACGGCGGAGGAGGGTCCAGATGTAGGGAAGGTTGGACGTGAGGAGGGCCGTCGACGACTCTCGGACGTACCAGAAGGTCCAGTTGGAGCCGAAGGGTTCGTTGAAGCTATAGAACTTGCTAAGGATGGCGGAAAGGATCTGAGAAGTGTTAGTGGATGGTTGGAGATAACGGGAGAGAAGGGCCGCATACTGTAAAGGCACCCAGAGCAAAGACACCAATGAGGACGATCTTGCGCTTCAGGGGCAATTGGGACTTGAGGAAGATGGGCATGGGGATCAAGATGATCATGACATCGGACGAGATGTTGAGGACGGTGTTGACAATGAGATGGTTTGTTTGAGTGGCGCATTGGGCTAAAGACAGTTAGCAATTGATCTTCCATACAGAGTATCATGTTGGCACGTACTGTTCTTGGGAGGCACAGCCCAGAACTGGTTAAAGGGTCGGCACCAAACTCCAAGGTAGAGAATCTCCATAAGAACAAGTCCAAGTGTGACATAGCCGGCGACAAACTTGACGGCAATGTTTTGTCGCAAACTCATCCTGTAGAACGTTAGGGCCGCAATTCCTCAAAGATGACAGCTGGACCACGTACGTAAGTCGGTTGTACATGAGCAGCAGGCAGTACTTCATCGTCCAGATGGTGATGATCTGCATCTGCTCAACCACGAGAACCCATTTGGATCCACGGATTCGCTCATCAATCTCTGCCTGGGACAGGACATGCTTATCGTTGGGATCGATGAGGTTGCTGCTCGTCCGAGAGACAATCGACATTCCGACCATGAGGACCGTGTCGGTGATCTATTTCGGCGTGTTAGAACGAGGGGAGGAGGATTCGGTTCGATCGGAGGGGCGGACGGACCATGGCAAATAGCATCAGGTAGTCTTCAACTTGGAGCTTCTTGATGGATCCGAGTAGCATGCGTCGTGATATCCTGCGCAAGCCATGGTTAGCTAGGTGATACAGTAGAAGAAAAGGCCCAATGTCTTACATCCTACAGATGACAATCACCCACGTCAACGCATACCACGTCCATATCTCTGTCACAAAGGCCGACATGGTTGGTAGTTTACGAAGGAACGATCAAACAACAACAAAAAACTCTTGACTCGACAATAATTGCGATCATCAACGGGGTATCGATTCGGAAAAAATAAGGAGGGGGATCGGCGGGTGTGTCGCGTCAGTGAGGGTTGACGATGCTACCACGACGCATGGCCTCTTTCTCCGCAAAGATACTCTTTTCTTTTGAGGAGAAAAAGGAAATGCGCAAAGCAAGCAACGCGGGGGTGGGCGAGGAAGAGGGATGGCCTCATTACTTTTTATTTGGGGGATGGGGTGCAGGACCTTCAGGGGCTTTCCTTGATCCGGCTCAGTCCAGCTCTTTCACTAGTCCGCTTAGTCTGGTACGCCAGAGCTAGCTGGCCTTCTGGAGCTTCCAGACCTCGCATTTTGACTGGGCACATCACCAGTCCTCGGCCGATAATCGCGAGCTGTGAATGGGCCGGGGCTGCGCGGACTTCTTGCCTGTCCCACCAGAACGGTACAGGCCAGGGCCCAGGGGTAATAACTGACAAGGAAGAAGAAAAAAAAAGAACGCTATCGCGGCTCAGCGAGACATGGTGCCACGTTCTCTTTCTGGTCTCCGTCAACCGAATCAAGCCGTGTGGGCGCCCGCCACGGACTTCGGGTTGGCCAATGGGCAGAGGCGTCCCGCGAGTTCCCCTTGACGGTCGGCTACAGGCCGAACGAACCAACAGATTTGCTCGGCTGCAGCATGTCGAGTGCCAGGCTGCCAGGGTGGTAGGGTGGCGAACATGGCTTACAGACGTGGGTGGCAAAGGCGCAGAGAAGAAAAATGGAAGCATTTGTTGCATGAGATCTGACCATGCCATGTGTTTGGCGTTGTCTGTTATCTTGTCATATCTACAATACTCCATACCTTGGCCCCTTTCCGCGATATGAATGTCAAAGCACAATACAAGTATCTTTATAGTACGGCATAAATTCCGCTGCACAACGCAAGCACACACACACACACACACCCTTGTGGCTTCGCTTTGCTTTGACCTTTTCTCTACTCTCCCAACTCTCTTGTGGACTGACTGACTCGGGAACTCTGGCCGGGCGACTGCTGACTCGAGTAAATCGCTCCACAACAACATCTCCACCACGTGGGGACGCTACAAGGCACCTGGGTCCAAACGCCCATGTGGCGTGCCTCGGCGCGCGAGATTTCGATTCTGACCTACCAAGAAGGGTCTGGGCTTGGACCTCTCGGAGACAAAGCCTGCAGGCCACAGGGGTAGCGACTGAGACGAAGACGACGGTGGCCCTGAAGGGAAAGCCTTTATCATGCGCTGTATAGCCCGGCCGTTTCTACACGCTGCAGACATGTCTTGGGCCACGGAAGAAGGTCTTGATAGGTCCGAGTCATCCGCCGAAGCCACCGTTCTTGTCTACTACGGTACCGACCGAGGGTAACGTCTACTGCACCGTCAACCTTGCCTTTTTTCAGCCCGACGCAAGCATTTCCCCTTTGCGGCTCCCCACCTTCCGATTAAGGACAGCTGAGAGACCAGACGGGGCACGTCATTCTGCGCCGCAAGACATTTGATCGGATTATATCTCTCAGTGATTAATGCTGACTTTTAGTGGACAAATGGAAACACCTTGGCGGGCCAATTTGTAACTGGTTGTGTCAGATCCCCTTATAATTCCAACCCCCTATTTTCTTCTTGCGACAGTAGAAAACTCAAATCGCCGTCATGCGTTCCCTTCCCGTCTCGTACCTGAGCGATCACGAGCGATCTACTGTAATGCATTGTTCTTCTGGAGAATCGGCTATTTCTTAGCGGAAATCATGTCCGTGATGGGGTCAACTAATTGTTAGCGCCAGGTGTCTGGCATCTTTGATCCGAGGCTAGCTAAAACCCAATCTCTTTTCGGCGGAGCGTTGATCCGGGCCATCTCGGGGTCTGGAGCAGACATGTCATTGACGACACATCAATTCGTCTGAAGTGACGGGTCTCGTGCCTTTTTTGAGGGGGCATTTCGCCTTCTTTGAGGGGCATCGTGGGTTTCCCGCACACGGCAAGGTTATAAAGTGGCCTCCCTGTTGCTCCTCTTCAGGTGGGTTTGACCGTTGCGTTACCGTTACCGTTTGTCACGATGTGATAAGAGTGAGGGGGATGCACACGGAAGCGCTCCCCGGATCTGTCATTTGTCAAGTTTGTCAGAAGCGAGGGTTTCAGGAGGGGAACCCGTCACACGAGATGTAGACAAGTCGAGACCTGATTGAGCCGTGGACAGAGAGTAACGAAATGGTCTAGGGTAATTCTGTAGAAATGACAGTGACATACAAGAGATAGTTTGGTGCACCGTCAGATCATAGTAAACGTTAAAAAGGTGGCGTGATCTGACAGGAGTAGTCAATAAATGCGATAAGGCTAACTGACTTTATTTAGTTTCCCTGTCTTCCCCATGGCTTCGAGATTGCTCACGTATCAAGTGCTCGTGGTTGTGGAATCATTCGGCGTTCTTCAAATCTGGTCGCCGACAGCTGACTAAGATAACTAATCATTTGGCAATGCGCCACGGTTGTGGCCGCTTATATAATGCTCCATGTGGCTGTTACTTGTGGCTTACACAGCCAGAATGAGGAATCAGCTGCATAAATGGCGTAACGTCACGTGCACTCGGGATTTCAAAGCTGGTCTTCGGGATTCTGTCGTGATCCATGCATTTGCCGAGGGAAAAATATAAACGACTTGAAGGCCTCAACGATCCAAGAAACAAGCCAAGAAATCGCAAGAAAATCCTCTTCGAAATACAGCCTCGAGCTCTCCGTGTCTCAAGCTAAAAACACCCCTCAAGTCACTCGTCAGCCGCGATAACAAGCGCCAATATGATCCACCACATCAACTCATCTGAGGAGCTCCAATCCCTGCTCAACTCGACAACCTACGTCGCCGTCGACTTCTTTGCCGACTGGTGCCCCCCCTGCAAGGCCATCGCCCCCGTCTTTGAGACCCTCGCCACCAAGCACAGCGTCCCCGACGTGCTCGCATTTGCCAAGGTCAACGTCGACCACGTCCAGGACGTCGCCCGCACATATCGCGTCACCGCTATGCCCACCTTTCTCTTCTTCAAGGAGGGAAACCAGGTCGCCGTTAATGGCCAGGCCATGATCCGCGGCGCTGATCCTCAGAGTCTTGGTGCCGCTGCTGAGAAGCTGGGCGGTCTAGCCCAGAAGCGGGTTGAGGCTGCCAAGAGCTCGCTGTAGACCGATCTTGTGGATGATCTGCTTCCCGTAGACTGATCTTGGTGGACGGTCTGCCTCGCTATGGGAGCTACGGACTTTATGAAACTTTGTCGCTTGGGAATTGTTGCTAGCGTTCTGCAAGGAATGGCCGTCGTGCCGGAGGGTTTGCCACGGAACTGGCATGCTAGGTCTTTGAAAAGTCATTTTAGAGTGGTAGAGGAGGATCAAAAGAATCGAATCCTTGTTCATCTTGCGCAGATTCCATTTCTTTTCGTGCACCTGGCTGGATACATCCACCGCCACGCAGGTCAACAGACCAACGAGTCAACAGAACGACAAAGACATCGAACTCTGTTGAATATAATAATAAAAAATATAGTAAAATAAGCAAATGAAGAGCATAATAGAATAAAGGTTTAGGTCTTTGTTATTTTATGTTTTATAGTTCTTATGATCCCGTCTTCCTTGTCCTTAGGGTAGGATAAGCTAATTAATCCTCTGTACCGGTGTCTCGTTTGATAAACCGCCTGCCTGCCTACGAACACCCTGTCGCCATGCTAAATCACGGGGAGGGCAGCATGTGAGAGGGCTTGAACAACAAAGTCATCCATCAGTACCTGGGAACTGGCTATCTACTCGGATACTAGCAAGAGTCCCAGCTCTCCCAGTCTCCCAGACCCCCAGTTCTCCTTGCAAGACCGTTACAGCTGCCAGTTTTTAGAGCTAACAATGCTCTCGTAGTACTTGACATCAAGACCATGACCTCGGTCAATTTTGGTGTAGAAGGAGAGCATCCCTCTGACCATCTTCCAAGTTGTTTCCACTTGCCAAACCCAATCTGGATCACCCATCTCCCACTTCTTCACCTTGATCCAGCAATGGTGCGGCTCAACAGGAGGAGCTGGTCTCCCGCGACGGATAACCCACACTCGCGAAACTAGTTGCGCATCGCGTCCATCAACAGGTTCGCGGTCAGGTGTGTCTTGTCGGTCGGTTGCGAAGCTGATCTCGGAAAAGGATAGAGGGCTGAACTCGACCTCCCCCGTGTCGATGTAGTAGCGGAAGCCTGGCCAGTTGCCTCCCAGTGAATATGTTCCCCGGCTGTATCCATGGAATCCGATGTAGGGTGCGTTCCTAGCAAGACTAGTGGAATTCATTCTGAGTATGTCGAGTGGATCGAAAAAGTCGTCGTCGCATCCCTTCCAGCGGTACCCCGTGCTGCCTCGGATTGTATGAGCGAAGAAATGGGTTTCGGCTAGTAGACGGAGGTGTCCATACCCCCCGCGGCCCCAGTTGTCATTGGGCCCTCTGGACTCGACAACATCTGGTCCATACATCTGGAACCCCTCGATGTGCCATTCCCACCCGGCAGACTGGATGGCCAAGGTCATCTCCTCAATCATGGGCAAAAACGACAAGTCGAGGTCCGTGTCGAAGTGCTCATCGTTCCATGCTGGGTCGGACACTCCTGTTGACACGTCGCTATACGGGTTCAATGCGTACGGGAAGACTGTGAGGAGCTTGCGAACTGGTATCGACCGACCCCAGTGCCCTTCGCCATGTGGGTCTGAGTCGGGGAGCTGCATCTGCCAAACTTTGAGGGTATCGCGCTTCGGGTCGAAGTGGAAGCCGCGGGTTGACTTGATGGGCCGGATTCTGTCGACGATGGCCCTGATTGATCTGCAGGAACCACGAAGATGGGCGCAGTTGTTGTGCTCAACTGGCTCCAAGGTACCCAGGAAGCCCCATCTGTCTTTGGTCCATCGAGGTTTTTCGGTCGTTGGGAGGATCATGGCCGGCAGGAGATACTTGATGATCTTGTCTTGTATCTCCCTCGGGAGACGCAGGAAGGGGAAATGCATCTCGTACTGGTGTTGTTAGCGGTGATGATTCAGTGTTGGCGTTGTGCAGCTTACCTTGCTCTGAACATGCATGACGGTGACTGTCAAGACTTGTGGTCTGGATCTGGGTGAGGGATGATGGGTAGGCTTTTCACTCAGTTAGTGAAATCGTATACTCGGGGGGTTGGACGTACAAGCTGGTTGATGCAAAAACCGAGTTGGAAAATAAGATGGAGAGTCCTGGGGCTTCGAGAGATGTCAACGAAACGGTAGCGGTTGGAAGGTGAGAATGATCGAGGGAAGCGGATGCACAATGACTTGTGCGAAAAGGATGAAATGTCGAGATGGAAATTTTAAAGACCAGCTGAATCACCAGCTAAGATGCAAATCTAAGATGAAAAAAAAAGGGAAAAGTGAAGACGAGGTAGAGATTATACCTTATGATATTATGAAATTCTTCCCACAATGGTAATATCTGGCAAACCATGGGAACCCATTTAATTACCATTTTGAGCCAAAATTCCAAATTTGAGGTGAAATTGGACAATATCGAGACTGTGATTCACTGTCGACTCATCATGCACTGACAAAACTGACGAAGGAAGCTTCCCGCATTTTTGATGTGCGCTTCCCAAAACGGCAAATAAAAAGCCAGGCGATGGCCATAACCGTCTATTTAAGAGCACTGACTCCTCAGCTCTCATTTGACTTGTTGCATCGTGGTGCTGGCCAGCAAAGAACGAAGAGTGAATGAAGCAAACCAAACCCTCACTGCCAATTGAGACAACTGAACTGGCGATGCTCTGTTTGTTGAACTAGGCAGCCTTGTCACACAACAATGAGCCTGACCCACCTGTCAAGATATCATAGGGTCGTATTCGTACCCGCATCAACTCCCCCGACCTTCATCTTCATGCTCTGGGACCCAACGTTTGGGCCTTTTTTTTTACTCTACGTTCGAGGCTAGACTTATAACTCTTGATAAATCTTGCTACAAGCTCGAAATTATTCGCTGAGTTCAGTGCTCTGTACCTTGGTCAGCGCCGAGTTTGCACCTTCATGCTAGTCGGAAATGGCTCATATGGCATCTCCCGAAGCCAAGCGACTTAAGACTACCCTTGCAATGTCGAAATTTTGCACGTTCTGTACCCGCGCCGGGATGCATGAGATTGGATACGTGGAGTCGTTATCTGGCTCTATGCACCTTGAGGATGAAGAGTAGTTCTGTTTCAAACCAATCGCATGACAAGCTTGGTGCTGACTGCATCCCATAGGTCTGATGAAGCACCGGCCGTGGAGGAATCTCTCGACTTGGAGATGGAAGATGGAAGCGAAGATGATAAAGTGGAAACCGATGCTGAAGAAACCGTCGAAGAAGAAAGCGACCAAGGCGGGGAAAATCGCGTTCAAGCGAGAAGACAGCTGCAAACATTGTCCGATATCAAAGCATCCATGGACATCTGTCTTCTCTGCGAAAAGATTTGGTCGGCTTTTGAGAAATGGGCCACAAAGAAGTATGATTCTCTCCACCGCATAGACCTATCGACATCGGGTGTCACCATCTGGCCGACAGAGCTTTCGGAGAAATGGAGACTTTACGAAGAAGACGCATCTTACGGAAGATATACGGGAGGAACTCTGTCGATTCTTCGGGTAAGGATCCGAGTACAAGATCCTGATGACTTGGAGGAATGGCTTGAGCCTGAGGTCAAGTTCCAAAAATGCGACGAGAGCATTTTGAGGGTGGCCGACATTTTTGACACAGCCGATAACGATAGTGTGGGTGACCCGTTATCATGGCCGGATACAGAACCGTACATTGGGAGGAGACGGCCTCTTGTGGCCGACTTGCGTTTGTTTCGGAAGTGGAAGAGCTTCTGCGATGCGGCTCACGATGGAAACTGCCAGCCCGGGCGAATTCCGCTCGGATCACGATCTCTACGGTTCATCCGACTCATCAACGTCGAGACATACTCTATCGTAGAAATAGAAGCTATTGAGCAGGTCTCGTGGGTTGCGATAAGCTACGTTTGGGGCAAGAAGCACTTCCGCACTCTGACAGGAGCTACGCTTGAAGAGCTCAAAATGGACGGTGCTTTGAAGGCATCTTGGATTCCAGAGACCATCGCAGATGCGATCGCGGTTACTAGAGGGGTCGGGGAGAAGTATCTTTGGACTGATAGCCTGTGCATCATCCAAGATTCAGTTCCTGACAAGATGCACTTTGTGCCACGCATGGACATCATCTACGGACGTGCAACTCTGACCATCGTCAATGCGGCTGGAGACAATGCATTCAGCGGCCTGCCAGGTGTTAGAACTGGGACAAGATACCAAGAAGAGGAGCCATTCTCGATCTTGGGCGACAAAGATACTGACGAAGAACCTACGTGGCTTGTTCAAACGCATGAACCGATACGAACAAGCCGTGAGCTCGTCGGAGACTCTTGCTGGTTCACGCGCGGATGGACCTATCAGGAAGCTATGCTCTCACAGCGTTGGCTCATCTTTACTCCCGAACAAGTGTATTGGGAATGCCGACAAGCAACTTGGCGAGAGGATGCATGCTGGGAACTTCCCAAATGGCGTGAAAAGAAGCAAACCGTCATCTACGACCCGGCCTTCGATAGCCATCTTCTTCAGGATCTTTGGAACCCGTCTTCGGCAAAGAGCTTCGACATGACCTACCAAACACTTGTGGGTAACTACCTAAAGCGGGACCTTACTAACGAGAGTGATGGTCTCGACGCGATAGGGGGAGTCTTGAGGGCTGTGACAGAGGTAACTGGGTTCGAGTTCCTTTGGGGCTTGCCTAAGGAGTTTTTTGCTGTGACAATTGCCTGGCCGTGCTGTCTACAACGGCCGCATCGACGCACGGGGCGGTGCCGTATCGAGGTCGGAAGCGGCGATGAGAGCGGAGGAGTCCTAACGACAGTCCAGGCATGTTTCCCTAGTTGGTCGTGGGTCGGCTGGGTAGGGGATATTTTGACCGAGCCTAGTGATTTCGTGGGACCTACTGCCGGCTTGGAGTTCTATCACATCGTGAGCGGTGATGCGGGCGAGGACGATCTTGTTCTGAAGCACATTCCACGCGAAGAAAAGCCTTCGCAAGCTGCGTATGAGCCGTCGCGGTGGAAGGACCCTGTATGGAGAGGAGATACAGGCGCCGAGATCAGTCTGAAGGACATACCCACAGCGCTGCTAGTGCCAGAGACGCAGTTTTCACTGTTGGTTCTATGGACTAGCATCGCGGAACTCTCATTTGAGAAAGACACGAGCGTTCCCGAGGACAGCGACTGGGAGGATATCTATGGCTTGTGGGTCAACGAAGATACAAAAATGGACGTCATCTGGGACCAGTATCCGGAGTTTATCAATGACTGGAAGGGAAAGAAGGCAGAAGATCGCTTGAAGAGGCGGGTTGAATGCATCGTGATTGGACGAGACAGCTTAGACAGAGGTCGAGAACAGGGCCGACTCAGTGTGCTTTTGGTCGAGACGCACTCACATGGTGGGATATCGAGGATTGGCAATGTGTGGTTCTGGGAGCATGAATGGGATCAGCTGGCAAACAGAAGATGGGAGATGGTGTATCTTGTATGAAACACTGGTGTATTTACGGCAGCTCGAAAGCTTGGTTTTCGCAATGCTCTAATCAGTCGCAAGAATAGAGGTCAATTTGATAAACCTGAATGGTAGACTCGGTGGAATGAACCCCCCCCTTACTCAATGCTTTACTAACATCGCCCGTCTTGGAACTATTTCAGAAAAAGTTCGAGCTTACTGCAGGGTTACTCCTATGATATGACAGTCGTATCTGAGCAAGATTCTCCTCTCAGAATGCCTCTCACATGGCGAGGAGCTTCATCAGAAGACTCTGGTCTGCTTCTGTTTGAAGCCCTTGCTGAGCAGTTCTCTGGGCTGTCTCTGCTCCAGAAGTGATGGCCTTTGAGATCTCAGGTGCAGCAGAGGGAAGCCTATTGGTCTTCTCATTGATCTCGGCCACGCGCGACTCCATCGCTCCCCTGGTTTTGGCTTGTCTCTGTAAAATGTGTCAGCTTGGTGATGGAACAAGGATCTTAACTTCGCCTCTCACCTCCTTTGCCTTCCTTGAAATGTCGTCAGTTGCCTGCTTTGACCATTCTTGGAGCTGGTTTGCTCTTCTGCGAATCATGCTAGAGTCTTCACTTGGGTCGCAAGAGGAAATCTCGTCGACCATACGAAGTCCCGGGAAGACGGATGATCGCGAGATCTGGGTCCACATGGAAGCAATGTCGCCAAAGACCGAGTAGTAAGATCGAATGGTAATGAGGCTATTGAAGCATGACTGAAACAGTTGTCAGCCAAGTTTGCGGTATAGGGGGATCGACTTACATTTTGTTGCAGGTCTGTCAAAGTATACGGTCCGAGCTTGTAGGATTCGCCTGGATCGCCACCATCGTTGGTGATCACCTTGATAGTCTCAATGTATGGGTTGAAATGCTTCTCGGCGACGAACTGGATGATAGTCGTGATGGCCTTGAAGAACCGCACGAGATTTGTAACCTCGTTCTTGAGTTTCACGGCCAATGTGATGCAATGAATGAGGATCGACTTGATTGCATCCTGAAAGTAATGGTCAGCTGAAGTTTTATGGGCTGCAATAGCTAATGGGGATATTTACCATCTTCAGGTTCGAAGACTGGAGGCGGTCCAGGGAGGCATTAAGCTCACTCAACTTATTCTGCTGCTCACCAAGCAGCGCAGTGGACTTCTGGTAGGTCTCCTTGCTTGCAGTCAAGGCTGCCGATGCAATGTTGAGCCGATTCCTGGCTGATTCAAGAACTGCCTGGGCTTGTGATGTCTTGGCATGGATCTGAGCTGCTTGGGTCGCTAGGTCAACACCTTCAGCTGGCACGCCGCTCTGTTGCTTGTCAGCATGCGCCATATGTGGTCTTTGAGGGAAAACTTACTCCATTGGCTGTCGATCCTGGGAGAGACTTGGCGGTTGTGTTCAGCTCGACTGCCTTTGCATACGCGCTCAGGAAGTCCTTCTGCCAACCTTTGACAAGAGCCGAATCCTTTGCTGGTGCGCTGTAGGTGAAATCCTTGGCCTTGTCCAGCTCGGCGACTATACCAGCTGTGATCTAGCCATCATTAGCTTGGATACTTGCAGTGAGCAATACATGAATAACCTTGCAGACTGTTTCCAAAGCTACCTTGTATTGCTGACTGGGCTCTGCAGAAGTGGCCAAAGAGGCAAACGTCTGTTGCGAATTACCCAGCATCTTGGCCGCAAATGCGGTAGACTTGCCCGCTTCTCCATTTGCCTTGTCCCAGTCAATGCCGCCGTCTACACCAATGAAGATGGCATTAATGAGACCCCAATAAATCAGGTCACGTCCGACCTGGTTGTAAGCAGGGTCGGCTGCATCCTTCGGGCTGGTCGCACTCGAAGCCGTTACCACGCCGTTGTCGGGCGTCGCATTGTTGTTGTCACTTTGGCCTATGATGCCTTTCGCCATATTGGCGTACTCTGTAGCCTTTGCAACAGGGCTCAAGTTGGATGCCAGGGTGGGAATGGCTTGGTTCAAGGCGGTGGTCAAGCTATCGGCCAGCTGTTCGACAATGCGCTCACCAAGGATGTCCCAACTGAACATGTCAGCCAAATGTGAACTAGAGTTGGAGCTTAACGACAATACCCACCCGGTTGGGAAACCGTCTGAGGCCTTTTTGTATGCCTCAGTTGCTGCGTCAAGGGACTTTTCAAGGTTCCTAGTAACAGCCTTGGCCTCATCGCCAGTCTCCTCTCGATAATCAATTGATGCCTTGGTGACAGCCAATCCGATCTCGTTCACAGACAGCTGGTCATGGTTGGAAGCCTGCGTCGCGATACAGGCCAAATGAAGCTCGGATGCATGGTTGAGCCACTGTTCAAGCTTCTCGTCGATAGATCTGGCAGCTTCGTAGCATTCCAAAGATGAACGGCACAATCTATCCAACTGTACTCGAAGCATCCTCCTTGCGTCCTGTGGGCTGTAGAGGATTTGCAATGCATCATCAACCTGGGGCTAGTTAGTATCTTGACCTGTTCATTATTGAAGTACTCACGATTTCGTAGAACTGTCGCGACAACATGTTGATCTTTTCCATGCTTGACTCTGTCTGAATAAAGGCAAATCGTCCCAAGTCGGTGCACCTTACCAAATTGGGCCTGAGTCCGTACTGGCCACCGAAGTCACTAAATCTAGTTCAGTAACTGTTTCAGCAATCTGGGAGACAACACTTACACCAAGTACTTGAACCCGTCCCTGGGAGGGGTAAAGGTGACATTGGCATCTGGAGAGCCTGCAGCGATTATGCAAGCGCTGATGCAGTTCAGAACAACTGGGCTTGACATGAGGAGATTCTCCCATCGGAATTGGAACAAAAGGGAGTCCTTCGTCTCGCGCATCATGCGTTCAGCCGTGGCGCTAGTGTCCTCCTTCCTCGCCAGGAGGTCAATTTGCTGGGAAGAGAGAGCCATGATGGTTGCTTCGAGAACGTCGATGTTTCGAAATGAAAAAAGAGAGGTTTTTGATTGCAGAATAGGCTCCTGTGCTTGGTCAGGCGAAGGCGAAGCATTTATGCAGTTAGCATGGGATTCTTTTTAAAAAAGACCGACCCACACGAGGTAACATCGAGTACTCTTTATGGACATCTCTCCGATGTTCGGTTGCTAGTCTTGGGCTGTGTTTTCGTCAGCTTACATGGGCGATCTAGACTTTCGCCTTCATTTGTCCGATTTCTGTCTCTGGCTGGCTGAAAGTCCAACGTCAAGGCCATCTCTATCTTCGTGGCGGGCTGAGGTTCCACAAGTTGTTTCTGTCTTCACGGCTAGCTAAACTTTCAGAGGTTATTTCTATCTCTATGACTGGCTGAAGTTGCAGAGATTGTCTCCATCTCCGTCACTAGCTAATGGTCTGGCATCGAGACCGATCTATCCATACAGCCTGCCGAAGCGCTAATACCAACTTGTGCACATATCCAATAGTCTTATGCAAGCGACCCCACCTTGGCTATATTGTCTGAGAGCTGAGACAAAACACCTATAGTCCCATCAGCTGATGGATAAGATACAAAACCATCCGTATTTGGCTGGCTGAGAATGCGACTAGCGGAGCCCGAACCTGTATTGGAAGAGACTATCAGCTATCTGCTCAGCCGCACTGGAGCATCCCCGCACATCCATCTAGAATCACCTGTGAAAGTCATCAGCGAACTTGGTGAGTATTCCAAAGGCCGAGACTATAGCATACTGCCTATTTCAGTTACAGGTACATCGTATAATGATATTGGCTCTTTAGTGCGGCCGTTTTGGCAATACATATATTTTGGTACTGAACCTCTCTCATTCAACTTTCTTGAACCATCATCAAACACACTGCTTTTTTTCTTTTATCTCTCTGAAGCACTCAAACTCTAGGAATCATGGCCTTGGCATCACCTTGGACTGTGACACAGCCTGCCTTTGGATTTTCTCAGTTCCCCCAGCTCATACCTGCATTTCCTAATGTCTCAAGCCGCCGCGCCAGGTCTCTACGAGGAACTGACCAGGAGACTTGAGATCTACAAGCAGACGCTGGCTGCCCAAGATGGAGTGCTCCGTTCTGTCGTCAAAGACAATCTCACCCTGGCCGTCAACCGGCTAGAGATAGCACTTCTTCAGCTCTACAAGCTCGCCGTATTCATCCGTGGTGACTATGATGAGCGAGAAGACGACGATTTGCAGAAGAATATTGTTTTTGATCAGTGTTCTCGGGCTTTTGGTGATTGTCAAGCGGCTTCCCGGATGGGCCTTGAGCAGCTGAACAGTATCCATGTACGGGTAGGTGGCATCAAGGTCTATGGCCGATGCTCAATGCTCACAACGTCAGGTCACATCTTTTCAGACGGATGAAATCCAGCAGCTGCAGAGGGATGTCCAGCGAGCGCTGGACCAAACCAAACTGGAGATGGACGCAATCCGCCAGCAGGCCGAGCAGAATCAGCACGATGTCGAAGTATGGACTCGACAGAAAGAAGAGGCTGCAGATGCCCTGCAACGAGCCCAAGATGAGAGAGAGAACACGGCAAGAGAGAGAGAGATCGGAGACATCTTTTTGGTAAGAGTGAAGAACACTATTGAGATATCTGGAACTGAAACTAGGTGCAGTTTTTCGGAGGGTTTGCGATGGGCGACGTTGAGGGAAACATGCGAAAAATCGAACAAGAGAGGAGCAGGTTGAACAACGCACAGGAGCAGTGGATGAAAGCGCGCAACTCTCTCATCGAGGTGATGCACCGGCAGAACGAGGTCAATGTTAGGCGCGTTGCTTTGGAGCAGGTCGCTCAGCAGATGCCTACACTTCAGGTGATGACGGATGGGCTCAACAAGGACTTGGCTGCACTCCTGGGTGGATTCACTGATCTCAAGGACAAGGCGACTCAACTGTTGCTCCTCATCGATGAGATGAAGAATCGCGCTACGGTTACGATGAGGCAGGCATACAAGAAGGCCATGTTTGCTGAGGGGATCCTTAATCTCTGCCGTATGGCACTCATCGATGGCCGTGTCTGCGACGAGGTCGAGACAATCACTCTTGAGATTTCTAGCGGCTACTCTGGCCAGACTATTCCGGAGAGCGTCTCCAAGCTTCTGACTGAGGTGGGACAAGCTGCTAGGGAAACTACGCAGAAGTCCATCACTGGCTAGCGGGGGATAAAGAATGAGAGGCATAAGCCACGTAGGAGTCATGATATATCCTTGTTGAGTTTCAAGTATGCCTGGTCTGCAAGTCAATTTATAGAAAAATGATGAAAAGCCTTGGCTGCAAGTGTGCTTCTGAATCATGAGGGATGTCTCACCATAGCGTCAACAACTGCCTATAGATATTGTGCAATTCTGGCCCTTTGCCCGCATCAACATGATAGGCTGCGGGGTCAAGGAAAACATTTTTCAAAAAGAGATAGATCTAGATGTCAAGACCGCTGGCGTTAGCAAATGATACTGGCCTCGTCTGTTGCTATTCTTACATCAAGTTCATATTTGTAAAGATCAACCAACCTTTCGCCGCAAAAGCTCATCCGACGTCGTGGTAGATCCATATTGACTTCATATAGATAAAGGATTATCATGTCCGACGCCAGAATAGCCATGAGGTGCTCGACTGTATACCTTGAAAAGCACTTGCAAGCACATAACTGGCTTGCGAGGGACCCATAAGCGGAGAGCGGAGCTATCTAAATGTACCCTCTTGTGCCTTTTTTTACTCTAATAATGCCTGATGACGTCTTGGGCGGGGTTGGATATTGTATAAATATGTACCTTTCTTCTGCCTCTTGCCGTGCTTTTCCAGCCATTTTGTGTTAACTCTCGTGTCACTCTGCACCTTTTTCCGCTTGTACACCATTGACAATTACAATCACCCACCATGAGCAACCACACTAAAGTTGTTGACGGCGTCGTTGTGACCGACACTGACGTAAGTCACTGCTGGTCTTTCCTTTTCAGCTGCGTTGCACGTCTCTGACAGCTGAGCAGATTCTATCTCTGATGGACTGGACAAACGTGTATGATGACATTGGCGGCGACATGCGCTGGGGTGAAGATATCGCTGAGCAAATCAAGGAGCGGGGATTGGATGGCGATGTCAAACCACTCTACGGCACATGTTCCTATACGGGAGAATGCATGTTCTTGATGTAGGTTGGCGATAAGGACTTCCTCTTTTGGAATGCCCTTGATGATTCTATGTACCTTGTGAAGGGGGGTTTGGACCTCCAAACCATTGTGGGATCTATCGACGACCAGGGTTTCAATGGACTTGATCTAGAAGAAGTCTGAGTGAAGGATCAGGCAGCCATACAGTCGGAGACAAATATCTCCAGGGAAAGAGGGGAAACCAGAAAAATATAACCTCTTCATTAAACGTGAAGCATGACATGAATCCTGAGCTTCCCCCTCAAGAAATCCTTTATGACTACGCACTCTTGATAGTGGCATAAACAAAGTTTTCCTGCGTTCCCTATGCCACTGTGACAAGATATTTACAATTGTCACATGGAGGGATGATAAACAGGCCTTTGCCGGGGTTTTGACTGTCTTCCTTGTGCATATCCTTTGGCGAGTATTTGTCTTTCAACACGTAGAACCTGAGGTATTTCGGCTCCGTGTTGTTAGCCATTTCGCTAGTAATCCGTGGAAGAGAACAAGAATCCCGCTTTCTATTGATAATAAATACTTTCGAGAATGCAATAATAGTTATACAGGTATAACAGTATCATGGTTTGCCTTCGTAAGAGAAGTGCTAACACTTATTTTTGTCTCACCAATGTGCACTGATACCGCCTTTATGTACTAGAAAGGTTATTCCCTGTTAGGCTTAGTACTATCCTGGTGACGTCGCCAGCCCAGGCGGCTGTGTATATAAATGTTCCTCGACCATCTCCTCCCCATCACAATCACTGACATCAAGAACTCAACCATCACGTCTTACTCCACCACCCTCACCCAGGCCATTCACATACCAGTCACTCAACATGAGCAATTACACCACGGTCTCCGACGGTGTAGTAGTGACCGACAATGGGGTACATTCTATGGCCTTCCCAATTCTTGCCACCCAGTGTGACTGACAGCTTCAATCTAGATCCCGCCCCCAGAGAACTGGGTCAATTCATATGAGGATATGGGAGGGGACATGCTTTGGGGAGAAGGCGGCCAACTGGAAGACGAAGTCCGTGGACGTGGCATTGAGGGGGATATCAGGCCGCACTACGGTATGGCACCCTACACGGGAGAGGCACTGTACCTCTTCGAGGTTGGTAGCGGCCAGTTCTTCTTCTTCAACGCTATTGATGGGTCTATGTTGCAGATCAGGGATCAGAGTGATCTCAAGAGCATTGTGGATATCCTTGATGATCCCAACCAAGGCTTACCCGCGCTTGATATTGAGGAGGTTTAGCTCCGCACTTGAGTATATTTAGACCACATTTCATCATCACACGAGTAGAACAATCACCCAATCCAGGGCTCATTATGCATCGTGATTAAAGAAGGAGGCGGGGAGTCGCTACAATAAGCAGGTTTCAATCTCTTATCAGATTATGCAGTCAGATATCATATGCCAAGCGATCTCCATGCAGTCTAGGCAGTCAACAAGAGACATGCTAATCTCGCTTAGTCCAAGATGTCAACATCATGTCAATCAACGGCACGGCACTTTCTCAACGACAGGCTTACATCAATTCTCCCTCGCGGCCTCATCATGGAGCTTTGACCTCCGATTTCAGCTGAAATAGCGTTTTAAGGCAAGATCTACCGCCAATCCTTGGTTGTCAGTCATAAAAGCGGGATATTGGAGAGCAGGGAGCGGGGTTCTAAGACAACAAGATCTAAATTGGGAAATGCCGCTGGCTATCCACAGGCATGTTGACAGCTGAATCTGTACTTGCCGATCACTATGATGGAAGTGGCAGGGTCTGCATATGCCAACTAGGTCGCCACCTAGGGGCTGGGAAAACCAATCTGGCAAGACTGGTAAACTCTCTATGCTGTTTTTGGCTCACTGCATGTTCCCAGCCAAGCTTACCAAATCTGCGGCATCTTTAAGGGCCAGCGGAACCTCGGCAACAGATTCATGCCTGACGTAGCACGTCGCATAGTCAACCCCTTTAACTGTTGCTATCTACGAAATTAGATATTTTGAGATAAACAGCGATAGAAAGTTTATGTACTTCTTTTTTGTTAATAGAGCACGAAATATGTGTATTAGGGTGTGGTTGTGAATTATATTAGCTAGCATTATTATAAAGAAACGCACTAGATATGATGCCTCCCTGAATAGATTGCCCTCCAAGCTCGGCAAACCAAAGCTGGCTGTGATGATATGCTGCCACCACCGGTCCATAGTGACGGGCTAGGGCCGCGATATGCATGAGAACTGGACGACCGTCGGTCAAAACTGGCCACCAACTGAGGTTAATGATGCCGTCGATACCACGGAAGTCAAGCATCGCGGGATCGATATATGGCCAGCCTGCCTTCCGCAGACTTTCCATCGTCCCTAGTAGCCTCAAGACTTTGGGTGGGAGAACTCTCGGGTCTCCCGTGAAGCAGAAGTTGCCAAGTCTGTCTAGTACCGCAATAGCTTCTTAAGCACTATCCTAAAACCTTAGGCACCGGCTACTGTGAATCGCCGCTCTATCTCGCTTACCGCCAGCTTAAATACCCTCGCGAAGGCTTTTAGCACCCCAAGGAATACCTGAAGGGGAAACCTCCTGAGGATCCACGAATATGACTGCTTTTCCTTAAGGAAGAATCTCCTCAGATGAAAGATGGAGCGAATAACGTTGGTAAAATCCCGCCGAACCCGCACTAGTTGATTGATATGAATTGTGACAACCTGTTCGAAACGGAACGAGAACCTCTCCTAAGCTTGTAGCACTTCTAAGGGCGCTTATAAATGTTGATAGGACCTCGACTTGGGAACAAAGTAGAGAGCATTTTCTTTTGCTTTGGCGTGATGGGATCTTTCACAGTCCTTTTACGTGTCCGTGGTGGAGAGGTGCCGTCTCGGCGCCCGGCCCGTCCCGAGGCGTTGGGTCCAGACCACATGCCGCTATCTAGGTAGGTACAATAAGGGCTAAGTGGATATCCGCGCCTTCTAGATCAAGGACTGCGCCTCTTATCGCACAGATACTGAAGTGCAGAATAGGAAGACCGGGTGTTTTCAACATGGCTACTCTCTATGGGGTACACTTGGCCGTATTGCTAATCTAGAGTGCAACTCCGGCCATCAACCTATTATTATGTCCTTTATAAAAATATTTAATTGACTTTTCTAAGAACAAGTATTAGAAACAAACCGCTATAATCAAGTATCTATCTTTAGCTTACTTGTTTTTTAATGACAGCTTCGTCGGACGTAAGATCAAAGAAGTCTAGTAAAGCTAAAGACACAATGCTATAAAACACGGACCTTTAAGTTACCTACTCACATAAGGATTTCAAGCTTCATTACTTTATAGTAGAGAGAGAAATAGCGTCTTAAGCCTACCTTGTTAGGCAGTTCCTGGAGGCCCTCCCATCCACGGACAGCCGGCTGTGCATTTGATATGCCGGCTGTGCGTGTATGAGAAGTCTTCCCTCGGTACTTGCTGACATAATTTGGGCATCTAGACAACGCCACACAGGAGCCCAAGTATTACTCTCCAGAGAGCTGGAAATGCCTCAATTTAGAATCAAACATTCATCGAATTTGATGCCCCAAGCTGTCTCGATGGGCTCACACTCCGATACAAAGCGGCTGACAGAAACCGACTACAGCCATCAGCTGGCTGACTATGCCAGCAAACGGCACCCTGGTACACTCAACTGGCTGTTAGAATCGGCCGAGTACAGGGCATGGCTCGAATCTAGTCCGCAGACGCTGTTCTGTTTTGGCGAGCCTGGGACCGGCAAGTCCGTTGCAGCCTCTTTCCTTGTCCAAGACTTAACGCAGAGACTTCGCGGGGATGAGCCAGATGGCGTCTCAATCGAGAGGAAGGGTCAACAGACGGTCGCCAACGTTGCCTATATCTTCTTCGACTCGCTCCGCCATGCAGAACAAAGATACAAGAATATAGCCCTCTGCATCACAGAACAGCTCGCTTCGAGACAGTTGCCTTCAAAGAAACCGGAAGACCCGCCATGGAGGGATGAGAGTAATTGGCGTCTTCATGACAGCCCCCCTGAGGTGAGCATTTCCCGCTATCTAAAAGAGCAGATCGCGGGCCATGCAACTCATTCGACGGTTTTTCTTATCCTTGACGCGCTGGACGAATGCCCCGAAACCTCCCGTACAGCATTACTCGCCCTCCTCGCCGAGGTCCAGAGAGAACATCTTCCCCTGAACGTGCTGGTGACATCGCGAAATCTTCGGGCTCCAGCTCCGGCAATTCAGGGACAGTTTGAAAACACCGCGAGGCTCGAAATAAATGCCAGACAGCAGGATCTGGAAATATACATGGCTGATAGATTGCCGTCGGACATTTGGAGTCGGAAAGATGTCATTTCGAAAACTGTGAGAGCGGCAGACGGACGGTATGCGCTTCCGAATTGACAATCAAAGGAACCTTGAGCAAGGCGACTAACATCATTCTCTAGGTTTTTGCTGGCTAAAATCTATCTCGAGCTCCTCGTATCGATGCCATCACCCGAGACACTTAATTTCATAGCCCCAGAGCCAACCGGCCCGGACGGTTACGACGATCTGTACAGCAGCGTCATGGACAAGATCGCCTTACAGCCTCCTCACCGCGCACATCTTGCGGAGCGCTGTCTCCCGTGGCTTACATTTGCTAAGCGACCTCTGTCTATACCGGAACTACAAGAGGCGTTGGCGATACCCACCGACCGAAGTGCTGGGCTGAGCTTTGAGGACAGTCCCGCCGGCATTGCATCCGTTGTCTCCTCCTGCGGTGGGCTTGCACGCCTGGACTGCATCAACGGCATTTCCTGTATCCGGTTGTATGACCGAACGACCCGGGACTATCTCCGCCGACGACTATCAAGCGCCGAGGCCGATGTGGGAAGAATATGCGTCGCATATCTCTTGAGTAGATCCGACAGCGGCGCTTGCAAGACAGACGAGGACCTCATAGAGCGACTACGATTGAACCCACTGTACGGCTACGCCGCACATCACTGGGGACAGCACATCCAAAACATCTGCACCCCGCCGCTGTCTGACACGGTGATCCAAGACTTCCTTGGCGACCGGACAAGGTGGGAGGGGGCCCTGCAGGTCGAACACACCGTAGCCCAGATGCGGCTCAGAGGGTTCAAGCAACCTTGCAATTATATTAGCCAAAGTTACCCTAAGAGGACAGAGAAGATTCATCTTGCGGCGCGCGCTGGTGCGGCCAACCTCATCGCTGCGCTGCTCGCACAAAACAATGGATCTGCTATTATCAACGTTAGAGATAATGATGGTCGTACAGCGCTCTCGTACACCGCACAGGCAGGCAACGATGATATCCTTGAGGTGCTTCTAGCGGACTCGTCTTTGGACGTCGACGCAAGAGACTGCGAAGGTCGGACTCCCATATCCCATGCAGCAGAAAACGGCCACGCGTCTGTCGTGTGCCGACTCCTCGAGCGTGGTGCGAAACCTAGCTGGAAAGACCTGAACAGGGCCTCTCCGTTGTGGTATGCGGCGCAATACGGCCATGTTGCTGTGGTGAGAGTGCTCCTAGACTGCGGACATCTATCCGACTTGAACCCGCGACCAAGGTACTCTCGCAACACCCTCACAGACAATACACCTCTTTCATGTGCGTTGAAAAATGGGTTCAATGAGATTTCGGAGATGCTGGCGCGAGCGGAAGGTATTGACGCTCACGCCGAGGTTCGATTTTCAGATGGTACCACCACAGTTCTTGAACTGGCCATACGAAACAGGTATGAAGCCATCGCCCTCAGGCTCCTCCATAAGTATGGCATCGGCCAAAGCTCCGACTACCGCAAGCCTGGTGGTGAGTTGCTGGTTGTCGCAGCTGGCATCGGGAGCACGAGACTTGTCGAGAGTTTGGTTGCAATGCATGGCGTTGACCCAAATACGACATATCCGGACAACAGAGAGCATGAGTTCCAAGGACTTTCGCCCCTTATGGCAGCAGCGAAGAAAGGACATGGTGATGTCGTCGCATTATTGCTTGACACTGAGGCCATTCGGCCCGACGCAAACCATCACGACGGTACCGCGCTTTCCCTGGCGGCAAAAAACGGATTTCGAGACATTGTCGATATGCTAGTGGCGGAAAAAAGCGTAGAGGTAGACCGGAAAGATGCCAAGGGACGCACTCCCCTGTCATTTGCAGCAGAGGGTGCTCACGAAGACGTGGTGGAAGCCCTGCTCATGAATGAAACAGTCAACCCCGACTGCCGAGACAACCAGGGGAGAACGCCACTCTCTCGAGCGACGGGCAGGAGTTACGCTCGTAACTACAATGGTGTGGTTAGGAGGCTGCTTGCTGACGCTCGGGTCGACCCCAACTCTAGAGATATGAAGGGCCACACTCCTCTCTACTATGCGGCCAAGATGGGAGACGCAAGTCTAGTCAAACAAATCCTAGATCATCCTGGGATAGACTTGGGTTTTGGAGACAAGAGGGCGCCGCTGGTTGTGGCTGCTAGCGAGGGCCATGTTGGCGCGGCCAAAGCTTTTCTCCAGATGGGATGTTTCGATGTGAACGCCCCCATGGCGTATTCGGACGAGGGTTTGGAGAGGACCCTCCTGTCACTGGCCGCAGGGAGCGGACACATAGACATGGTTGAGTTGTTGCTTTCCCAGCCTGGGATAGAGCCACACAAGAGGGATTCTCAAGGCTGGACGCCGTTGGCTATGGCGGCCTTGAAAGGTCACGCGGCCATCGTTGAGAGGCTCTTGACGGTCGAAGGTGCCGACCCAAACTCTCGGGATATAAGAGGCTGGACACCGCTGCGTATGGTCGCCACAGCAAAGTACAGTTCCATTGGCACTGTGAGGGCGTTGCTACGGGCAGAAAACATCAATCCAGACACCCCAGATCTCGAGGAGAGAACGCCACTATCAGTGGCATGCGAATACTTCAAATTGGAGTTGGTCGACCTCCTCCTCGCCTCCGATGGCGTCGACCCAGACTCAAGGGATAACGCGGGTCGAAGCCCTCTCTCATGGGCTGTTGATCCGTCGTACTACGCGGAGGAATATCTATTTCAACTCATCAATTGACTGGCAGAAGAAGGTTATGCGACGACTTCTCCGGATCCAGGCGGTAGACCCCAATGCCGAAGACGTGGAGGGGCTGACGCCACTCATCCGGGCCATCCAAGGCCAGGATGGCAACGAGCTTGTGCAAGTTCTGGTTGAGCGGAAAGATCTCGATGTGTGCCGACGAAGCCGGGATGGACGTACGCCTATAGCATTCGCGAGAAAGATGGGCGATTCGGCGGTCACATCGCTGCTACGCGAAAGAGCTGCCTTGAACGAAGGCAGCGGGCTGTCTGCAGCTGTTGGTAATCCTCAACACAGCTCTTCAGATGACAACCCTAACGTGGGAAACCTGAGACTGCCACGCAGAGGAGAGGAATCGGCTGATTTACAAGCTGGCCTACAACGGCGACGTTCATCTAGCAGCTCCGCGAGCTCGCTTTCGTCAACAAAACGTGACTTGCAATACCAATTGGTTCGAAAGATCCTCCTACCACTGGGCGCGCAACAAGAACATGTCGACTTGGTAGGGAGTAATGATGCAGGCCTGTGCGCAAGGTGCAACACCATCGACCTGGACGAGGCGTTTTCCATGCGGAAGGCCGCCAGTGGGGTGTATCTTATTGCGGAGCTGGGGAGAATTGACGCAATCTGGAAGGCGGGGGAATGCCCCATGTGCCGATTGATTGCATCGGTCAGCCCTCGTCGTGCCGAGGGAGATATCGAAGAGGAAGATCATGAGCTTGACCTAGTCGCCTTCTCCAGCACGGGAGTATGGCTCTGCAACAACCAGCTAGATTCATGGCAACACTTCCCAGCTCGCTGGATCGACACTCTGTGGCTTGGTGTTGTTCCTCGTTGGATACGAGTTGGAAGAAACGTGGGATCTGCCCATTCCCTTCTCAAATCGGGCTGTATCGGCCGGCTCGGGTCCAATTGCGAACACGGGACACGTGCCATCACTATTTCTCGCGTGGGAGACGGAGCTGACCTTGCTGCTGCAAAGCGCTGGATTGAGTGTTGTCGCGAGGAGCATTCGCGGCGGTGTAACCCTCGAACGCTGGCCCGCGTGCCGCATTTTCGGCTCATTAATTGCGGGACGAGGAGGATAGTCCAGCAGGGTGACTAAGTTCCTTCGTATGTGGCTCTGAGCTACGTATGGGGGCCTCCTCCTGCTGCTGGCTTAGGAGAGAAGCGCAAGTTGAAATTTGGCGACAGCGACCTCCCACGGGATGGTCTTGACATAGGAGAGTGTGTCGAGGCTGTCGTAGAAGATGCCATCCGCGTCACGCTGGGGCTCGGATGTGAGTTCCTGTGGGTGGATAGGTACTGCGTCCTCCAGGAAGGGGATGGCAAGGTGAAGGAAGAACAGTTGCAGAACATGGACCTGGTGTACGCCAATGCCGAGGTGACGTTGGTGGCCGCAGCCGGACAAGCATCCTCTGGCCTCCCCGGCGTAAATAGTCGATGCCCTCGAGTGTCACAGCCCGCCGTGCGGATCAAGGGCCATGCCCTCACGTTGATCCCCCCAGATCCCGCCTGTCAAGTCAGGTCTTCGGCATGGATGACGCGGGGGTGGACCTACCAGGAGGGGCTGCTCTCCCGCCGCCGCCTCTTCTTCTCGGAGAGCGAGATGTCGTTTGAATGCCGCGGCCTCCTCGCCCGTGAGGCCATCCGCCTCCCCCCCAGCGTCAAGAAGCAGATGCGCCATCCGGACGTGAGTCTGATGAACCCATCGTGGATCTATAGGGGGTCAGGGATTGTGTCTTCGGACGACAGCGGCCTCGATCTCATCAGCCAGGTGGCTCAGTACACGAGGCGGAAGCTGACGTATCAGTCGGATGTGCTGAACGCGATGCTGGGCATCTTCCGGATGTACGCCACCCTCGAGAGGAGCCCGATTTATCACGTCTGCGGCGTGCCTATCCTGCCCCGTTCAGGGAGCCGCTTGCCTGGACCACAGAATTTCGTCGCCAGTAACGATGGCGGCAGCGACAACGCTGGAGTCGCCCTTGCTGGCTTCGTCAGTGGTCTCTGCTGGACCCTTTACTCTATGGGCGTCCGACGCCCCGGGTTCCCCAGCTGGTCGTGGACGGGGTGGCATGGTGTAGTGGACAGCTTTCTTCTAGAGCCTGTCAGGGTCGAATTTCGCGACGGATTTGAGGTGCAAGTGTCTATCGTGCTCACGGGCGGCATTACTACTATGCCCTAGAGTGACTACTATGGTCAAATGAGGGATGCAGTGGTCAAGGAGGGCCGTTACGGCTCCGTCTTTTCTCAGCACCATATGCTTGATATCACGGCGAGCGTCATTGTAGCCCAATTTTACGAGCGACAAGAATTTTCTATGAAGTGGGAAGGCGCTGTGTGTGTTGGGGACGAGGTGTGGAGGGGTGATTTCGCGCTTACTAAAAAAGACAGCCTTCGCTCGTCAGGAGATAACGAGGTCGGGTTCGTTCCGAGTCTACGGCGAAGGCTGCTTGAGGAGTCATGGCTAGGTATTGTGCTGGGTCAATCGTCACACGGGAGTTACAAAAGCGACGAGGTCTATGTGCTGATTATAGAAGAGATGCGGCCGTCAGCGATCGGCGCGATTGCGCATTGGGAGCGTGTTGGTCTGCTAACTATCAAAGACTCGACGCTGAGGAGCGAGATGTTGGAACGGAGGAAGTTAAGGCTTGCGTGAGTAAATTTAGCAGTTTGTAAATATCAGAGGGGCGCCGAAGGAAATAGGGATACTTGAGTGAAAGTTTTGTTTTCTTGCGGAGATAAAAAATTAAATAAAAAGAAACTCGAGGCTTCTAAAGGCACAGTAGGCTGCTTTCCGTATCTAACAAGAGGATCGATGGCTTTATCAGGAAGCTTAACAACGTTAAAAGGAGCTCTGCCTGACAATGGGGGTTTCGAGTAGTCGTCGGACAGGAGGAGGCCAGCTACTGACATGTACATGGTGGGACAGATCATGCAAGCCTATCGTCTGTAATACCCAAGCGAAATAAATCACGATAGGGAGGTCAGGAGGGAAATTATCAATGTCTGGAATTTCGAATTAGGTCACCAAATATAATTCATTGGCCCAATTTTGCGCTGTAGCTTGGGAAGTGTTGGCTAGCACTGGTTCCATGTAAAGCTCCTACCTCTATCTAACATATTAAAGACGACCTTTCTTGTTCCGGATGACTCTTTGAACAGACCTCTTCGAGCGAGATGCATGACAAGGTCGTATCACGTCCGACCCGAGACCGAACCGAAGGTGTGTCACTACAACCCGGATTCCACTTTTGGCATGCCGGGATCTAAGACACGGAAAGTCTCCTGGTTGGCTGGTCAGCAACGCCAAGGGGGTCTTGATCAAGTCCAAAAAGGGCATCTCAGGCACCCCGCAAAAGTTTAATTCACACAGATTCCATCTTATCTCCGGGGCCGAGTCAAATCAATGCTGCCTTTCTTGAATGAAGCCGTGTCTAACTACCGGTAATCGTACAATGCTTTGCTCCTACTATGCCGCCACCGCCTCCAACTGCACAATCTCATCCACCTTCTTGGCGCTGTTACTCGAAGGATCAAACTCGTAGTCTAGCCACTCGGTCGCTAATCTCCTGGCGAGCTCTAGCCCGATGACGCGCTCGCCAAAACACAGCACCTGCGCGTTGTTGCTCTTGACGCTCCTCTCGATGCTGAAGCTATCGTGGGCCGTCACCGCCCGGATGCCTTTCACCTTGTTTGCCGAGATGGCCACACCTAGACCTGTGCCGCAGATGAGCAGTGCTCGGTCTGCCTTGCCCTCTGCGACTAGACGGGCTGCTTCTGCTGCGCGGAGTGGATAGGGAGTTTTATCTGCGTGGTGGTTGGAGCCGACGTCGAGGACCTCTTCTACACGGCCATCGGATTCAAAGTCTTGCTTGATGGCGTTTTTATAGGAAATTCCTGCTTCCTGAGAGATAGTGAGTTCTGATTACAAAGACGAGATGATGGGATTAACTCACATCGCAGCCCATTGCAATTCTCCACTTTGGCGCCATGATTGCTTCAGATTCGGGAAAGGATGAGCGACTTGTTTTTGTTGCCTCTCGTCTCAGGGTAAAGAAACGGGCAGGCTTCCTGTGCAATTTTAATACTCGTGGTGACCCAGCCATGTCGCAGAATTGGGCAAGCCGTCGACTCAGAGGGAGATGCTGGCCCAGAGGAGCCATGTGACCGAGCAACCCCGCCCAAGGATGATCTAGACCATCTTCCAAAAGGGAATTCCGGGGTAGGAATTGCTCTGCCGACCCGAGCTTCTCTGCTGTCGTGGTAATGTCGTGCCGAGATGAGTTTTCGGAGTAAGCCGAACCGGGGCCGATCGACGGGGGCCGGGCTGGTGTGGGGTGCGGATTTCCTATTTGGGATACCCGGGGGAGGTCATCTGGGCAGACCAAGCCTTTGGGAGTCGGGATACCAGGATGGCTTTAGAGGGTAAAGTGACACAAGTGAGAGGAAGAGGTATTTTGTTAACAGGCAAGAGGTTAGGAAGAGTGGAATTCTGCATCGCGTACAGTTCCGGTGGTAATAGTTGACTTGGAGAGTCGGCTCCGTCCTCATCAAGGAGAGTAACACCGATGATGGTTCTATTAAAGCACACAAATGGGCTGATTATCTCGTCTTCTTCGTCTGAGTGCGTCTTGTTCATCTCTAAGCACCATCACAATCAGTTTTACAGCCATGTCTACACGGCATCTCTTTGACTCTCCCGAAGGTCTCGTCAACAAGGCGTTGAGAGGCATCATTTCTTACAACACTTCCCTTAGACTCGACGAAACGAACCGTGTTGTCTATGACACAGAACACCGACGGTCCAATGTCAGCATAGTCAGCGGTGGTGGCTCCGGCCATGAGCCCGCATGGACTGGCTATGTTGGCAAGAACATGCTCGCAGCCTCCGTCCAAGGCGACATCTTTGCCAGCCCGAGCACCAAGCAGATCCTCGCCGCCATAGAAGCTGTCCCCAGCGATGAAGGAACTATCCTCGTCATCACGAATTACACCGGTGACTGCCTCCACTTTGGCCTCGCCAATGAAAAGGCCATTGCCAGGGGACACAGGTGTCGCATGATCATCTGCGGGGACGACGTCTCGGTCGGCCGCAGCGGAGGAATAGTGGGCCGAAGAGGTCTTGCAGGACAGATCGGCGTCCTCAAGGTGATGGGGGGAGCTGCAGGTGCTGGACACTCTCTGGATGACGTTTACAACCTTGGCGTTGCATTCTCGGAGCAGATTGTGTCCATTGCTGCTACCCTCGACCACTGTCATGTGCCCGGGAGGAGTGAGCATGGTGCATTGGCTGTCAACGAGATTGAGCTTGGTACTGGTCCTCACAATGAACCGGGATACATGAAGCTATCGCCAGCTCCCACTACGCCAGAGCTTGTGCGGCAGATTCTCAAGCATTGTCTGGATGAGAATGACCCTACCCGAGGATATGTCAAGTTTGCGCCAAAGGATAAGATAATCCTTCTCATCAGCAACTTTGGTGGTATCTCTCATCTGGAATTGGGAGCCCTTCTCGACGAAGTGCTTGAGCAGCTGGCCAACGAATGGGGCATCGAGCCCTCGCGCACTTGTGCTGGATTCTTGGAAACGTCTCTTAATGCGCCCGCCTTTTCTGTCTCCGTCATCAACGTTTCAGCTGCGGCGAGAAATTGTCGGTACTCGGTTGATCGCATCCTGGACTTCTTCGATACAAAGACGAACACGTTCTGGGAGTCAGTGGCTGGGTCACAGACCAGACGGTGCAGCCGCAAGGAACAAATCGTGCAAGCGCCTAAGGAGGCAGAGAAGATCATCAATGATGAGACGGATCTCAAGATTGATGCTGACATTTTGGAAAAGATGTTGCGGAGCGCCTGCGATGCAATTATTCAGGCGGAACCTCATCTGACCAAGTGGGATACTGTCATGGGTGATGGTGACTGCGGAGAGACGCTCAAGACTGGAGCGACGTCGTTAATCCAGGCCTTGGACAAAGGTTTGGCAAAATCGGGATCTGTGGTCGCTGTTCTGCAAGAGCTTGAGGACATTGTCGAAAGCAAGATGGGCGGAACTCTTGGTGGCATTCTCGGCATTTTCTTTGTCTCTCTCAGAACAGCCGTCGAGAAGAACAGCCACATGGCTCGATCACAGGGGCCCATCGCTCTCTGGAGTGAAGCCCTTTCCTTGGCGTTGGAGAACCTGAGCAGGTACACCCCGGCCAAAGTAGGCGACCGCACCGTCATGGACACTCTGATCCCCTTTGCCGAGATCATTGCCAAAGCGGGCTTCGTTGGTGGTGTTGAGGCTGCTGTCCAGGGAGCTGAGGCGACAAAGACGATGAAGCCCCGGCTTGGAAGAGCGACGTACGTTGGTGTTGGAGACAGTACTGAGCTGCCGCCTGATCCTGGTGCGTGGGGTGCTATGGTGGCTATTAGAGGTCTTCAGAGTGGATTGGAAGTGATGAATTGAGTGTAGAGTCTGGTTATTGTTGTAAAGAGCGAATTTTGAGCCTGTATGATACGATTAACGCACTGCATTTCACATGTCTCATCTCGAAGCGAGAATTATTTTATTTAATTTGCGTGATCCGTTAGACCACTTGCGGTGTCACCTTCACTGGTCACACCACACCTCGTCTCAGCGTTCCAGATTAAGAGCCATATGGTCAGCGATCTCTTCAGGCAATGACAGCAATATCGTCAACAATACAGTCTCAAAGTTTATCTATACTTCGGTCAATTGCAAAGGGAAGAATTGCACAGTCTAAAGTTGCAGTAAATCAATGGCTCTGATTGTGTTGAACAGCGATCAAATGTTTGTCTAAGAACAAAACGTCAATAACAAAGGAAACTTTAGGTGGACACCACTAAAGGCGTGTCAATTCAAGGCTCCATGAGGAACCTCTCGAGGCGCCTTACCTCTTTGAACAGCTTGTCCTGCTCCTTCAAGAGACTATGCAGCTTCTCACACTCCTCATTCCTTTGCGCCTCCCATCTTAGTGACTGGCTACGAGCGTACTCTGCCCTCTCAGAGATCTCCCTCGAGCTAATTGTACCCTTGGGTTCCAGGTGCCTCATATGGGCGGCCCAGCGAGCTTCCCAATCTTCTTTCTGATATTTGGCGTGCTTCTCCTCGTCAAGACTCGCCGTAATCTCTTTTGAGTTTTCGAGCAGTGCCTTTGAGTTTTTGTAGACTAGGTCCTTCACGTCCTTGGCTAGCTTATTCTCCCACTTATTCTGCTTGTCCTCAAGGGCGAGCTCCTCCTTCGAAAGACCCGCCCGTCTCTGTTTCTCGAGGTTGGCCTTGTGCTTTTTCTCTTCGCATTCCCACTTCTTTACGTAATTCGTGTGTAGAATAACGTCGGTTCCTTTCTTCAACGTTTCCTCATCGAGAATTCTAAGATGGGTCAGGACGTTTACACGGGCCCAGTTTGCGAACCATTTCTCATCTCTCCACTCCTCGGGAAAGCCTTCCTCAAGTACGTCCGAGCCGTAAACTGCAAAGCGGTGGATGTGCAAGATCTTTCTAAAGCCCGGGTCTGCTTCTTGCAACTCCTTCCACACTCGGCTATTCTCATCAAGAAGCTTGGCATCCAGATAGAGCTTTAGTCGGACGAATTGGGTAAAGTAGTCGACTTCTGGAGGGTCATCATACTTTGCCTGGCTCTTGGTGAGAGGTGGCACTGTTTCAAAGACTTGCTTGAGTTCGAGGTATGGGATGATTGCCGCATTCCAAGGGACTCTGTCATCCTTGTTCGTGAGGGAGGCGAATGAAAATGGCCAGTGAGGCATTGTGGCGGTCGGTTGAGCGGTTGCGATTTGGGTTTATTGTTGCGCTTTGTAAGATGTGACTGGCGAGGGGCTTTGGTTTATGTCCAATGCTTATGCGTTCGGGTCAAGGTGTCTCTGTCGAGTTGCTCATGAAGCCAGGACTGGAGGTTTCTTATATACCCAAGCTTGAGAAGAGTGACTAGAATGACTAGAAGTGATGGCTGTCTTGAGAGCACATATATTCTGCAGTTGTGCTATCGTTGATCGAGAGTACAAGCAGGTGTACAGCAGTGACCACAAGCCGATCAGTCGTGTGAGAGGTTGTGACTTGACTATTGTTCCATTGGGCGGCCGGGGTAGTTCCTTAACTGGCACTTTGAAACGTACAGCAGGTGTACTCCTCTTGTGCAAAGACGATTCCGTCCTATTTTATTGCTCAAGTCAAAGCGTTTCACAAACCTCCATGAGGCTTTTGCTTCACATCTGAACATTCCCCATTTGATATTACGGAGCAGCATAGACTACCACGACAACAGCAAGGGTGGGGGATACCCACTGGAAGGTACCGAGGCGATAAGTTCTTGTATACTGCTTCAAAGATATGATCGAAAGAATTCTTAGTAACCTATGTAAGCTGGAAGTGACAATGGATGCACTTACTCTACGTAAGCCTCGTACCATTACCACATCACCTCTCATCATCAACCATACCTCCACGTGTTGGGTACCCGTGACTACCCACGTCAGCATCCAAGGGTGGCAACAACAGAAGAACCATATCAAGAGCAGTGTTGGAAATGTATTATCGACAATAACAAAATCCTCATCGAGGAAGTCAACAATGTCAACTAGATACAATCACATAATCAATTAAAAGGGAGGGGATCGATTGTTGTAAGGAAAGTAAATTAAAGGCCTTGTCGCAGTGTTGAACTGTGATCATAAGCTTATCTATGAAAAAAAGTCAAAAGCAAACTCCAGAAAACTCCAGGAAGAATATCAAGGAAATGCTACTCAAGTCCTTCCTAGTGAAGGCTTCATGACCTGAGGTAAGGCTGCTGGAGCTGTCCCCCAACTAAGCCTCTAAACTTTTGCCATCGCGGTCTTGTGTGCTCGCGGGCACACCTGACCAACTCGCCTTACCATAGCTACCCCGTCTTGCTACTAAAGACATTGGATATCTACTAGTAGTTCTCCATTTTGTCCAGCCTTCTTTCGCTCCTGACCTCCTTCAGGATCTGCTCCTCCTGCCTCTTCTTATCTTTCTCGAGCTCCTTGGCCGCCTGTTCCCGCTTCCGCTCAAGAAAGAACGCATTCCATTCGTCCTTGACCGCCTGCTTCACCCCCTCCCAGCTGGCTTTGAACTCGGCCTTGTCCTTCTCATACTGGGCATCCTGTTCGGCCGTGCGCTGCTCCTTCATCAAACGAGCCTTGTGCTCTTCCTTGAAGCGGTGCCAATCTTTCACGTGATTTGTTTCCACGATGACGTGAGTGGCCCTCTCCAACGTGTCCAGACTGAGACATTTGAGGTGTAGCAAGACGTTGACATACAACCAGTTAAGGAAGAAGTCTTCATCTTTCCACTCTTCGGGAAACGTAACTGGCCCCACCTCATTCGGAATGTTCCCTCCTTCCTTTCTATAGTTATCAAACCACATATGAATGATTTGAATCTTTTTGAAGCCAGGATCAGTTTCCTGCAACTCCTTCCACGCTCGGCAATTCTCGTCAAGGAGCTTAGCATCCAAGAAATACTTGAGCCGGGTGAATTGGGTCATGTAGTGAGTCCCTGCGGGATCCTTGTACTTCATGAATTCAGGATCAGGCAGAATAACGACAGTGCGGAAAACCTCCTTGACCTGCAAGCACGGGATAATCGCTGCGTTCCAGGGCAGCTCATCCTCATTATTCGAGGGAGTGGGATCCGAAAAAGGCCAAAAAGGCATCTTCTCGGTTGTTGAGGTGTGTCGTAGGTTATCGGTGTCGTGTTGGGGATGCAAGTGAAAGGTCCTTTGCTGTGTTTCCAAAGGGCTGTTTGCTGTTGACGGATGTGTGTGATGAGAAGCTAATGAAGAGAGGAGGAGAGGTTCCTTAAATACCCAAATATGAGATATCTAGAAACCAGCCGTTTTCTTGTACACATGCAGAACTTGCAGTTTTCCTGGCATTGATCATGGCTTGGAGCGTTGAATGGAGCTGATCAATTACTATGATCCAGTGTATGACATGCGTTCTCCTCTTGTGCGAGAATGCTTTTGTATTGTTTGACTGTCTAATTCTTGAGACGTTTATCGGACCTTCGTAACACCCTACGTCCACATCAGTACATTTGCACATGTCCTTTTCAGATCGCTGTGTAGGACTACGCTAGAGAGTTGAGTCTCAAGAACAGGAAACTCAGAGAAAACTTGACCTTTCTGGAATCCATTGGGCAGGAGTAAGTGGTAGCAGTGTTGGCACTGTACTGGGGACTACCGAATCAAAGCTTCATGTTGGACCAGGCACCCTTCAACACAATGTTGCATGAAAATCTAATCTCATAATTGAATCAAGGTGTATATACATGGACCTAATAGGCTGATCCTAGCTAATCTATTGTACATTTTGCCCTCGAAAACTTGGAGAGATCCAGCAATCCAAGAAGTATCGAACGAGCCAAGAAGATGTGGGAGCCCCCAAAAGTCATAAAAATGCGTTTCTTTGTTCCCCCAACTCAAGATGGCGGAGCACCAACGTAGATGGTCAAAGTGTTGGGCGTGCCCGAGACAACACCAGAGGCGTTCTCATTACCATCCGGGTTAACGTCATCATAAGGGAAGGCATAGCCTCTACCATCTACCTCATAGGAGTGGACAATGCGGCTGTAGTGGTTTGTTGGATCGTTCTTGTAGTAAGAGTCGGCTCCCAGACTTGGTTGCACGTCGCCACCATCGACCAAGAGGGTGGAACGAACAAAGGCAGCACAGAGTCGAGGGACAACAGCGGTGTGAATGGCATTGTCACCCTCGATGATCGCAAAAGGACCGCTGTTGCAACCCCAGATATCTTTGGTGTTGGGCTTCGCGTATCCGCGGTTATCGCCATCACAGACGAGTTCTTCGCCTGAGACTCGGCAGCTGACACTTCCAGCTTCGGTTTGAGTATTGATGGTGAGAGGTTGGGTCGAGTACTTGTTCCAGACCTCATCGACGTAGGAAGTCCAGTAATCTTCGAAAGTGATGGGCTCCAGATCGTATTGGTTTCCAGGCGAGATGACGCGGATCGGATCTCCAAGTGCATTGGCAATGCACAGAAAAGTCCAAGCTCGACCATCGGCGTCCTTCTGCTTGACCATGTCGTCGCAGATCTTGGAAGCAGCGTCGGCAACGAGACCAGCAGTGGTCTGAGTGCTTCCGTCTGTCAAAGAAAGCATCATACCGAGAACAATACCGACAAAGTCCACGTAGCTAATGTTGGCGTAAAGCACACCGTTGGTATAGGTGAGCTCTACAAAGCCCCAGTTGACGCCCGCGCTGGGATCTTGGAGGTTGTTTGTTGAGGGTTGAACCAAGCCATCTCCATTGCCGATATCAACCATAAAGAAGTGCAAATCGTCATCTGCAAAGTATATGCGACCGGAGCTCATCGAGATGGGAATGTTAAAGTCGAGTGTCTCACCCTGTGGGGGCAGGGGGATCGCAATGTTCTCTGTGATCTCCACAGGAATCTTGGAACCTCCAGAACGAGGGTAGACAAGGCCTCCGTCAGCACCGATAAAAACAACCGTACCATCAGAATCCAAGCCCGAGATGTAGGCCCTGACGTTTCCGCCAGAAAAATTGTTGACAAGCTTCAGAGGCAAGGTGGCGGGTTCAGCGGCGCGGTGTGTCAGGGCATGGGTTTTATTCCTAGGATATGTTCCATTGAGCATATTTTCATCCGTCATGGACAAATCATTTGCGCCGCCAGGGTTGACTTTGATGAAGCCTTGGGGAGTAAGTTCATGGCGTCGAAAGATGGGCGATGGTTGGAAAGGAGCGGCAAGGGCAGTGCCAACAAGGGCAGCCAAAACAAAGAATGGACGCATTCTCGTAGAGAACGACTGAAGAAATGAATGAATGAAGAAAAAGTAAAAGAAAGGCACAAAGCACAAGAAACGAAGAAACTGCTGAACTCAATTAAGCATGATGCTATAGAGGTCTATATACCCAGCCCCGAAAGCAGAACTGTTTCAAACGGACCCTACGCATTCACATGCTACGTTTTGTCCCCGATGATATTCCCAGGGATTATAACCGGAAACGTTCGAGAGTGGGCAAGTAACCGGGATCTTGGAAACCTCTGATAATCTAGCTGAGGAGAAGGATGAAACAAGGATTGGCCCAAGCTCGATCGACACATTCCAGCGACAGGAATCGATTCGCTGCAGTTTCTGAAGCTGACACATTTCTCATACAAGGGTTCCCTTGGCTGTTCGCAGGCAAGACTTTAAACGCCAGCCCCTGCTCCTTTCATCTCAACCCACCCCGTGGCCTGTTTGAGCCGGGCCGAATTTATCTGATGGATCCGCGACGCAGCCTTATGGATGACCTTCCGTTTCGAGACGACTCGTAAGTGAATGCATTGACCAACTTGGCTCTACTGCTGCGCATAAGATCGAGCGATATTAATGGGTGCCTGAAACAGTGGATAAGATCACCCAAGTAAGCAGCGTCGCTCGTTTCTTCGGTTGTAGGGCGACTCGAGTCGTTTCAGTCTGGAGCCACTGGGCGGCTACCTTGTTGAAGGATTCATCAGATTATCGCTGAAGGATTCTCACCTGAGATGAAGTTGTGACAACGAGTGTTGTGAAGAAAGACTGAGGCTGAGTAAAGTGGTTCTGTCAGCATCGTGTTTCACCTTCAACTGTGGTTCTTAAGATGGCTTCGTAGGCTGGATATTTGTTTGACTTTAAGCATCACCTATTAATCACTGGAGACACGATTAGCGATCTGTTTAGAACTGTAATCTTGCGAAAAATATGTTGCTTTATTCAGCCATGTTTTCATGCCTATCCCTTTTGTTGGTACACCAAATAACTAGATTTACAGTTTGCTTTGCTTAATCAGATGAGCGTTGACTGGTGAAATCGCCTTTCCAGTCTTGTTGAAAGAAATAATGTTTTCCATTCCCAGCTTCTCAAAACCAATATGCGAGTCCAGCGAAGCACCAGCGTTGTGTGACAGAAGCTCGACGTTCTTCATCTTGACCAGCTGGGGGCTGATGTGAGGCTCATTTTCAAACACATCCAGACCTGCCGCTGATAGGTGACCACTCTCGAGAGCGGCGACGAGATCGGCTTCGTTGATGAGCTTGCCTCGGGCGATGTTGACAAGCTTGGCTCCCTTCTTCATCTTGGCCAGACCTTCCTTGCTGAGCAGGGCTTCTCCGGCAAATGGTGTGGCGACCAGCACGCAATCCGCCTCGGCGAGAAGTGTGTCGGCAGACTTGTGAAAGACGGCACCAAGAGGCTCTTCAACCTCCTTGGGCATCTGAACAACATCATTGTACAGGATCTTCATGTCGAGAGCCTTGTAGGCCTTCTCGGCGATGCGTCGGCCAATGCGACCAAAGCCAATAATGCCGAGGCTGAAACCTTGAGGGTTTCGAGAGATGGGGGCCAGGTTCCGGTTTGCGTCAATAAACTGATCCTTGTCACCTGAGCGAGCTGCGATGCTGGACCAGCTCAGTTGTCGAAAGACGGAGATGATGAGCCAGATTGCTGCATCGGCTACTGATTCCGTGCAGGCAGCAGCAGCGTTGCAGTATGTGACGCCTGAGACAATATTAGTAGCTGCTATTGCTTGTCTTGAGACATAAACATACCTTGCTTGGCCAGGCGAGCCGTGTCAACCCAGTCAAAGCCAGCACCAGCGCTGGCGTAGATCTTGCAGGAAGAAGGCAATAATGAGATCAATTCGTCATCCCAGTTACCCATCTCGCCTCCCGTGTTCCAGAAAGGACGGTAGATGGCGAAAAAGTCGCCAAAGGCCTTTGTCTTGAGCGCCTGGATGAACTCGGCCCTGGGCATGCTGTAAGACCGACGGATCTCGAACTGAGACTTGAACTCATCATAGAGATCATGGTTCCAGCGAATATCATCGCCGAGCTGAAGAACGATTGGCTTGGACATTGTGAAGGGCTGTGTAGGGGGAAAAAGAAAATGGGTGAATGAGGAAGAAGCAATGAGAGTCGGTCAGACGCACGATAATAAAGTAACCGCAGAGTCCAATGAGAGTCGAGGTATACGGAGAGTCCGCCGATGGGGCTCGCTTTTGAGAATTCCGAAGGCTGGAAATGGCAACTTTGGCCGAAAATCTCGGGACTTGCTGTGTTGGTGATTGGTCTCTGTGCCTGAGATGATCCACCCCCAGATTGTGGGGGTGGCATTGGGATCGGGGTTCTACCCGATATAAAGGGGATGGTAAATCCGGGGATGCAGCGTAAATTGAACGAGGTTGGTGATCTTTTGGGTTTTTGAAATGTGATTATCTCGAGTAATTGAGTAAATCGCATTGCTCTAGGTTAGATACTCGAGTCAAGCGCGTCGAATAAGCATGATTTTACGTTTGATATTGGAGAGGGGGATCGGAGAGCTGTCCATGTATAAAAAGCAAGAAACCACAAAAGGACCATGTCATATGGAAGGAATTTTTGATGCAGCCATCGTGCTGAAACCCCGCTAGTTTATCTACAGTATAGTTAGGAAGAGGATTTTGAGCGGAAAGTATCTAGAAGTAAAAAATATCCAAAGAAAAATTTGTCGTTTTTATATCCCACTCTAACATCATATCAACATCCATAGGCGATCGCCTTCCTTTTAAAGTCTGGCTCCAATTGCCAACCAGCCACGAAAAGTGAAACTGATGGCGAGTAGAGCCGTTTCGGTACCTACCCTGAACCGTAAAGGATCCTTTTACGATGCAGCATTTTCAACCCTTTCTTTTCAATCTTTCTTTGGAATCCGTGGAAAGCTCAGCCAGACTCCCGTGACCACGACAATGAGAGCCAGGATGATGGGTTGCAACACTTGAACACCTTTGCTCTGGGCAATCGCACCAATGGCGAAGGGAAAAACCGTACCTCCCGTTCCACCAATAGCCATGGCAAATCCTATAGCAGAGACATGGATCTTTGCAGGGAGTAGCTTTGCTGTCATCATGACGGCTCCAGGAAACATGGGACCCAGGAAGAAGCCGAGGAAAGCGACTGCAACAGCTGAGACGATGAACTGCGGGACGAGCCAGAACACCAGCTGAAGGCCGACAGAGATTGCGAGATAGATGGAAAGACAGAGTCGTTCGCCATATCGCTCTGTGACAAAGCCAAGAAAGGCACGACCGCAAGCCATGCCGGCCCAGAAACCGGAACTGGAGGCACCAGATGCGAGGGCTGAGGCCTTGCGTACTCGCAGCATAAAGGTGACGACCCAACCACCGAGACCAACTGGAGATTTTGTTAGAAAGCCACACAAAAGAAGCTGAATATTAATAGAGGATGCATACCTTCGACACCCATGTACGCAAAGAAGAAGAGCGAGCAAAGCCATGTCACCTTGGACTTGAGAGCCTCTCGTGTTCCAGCGCCACCCGAATCATTCTCACGAACATGTTCAGCTCGGTACACCTCGCCAGTCTTGTGCCAAAAAGCGACAGTCAGACCGACCAGTTCGACGACTGAGATGCCAATCTACATGCCGCATCGTTAGCCTGCTCATGAAAGGATGGCAGCGCATATCCTCACCATGACATAGTAGTAGGTGTACCACGGCAGCTTGGCCGTATCAACCATCGAAGTAGCGATCAAAGGCGCGAATAGAGCGCCTAGGGAGTAACAAGAGTGCAAGAAGCCTTGGACCGAGTTTGCCTTGTCCATCTTACCAATCCACGCACAGAAGCACGCATCAGTCAGGCCATTGCCGAAGCCGCTGACCATGTTGCACACGACAAGGACAGGATATGGAGGATGCACCGCTAGAGCAATAAATGTGATGATATGGCAGATGGGGGCCATGATTGCCACGCCTCGCTGGCCGAACTTGACGTGAATCCGAGCATTGGTGAAGGCGGCGACGGAGTAGCCGGCGAATGGCGTCAGGAAGATTAGTGAGACGACGGTGTAGGTGAGGTCATAGTATTCTTCCAGCTGTTTCAGGTTAGGGTATGAGAAATATCGACTGATAGTGATAAAAACTCACGTATGGGATCAAGGCCTGTTCAAAAGATTCAAGTTAGCGTTGCCACATTCGAAGTGTGAGTTTGCTTGGAATACGTACACCGACGGCCGCATCGTTCATGCCAGCAATGATAAAAGAAACAAATGCAAAGGCCAGTCTTGCGATATTGCTCCTTGGATGATTCCATCTCTCTATCTCCGCCTGAGCATTAGGAGGCGGGACATCATCTGAGGCTGTGGGACGCTGAGCGAGCTCCTCAACACCTCCCTTCCGATCGCTATCCGTGCGATGCTCGAGATTACTGAGCTCAATAGACTCATTTTGAGTCTCTGTTACCGTCGTAGACATGATCAAGTCGAGTATCTTGAGGTTGTAGAGTTTAACTTAGCGGTGAATCCGCGGGCAACTTTAAAGTTGACACGGGTTGAGCCGAGTCAAACATGGGTAATAATTTCGTCTAAATAGGAAAGGATAACACTTTTCGTCATGGATAAGCATTTTAACCGTTTAGCCGGCGATGACCCGGGTCGTGTTTCCCGAGAAATAATCCGAGGGCGCGCTCTCGTATCGGACAAGCCAAGGGAGGACTTGGGAGAGAGTGTCTCAGCTGTTATCAGATCTTTCGCTTTGAACTCGGCCGATACAGAAATGAGCCCCGGGAAGGGAAGCATTAGCTAGCAATGGAAATGGTGTGGCCCGTGGGTTCTCCAATCCCGGCTAAGCAAACGAGCAAGGAGTACGGAGTACAATCCACCATTCAAGCAACATCGCTGCATGTTGTCTCTCAACTCTATTTGGCGACAGGCAAGATCCATTTAGCTTATAGAAGTGCAAACTTAGCATGTACAGACTGGTTAATAAAGCCTGGAGACTGGACGAATCCTTCATCTGCGTGACAGGGGCCAGCCCACCATGACCATTCATCCCCATGTAATTGGACCAACGGGCTTTCGCTCTTCCGATAAACTATACCCAACAAGGACATGTTCCCCGCGGGGTCTTTTACCACTCTCATCCACCCCCTCCTCCCCACCTCGTGATACCTTCATACCCAATTTTTCCTATCAACGACAACGACTGGATGAAGCGAGGAGGGTGCTGCAACGCCTGTCGAAGGCGGCATAGGAAATGCGTTGTTCAGCCGGGAGCGTCTCAGTGTGGCGCTTGTGCTGAGTCTGGGCGGGAGTGTCGCTTTGAGAATGACATTCAGTTCAAGCACAGTTACACTCGAGAAGATCGGGAGGTGGCTGAGACGTCGAGGACATGGACCAGAGTGCCATCTACTAGTAGGTTGAGATGGTTGAAGTACTTGTAGAATTTTATTGATCTTGTTTAGTCTCCTTTGTAACGCCTCAAGGCATCGACGGCGAGTTGTCCGAGTCGCCCAACAATTCTGTCGATCCAGTTCAGTCCAACTCCCCAACAAGCGGCAATTCTCTCCGGTCACAACTGGACTCGGGGACTTCTATTCCAGAAGACGCTTTGAGGAACCAAGATAACCAATCCAGCTCAGGACAAGGGGGGTTAGAACAAGGCCAGGGTTCGGGTAACCCAAGACATATCACCTCTCCCCAAAGCTACGCCGAGAACTCCGATTTTGGAGCTCCATTGACGAGCCATGGTGAAGGTATTGCCTCACCATACGAAGATCTATCACCCGGTAGCGCCCGTCTCTTGCCCCTACAACAACCCCTGAACCACCCCGTTTCCTCGATTCCTTACATCCTAGGCGACTCGCCTCCAACTCAGCTACCTCCCCCGGAAACACCTTCTTCAGCTCATAGTTCGGGAGTCCAGAGTATCAACCCAGAAGATACGTATGGATTCACTGAGAGGCAAGCATTCTTGTTCATCACTTACATACACAAGCTTGCTCCTTCGGTAAGTGTCATATGCCCAAACCCAAGGACTTGACCAAAGCTGACACTGAACAGTCAGATGCCTGTGACGATGCTAGGCACTTTACCCTCGAAGTACCACGTCTGGCCTTTCAAGAACCGATGATCATGAATGGCCTACTTGCCCTTGCAAGCCGCTACGACGCTCGATGTTCGAACTCGGAATCAGATCTTGAAGGAACATACTATCACAACCGATGCATCGAGCTACTCATTGAAGCCTTTGCGCAACCGCCGGAAACATGGGACTCAAAACTTCTGACTGCTGTCGTCATCGCGCGGCTGTACGAAGAGTACGACAACGAGACTGACTCGGATTACCACCACCTCAGCGGAACTCGAAACCTCCTAAATCACGAGGCTGTCGCACGCTTCGTTACTCAAGGTGGTCTAGCCGAGGCTGCAAGCTGGGTGCACTTAAGGCAGACCATCTATGTGTACCTTGTCCGCAGAGAACCTGTCGAGATTTGTCTGGAGAACTTTGAACGATCCACGGTATTCCGGAGAACTGACGATTCTGCGTACGCTAACCGTGCAGTTTACATCTTTGCCAAGATGATGAAGCTATTGTTCCCGCTGAATGATTCTGAGAAACAAGCGGTTAGCGCCTCGCCTGGGCCGTGGGAACTTGTTGAGATGGAAGTTAACCAGTGGTACGAAATGAAGCCTGTCTCATTCAAGCCCATCTACTACAAGCCGGCGGACTTGAAGGAGGATAGACCATTTCCCGTCGTTTGCATCGCCGCTTCTGTTCCCGGTACGTTTTAATCTCCTCCACCGTTTTCCTTGACTGACCTGATGTAACAGTTGTTGCCATGCAATACTACTATGCTGCGAAAGCCATTCTATGCTTGCATAAATGCAACACGGTCAACCCCAACATCGGGTACCATGCTGCCAGACTTAGGCACGACTGGGAGGTGGGTTTCGTACCGCAACGATAGCATTTACGAGTCACTGATCTTGAATAGCAACGAATCGCGGCTTACTTGTGCACTCTCATGGGGCTGGCCTTATCCAACGAGCATGTCCTCAACGCCTTCTACCTGCCTGCACACATGCTCTCCCTCTGTATTCTCCTCACTTTGGCAACTATATGATGCGATCTTACTAACAAGGTCAACAGGTGGCTATTGCATTCGACAGCCTTGCGAGAGAGCACACACAGTCCAATATCTACAAAAGGTCGATGATGTCATAAAGTGGAAAACAAGGAGGTTGATCCAGACGCTGGAGAAAGAGTGGGAAGAAATGGATAATTTCGAGAAGAGATGAAGCTCATGTAAGATATCAATGCCAACAATGTAATCTTCCATTCAGTCTTGACGCTATGCATAACCATGGTGCATATGCATGCACCTATCGAACCCTCTGGGGTGTTCCAGAGATGTTCAAGTTTTCATCAAAGAGCTTACAGCCCGTCACCAAACTCATAGTCCTTGTTCCATCGCTTTCAAGGTTTTAGCATGACTTCCCAATCATTGGCTGTATCCGACTTACAGTGTCCCAAGGGCGCTTCGAGTTGACGAATCTCAGATCCGTACCGAGTCTGATGCGGCCGCTGGGGTCGTGGTTGATAGTAGATGCGTGAATCTGGTCACTTTATGAGTAGTTGTCCGTTTCACGTGTGTCAAAACTCACCATGTGAGGAGTATGGAAAACAACATCTCCAGCCTCGTACTCACTGACAAGCCATTTCTTCCCATAGGTCCTACCAAAGTCGGCAGGCCCCTCGGACAAGAAGCCAGTGCTCATCATGTTGGAGTTGAAGGCGTTTCGCATCTCTTCGTCGTTCATTCCAGCAGCCTTTGCCTTGCGTGCAAAGTCGTCTTCAATGTCAGCACCCAGCTTGTCGCCTCCTTCAAGGTAGATCAGGCCTCCGCCATCAACCTTGACATCGCCCATGGGAACCCAGGCCGTCATAGCTGTGGGCTCTCCGTAGCGCATGAAGGACTGATCATAGTGCACACCGATTGCCTTGTTACCAGGCGTGTTATTGCGCAAAAGAGTGCGGCGGACTGCCAGAGTTGCATCTCCCCAGCCGGTAAGACGGGCGACAAAGTCCTTCAAGGCTGGATGGTTGCAGAATCCTCGGACACTTCCATCCTCGGATCCAGAGTACCAAGCCTCGGTGTGCGCCTTGAGTGCGGCATCAACAAAAATCTCCGACTTGTTCGTCTCTCCTGGGCGCGAGTTCTTGAAGCTGCCAGCTCCGATTCCAGGATAATCAGCTGGGTCGGCAGAGTCGTCAAAGATACCATCGACAGTCTTCGTGCCGGGCTTGAGAACCCCACTTGGTGCCATGGATGTGAAGTAGGCTTCGCGGGCGGCAAGGACGTCCTCTCGTGGGAGGAGACCTTTCACAAAGACATAGCCGTCTGTGATGTAGCGTTGGTAGAGCTCCTCGAGAGGCTCATCGGGATAGGAAACGCGAAGCTTGGTGACTTCGCTGGGAGCTAGTAGCCCATCATTGACGTACAACTCGACGTTGTCAATGGTGGGTGTCTTGGTGGCGGTTTGTGCGTGAGGCATGATGAAAGTGTACAGAGAAAGGGGAAAAAGACAGTCGCTTAAAGATGAAGTTGGAGGTGATTTAAGGGAAACTTGATTAATGGCTACATTACAACAGAACCGAGATATCATTTATACATTTCTTAACCATGCCTTCATCGCAAAACTGCAAACAACTCCGCGGCGACCCTTTCCCAATATAGTAATCCCCACAGAACATCCACAACTCAATCACCCCGCAGCTTGGAGGGGGCGAGATCTCCAGTGGAGAAAACGCGAAGGCTGAACTCGTGGGCTGAGCCTATGACTTGCCGTCGATTTCACATGGGGTGGGTTCCTCGTCATCAGTGGAGGCTCGTGACGTCTCAAAAAGAAACTTGTTCAAGCCAACTTGCATCCCGAGGTTGCCGGCTTGTGGATATTGAGGTGGTCGCAAGGAGGAGCTGACGGATCAACCTTGCAGTCTCCATCCTTCTTCTCCTTCTTGTCCTTGTCGTTGCAGTGGCATTGCTTTCCTGCAATTTCGCAGACGCACACTGGAGTGGCGAAGGAGCCGCCCACGTCGCTGGGGCCCTTGGGCTGGTACATGGGCTGGATGTCGTCTCGGAGCTTGTAGACTCTCAGCACCGCCCAGTCGTCGTTGCTGTAGTCTGAGACTCCATAGCCGTTGAAGCGGAGCTTCCATGCTGTCGAGAGGTTAGTGTATTTCTTGCTGCCTGCATTCAAGGAGACTTACTGGTCGGGAATGGGAGCATCTCGTCCCACTCAGGCGTCAGGTAAGTAGACACGGCAGGCCTCATGGGCCGTTCGTTGAAAAGCCTAGAAAGTTCCTTCTTCTCCTCCTCGGAAGCATCATTCTCCATCTTGGCGACCTTCATCTGGATCTCCGACATGCGCATGGGAGCCATGTAGTTAGAGTATCCCTCTGAGGACGCGTCGATGTTGATCTTCTTGTTCATACCCTGCGTATCGTGACCACGTCGCAGGTTCTTGAGCTGTGCGAGAACCTTGACCATGGTGACGAGACTGAGAGCAGCGACGTGCTTGGGGTGATACTTGATGTAGAATGCCTCAGAGAAGCTTGAGCAGTAAGAAAGGTAGCTCGTTTCGCTGTCGTTGCCGGATTTGTCGGCCTTCTCTGCCCTGTTCTATTTTTTTACTCATGTCAGTAAACGAAGAATGAACTCGGGTTGGTTGTCTTACAATGTCACAGATAACAGTCGAGCCGGTTGCGATGGTCTCCAGTTTACCATCCGCACGTTTGTATGTGAAGGGCTCCGTAGCCTTGCGGATGATGGGCAACTTGACGCTGGCCTTCTGCACCTTGAGCACAATCTTCTTGACCTTGTCATGGGCATCTTTGCTGTCGTCAAAAGCCACATCCTGGATGTCGAACCAGTCGCATTGGGGATGCTTAGCTCCAGATCCGGGCCTTGGCTTGCCTTCGTAGAGTTCTCGGAGGAATGTGTCCATCACCGAAGTGAACTGTCACACGACGTTAGTTACCTTGCTGGAAACGATCATAGAGGGTTACATACCGCAAGGACCGTGTTGTAGGCGCTGTCGAGACCAGTCAGGAGAAGGATAGCAGCAGCTCTACCAGCGTTCTTCTCGTTCTTGAGAACTTCTTGAGCAACCTTGAAACCAAGAGCCTCCATGGGGTTTGACCCGGATTTGCCACAAGATGTGATGAATCCCAGTCCGTTGCGGATCCAACGCGTAGGGGGCCAGCGAGCCGCGTTGCAAATGTTGCCCTTCTTAGTCAGGTTGAGGAGGAAGGTCATGGAGTCCTTGAAGGCCTTGCGTCTCTTGAGAAGCTTGGTCTCATCGCTGTTGTAAGATAGGAAGACTTGGCAGTTGGTGATGTGCTGGTAGACTTCGTTCTCGGAGTACGGGGCTTTGTCGTTCTTGTCACTCTGGACGAGATGGCCAAAGCCAAGGAAGTCAGCGACGTAGCGAGTGACGACGGGGATGGCGAAGCTGGCGATTGTTAGTATTGGATCGTGTTGATGCAGTCGGTAGGATACTCACTCTCGAACGACATCAAGCTGATAGACTCCCTTGCTCTTGTCCATAATGATGAACTCGCGCTTGATGATATCTCTCATGAGATCAACCAGATACTTGACAATAGCCTCATGATCCGAGGGCGTGGTATTGTCCGTCGAGACTGTATCCTTATCGCTTGCTCCCTGGCCAGGCTTCAGAACAGCAGCGATCTCATCCGGGAAGTCCTTCAGCCTAAGCCGCGCCGGATGAACAATGTTATCCGAGCGGTCTTCAAGGATCTGCTTGATCTCTGACTTCTTGAACAAGTACACAGGCTTCGACGGACGTCTAGGGTCCGAGTCGGCGGTGTCGTACTCGAACGCAGTGGGCTTGCCCAACCAGTTGGTCGACTTGGTCTTGACCTTCATGTCAAACTCGTCGGCAAAACCCTGCTGCTTGGCGAGCTCGGCGTTCTTCTTAGCCGTGTAGAAGGGGTGGAAGAAGCGGATCGAGTTGTAGGGGTACCACTCGGGGAATGCACGCTGGAGTAGGCGGTGGAACATGGAGCTCTTGAGCACGTCGTTGTCGGGGGTGACCTCCTTCATGCCCCAGTTGGTCAACGCGTTGGTGTTCCAATCCTAGCTTGGTGAGCAGACAATCAAGAGAACTCATTATGGGCTAGACTTACGACAGTGTAGAAGCGGTCGGATCGGACCAAGGTGATGGCATCCGAGAAGATGGCCGCCCACAACGCCGAGTCGACATCGCTCGGGCCAGGATCCGCGCCCATGTTACCGTCAGACTCGCAGAAGACACCTGGGTAGAGTTCCACCTTGTCTGGGTGGTCATACAGGTCTCTCAGAGCGTCCTGAACGTCCTTGTGCTTAGAGATGGACTCAAAGGTCTTGTGGCGTTCCATGCCAAAGAAGTCACGGAAGTCGTTGAGCGTGCCAATTTCCCTAGAGTTGGTAAGTCAGTCATGGGCATGTCAGTTTCGTGGTGCTCGAGGCTTACCATTTGCGGGCTTGCAAGATGCCGAGGATCTCGACAGCCTTCAGGCACTTGGGGACGTTCCTGGGACCAAAGTTGGCTAGAGAAGGTTAGCTGAGACTCAGTGATGCAAAGTTGCAAACTCACAGATAGGATCATCCATAGCCTTTGTCAGCTCGTCAACCATCTGCTGATCGTTGAACAGCCCAGTAACATTGTTTCGCTTGAAGCACAACTCCTCGGTCAGAGGAAGACCAAAAGTCTCTTCCCACGGCTCCTTCGGCGGGACACCTGCGTCCCTAGCTCGAGCCTTGCCCATCTCCTCCATGAACTCTTTGAGGGAGAGATCCTTGGCGTTCCACGAGCCGTCCTTGCCAAAGTACTGCTGCATGAAATCCTCGGCGTACTTCTCGTCCTTTTGAGAGATGGCGCAGTGGAATCGGTAGAGCAGGTTGAACTCGACTGTGACTTGGTTGCCCAGGCCGCGAGACACGTTCTTGTGGTCCTTCATGTCTAGACGAGGGTCCAGGGTGAAGTTGGTGTTGTAGTTGTGGAAGCCCATGAGTGCGCGGAGGTAGTCATGGATCGAGATCTGGATGTACATGCCACAGGTGATTCTGTCGTCTCGCGTTAGCATCCAGAGCGAGCATAAGGAGGGGATGTACTTACAGTCGGGCAGTGTGGAACAGGTCATCGTCAAGCTTGTTCCAAGCATCTGTGTGACCCTTGGTCCAGGCATCAAGAGTCTGCTCTGCCTGGGTGACGCCGAGAGCAGCGTCGAGCTTGTCGCGAAGTACCTTGGTCAGCCTCTCAAACTCAATAGTGTCCTTAGTCTTCTCTTCAGGCTCAGAAGACTTCTCCTTCTCAGGAGACTTCTCCTCTTCTGACGACTTTTGCTTCTTCCAAGCATCCGTATACTTCGTCAGCTCCGCATTGGTCGGCGCATGCTCACCCTTGGCGTACTCCTTGGCACAGCCAGCGAGAGGGGCCGTTTCATACTTGTGTGGCACCGAGAATCGTCCATTCTCGTTGATACGACGAAGCTGAGTGGCGACGTAGTTGTGGTAACGGTTGTACATAACCAGGTAGATGCACACTCCAGGAGGCTGTCGAAGAAGCCTGTCTTCGGCAAAAGTATCGGGCTTGAGAAGGCCAAGCTTGTACTTGTCGTCACGGACCTTGCGCTGCATCTCATCGGTGAAACCGTACAAGGGGGAAAGATCCAGGTATGATGATGTATCTGAGATATTCTTGTCGCTGTCGTTTGTGCGGAAGATGTCGTGAATGATGATAGTGGCATGGTAAATGAGCATGCTGGACAGACCAGAACCGCTGTTTCGGCCTCCCTCATCTCTAGCCATGAGACGATCAAAGAGATCAGAGGGATCTGGCAAAGCTCCCAAGGGGTGTGTCTTGGAAGGGACTGTCTTGGCGTAGGGAGCACCAGCTTGACCAAGCTGAGGGTTCAGAGCACTGTTGAACTTGCCATCGGCTGTTCTGTACTTGAACGCTGAGCCGAGGTAAGTCAAAGGCGGGTGAAGCATGCGCTCGTATTTGGTCTTGACTGAACCCTCAATGAGCTTTCCTCGGAGCTTGCTGTCATTTGACATGGATGCAACGAGCTTGGCTCCGGTTTTCATCTGGCTCTAGTTAGCATGGGTATTTATTGTACGAGGCTAGTAAAAGACTTGCATCCACGCGCCGCCCTGTCAAGAGGTTGAAGATGATGTCAATAATGTCGGGTGCATTATCGAATGTAAATATGCGCTTGAGGTCATTCAGGATGCCAACGCTCAGCTTCTGCTTATCCTGTCATGGGTTAACATCTTGGCTTAAGATTCTCGCCGCATAACTTACTCCAATGAGGGCATCGCCATGAAAACCAGATAGGTACATGGCGCTAGTGAGTTGCTGGTTCAACTTGGCAATCTCATCTGCCCTGTCAGACTCTGACCTGGCATGGCCATTCTGCAGAGGGCGTTGAGAATCCATAGACATTTTGGAAAGATGAAAAGAGTTGGTAACACTCAGAGATACAGAAACTGGACGAGACGACGCCAAAGGTGCGATATGGGTGGTTAAATAGAATTCGACTTGCATTGGCTTCAAGTCAAAATCTTGGTATGCCTCAACTATCATTCGCCAATTTACTAGCGGCCTCTTCAGCTCTTGGCTACTGCGCGTCAAGCTTCAGTCACTGCCGTATCGAGACTTTCAGCGGAGAAGACATCTTACTCGACCCGCTACACCGTATACTCTGCGTCGTCATGCAGGGAAAGCCATGCCTATCTCGACGGGATTGTCGGCTTGGTGTTCCCTACTGGGCAATTCAGCTCAGCCCAAACCCAGTTGTGGACGAGTCCCCATTTTCAATGTCTCGAAAACGATTGGGCCAGGCCTCTCAGTCTCACCCCAGACAGCCCTCTTACGACGTCGGCCTCGCATTGGCAGACCCTTTTCCCCAGTAGCAGGCATTTCAGCTATCAGCCGGCGTTTCCGCAGCGGGGAAAGAAGGCATGTAGGGCTAGAGCTGCAGGTTGTAGGCGATATTACTGGGCGGGACGTTTGACGCTGGGTCTCAGCTGAGCTGCAATGGGACGCGCCTCATGCAGCTTCCAGGGAGCTATCGAAACTCCCACGATTGACGGTTAGCGGGAGTTTCCGCTCGGTAACGCGGGAGGGAGCGCTACTACTGACGATCTGGGCTAGGTTCAATAGTCTACCAAGATTGCTTTGCATTGGAGAAATCAGCAGATGGCACAATCTTGGCTGCCTCAACGCGCGTTGCCTCGGGTGTTATGGGTGTGAGAGATAAGGGAAGGACAAGTAAGATAAGATGTGGTTTCATAAATTCACAGTGCAAGTTATGCAGGCATATCCACCTCCAGGGTCAACCTACCCGAGACTAAGCAATTTTGCACTCTGAGACATTGAAAACGGTGATATCTACTAAGACACATCATATCATGAGAATTATCAGCTTCTTAAAGAGCTGAAAACAGGGGTCTATTCACCATAGTTATCACCGTTCACAGACGAGGTCTAACATCACTGGTACAAAATTCACGTAGGGGTGACCAATCCACTTCGCAAATATTTCGTGATAGCCACATTGCGGACCAGACGAACGTATCAAACTAACACGGAATCTCTCTTACGAACTTGCAACACCATTTGTAGATGCAAAAATACGTCCAAATCATTCTCGATACCTTAAACTCTGCTTTCTCATCCGATTCACATCGGATTTGTGGTCCAAGACAAGTGAAGTGACCATTCTCATGGGTACGTTCTCAACGTTTCACTCGGATCTGTCGGTTGCTTAAGCGAGGCCAGGAAGTCGGCCGTGTCGATCTGAAAAGAGCGGTAAGGCAAAAAAATGAGATCAGTGACTAAGGGCATTCTTAACACGGTCTTGATTGACATTATACGGGAAGACTGAGTTGTGTTTATCCGGCAAGGAAACAAATTCCTTTCAAGGTCGCAAGTTCCGTGTCTTGATGCTGCCATGGACTTCAAGACCAACTCAACCATGGCTGTTCTATCTCTACTCTATAAAAGAAAAAAAAGTCTGAGGATCAGCGAAGCGTATCGTTGCTGAGGTGGAGAATCGAAACTCGTTTACACTTCATTCGGAGGAATTCGAAAACAAGCTGAGACATTGTTGTTGATCATTGTGACACGTCACTGAAGCATGGCATCGGGTATAGTAAGAAAAAAATTCAGTTATCTACATAGCGGAACCCAAGCTTAACCCTATGAAACAACGTTAAGCGGCCGATACACAGCCCTGACATTTTAAATCGAGAGAGAGTACCGTGCCCTCTTACATGTCAAGGCTTACGAAGCTACCTAGAAAAATGGTTATCACTCCGAGTTCCAACCGGCCCAGCCTATTACTCAAGCAGGAAGAAATAGTGGCGGGTATACTCGACTTGATAACGCATTCCGCTCCCAGTAAGGGCAAGTGCGAAGCCGGATCAAGTATCAAATGGCACTCCTGTACAGACTGGAGGCCGTATGAATGCGGACTACAATGGCTTGATATCTGGGGTAAACATCTATGAGATTAGAAATACCGGTTTAATATGACAAAAAATTGACTTGGCCAGTGTGGAACTATGAGTTTCTTGTTCAGGAGATCACATGCTACCGACTTTGACCAGCTGAATGAAGTTCCCCTTCGAATCTCGAGTGCCTGCTGTCAAAGCACAGAGTCAGATTAGACTTGAAGACACTGTTTCGACTTTGGTTAGTGGTTTAAACTCTGGGTCGCCCTTTGTTGCATCCATGTTTGATAAGCATAGCATCGCAACTACAGCCTGGGAGGCTCAACCTGGACTAGTCTAGGAAGATATTTAGAGGCACGAGGTCTATGAGCGTAGGTTTCTGCTAAGGAGCAGTTTGGCCGGCCTAGCTTTCTCGAATTCTTGAAGCCTTGAACAATACGGGAATATCTCCGCATTAACTAACGATCGGAGTAGCCCCCCCACTACTGCTACCGTGCCTAGCTATCTGCCGATAGTCTATGGGCCTTTTTTTCATGGTAGATAAAGGGTTCCGGTCTGGGGGAAGGACATTTTGCGGGATTCCCTCCGCAGGGGGTAGAATCCTAGAAAGCGCTGGATAGCGATGTGACGTTGACCTGCCACACAGGAGAGCTCAGTGCTTTAGTACTTACTCGAGCGCTGAATGAATGGGTTTAGTTCCATCATAACATCTGCACTAATAATCACAAGTGTGGCTGTTGTTACTTCCCTCTTCTCCGACATATAGGTCACTTCCCGAATCCCGAAGACTCTGAACGGAGCGGACTGAGGTGGCATTCTATGTGCTTGTCGAGTCATGATGATCATCAGATAAGGGAAGGAGGTTGTACTATTGATGATGATTGACATACGCCTGAACTTTATCTTTGGTGTGGGAGGAACATCAACGTCGGCACATTGACGGGCTTATGCGGACCGAGGTTGGCATGTGCATGACTGATGTATGAGGCTCTAGTGAACCACGTGGCGGCGGCTCTTATTATCAACTCAACTAGCAAATCTGCCATGCTAAGTCAGTGTTTCAAGTAAGAGCTAGGTATCGTTAGGCTTCTACTCTTGTGTGGTGGCTTCTGCTACAAAAAGGTCAGCCTACCATCCGTTGCCACTCCGCCTCTTCCGTCAATGCCGAGTGAGTGTGCCTGTTGTGCTCTAAACACAGTCTGCAACAAGGGACCAAACTCTGAAATGATGGGCACTCAAAGGATGGCAGATGGATTTTCAGGAGGGTTACATGACAAGGAACCCCTCGTCAAGCTGTCAGTAGCCGGGTAGACCACCTGACCCCAAGAGTATGAGCCTACTGTATGAAGAAACACACAGGATCTACGTTTGTTATTCTCCTTCTGGAGTATAACTAAGCGTGAAACGGCAGGAGCAGCCTCAAGTTTTCCCCTGTTTACGTTTGCCCTGAATCCTTAGCTTCAATAGCCTGTCAACCCGCGCGGCAAGATGGGGCTAGCATTGGCAGTCTCTGTGTCAAGAGAACTAGGCATCTACCATTTTCCTCGCGTAATAATTACAAACGAGAATCAGGAGCGGGAGAAACGGCGAGATCTTGGTGTCAGTGCTTCTTGATAGCTCCCGCAAAGTCCAAGCACCTCGGTGTGTTTTGCTTGGCTGTGCCCCTGCGTCAAACGCTCCAGCTGTTCTTTTAGCGGACGTTGCGAGCTAGGCTGAAAGCAAAGGGACTTTGCGGTCGCTAATTGAATCAACCAACCATGACTCGGGATAGCGCAGATCCTTTCAATGGCGCTGTCTGGCTCAGATCATGCACTCGGGTCGACATGGCACAACGCCCAGATCTCTTTGGAGCTTGTCACTGACTCAGTCGTGCCTCTGCGCTCGGACAGCTCATCTCACCTGAAGTGACAGGCTTGGGGGCCTGATAGGTTACGCCTCGACTCTTTCGTAATAGCCCGCAGATCAGAATTCTTTAGCAGCGAGTCCCCTAGCCTGGTTTGTCCCTGGCCCAACGCCACGGTCCAGTTTTCCTTTTGATTAGAATCCTTGCCGAGACACCCCAGGAATTTCCCCCGGAGACTAGACCTGGGGGATCCATGGAGTAGCGCGTCGTGTTGGATGATCTTAACCCAAAAAGGATGATCTACTGCTTCAGCCGAGTGACGACTTTGTCATTGGCATCGAGCTGAGACGTTATTCGATCTTACCGGAAGCGTAACGGCCAGGCAATTCCGCCCTGAATCCGCTGGCTGTGAATAGCTCGGCTCTGCTCCCGACCCTTGCAGGACATGCCACGCGACGACGCCATCTAATGCGAGTTATGTCGCATCGCCAGAATCTGCCGGCTGGATGATGCGTCAGCCGTTGAGCATGACATTGATCTCATTCCCCCGGCCAAACTCACCGTGCCAAGCTTTTGACCCTGGATGCTAGAGGGCCCCGTGTTTTGAGGGGGAACCGAGACAATAACTTAACTTTGCTTTTGTCCCCCGCTGGTTATTCCTTGCTGAAGCTTGACCCTCTCTCGCATTCCCGTCCTCGCCCACTTCTCGTTTATCCACCAACAAACGATGGGCAAGTATGGATATCTGATCCCGGACTCTTATGTCCGAGAAGTTCCCGGCGAGGTCGACATGAACACTGCCAGTATATTCTGGGGCTTCTCTCTTGGCGTTGCTGTCTTTTCGGCGGGAAAGGCCGGTAAGCAGAGCTGGAGGTCATGGAAGCGGGCTAGACGGCCCACGGCATATGTAGGCATGGTATGGGCCGTGTGGTTTAGCAGCATGGTGCTTGGCGCTCTGGCTTGGGGGTTCCAGCGACAATACATAGACCCAAGGCAAGTCGACGCTCTCTATGTCTTTCTTCCACTCTGGTGCTAACCTTACCCATAGCTTCGGCTTCTACTTCTGTGTCGGTATGTGTCTTGGCCCATGCTCTTGGTCCCCATCTAACCTCTATAGCCTTGTTCTGGGCACTACAGGTCCAGTTTCTCCTCCAAATTATCCTCAACCGTCTTGGCCTGCTCATGGTGGTGCCTGGGCAAGCCACGAAGCTCAAGTGGCTTGTCTTTGGTATCATCCTGGCAATCAACATCAGCGTCTTTATCATTTGGATGCCCGCCCGACTCCAGATCAACGACACGTGGGTACACCTCAACGAAATTTGGGATCGTTGCGAGAAGGTTATCTTTGCCTTGGTCGATGGGGCGTTGAACGGCTACTTTATATACCTTGTTCGGTCACGACTTATTGAGAATGGCCTGACCAAATACACGCCTCTTTATCGCATGAACCTGGTTCTTATCTTTGTATCTCTTTCATTGGATGTAAGTGCTCATCAATGCATTCTTTCCTTGTTGTATGCTGACATCGCCCCTCAGGTCGTCTTGGTTGGCCTCATGTCCATGAAGAGTAGCTTGGTGTAAGTCAGACTTGATTCTCCATATAACATTAGACCTAACACAACCTAGGTACCTGTCATTCCACCCCGTTTGTTACCTACTTAAACTTCAGATCGAAATGAAGATGGCCGAGTTGATCACAAAGATTGTGCGATCCACCGGACGACACGGCTCCGACGACATCTACTATCGACAATCCTCCACAGGGGACAAGTCTAAAACCGCTAGGGGAACTACCAAGGCCAAGTTCTCAACTGGTCTATCGGGAGCTCAAGGGACATTCAAACAAGGCAACACAACACAAATTGAGGCTGGTGACCAGGACAGCGACATTGAGATGGAGATCCGAGATAGAGCAACCGATGGTGGCATTATTAAAACCACGCACACTACTGTTGCTAGCTCTCCTGTCGATATCAGGGAGGATGACGATTCACATAGCAGGACAAGTTCAACACGACAATTGCACTACTAATCACCGGTTTAAGGATCAAGTGCTCGAAAGAAGGATAACTACTACTTATAGAACTAATAGAATCCCAGTTGCCATGCAGGTGGCTTCAATAAACATTAATTGATGTCAAATCTCCCCAAGTTGGTCCCCAACCTGTGAGACGTGACCTCAAACCTTTTCGGCCTCATGGACCTCGACTTCGACGCTTGACTTGCCCTGAACGTCGCCTCCGGCTTCGCCCTCGAGCTTGTGGGTTCGGAAGTGCCTCGCAGGAAGCTTCTTGTTGAACTAGAGAATCGTGTTAGTTGATTGAGCTGATCGTCGAATGTGGATGTGATAAGCGCTTACCATGACGTCGATCTCCTCCAGGGTGCGGCCCTTGACCTCGGGAAGGAAGAAGAAGACCCAGATGGCGGAAACAATGCAAGAGGGGAACCAGATGTAACCGTATCGTGGTCCCCAGTTCAATGAGCTTGGGTTGATAAAGTATGGGGCAGTGAAGGTGATGAGCCATGCACCAAGGAATCCGATAGCGGCAGCAACGCCGAAAGTGTAGCTGCGGAGGCGCTGAGATGGTATCTCACCAGCAACAAGCCAAGAGTAAGAGGCAATCATTCCCTGAAAATACCAATTAGCAGTGTGCAACCCATTATTTGAAGAGTTCTTACGTTGTATGCCACCATGTACAGGCAGGAAAGGGCGACCAAAACACGGCCTGTAACATGCGTGCCAGGGTTCTTGTCATACGTGACAGCAATGATGAGCTGGAAGCAACCCGAGATGACAAGTCCGTTGGTGAGGAGAACCCGGCGACGTCCGTATCGAACGACGATGAAGGAGTTTGCAATAATAGCGATGAGTCCGGCCATGCTGAGGACGTTGCTCATGGCGAAAGGATCGTCAACCTTGGCCATGGCAAAGAAGTAGGCCTTATAAGCTTTGAAGATGGTTAGTTATATCCCTACGTGTCGTATCTCGGCATCGAGTACTTACCAATGATGAACATTGATCCAGAGGCGGCTTGCAAGAGCACAGATCCAATAGACAGCAGACTTCGTCGTCTGTCGATGGGGTTGTTAAACATGTCCCAGATACCAACGCCGCTGGAGGTCTCTTGTTCCTTGTTGATGGCGTCTCGAATCTCGTTGAGCTCCTTGTCGACGTCGGAATCCTTGGGCCTCAACCACTTGAGTGACTTGAGACCATCGTCGTAGCGACCTTGAAGGATGAGCCATCGAGGGGACTCGGGGATGAAGATCATGGCGACAAAAAGGAAGGCGGGCACGACATAGATGATAGCAAGAGGGATGAGGTAGGCGGATCTATCGGGTCGCTTCGCAGTTGCCCAGTCGATGATGGTGCCGATGAGGGTGCCCTATGAAGTGGTTAGTATGCATATCATGATTCCAAGCCGGAGAGCACTCACAAACGAGGTGCAGAACTGGAAGATGCTGAGAAAGAGACCTCGGTACTTGGCTGGGCTAGTCTCTTGAATGTAGAGCTGAGAAAAGGTCATGAAGTAGCCGTTAGCCAGACCGATGACTAGACGGCCGACATAGAGGGCGGCAATGTGAGTTGTGGTCATCATGATGATGTTGGCAACTGCACAGAGCAGACATGCGATCCAGAGGCACATCTTTCTACCAAGCTTTGCAGCGACGAAGCCAGCAAGACTGGAACTGATGAAAGCACCAAGGGTCATCAAAGATGAGATGAGTTGTTGTCGAGTGGTCGAGATGTTCCATCCGATCGCGGTTTCGGGTGCTCGGTAGCCATAAATCTGCAAACATGGCCTGTCAGTCTCATCGGATCTTCTCCAACGTAATAGAAATGAGAGATCTGATATCACTGACCTTGAGAAACCCAGGCATGGCCTGAAGACCGCCGATGAGGCCAAAGTCAAGTCCATACTGGAAGGGGGACAGGACGATGATGCCGCAAGCGATGAAGCACTTCCAGTGCGCCCGGATGGTATCCTTAGAGGGATCCGACATTGCAACGAGTTCAATGTAATGTTCTTTGATGAAGTTAATGATGCTGAGGACTGAAGGATCAAGGATCTGCGGAGCACGTTCCTTACATACTCAATCTCAAGACGAGGGTGACCGTGTCCAACGCACGCATTCCCGGGGCATGCAATACCCCGTGGGGAAGTGGAGAAAAGACCAACTCATCTCGCTCAAAGCAAAAAAGGTAGATTCGAGTGTTACCCGACGTGCGGGGTGCAGGAGGAGGCTGGCCACGCTAGGGACCATTGATCCGATGGCAATGGAGTCGAGACAAGGAACTTGGCACGTCACGAGGTCTCAGCCATATGGGGTACTTGATATTTCTAAGCAATTTTTACCGAGAGGACATGGGGTATACGCGCATTTGTTATCTTGGTACGCCACCGGGGGGATGGAGACGGATCTTGGATCTGGGGCAAGGGGGGTCTCGCTTCGCTTGGCGTATCTGTTGGTTGATGGTTCACCGCAATTCTGAGTCTACAGGCATTCGTGACCCTCAAGGTTTGGCAAAAGCAAAAATGTTACTTTGGATCTCGATAACGCACTGCATAGATCTGTGAAGTGGCCTGATTCAAGTTCCTTTACGAGTGGTAGAATCTATGATACTCGGGGCATATGAACCACTGAGATAATAAAGAAACATTGAATCCCAATGAAATGAAACATCTATTGTAGCTTCGTAGTAGTTTAGGGTAACCTCAAACTATAGACTTGATACCCAGCATCTTCTCCGTCTCGCTCCATAGTTTCTCAGCCGCCTTAGGGTCATAAGCATGAGCGGCCAACCTCTCATCATCCGGCTGGCAGTTAGATAGGTACCAATACGGCTTTGTCCGTCCCTCAGTGAGCTTCGGATCAAAAGCAGCGACAAGAGTTGTTGCGGCTCCCTGATCCATCGTCTTCCACACACCCCCTGGCGCTGTTCCCCCCATGGTCCCTCGCCCCTCGGTGTCTAGACTGCGGGTTAGACCCGTGTCAATGGTTCCCGGATGCACCGATAGTGCCGACACGTTGGATCCAGCCTTTTGGAGCCGCCTTGTTAGCTCCACAGAGTGAAGCACGTTGGCTGCCTTGCTCTGGCCGTAACCAATGAACCCGGGGTAACCGTCCTTGGCTTGGAGAAACCCTGGGATAACGGCAGTTGGGGGTCTCTCCTCTTCCGGAACCCCATTGTAGAGGTCCTTCTCAAAAGCGTAGTCACTGAAGCGGATTGGAGATAGGCGATGGCCGTGGCTGCTAACGTTGACAATGCGAACACTTCCCTTTGGACCTTTTGATGCGGCGCTGATGATCTTGGGGAGGAGGAGTTCTGTGAGTAGGAATGGACCGACGTGATTTGTGAAGAGTTGCTGGTCGACCTTGATGCCCCCAGGAGTTGTGACCGTATCTCGAGTTTGGAGGTTGAGTCCAGCGTTGTTGATCAAGATGTCGATATGGTCCAAGGCAGTGCCAATCTCAGCTGCTGCCGCCTTGATCGACTCAATGGACGAGAGATCTAAAAGAACGACCTTGACTGGGACTGTTGGATACTTTGCCTTGATCTCAGCGGCCACAGCTTCCAATTTGGACTGGGTGCGAGAGGCCAAGACAAGTGTGGCTGGAGCCTGTGATGCTATTGCCAGGGCGGTAGAAGCACCGATACTGGAAGGACTGACACCAGTGATGACAACTACAAATCATCAAAAGCTGTGAGAAAAATGAAGTCTTACTGAAGGGGGTCAGGCTCACCATTCTTTCCGCGAATCTCATCACCAAAGGCTGCGGCAACTTCCGTGCCAGTGGTCTTGTTGTCAAACTGAGAGTTGGAGGTCATGATGTGACGTGTCTTTCTTGTGCCAGATAATGCACCTCAAAGCAAGACCCCTATCTATTAATTGACCAATAAATCATACCAAATTTCCTCCTTTCGCATTATCATCCTCGGCAATGCCATGGAGTCGCCAAGAAGCCAGCCTCCATCGGCGCGATGGTTCCGAAATGAGGGGAATTCCGAATTTGACAGACGCCGAAAAACCCCCCTCGGCAATAGAGGAAATTGATACCCGAATTCCTTGAGCAATCAATATTATGTAGATTGCATTTATTGGCTTTAATATCAGTTCTCAGCAAGGTTCTGTACCAGCAAAGGTCTTATCCAACCATACTCGTTTCAACTCATCACAACAATGTCCTCAACAAAGTCAGGGATCAAGGTCATCGTTGTCGGTGCTGGATTTGGCGGCTTGACAGCTGCTATTGAGTGCCACCGACAAGGTCATGATGTTGAGATTTATGAATCTTTTCCTGAACTCAAGGTTCTTGGAGATATCATCTCTTTTGGCGCCAATGCCGGAAGGATCTTTTACCGATGGTCCGACGGAAAAATTGTGAAAAAGCTCCGTCCTCTTTGCATCAACATTCAGGAGTATGGCTTTAGAATTCACAAGTACGACACTGGAGAAGTTGTGTATCACCAGAAGAGACCCCCTCCCAGCCCTGATGCGCCCGTTTTGAACGGCCACAGAGGTGAGCTGCATGAGGTCATCTTCAACTACGCCCGCGATGAGCTCAAAATTCCCATTCACCTTGGCCAACGGGTGAGTGAGTACTTTGAGACCGAGGCGGGCGCTGGAATTGTGCTCAAGGGTGGTAGGAAGGTGAGTTAATGGCCTGTGGATCTGACCCCTGAAGGCGGCTTACTCACAGATGATTCAGATTCTTGGCGACGTCGTGATTGGAGCCGATGGTGTCCGCTCAAAGGCCAGGGAGCTTGTCCTGGGATACTTTGACAAGCCCAAGAGCAGCGGCTATGCAGTGTGGAGAGCATGGTAAGACCTTGATGTCATATGAAAGAATTCATGCTGATCAGTGAACTACAGGTTCTCAAACAAGGATATGATCAAGGACCCACGGACAAAGGAGTTCTGTGAGAATGGCGATACTTTCAACGGCTGGGTTGGAAAAGATTGCCACTTCCTCTTCTCCACGCTCAAGGGCGGCAAGGACTGCTGTTGGGTCTTGACACACAAGGATGATCACGACATTGACGAGTCGTGGTCGTTCCCTGGCAAGGTTGAAGAGGTGTTGGAGGTGCTGAAGGACTGGGACCCGACTTGCCGAGCCATTGTCGAGAAGACGCCGTCTGTTGTGGATTGGAAGCTTGTCTATCGGGATCCCTTGCCAACTTGGATTAGCAAGAAGGGCCGCATTGCTCTTCTTGGTGACGCAGCTCACCCTTTCTTGCCAACGAGTGCTCAAGGCGCAACTCAGGCGATGGAAGACGGGGTGACCATTGCAGTCTGCTTGAAGCGTGCAGGAAAGGGAAATGTCCCAGGTGCTCTGCGAACGCATCAGGGCTTGAGGTGAGACGAGCCCAACCCGTTAAACGAGAGCCAGAGAACAAAGCTAACAAACACTTGCAGATACGACCGAGTGAGAGCCGTCCAAAAGACTGGAGAGTCGACGCGCGACCTGTGGCACAAGACAGACTGGGCCAAGGTCAAGGAGAACCCTTCCAGCATTGGCTTTCCCAGGGAAGATTGGATCCATGGATTTGATGCTGAGAAGTACGCAGAGGAGAACTTTGATAGCGTCTTTGAGGAGCAGACACGTCCGGTTGCGGACAGGGCCGAGACTTTCTTGGATCAAGGGGTAGCCAAGACCACGGTAGTAAACTGAGATGGGCAGATAGCATTTGTAGTTTCATTCAGCATCAGGTTTAGCATCGCATCAACCACACCTTGTCTTCACTCGATGTCCGACGCGCTTTATGTGAAGGAGGAAGTCACGAGATGACCCATTTACTTGAAAATTTTGTTCCTTGCAGACCTACCCAACACTCTCTGATTATACCGTAAGAGGAGGAAGTAGCTCAACAGCTAAATCACGTTTGTAATTCTGTGCAACTCGTAGTCACCCAGATAATAGAAGTCACTGGGTCAATGATGGGCAGGATATCTTGTGCATGGCTTCATTATAAACTCGCTCTGTCTGAACCTCCTCTCACAACTTGGAATCATTTGCCCCAACCTTCATCATGATACTCTTGGTTTCCAAGAAGTTATCAATGCTATGCTGCCAACCCTCTCTACCCTGACCCGATGCCTTGTATCCTCCAAAAGGCAAGTCCTTCGCAGTGCTAGGACTCGTACAGTTGATTCCGACATAACCAGAGTTGAGTTCTTTGGACACTCTCATGGCGCGCTCGAGGTCCTTGGTGTAGACCGCAGCGTACAGACCAAACTCAGTATCGTTGGCCTTGCGAATCGCCTCTTCTTCCGTCTTGATAACGTTGATGTTGACAACAGGACCAAAGACCTCCTCCTTCATAATCTTTGCGTTCTCGGGCGTGTTAAGGAAAATGGTTGGCTCGATGAAGTAACCTCCAGTGCTATCAAGTTGGCCATTTCCTCCAAGAGCAAGGGTGCCAGACTTCTTGCCCTCTTCGATAAACTTAAGAACGTTGTTATACTGAATCTTGTCGGCCTGAGGTCCGTGGACAGTGCCACGCTTCGTAGGATCGCCTGCCTTGACAGCAGCAAGGTTCTGTTTGCATGCAGCGATGAACTTTTCGGCAATACTTTCTTGTACGTAGACTCGTGAGTTGGCCATACAGACTTGTCCGCTATTGAACTGAACACTGTGCATTGTGTCTTTGACGGCCAACTCAAGATCTGCATCTTCGAACACAATGACGGGGGACTTGCCACCAAGCTCAAGAATAACCTTCTTCAAGTTCGTCTTGGCGGCCGTTTCCTGAATGAGGCGTCCAGTGCGGCTCGAGCCAGTGAAGCTCAGTGCTCTAACATCCATATGCGCAGCGAGTGTAGCGCCAGAAGGCAAGCCGTGGCCATGGATAATGTTGAAGACACCTGGAGGGAAGCCAGCCTTGTGGACCAGCTCAGCGACCTTGGCCGCAGCAAGAGGAGCCTTCTCGCTTGTCTTGAGCACCACTGTGTTACCAGTAATGAGAGCGGGCGCGGTCTTGCTGGAGAGGAACAGCAGAGGCACGTTCCAGGGAATGATGGCAGCGACAACTCCATAAGGCTGACGGAGCGTCATCGTGACATATCCCGGCGTGTTCAGCGAGGCGGTGCCCTGAATCTGAGACCAGGCCTCAGCATAGTGGTCAAAATTGCCAGCTGCGGCAAAGCCTTCAAAGTAGTCGTCGACAGGGCGACCCATAGACCGAGCCTCGAGAAGAGCGAGCTCATCGTTGTTCTCTCTGATCAAGGCGGCCAGCTTCTTCAGGCATGCGCCGCGTTTCGACGGATCGAGAGCCGACCAGGCGGGGAATGCGCGGTTCGCAGCAGCGACAGCCGTGTTGGCATCTTGCTCGGTTGCTTCAGGAACTATCGACGCAGGCTAGCGTTAGCAGCAAGTCCAGTGGGCATTGCCAAGATGGTGGTGTCTTACCCTCCGCAATCTGGGTACCGGTAGCCGGGTTGAAGAGGGGAAAAGTGGCTCCGTCTGAGGCCCCAACCAACTGGTGAACATGTGTCAGTAACGTGTGTGTCACTGGCTGGAACGAGTCATGCACGTACTTTGCCATCGATGAGCATCTTGGGGGTGTTGACCGTTAGTGTCGCTGGCATTTTGTCGGTTGATGATATGATCCTGGGGAAGTGATGAGAGGCAGAGAAACGCTGGCTAATGAGACAATTGAGGAGTCACCCCGGATTTCCAGCGCCATTATTACTCGTTAATTATGTATGTCGAGGTGTTCGGCAATTCATGTGACATGGCTTAAGCCAAAGACGGCAACGGATCTAAGATCCATGATGCCGCCACCCCCGCTTCAATTTGCGGGGGAATGCAGTGAAACCAAGAGCGCGGCAGTTGAATACGGGCCGAGGGAACTTGGAGAGGAGACGGGTAAGGCTTCAGGTTCATGAGGGTTGATGGAGGACGCTCTTCCCATCCATGGACGTTGTCGGTTTTGATGCAGGCTTATTCGAAACCATGTCGACACCTCAAGAGACGAGTGAGCGCAGGACTAAGCGTCGGGCGGCTATGAGCTGCGACAGGTGCAAGGCGAGGAAAACAAAGGTGAGGCCAAATATGTGTTCACATGTGAGAGGACGACTGGCTGACCAAGTAACAATGGCACGTGAAGTGTGTTGATCCAGGTTTGTCTCACAATTTGCTTCACGATTTTCACCTGAGCGAGGGTCCTAACATTACATGCAGTTCCTGGACCCTGTCAATTTTGTGCCAGCATCTCGGCTCCCTGTCATTTGGACCCATCGCGGCGACGACAGCGTCCATACTACCGCGTCTCCGAAGAAGAGTTCCGCTATATGACACAGATTCTTGAGCATTTTTTGCCCAACACTGAGCTTAATCTGCCAAACTTGAAAGCGTTCGTCCAGTCGTTGGAAAACAGCGCGTTGGAAAATCCAATTACACCCTCAGCAAGCGATGGCATCACTCCAAGTTATCCGATCGTCAGCCCTCAATCAACTGCATCAGAGAGTGTCAACGAGAGCTCGGATATTACAAGCGAGATTTCTGAGTTGTATCAGGAAGTTGGACGGGTAAGAGTTGACTCAAAAGGTGTTCAGAGTAAGTACACGGTCCCTGCTGCATATTGCTTGACGATGCTCACAACTGGCCAGGACATGTCGGACCAAGCTCGTCATACCTCTTCCACTCTGCAGTCCGATCCATCAAACAGCCTCGTCAGCCGAATACTCCAAATAGTGACATCATTGCTCCCCTCACAGCCTCACCCTCCATCCCTCCCCCACTACCGGAATCATCGCTGGGAGTGAAGCGAACTCCCCGTCAGGTCAACCTACCCCACAGAGAGCTCTGCAACAACTGCATAGCTCGGTTCTTCCGCGAGGTGCATGCCGTGTACTGGCTCTTCTCGGCCGAGCAGCTGCACGCCACCCTGGATCGGATATATGCTGGCGATGCTACGGCTGCAACTCCCGCTGCGCTGTGTAGCTTGTACTCGATACTTGCTATTACATGCGAAAGTGAGATGCAGAAGGAGTGGTCGGATACAGCCATGAGGCCTTCGGTAACGTATCTGACCTTGGCCAAGGCTGTGGTTCCTGCACTGTTTGATGATGCCGACTCGGATAGTGTTCGGGCACTTTGTCTCCTCGTAAGATTGATCCGAGACTTACTCTAATTGGCATAGACTGACGCACGAATCTAGGGCCTTGCACTTTCGTGTTCCATGTTTGGAAGTACGGCATATGTGTACATCGGTGCGGCTGCTAGGGTGGCATTCACACTTGGATGGCATGTTCGAGATGAGAGCTCTCGCGTTGACTTGCAAGAACAAATCGACTTGAGACTCTTCTCGACTCTCTATATCCTCGATCTTGACACTTCGCTTTGTTACGGGAACCCGCCGGCTATTGACCAAAGCATCGTCCCGAACCTACCCAAGTCTCCATGTGAACAGGTACGCTTGTTGAACACCTTGTTGACTTTTTCCATTCTAATTGAGGTAGCTTCTGGGCCCAGGATCTAGCATGCCACATGACTATCTAGAAACCTCGTGTCAGCTGGCTCATCATCGGCGAGGTCTCACAAGGCTTCTGTATCAAAAACCAACAGCAAAGTCGGCGCCCATCTCAATAATCGCCGTCTCCAAAGCAGTCTCTGACCTCGAGAGCTGGTACTCTGAGATCCCATTCCACCTTCGCCACCCCAATCAAGTTGCAAGGTTCCATGTGCGGTCAGTTGCAGTTTTGCACCTCCGATACTGGAGTGCCATGATCTACGCCACGCGGCCATTCCTTCTCTATAGCGCTCTGAAAGAGGACAGCATAGGACAAAGCCCAAAGCAGAAGTCGTTTCAAGATTTTAGTGCCAGATGTCTGAATGCAGCGCAAAAGTCGCTAGAGATGATCCTCTTCCTCGGAGAGCGAGGCCTGCTATCCAGCTTGGTCCTGCTCGATTGTGGGTCGATCCTCGAGGATATGCAGGTCTTTCTCCTTGGACTGAAGCTATCAGACCCTTCGATTCACATGAGAAATGTTGAAACGTGTCTTCACACTCTACAGAGTATGGAACAGGTCTTTTGGACAAAAATGTTGCTTCCAGAGGTGATAGCCCAGCTACGGGAATTTGGGGTTCTTAGCGATGAACCAGGGTTGAGTCTGGTTGATGATCAACCCGCTGGTCTCATATTCTTGGACTTTGCTCAGCAGGGCGAGCCGTGAGTGCACTTCACCATTTTATACAGTGTTTAAACAGACTAACAAGATGACAGGACGTTCTTTCCGGACTTTCACATTCCGAATTTGGACGAGATGCTTTCTGTTGTTGATAGCACGGTCGATTGTAGTTTTGTACCGGGGACATAAGAGAGGTTGATTTCTGTATGCAATGTACCCGATAGTCACAGCATGTAAATTAGAGTTGTAGAGTAAGCCACTGTACTCCTAATTGGAACTTTGTTGTTGAAACACTCGCCGGCATGTCCTAGTCCCGTATTCTCTGAGCCGATACCATACCCCAGTTCATCCATCTCTCCGTTTCCAGATTCGGTCCCTCCTCTCGGTATCGGTTGAAGTTGTCGGAATTATCGATCCGATGCCCATGGTACTACTGGCACCATTCCCAGATAGGAGGGCACATTTGCCGATAGTCGACGTTTGTAAGCTCATAGAGAAACGAGAAACTCAACAATACCCGAGCACCTTGAGTCTACCTGTCTATCCTTCGATTCAATTCCATCACCCAATTCCCCATTTTCCATTCTATCCACCGAAACAATGGCCAAAGGAACAGTAGCCATCGAAGAAGCAGTTGTCAATGCCGATGACCTGGAGTGGCTTTCACAAACAGCCAACATTTACGCCCCCGGCCAAACAGGACAAACTCAGCATCACGCTCTCACCAGAAAGCTGGCCGATATTCATGATGAACGTCTAAAGGCGATGGACGCCAATGGCGTCGACTATATGCTGCTTTCACTCACGTCTCCCGGTAGCCAAGGGGAGTCAGACCCCGTGAAAGCATCGAGTCTTGCTGTAAGGTCGAACGACTGGTTGGCGAAACAAGTCGCAGAAAATCCCAAGCGGTTTGGAGCTTTGGCTGCGCTTTCTATGCATGATGCCGATGAAGCAGCGGCTGAACTCAGACGAGCCGTGAAAGAGTTGGGAATGTTTGGCGCCTTGATCAACGACTTCCAGAGCGCAGGGCCTGATTCAAGTGTGAAGAAGTACTATGATACTCCTGAGTATCTCCCCTTTTGGAAAGCTGTCGAAGAGTTGGATGTGCCAGTTTATCTGCATCCTCGATATCCAATCGATTCAGAACTACATTCAGACGGAAAATTTGGACCTAGAAAGCAGATTCTTGGAGCAGCCGTTCAGTTCCACTTGGACCTTAGCTTCCACATCTACGCATTGTGCTCGAGCGGAATCTTTGATCAGTTTCCCCGAGTACAAGTGGTGATTGGGCACATGGGAGAAGGGTATGTGCTCACTTCTGAAGACATCTACTCTGCTAACCCTTCTAACTAGTATTCCGTTCAACCTCTGGCGAGCTGATCATTGGTACAACAAGCCTGTTAAAAAGGCCACGAGGCCATCAAAGCACGACTACAGCTACTATCTGAAGCACAATGTCTCCATCACCACCTCTGGCAACTTTTCCACGGACGTGATGAAGTTCTGTGTTGCGCAGCTGGGAGTTGAGAGATGCATGTTTTCAATTGGTACGTCCATAACCTCGGGTAGGAATGACTTTCTAACAATATCGGCAGATTACCCATATGACACCATCGAAGAAGCCCAGGATTGGTGGAAGGGTGCGGAACTTCCGGAGGACCAAAAGCAGGCTGTGGGCAGGTCGAATGCAATCAAGTTGTTTAAGCTCCCACTTGAACCATAGCACCTAGAGCAATGAATGGATGTAGCCTCGATTTTCCGTTGCAAATGTCATCTCTGGTCTTCATAAATTCTCCCTTTCATCATTTCTCTGAGTGAATCAGCGTGGCCTCAAAGCTGATGGTAGTATCAGGCTATGAAGTTGTCACTGGACGCCATCCTCATTTGGTATTTGCCACACTGTTGGCTTTCCATTGAGTTTGGACCTCCGAGACAAATATTTTCATTGGGGCAACGTTCACCTTCAGCTGAGGTCGGTTATCTGCCCAGCCGTTCTAGACCAGTACAAGCATCTTGGCGAAGCAGGCTGAGGACATGTCACGAATCAGAGAAAAGATGGCTTTAACTATTGATTTTTAATCATACCTCTAATGGACAAAATGGCTGATTTGAGAATGATGAGATATCGGTGCGGTCCCTCCCTTCAATTCAAGAGGTGAGTATTTCGTCTCGATGAGCCCGTCACTTTCACGTTTTCATCAACAGACTTCGCCACACACCACAGTATAACGACGACGATGGCCGATTCCAGTGGTCAACAGGGCTTATCCGGCGATGACTTACGGCGAGCCTACTCGGACATCACGCGGCTGTGGCTGTTCTCTATTGTGCCGCTGGTCGTTACGGTTGTAACGTTCATCGCCCTGCTCGCATCAAACTCTGTGGATACGAGCAGCCAGCACATTCTAGTGCTATACGAAGCAACGCGTCTCTTGGTACCGCTTCAGATAGCTGCTCTCGTCGCGCCATGGAACATTGGCCACATCATGAAGCTCTGCTCTTATTGGGTTGGCTACCGCGCGAGCCTGTCCCGCTATCGGTACCATGGAGTGTCTATGGTTTCAGATGAGCAAGGCACCATTACTTCGCACCTTTTCTTCGCTAGCCCCATGACTGCGTTGATGGCTCTTTGGCACGCCTGCAAGCCAACTCAGTCTTCTATAAAAGGTTTAGAGCTATTGCGACACTTTCCAGGTGGACCAAGAAGTGAGCTTGGGGAATATCTCACCCTGACGACTTCGGTTCTCTCACTTGTTGCATTTTCCCACCTGTTGTTTGCTGGGCTTGTTACTCTTTTAGCTGCCCTCGCCTCTATGGAGACGCACGACATAATCACTCCTGCTCAAGTTCCCATGCAGCACTTTGGAAGAGTCCTACCAGACAGTTGCATGAATACGAAACGCGTGTCAGAAGGCACGGTCTACTCCTGTGGAGTAGAACCTATTACTGGTGGATTCGTTCTCACCAACTCGACCGAGAGTATTCGGACTGTCAACAATGCGTCCAGCTTGAATCAAGTTCTTTACGACGGTCAGGTGGGTTCCATTATGTGGTGCAAATAGTGCAGCTTCTAACGCTTTGTACAGAACCAAATCGCATTACTAGCGCCCAAGGATATCAGCGGAGCACTCGACTACTCAGCCAAGACACTTGGTGTCAGCACTCAATGCAGGTCAAAAGGGAAAGAGTGTAGGCTACGGCTCAGCAGTAATAGTGACACCGGGGTCGTGCATTCCTGCCCTCCTGACGAGAGTGCCGGCGATGGCTCTCTTTCTGTCACTGAATCGTGGGCTGGGAACGTTACTTTGGGACCTGGTAGAACCCCCAACCCTTTCAACTACTGGATCTGGAGTGTCGTCGACGAGACCGAGACCCACCTGTCGAGCGATTCGGAGGTGGTGAAGATGGTTGGCGGCGCCATCTCGATCCTTCTTGACTGCAGCATCAACGTCTACAACGTCACATATTCTGTCAAAAACGGAACTATCGTCCCCGAGACGCTCATCGCAACCATGGCTGGCGACGCTCCCTCGTATGTCGTGGCTGACCCCCTCGCCCTCAACTTTGCCCAGAACCAACTTTACGAGAGTCTTCGTCTAGCCGCCGTCACCTCTCTCAATGCGTCAGAACTAGCTTCTAAAATGTCTGTGTCTGTCAGTCAAATGGCCGTGGCTTTTATTGCCGGCATATTCGAGCCTCTGCTGAATGAGGAGGAGAGCACTCGCCGAGCCGTACAGGTCGCCCGCCTTCCTTTAGCTCTGGTTTGCATAGCTATCGCCCTCGGAATCATTCTTGCCTTACAGGCAACCTGTTTCTTTCTTATAGCGATGGGACTAGTGCGGAAGGATCCAAACACAGTGGTTGAACGGGATAGGTTCACACTTGAGGCACGTGTATCAGGTGGGGTGCGGGAGATGTAATCGACCCGCCAGCACACTTTCCGAAGGATAGATAAGACTTTTTTTGTCATGGTAGGCTTCTGGTTACGGGAGAGGATCCTTGACGGAAGGGCTAGATAATCCTGATGCGCGGATCCAATGCGAAGTTAGGCATAATTCTACCACGAAAAGACGTCCAGTGTCTCACCAATGCTAATCCTGGTATGGGTTGCTCAATCTCTTTTGCCCAAGTAAGAAGATTTGCTTAGTGCATGATAATTTAGGGCTTCATCGACCTATCACCGTTGAATCTGACCTCTGACTAGGGCTGACGGCCGTTGTGCGCAGCTCTGGAACGCCAGTCAGCGGGAAGGTAATCGGCGAACAGCACATCCCCGACGGCGAAGCCCGATAATATGCAAGGTATACGCTAATTTCGGTATTGAGAGGCAGCCAGGGAGCATAGATTAACGAGGTTTTTCCATGACGGAATTGTGCTTCCAAAGTAGCATATAAGAAGGCAGTGACTGTCGGGGAAGTGAAAGTTCTCAATAATTGAGCATCTTTCCATCATATCAAACTCAGCAGTTCTCATCTAGTCAGATATACTTTGTTAAAATGGTCAATTTCATCACCTTCGCCATTGCCTCCGCAATTCTCTTTCCAACTCTTGCAACCGCCGCAGCTTGTACGGACGGCCTGACCTACTGTGGCTACAACCTGTTGAGGCGAGGTAAGATTTCTCCCAAAGAATTCGGAATTTTCTCAAAATCAGCTCTGGTTCTGATCTTTGGGACATAGGTGACTACAAGGCCGAGATCATCGCGGAGCTTGAGAGAGTTGGAGACCACCTCAACGACCCTACCGAAGAGTACGACATCTACCATGGTCTTTTCAAGTGCGGCGAAGGTGGTCACGGGTGGATTCGATATGTCAGCCATTGTGACAGGTTCTGCAACGATGGCGGCGCGGGTAAAGACGACTACTGTTAGATGAGACGGAACAGAACCGGTCACAGTTGAGGGAGCATGGTGCTTATGCCACGGCTGAAACATTTCAAAGGGACACGTTCAGTTTAATAGAGGAGTATTCGTTTGAAGAACATGACAAATAAAAAAGAATGACACTTCACGACATGAACAAAAAAAACATACAACAGTGGGGATTCGTTGGTCGTCACCGATCCAACTACTAATCCACCCCTCACCGGCTTATACATGGGAGATCAGACGGGATCCTAAGTTTTCCAGTGGGCATGGTCGTATGTGAGAGTGGGAGCTTGTCAAATGGTTCATATGCCAGGCGGAATGGTCTAGTTATAGGGTAGAGTGGTTCAGGCGATAGCTGCTGTGCGATCACAGAACGGGGCTTTAACATGAAGAAGACCATGAAGGGGTAGGCATGCGGCAGTAAGAAGTTTAGCACGAACAATTCATCTATTGTATGTCTACTCTAGCTTCAAAGCAGGAAGTGCATCCTTAGCCGGCTCCCCAAAAGCAGGGGCCTGCATATCCTCATCCTTAACCTGCTGCCCAGTAATGGGATGTTGATAATGGAAGGGGACGACCCTCGTATCTGGCCACAGCATCTGCTGATCTGTCGATACAACCTCGTCCGGTCCCGTAGGATCCTCGGGAAACGTCTTCTTGGGGAATGGGACGAAACCAGATGTCTTCTTTGACCATCCTTCTTCAACATCTCCATGCCAGAAAGGAAAGTATCGAAGACGGAGAATACGCCACTTTCCATCGGCTTCCTTGACATACTCATTCTCGTAGATGCCACCCTCAAACCACTGGCAGAATCCTCGAGGGTGCTTCTCTGCCTGACTAATGTGGACACCAGCTTGCATCAGAGAGCGAAAACGACCCTTGGCTAGAGCAACTGTGCCGTCTGAGCGGGTTCCATACTCAACGTCAACAATCCCTTGCATCTGGGGATGATCAAGCAAGAAGCCGTGTACAGGACCATTTCTTTGAACAAAACCCTTGGAGAATCGATCAACATAGAGTCTCTTGACTCCCTCTTTGGTCAGGTACCGCCCGCCCAGAAACTGCACGTAGGCCTCCGGGCTGGTGGAGAATAGTTCTACCACCTACACAATTAGTAAGGTCTAGTAGAACTCATAGCAGTGTTACTCGCCTCCTCATACAGACACTTGTCCAAGTAGTATCCATATTTGTACTGCAGCTTTCGAATCTCTTCCTGGTCTTGCAATATCTTGTCAGCCAGTACGTAATATCACATTCAAACTGTACCTACCACTTAACCGAGTAACCTCGTTCCGAAGAAGTTCCACGGTACGTTTGAGTTCGCTGATTTCGTCGGCCATTGTATTGATTGGTAAAGTGTTTGTCACGGGTTTGAGGTCTGCTCTAATTCGTCCGGTGGAGGAGTGGCTATTCATACAGGTTTCTTGGAAGATGGTTTCCCGCTTGCCAAGGCGCTACCCCGCGTTCGGTGTCATTCGTGAATGCGAGGCTATTTCCGTCGCCGTCGGGTCGATGAAGCCGATGCGATGGAGGGGATCATCGGGAGCATTGGAGTTCCCATGTGATAGCTACGCCACTGTTTAGGTGCCTAATTCGGTTTCAAGATCCGGTAAATTGACTTGGATAATAGCGAACGTGACAATAGTTTGGTGGTTCTGGACCCCGGTTTCTCAGCGGTCAATGCCCACTCTCGCTCCTCATTGTTTCTCCGCTCTGGCCTCTGCAACTTGCCAAGGCAGCGGCTCAGTCGCAATCTTTGCCGGTCCAACATCCCCAGTCTTGCTCCTCCGTTTCTCCCATTCTTCAATCTCCCGCTGATCCACAAAGTTCCCATGAAGTCCCATCCGAAGCCGAAGCGGCAGATGCACCACGGCGAGTGGGCCCTGCGACAGGTTCAATGCGTCAAACACCAGGATGTCGTTTCTTTGAACATCCAGGTGGTTGAGAATTGCAACCAAGTAGCCATCACCTTCACCTTTAGACCCCTCTCTGGGGATAAAGACGGGTTCTTGAAACGTGCAAGTTGGGCCTGCGAAATAGACGTCCTTGATCTCTGTCTCCCAGTTGTAATGCCCAAGAACGTTCCATAGCCCACCAGCTGGTGGTCCACAGCGCTGAATATCGTATGGGCGAGTCGCATCCATCTGTAACTGCCAGAAGTGATTGTATGGCTTTGAGAGGAAGCGTTCGTCTTGCTTCGAAAACTCCCCGTTGGTTCCATACTTCTTGAAAGGCGTCACTCTCGTGTTTGTCTTGCTCTTTGGGTCAAACACCCAGCGAAAAGTGTCTGAGATCAACTTCTGTCGCGCCTTGGCTTGCATGGAATGAGGGCCAGCGGCTGCTTCATCCGGGGGCCACCAAAAGAAGACATTGCCATCGGCTACGGTCAAGTCGCAGACGATGTGACCGTTTTCATCTTCGTATGCCCCAACAACATGCCCATGGAAGCCTGACTCTGGTTAGTAAGGGAATCGAGCCGCTAAGTAAAGGGAACACTAACCATTATCTGCTCGCAGCCAAATGATGTCTTCGTCGCCTTTCCGAGGCACAATTCCGTAGTATTGGTCCTCGTTCGGATCCCATGCCCAATGATTGCCCCCTTTCTTCAGACGATCAAGTTCGCATTTGAGAGGAGTCATGGGCAAGATCAAGTAATTCTTGGTCAGAGCAGCGTCATGGATCATGCCACAAAATGGAGCTTTGTACCAGCGTTCATGCGTCAGTTTCCCATGCTCGGGCTCAAAGGTCCAGACTGCAATGTCGCAAGAACCGTCGTGGCCGTTGCCTCCAGCTTCGTATGCAAAAGCAACCATCTCTCCAGTGTCTGGATCCATCTTTGGATGCGCCGTGAAGCAGGGAGCTTTTATCTGGCCTTCAAAGTCGTAGCGACCAAGAGTTTCGAGGGTAACTGGATCCATCGCAAAAGGAGGTCCGTCTTCTTTCGACGCAAGAAGCGTACCACGCCAGAAGTACACATTGGTGTTTGAAACAGTTCGAATGATCCCTTTGACCATCTCGTTGTCGGTGTATGCATTGCGATATCTTCCAAACATGGCCTTTCGATGTTTGTCCTCGGCGTTGAATCTATCGGTTCTCACGTAACGTTGCTTGAAGTCGACGTGGCCATTGCGGAACTGAATTGCGCTGACCATTCCATCACCACTGAAGTTGACATCTTCCTCGTATACTGGAGGGAACCTGGGATCGGGCTGGACGCGAAAGAAGGTGCCGTTGATGTCCTTGGGGAGGTTGCCGGAGATCTCGAGTTCCACCACATCGCATTCGAGTCTGGATGGCTGAAGAGGTCCTCGGAAGAAGGGTGTATCTGGATACTTGATAGTATCACCAACTCTCTTTCCATCAGCGTACCCAACATCAGTATCAGATGAAGGTACGCATTGAGGGCTCGAAATAGGCGCGGCCATGATGGCGAATAGGGATGGGTCTCCTAGTGGGGTCGTGATACAGAGTTGGATGTGTTTGCAAAGTAGGTAATTGTTGTATTTAGAGATGTTGTGATTCGTCCATAGATATCTTGGCTGAAGAGTATACGACTTTATGAATAACACATGCCTACCCGGCTCCTCTCGGCACCATCGGAGGTATGCTGGCGACGATCCAACACAAGGGGTCAGGACTCAATCGTACGTTTCACGGTTATAGGTAGTTGTTGAAAGAGGGGTTGAGACCAACGGTGGTCTTTGAGTTGACATAGCTATTCTTGTAAGTCGTTCATCATAATCCTGTTGGCCTTGAGCCACCATTCATTCATCATGGTCCTTGGCACTGTGAGGTCATTAGGGGATTTTTTTTGCCGGATTGTCGTCCAACAACTCATGTTAAAACATTATAGGACTATATATCAATTTAGCAAGCTGACTCTGCCAGCCCCAAGTCTACCACTCAGCAGCCGACATTGTGCAGCCCCCATGGTCTGCAAGTGGTCAAAACAATGAACTCTCCGCCTTGCCTTGTACTTTTGCATATCAAGTTCCTCCACATTTCCGTATGGGCCATAACCCTGGATTGATGATTCTGGCCATGGACTACCCCCATACATGAATGTCATCCACGCTTGACGCATCTCCTTTCCAACTCTGTCAGCACCAGGGTTGAAGGAGAGGTCCACTCCGCCGAATAAGAAGATGAGATCCACAGCGTGATGAGCGCGACTAGATGCTTGCCATGGGTTGGCTTCGTCCACTATGTACTGGTAAACCTTTTTGTTAATCTTGCGCCATCTCTCACTAATCTCTAATGCGGGAAGGGCGAATCTTGTGTCGTTGATAATGTCGAGAACTCCGAGTCTAGAGGAAACAGGCCGTTCAGAATAGATATGATAAAGCTCTTCAAGCTTCGGGGCGTCTTGTGAGCAGGAGCGGATGATTTCAAGAATCTCCTCTGGCTTTAAAAGGTCAACACCGCTCCGCCATATAGCTGACTGTGTTCATCAAGTCAGCAACACCTTCTCGATCTCGTAGTGGTGAACCAACCTCATATTCCACATCGGATACCATAATTCCATCGATCTCTTCCGTTCTATTCTCCCAACCATCGATGTCGGGGTCTTCCTGGAGCCACATAGAGGTCACTCCGCAATTGATCAACGCCTGGACTAACGAATCCGCGCTGCTGTTGTGTAGTGTTTCCCCTCTGGCTTGCAGCTCAGTCGTTATCCGTTTCAAAAGACCCTGGCCAACTTCCAGTGGTTGGGGAGGCGACAGATGGAGAGAGCCTGATGCCAATATGGCCTGGGAGACACATTTCGGGGCCGTCTTGGATAGGACATGGGCGTGCACATATACAGCACCTGCACTTTCACCGGCAAGTGTGATTTTCCCCTAGAGACAGCTTCAGCACTGAAAGGCACAGGGATGAGCAAGAGGATCTGTTTACTGACCGGATCACCGCCAAAGTCTCGGATGTTATCCGATACCCATTGGAGAGCCAGTCTCTGGTCTTGGAGGGCGAGATTCCTCTCTCCTTCGCCATCGCCAAAGGCAAAGATGTTGAGGCGGTAGTTGAATGTGACAATGATGATGGGCCTGTCGCTGTCGACTGATTCGGCCACAAACCTCGTGGGATCTTAGAGGGCAAATCAGTTTTATGCTCAGACGAGGCTGCAGGAAGAGATCTACCTACCACAAACTGGACTCGCAGCTGACGCAAATGTCACACATTGAGAGCCGCCTGGAGCTGTATCAGTCCTAAGTTCATGTCTTAAGGCTAAGAACAATACCATGAATCCATACGAGCACCGGCAGTAGTCCTTTGTCTTTTATGTCTGCGCTTGTTGGACGAGAGATGTTCAAGTTCAAACAATTGAATTCGTCTTCTTCAATGGTTGGACTCTCCAGGTTTCGCGGCAGACGAAGGAGATGGCCAACGTCAACCTTTGGCTGAGGGCATTGCGGACTGGGCCACGGGCGGGAGAATTAGCTGAATTGGTACAGGAAGTGTCCGGGATTCACCAAATAATTACCCAAATTTTGTCGCATCTAGTTCCCTTGGGAGCGCATCATATGCCGGTTTGTGGAATCTCTCCGGAATGCGGCCGTATGGGATGCCCCGAAAATGCCAGACGTGCCGCTCAAACCGCTCATCCTGGATCCCTTGAACGGTGCTGGATGACGTTTGCAGTGTAACAAAAGAATCAGTCATGGTGGCAGTTTGCTTCTGCTCAACACAAGCAATGAACGGTGCTTTCCTCTCGTTAAAGTTTCCCTTGGGTCGCAATAATGGAGTCGAGTCAATTGCCGAGGCCCCTTGCGGTATTACGTGTTGTCAAAGAGGGCCGCTTACGGGTCTTGCAGATCTTGGGCTCTCACCGTCTCGTCAGACAAAATACAAAGGCAATTGAAGCAATTTCCCCAAGTCTTGACCGTTATCCAAGCTCCAAAAAAGAAGAGTAGAGAGATAATGCATTATTTCTGCTGACAGACAAGACCCGATCCCATCTTCCGTATGTCAATGAGTAAAACTCCAAGAATGCGCGGTCGGATCCAATCTACCGACGAATCTTCCGAACCATGCACCCCGCATTGTACCCCGCCCCTGGTGGATAATCCAATCTGACTGATTGAATGGTAAGCACGGCTTGGGTTAGCAGGATGTTGGTATATGAGGGGGTAGAGTGACGATGTCGTCTTTCGGCTGCTTCTGCTCAGACATACCGATCTATCCCAAAGGACCGGCTAAATAGCTTTCACAATGGCCGAGAAGTACGACTATCAAAACATTTTTCACTGGGCTGAGACTCAGAAGGATGGTTCAATTCCTTCGTTTGCGACGAGGAAGAATGATCCCTATGAGTACCAGGCTGGATTCAACAACCATTTTGAATCCGAAGCTATTCCCGGAACCATCCCCCAGGGTCAGAACAGCCCTCGTGTCGTGAGATTCGGCCTCTACGCCGAGCAGCTCACGACCTCGTTCGGTGCAGCTCGACACGCGAACAAGAACTCATGGCTCTACCGAGCGCGACCAGCCGTGGCGCATCAGGGATTTGTAAGACGACAATTATTCGGTTGAGAACCGTGCTAACCACTCCTTGGTAGACTGACCTGCCAAAAGTTGAAGGAACTGAGAGCTGCTTCTTGCCTTTGAACCCCAAGGTCAAGGTCTCGCCAACACAGCTTGCCTGGGTAAGTCACTGTCCAGTTCTGTTGGAGGTGCAAAGCTGATATTCGAAGCTCCCCTTTGACATCGTCGATGGTGCTGATTTCGTGTCTGGAATTCGCACAATCGCTGGCTCCGGCGATCCTACACTCAGGGAAGGTCTGGCGACGCACACCTTCACCGCAACCAAGAGTATGGAGAACCGTGCTTTTGTCAACTCTGATGGAGACTTCTTGATCGTCCCCCAACAAGGTGCCTTAGACATCCAAACCGAATTTGGACCTCTGTATGTTCAGCCCGGTGAGATCTGCGTCATCCAGCGCGGACAACGGTTCAAGGTTTCTGTCGAGGGTCCGACCAGAGGCTACATACTCGAGATCTGGGGGTCAAACTTTGAGCTTCCTGAACTCGGACCCCTTGGATCCAACGGCATGGCCAACGCTCGAGACTTTTTGCATCCCAAAGCCAAGTATAACGTGACCCAGAACGACCCTTGGGAGATTGTTTACAAGCTCGGCGGTCAATTTTTCAAGAGCACGCAGAACCACTGCCCCTTTGATGTGATTGCTTGGCATGGAAACTACGTGCCGTACAAGTATGACTTGACCAAGTTCATCAACGTTGGATCCATCTCTGTTGATCACATTGATCCTTCAATCTTTTGCGTTCTGACGGCCAAGTCACGAGACCCTCAGGCGCCTCTGCTCGATTTCTTGATCTTCAGCCCCCGGTGGTAAGTTTGCTTCTGGCCCGTTGTTTTGAAAGTTGATGCTAACATGGGGCCACCTAGGGACGTCGCGTCACATACCTACAGACCTCCCTACTACCACAGAAACGCAGCTTCAGAGCTTATGGGGCTCATTTATGGCGAGTATGCGGGCCGTTCTGATGAGTTTCAACCTGGCGGTGTGTCGCTCGAGACTGGCTTTGTGCCTCACGGTGTTGCCTACGAGGTGAGTGTCTACTACTAAACGGTATCCTAACTTGATGTCTAACTTTAAACAGGAGTTCAAGGCTGCCTCAGCTCAACCACCACCCGAGATGCAGATTTCCAAGGGTGCTATCGCCTTCATGTTTGAGAGCTGCCGGCAGTTTACCATCACTGATTGGGCATGGAACAGCGACAAGAAGCATGAGCATGAGCCCAAGATGTGGGATAACTTGGTCGACAACTTTTCGTCACACAAAGAAGAGATTGACCGGATACTGAGCGGTAAATAGTTGTATCTGACAGTTTTGTATTCTAATTGTAAGCAAATAACGATAAAGACACGTACAAGTTTGCCAATTTATGTCATTTTCTCCTCCTACCCGACACCTTTTGATGCTCGTCTCCGCACCAATCGGCACTGAAACGTTAGCGAGCCGTAGTGGATGTTACAGGGGATGCAATGTCCCCGCCAATTAGAACAAGGCCTTTAGCGGTGACATCGCGGGGAACGAATACGAGGCAGATTAAATGTGGACCGGGAGACGTGGTTCCGATGCCAACTCCATGGGCCGATTTTTGCTTGGCTTGAGAACAAAGACGAGAAGGATCAAGCATAAATTTCTTTTTGACACTTGTTTCTTTGATAAAGTCCCTCAATCTCACATCGCCTGTCTTGAACTTGTTAGACATCGATCCAGCACCCTCTGAAACCTCCTTCTGGCGCCGACAACTCCTGGTCTGACTGCCCAGTATGACCACCTACGAGTTCGGCGGCCCGTGAGTACACCTCCATCCAGTTTTCTCGCCTATCTGATCCTAACTCTATCTCAACAGCTTGGGCGCCACTGGCATCGTCTTTGGTCTTCCCGTTTTGATGAGCGTCCTCTTCCTTGGATGTAACGACGTCTCGGGATGTCCGGCGCCTGCACTCATGGACCCTCGCACACTGACCTGGGAAAAGCTGAGAGACCAAATTCCCTGGCCAGAGGATGGCATTTGGGGCTTTTGCAGCTGGGAGGCTTCAGGATGGTTGGCAGCTTACTATCTCCTAAGTCTCTTCCTCTACCGGGTGCTGCCCGCCAAGCAAGTCTATGGTACCAAGTTGCGCGAGTCTGGTCGTCCTCTTGAGTATCGGTTCAACGGTATGCCTGATTCCTCTGAATAACATAATTTGCAAGTCACAACTCACACATCATCAAAGCTTTCTCCTCTACTGTCGTTCAACTGGCCGCTTGTGCCGTCGGTACCATTATCTACGGCGCCGAGTTTCCCGTCTGGACCTTCATCACAGATAACTACCTTCAGCTTCTCAACGCAAACATCATCCTGTCCTTCATCATCTCCAGCTATGTCTATGTCGACAGCTTCAACGTCAAGAAGGGAAACCCTAAGATGCGTGAGCTCGCCAAGGGCGGACATACCGGCAACCTCATCTACGACTTCTTCATTGGTCGCGAGCTAAACCCTCGCATGACTCTCCCTTTCTTTGGAGAGGTCGATCTAAAGGCATGGCTTGAGATGCGCCCCGGTCTTACCGGATGGGCGCTGCTGGACCTTGCATACATTGCCAAGCAGTACCGCACCTACGGATACATCTCTGACAGCATCATCGTCATCACCTTAGTTCAGTCTTACTACGTTCTTGAGGGCCAATACGCCGAGTCTGGACTCTTGGGCATGATGGACATCACCACTGACGGATTGGGCTTTATGCTCGGCTTTGGTGATATCGTCTGGGTTCCCTTCCTGTATTCCACCCAGTGCCGTTACCTCTCAGTCTACCCGGTTCACCTGGGATGGCTGAACTTTGCCGCCATCGCTACCGTCTTTTCCGTCGGCCTGTACATCTTCCGAGCCTCCAATTCTCAGAAGAACCTCTTCCGCACCAACCCTGATCATCCGGCCTTTGCCAACATGACCTACATCCAGACCAAGAGAGGCACCAGGCTGCTCACTGGCGGTTGGTGGGGCATGGCTCGTCACATCAACTACTTTGGTGACTGGTTGCAGTCTCTGCCCTTTTCCTTGCCCACCGGAATCGCTGGGTACGTCATTCTCCCAGCCGGCAGCGCCGTCACTGGCGTGGGAATCACCAAGATGCTTGATGGTAGAGTGGTGACCCAAGAAGGCGTTGCTGGATGGGGAATGCTCTTCACTTACTTCTACTCAGCCTGGTTCGCCTTCATGCTCATCCATCGCGAGGGCAGAGATGATGCCGCCTGCGCCGAGAAGTATGGTGATGACTGGGTTCAGTACAAGAAGACTGTCAAGTGGAGGATCCTCCCTGGAGTGTACTAGGCTTGCCGTTGCAGTTTCGTACCATAGGATTGCCCCTGGGCCTTGCGAGTACCATGGGGTAAATAGAGGCGGGATGAGCGGGTTTATGTGCTGCGACGGATTAGATTTCCGTTTCCCTCAGAAGCTGCACTAGGCAATAGCTGAGTGTCTGTGATCACTGGCGAGGCACTTTCGACCAAGAATACAAAAAAGCTATGCTATCACAAATGTATGGTGTCCAGGACAACCCTTCCCGGCTGACGTTCAATACCAAAAAAGGACCGCGAGATGGTCAAAATAACTATGATGGAGGAATTGGATCCACGTTCTTTGCCACATGAGCTAGCTCAAGATGAAAACAACGAGCCCTTGCTGTTGAAAGCGTAGCCTTGTTTCCCATCGTGAACAGGCCTCAGCCACAACCAGTGTCACATCCGTGCGGATCAGCGATGTGATGTGGGCAGTGAGACGGCTGATTGGACAGTGGGCTGATGAAGGTCGCGATATCCAGCCTAAACGGTCAAAGGATCGGACGAGCATGCACGATGACGCTGACTCAGGGGGCCAACGCATCAGGTACTATATTTATACTTTCCATAGAAGTAAGCAATACAAAGAGGACATTTTGAATCGTGCAGCTTGGCCGATTTGACGACTGACAGCGGTTCACTATGCGACTCTTCTATAGAGCGTCATGGCTCACTCTCTTCTCCGCACTCGTCGCTGGCGACAAAGACTCGTGCCCAATCACAAGCCAACACCTCAGCGATCCTCCATACGAAAACTTCTTCTTCTCAGACTGCAATGTTGATGCGCAGGTCGTTGTCACCAGTCCAGTCCCAGGCAGCGACGTCTCCATCACCACCCCACGGCTGATTATCGCATGGCCGGCTGGGAACAGTGGAATATGCACCTTCTTCGAGCCCCGAAATGGTGAGAAGGGTAGCCTGGCTATCGAGCTGGTCAACTCTACCCTTGGAACGCCCTTGGCTTCCGTGCATGAAGAGAACGACAAGTCCGACTACCCCTTTGTGGGTGTTGAGGGTGTCTTATCACTCAACTCCTCTGCAAACCTCACACTTGCTATTCTCGGGAGCGTCAGAACGATTCGAGATTACACCGAGGGGGGCAACCTCAATCCGCTTTTCCAAGACGCAGTCAAAGTCGCCAAGGTGAAGGACAATACTATTCAGTTCTCTCGGCTTTGGCTGGACAACACGACAACCACAACCCTGTCGCTGGAGCCTTGGGCGGACTCGAAGGGCAACATCGACGTCCACGACAAGACGGCGAGTTTTAGTCCAGGGCTTTACAAATTTTCTGCCTCCTTCAACTACCCTCAGATGGAGCAGCTCAGCCCCCAAGAGGTTCTGAACAAGGAATCTCAATCCCTGATTCAGGAAGACCCTTCCCAAGTCCAGTCTCTATCCTTCTTCTCGTACACCGAGAAGCTGCTGGCTGGTGGCTGGAGGTTCCTGACCTACTTTGGTAGAGACAGCATGATTGCAGCCCTTCTTCTGGAGCCTGTGCTTAGCACCGGAAACAGTTCTGCCATGGAGGCCATCATTGGAGCCGTGTTGGAACGTATCAACCGTGAGGACGGTTCAGTATGTCACGAGGAGAGTATCGGCGATTATGCGACGTTCCAGAACCTGCAAAAAAGCATTGTTTCCACAGACGCGGTTTTTGATTATCACATGGTTGATACAGACTACTTTCTGCCTATCCTCATGGCGAGGTACTTTAACACCTCATCTGATAGAGTCAAGCCGCTGCTAGACACCAAAGCTGGCAAGGTGAACGCTCAGAATCGAGACTTGACTTGGAGAGACCTCAGCTACATCGGCGCCCAGAAGATCATGAAGGCAACCGAAGCATTCGAGAAAGACCCGTCGATCAAGAACTTGATTCAGCTCAAAGACAATGAGGGTACGGGACAGTGGAGAGATTCCCCATCCGGCCTGGGGAATGCTCGAATCCCCTTTGATGTGAACTGCGCCCTGGCACCAGCAGCACTATACGCCATCTCTGAGTTGGCAGGCATGCCAGATGTGTATCCTGATAACGCCGACACCAAGACATGGAGAGATGCTGCTACCAAGCGGGCTAAGGTGTGGGAGGACAAGACTCTGCCGCTTTTTCAGTACAACATTACTACTGACAAGGCTGAGTCTCTTCTGGAGGAATACACGAGCAAGAATAAGTTCTATGATGGTCCAGCTCAGACGGAGGCCCTTGGAAAATATTCATCCACCGGAAAGGTCATTGATTATGCCCTCGCCATCAAAACTATCGAGTCCCCAGACAAGATTGCTGTCACGCATACAGACACAGCATTCCGACTCTTCCTCCTCAACTCTGAAGATGACGAGCAGTTGACCATATTTCTCAACGCAACTGCCAACGCGATACTTCGCCCCTTCCCCGCTGGTTTGAGCACTCCGGTGGGAGCAGTTGTTGCGAACCCAGCTCTATCCGGCGACGACGACTTGATTAGCATTTTCACCAACTCAGCATACCATGGCACCGTCGTCTGGGGTTGGCAATTGGCTTTGATGGCAAAGGGCTTAGAAAGACAGTTGAAAAGATGCCTTGCATGCCATGCGAAGCGAGCACCTTGTCTCATCCGTCACGTTCCCTCATTTTGTCGAGACGATGGAGTTTACAATGCTCTGAGGAGTGCATATAATCATTTATGGGACCTCATCGAAGCGAACTTGGACCAGTTACAGTCCGAAGTGTGGAGTTGGACGTATAGCAAGGAAGGATACAAATTCTCGCCCTTAGGTGCCCTGGCCTCTGGGACGGAGAGCAATATTCGACAACTGTGGAGTTTTAGTTTCCTAGCCGTGAAGAGGGATAGTTCCTTTTCGCAGTGATTGAGAATGGGGGTTCAACTGTAGATTACTCGCCATGTCGTTTCATTCCATATAGGCACAAAAGTGAAGGCCTGCTTCAGACCATCCATCGAGGCCACCAAGCTATCACGGGGACAACCTTTCCAGTAGAAATTAAATGAACAAGCTGAAATAAGCTATATGGGTATAAAGTAGTTCCCATTCCGCAGCAGAAAGCTTAGCAGAGCGAGCAAGACACAAAAGTCAAGTAGATACAAGGAAAGAGGAAAGGTTCGCACAACCCCATTTGTCTAACTTACGTGATAATTCATCGAATCATTACAAAGCGGATACCAGAATTTCATTTCCCAATGTTGATCCAGGCGTTCTCCTTTTCCAGCGAATCCAGTAGATCAACAACCTCGTTCGCTTCAAACTTGATCGGCGCCTCTAGATCGTACATCTTGATGCCCGAGTCACTCCTCCTGAAGATGAGCGTACCCTTTTGGTTTTCAACTTGGACGTAGCCCTGTTTTGCGTCGCCGAAGTCAGGCTTGAGCGCGTATAGGAATGCGGTCAGGTCTGACATGGGGGCTTTTCGGTCTGGGTAGTTCTTGTCTAGAGATACTTGGTCTCTTGCCATCTTGAGAGGCTCTTCGCCGCAGTTGAAGCCGAGACATCTTCTTTCCATTATCGGACCGCCTTCTTTCTTGAGCCCGACGAGGGAGTACTGGGCATTTTGTGCGCTATGCGAAGGGACTACGACAAAGTCGGCAAAGTCGCCGAAGTGCTCAAAGACGAATGTAGCGGCTTTGGGGTTTAGGGCAATGTTGAACTGGTTGGGGAATAGGTTAAGGGCCAAGTCGCATGTTCCCTGCATAAACTGGTTAAAACTTGTTGGTCATTAATCATAGAGGTACTAACAATTTGCAGGTGGCATTTGACCTTGTTCGCGACACCTTTTTCGATGAATCGCTCAAGAATTCCGAGAGACGCGCCACCGAGGAATAGCACACTCTCTGCGGACTTGATGGTTTCACACAGCGAATCAAGCTTGAGTTGCGTAACTGAGTTTCCGATGCCTCCAATTTCTTCTTCCGCTGTCTTTGTGCAGGTCTTATACCACTCCCTGAGACTTTCGAGTCGCTTCGGTACTGGCTCCTCCATGCTGTTTTCATAGCGGAGAAGTTCTGTTTCGCTGCGAGCGACCAGCTCTTCTTGTCTGTGAAAGAAGAGGTTCACTGGATTTTCGACTTCATCAAAGCCGTCGAGGTCGATGAAAACCTCGACGGGAGCGTGTAGCCATTGACTTAGCGCCGCTGCGTGATCCCAAGCGACAAGTTCTCTGTGTAAGAATGCATCCTCTTTGGGCCCGTAAGGAGGCTTGATGGCCAAGCGAAGCTGTTGGTTGAAAAAGGTTCATGTCAGCCTCAATATTCTTGCGCCATCCAACAAAAGTCCTCACTCACAGTTTCTTTGTCCTCCTCGCTCAGCCCAGGGACGCTCTGGACATCCTTTTCAGTCAAAAGACCACCGAGAAGCACCTTGAAAGGCTTCCCATGATCCGGGAAATGCTTGATGATGAGCTTTAAACAACGGCTCTGCTGCTCAGCCGACTTGTTTGAGCCCAGTGACACCTGACGAGGCTCAAAAATCCAGATGATGCGCGTATTGGACTTTCTGGATGTCGCTCTGATGACAGCTCTCTGGGCAGCCCAGTTATCAGAGTCGATCGAGTCATTGTAGAGAATGATGATACGTTCCCCCATGGTTTCTACAGCGTCTCTTGTTTCGTTTCTTTGCGATGGGCGCTGGCGACGGACGGGGTTGAAAGAGTTAAGATGCTTTATCTATCTGACAGGGACAAGGTGGGGGAGTTGTGACATCCACCACGTGCGGGGCTGTGCATTGCTCAGCCCGCCCAGTCATAGTGGCTTATTAAGTGTGCTTGCTGCCTACCCTTATAACCAACCCAACTGTGTGCCTTGCCTGGCGCTTAATCACCTACAGCTATAAGAGGCCGTGATTAATCGAGGATCGGTTTTTACAATTATCTCCGGAAAAGTATAGCATAAGCTCACTATCTCATCTCTGACAGTGACTCCCCTCGCCTATGGTGCGGTGTCACGCCCTTTTCTTTTAGCTCGAGGCTGTTATACTCTGTTGCCTAGACAAGGTTCTGGCTAGAAGGATACCTACTGTACTGACGCCCGAGATTGTGCCTTGCGCCCTTTTCCAGTCAACCGGTTTCAGCCTCGCGGCTAGGTATCATTTGGGTATCATCTTTCAATTCAATGGATGTCCTGTATCAGCCACAGAATACACCTTGCACCAGCCCTACCAACTAGCGCCTGCTAAAACATTGAACCACAGGGCTCCAAGCCTCCAAGACAGCAGGCAACTGGTGAGACTTGGGCGATTAGAAGCCGTCACTCGAATGATTTCGCGAGGCATGACCAAGAATTGTATTTGGACTAAAGGGGTAACAGCCGGCAGGGCGTCATCGACCTTTGGGTCGGGGGCATCAAACCTGGCCCCAAGATTCACATGGGAGCAACAAGCATTTCTTTACCTTGCGTACATTTTGTGCCTCGAGACAAGGTCACGACTTGTGCCTCACTCATTCATGAACACACGGCACCCCATTTTGTCCCGCATCACTCAGACAAGCCTCCATTCTGCTATTCACCGTCCATCTTCTGGCTCAGTTAACTCATCAAGGGCTGGGCTTCAACCATAATAAAGTTATTCACCCTCTCAGTCCAACCAATACGGATCCAGCCCCTGCAAAAACTCCAGATCGACATTGATAAAACTCTTCCACAGGTCAATCTCCCTGAGCCACGGCTTCGTCTGGATGGCAAACGTCACAGCCGTGCAGTACTTAAGCAGTTCATCATCATCCTTGCCCATGACAAGGATCAAGTCGGCACGGCTCATCACATGGCCCTCAAACTGCTTCTCGAGCAATTTCAGCCTTCTCTCCGTTGTGTGATGCGCGCTGTACTCGCTGCCGGGCATGTCCTTGGGCACAAACTTCCACTCCCACGATCGACCCGCGCTGTCAAGGAAGCTGGTGTTCTGTCGGTTGCCCAAGCCGACCATCAGAGGGTAAAAGTGAGGAGCCGACCAGAGACGGATAAGCGCATACCGGGCACCTTCGTTCTTCTTGGCGAAGCTCTCTGCCGTGGGCAACACATGTGGCCACTTGGACGGGTGCACGAAAGAGGGAGGGAAAACCATGGGGAAGTTGCCGTAGCGGTCTTCGTAGTTGATGAAGAGATCCAGCTTGCCGGGACGGTGAGGCTCAGCCTTGGCTGTAGCCATGCCCAAGACGACTTGTGAGTCGTTTTGTATGTATGCTGGTGCAACGACTCCTGCGACATACACTTTCAACCTGTTAGCAATCGCACACGAATGGGGGCAAGGTTTTGACTTACAGCGAGCAACGATAGGGCGGACTGCAAGACTCCAGTCAAAGGGATACACATCGGCAAAGAAAGACTTGGTCTTGAGGAACTCATTCCACTCGTTCCAGAAAGCAGGATCTCGGAACTTGTAACTCGCCCGAGATCTGCGATCAGGCAACGTCTTGCTTCGTTCCTTGGGGTCAAACAGAAGACTGTTTCTAAACTCGTCGCATTGCTTGGACTTGATGAACTGGGTGACGAGCGTGGAAGCCTCTGCTTTTGGGAAGAACATGGCCACCAATGCAAAGGCCTTGACTAGATCTTGGATGATGAAGCCGTGTGGCCAGGGGAAAGAGGGGTCGTGGGTGTAGTCTTTGTAATCTGCTCGCAGGTCGAGCCAGTCGAGGATCTCTGCGAGGAACCAGACCCAGTCAGTAGGACCTGCATGGGGAGCAGCGAGCATGGCGCTGATCTTCTCCTGAACCTGGTCCCACTTCTCGTTGCTTCCCGGTTCAAGGTCTCCAGCGTGGAACGAATCCTTGAAACCTGATGTTCCTATTAGTATCACTGTTAAAGGTGTAGGTGGGCTGACTCACCGAAAGATCTATCCCGTTCCATCGTCTCCATGGGATCCGACTTGTTCAGTCGCTGGTCAAGGCTCATGCTCTTCTGAGGGGTAGTCAAACCAGTACGCTTGAGGAGGTTGCGTTGTGCGTCCGAGAGCGTCTCCTTGCGAGCTTGTTTGAGACCAGTCTCCCAAACTTTCGGTAGAGACCAGATACTGTTATCGTCGCGGTCCTTGACAGCTTTCAGAGCCTTCATGGGATCCTCGCCCATTGTGAACGCCTCCATTCCCTTTTCGAGGTGACGGATAGCGCTGGGCAGAACGCCGTCTTCGATGCGACTAACACCGTTTCTGATCTCCCGGAAGGGCACGTTCTTCTTGTTCGAGACAAGCTCATCTGGGAACAGGATCTCATCCTCGAGAACGTTGACGTCGTTGTAGAACATGTAGGGCGACCTGTCTTCGTCACCGGTGCGGCACTTGACGCTATGCCCCTTGATGTCGAAGAGTCTGAATTCGCTCCTCTCGTCCATGATGGTGTCCCAAAGGCTTTCCACCTTTTCGTCAGGCTTGATCAAACGCGTGCGCATTGTTTCCTTCTCTCTTGTCATGCTAGTTAAGAGGGGCTTCATGTGTTGATACACGTCGCGAGGGTGCTTGATGCGCCATGCATTTCGCAGTTCCTATGGTGATCTATCAGCTAAGCAAATACTAGGGTGAGTAGGAAACCTACCGTGATGACAACGTTGTACATGTCCAGAGATGACTGGCAAGGAACAAAGTCCCAGATAAAGACGTCGTAATAGTCATCGAACCCGAACCGCCATTCTCGGATCATATCAGTCATGTCAAAGTACAAAGGTCCCACCTCCAAAACGTTGCGCCACTCATTCTTGGAGGCCCTTCCAAGACCCTGCTTCATGCGAAACGTCCAGAGCTCCTCCTTGGGAGGCGCAGTGATGACACGCCCTGTCTTTCCATCTCGCACCATGATCAGCAGTTCTCCCGTCCGCATCAACAGGTACTGCAGGAAGCGGCGGGTGATGGGGTCGTTCCGCTTCATGTGGCCCACGATGATGTTTCGCGTCTCGACAATGTCGTGTTGGCGTCGGTTTGAGCTTCGACCACCAACTTGGTTGTACCGGCTGTGCTGTTGAGCCTCAAAATCGACAAAGTAAGGGAAGAAGCCCAACTCTTGAAGCTGCTGGATGAGCCGGTTGTTACCCCAAGAAACCCAGTTCGAAGCTGGGAAGTACTGCCACAAGGTGAGCAGGTTCAGATCCGAAAACTCGTTCCAGTTTCGACAGAGCTGGATGGCGTGCTTCAGATCGCAATCCTTGGCCATGACCGAGAACTGAAGCCAACCGTCTCGAGACATGGCCTTTTCGCTGGCGTGGTTCCAGATGCTCTTGCCGCAGACGGTGACCTTTGTCTTTTTCTTTGACTTTTGCTTCTTCTTCTTCTTCTTCTTCTTCTTCTTAGACAGGTTCTGCTTTTCATGCTTTTCAAGCTTTTCGAGAAAGTTTTCGAGGAGCCAGTCGTCGGTATGGAGATTCTTATAGCGGCTATCGCCGTTGAGCAGCTCTTCAAAGGTTTCGTCGTCCTCGTCTTCTTCTTCAGCCTCATCGACATCTTCTCCCTCCTCTGCTTCGTCACCACGGGCAAAATCTGCACAAGCATCTCGAACGTCCTGTAGAGTAGGTTCCTCAACCTTGAGGCAGAGATCTCGCAGATCCGATTCGGCGACCTGAGGGTCATTGAGAAACTCCTCGACGCTGTTGGCACGGAGAGCAGCAGGCAGCATGGAGGCGTGTCCAACCAGCAGACGACAAAACAGCAGGTGCTTGATCTGTCTAATGTCGCTGACGGTGGACTCAATCTCGTCGTTGGTCATTGGTGCCGTCTTCTCGTGGGTCTCGTAGGGGTTCTCCAGTGTCCCCACGATCTGGAAGCCCCAGACGTCGTCGTAGTTCTTCTTCACTCCATGGCTGAGGCGGTTTCGCATCTCTTCTTCAGTCTCGATGTTGTTCCTGTCCGGCTCTTGTAGCTCAGCACCGCCGCCGGGCATAGGGTACCTGCCCTCCTTCAATGTTGCTATGAGCCTTCCCTGGCCGGTGGGGGTCGAGCCGGATGGCTGGGCAGAGCTCTGGCCGCCAGCTTTGGCGGCCTTGGCTTTCGCCTTCTTCTTCGTCTTCTTGGAAGGCTTCGCGGGCTCAGGAGGGGGTGAGGGTTCAAGAGGAGGAATCTCTTCCAGCGGAGGAAGCTCCTCCTCCCCTTCTTCCGTGGTGTTTAGCCAGAGGAAATGCTTGATCAAGTCGATATAGCGGTTCCGCTTGAGGTGCTCCATATCCTCGATAGGATCCCATGCTTCGTCGTCTTCCTCAGCCGCCATGGCCATGCGTTCCCTATATGCATCCTCGAGGTACGCATCTTGACGCTTCTGCTCCTCCTTCTGTCGCATCCTGGCAAGTCTACCCTCCAGCTTCTTGACGTGACGTTTGAACAGTGCAGCCTCCTGCTTGACCTTCTTCTGCTCTTTCTCATCATTGGCTTCCTCCTCCTCTTGAACCTCGCGAACCCAAGCGAACCATTTCTCTTTCTGATACAAGACTTGAGTGGTGCGCTTTTCGACTCTTTGCATGGCCTTCATAACAATGTGACGCTGGCTGATGAGCTTATCAATGTATGCCTGGTGGCCATAGTCGACGTTGAGGGAGTAGAAATGCTTGTGGTGAAGCTTGCGTGCGTCAATGACGTTGCCGAGCAAGACATATTTGTCGAAGAGATGAGAGTGGACTTCTCGGAGAGTCTTTTCGTTGTCAATCGACTCAAAGTCGTCGTTGGCAAGGGGTTCCTGAGCGTTCTTGAGGTATTCGGGGGCCTCATTGTCCAGAGTATCCAGGAGGGCATTGCGTCGCTTGTAACCCTTGTAGAGGGCAAAGACTTGCTTTGAATGGAATCCGCAAAAAAGACCATTGGCGTGAGTTGCCTCCTTTTGGCATCTCTGGTCATCAGAGAGCTGTAGAGCCTGTTGGTGGTCAGTCCCCGCATCTGTCTTATCTTAGAATGATTCGATCTTACCTGGCATTGCCCTTGATCTGAAGCCATGGCGGCTGCAGTGCAATTCACCTACAAGTAAGCAATATTGGCCTTTGGCCACTATCGCCAATTCGGCCCGAGCTACTAATCCAAGTCCGGCTCAAGATGCGATCGCGTCGTTGTCGTGTTCCTGACGCGCTTGCCCGTTTCATGTCGTCATGATTTCTCTTGCCAGCCCCGCTTCAGATTTGTAGGGGGGGTCCGGCAGTTTCGCGGATCATCCTCCGAGCCGAGCCTTAACCGGAAGAAAAAGGTACGTACTTCTTTTCTCTTCTCCGGTGCTCCACCTTTTGTCATCAGCCATACCCTAGAGTGTTGCTGGATGCATGGCCATTTCATCCATCATCCTCCCTCTGAGCTCGGAAGAATGCCCTTAAGATAATGATGTGGGTACTTAAGGGCTAGGGTGATGATATTCCAAGTCGGTGCTGAGCTAAACCGACTCCAAGACCAAAATCAAGGCACTGGTCCATTAGATGGCGTAGTGCTGACAATTTGATGCTTGCTGTAACATTGGCTGTAATATCACAACTACTCAACCACGCCCTTCCATTGACATTAGATGGCAGATCGCGTGATGACTATAAAGCGAGAATTAACCCCCAATACCGGCAAATCCAGAGATCAAACTTCAATCGACACTTTCTTCGTTCAGTCATCATGGCGACCTCTCGTTCAGCCTCTATCACCTACGTTCCGGCAGATTGTGGCTCTATCATCCCTGGCAAATCCAAAGCTCCCCAAGCTTTTCAAGACGTGGGAATTGCTTCCAAACTTCGAAATACGGGACTCCAGTCTGTGTCGGAGCATCATGCATTGGAATCGCCTGCAAGATACTCCATCACAAGCCTTTCCCCTGGAGGCGTGCGTAATGAGCAACTCAATATCTCAGTCTGCCAGCAAGTCTACCACACCATCTCACAGAATCTCATCCTTCCTACCAACAAGGCCCCCTTTCAGCTCATTCTTGGTGGCGAGTGTGGCATGCTACCGGCTATTCTTTCTGCCTTCTGGGGGCATGCATCCTCGCAGTCTCCTCCCAAGCGGGTCGGCCTCATCTATATCGACGCCGATACTGACATGACGAGTCCAATCGATTCATGTTCTACCGGCGTCTTTGCAGGAATGAACATGACCCACCTCATACAAAATCCGGGGGCGCTGCAAAGCATGAAGCAATTCTCCCAACCCTCTGGAGAGGCAGTTTGCAACGCCTCCAATATGGTTCTCTTCGGCACCAACATGTCCTTTTCAGGAAACAAGCCGGAGCACTTTGCGTACCTCTTTGACAACAATTACAAAGTTGTTAGCTCAGCCTCGGTGTCCCGCGAGCCAGAGCAACGGGCCAAAGAGGCACTAGAATACCTCAACGACAACGTTGATATCATCATGGTGCATTTGGATGTGGATGCCATCGATCCGCAGATGTTCCCATTGGCCAACCTCCCAAATTTCACCGGCGTCAAGTTTGAAGAAATGATGCGCGCATTGAAGGTATTTTTGGCCAGCGAAAAAGTTGGTGGATTGACGATTGCGGAAGTCAATCCGGATCATGATCCGGGGCTAAAGATGGTAGAAAGACTCACCGAAGAGGTGGTTGGCATGTTGGCAGCGAGAAATGCATAAGATTAGTAGGACCTGGAGGGTTGATATTACGAGATAGCTGATGCTAAAGGGGCGTGTCAAATAAGTTCCATGTTCTAATAAGAGAGCCATATGAACGAAAGAAGCGCGCCAGGTATTGCTCAGTGGTAACTGTCCAGTCCATCCAAAGAATACAATTTAGTTCTGTAAACAGTCCGTCATCCCTAAATCCCATATTCTCAATACAGAGGAAATCCTCATTATCCCGTGCTATCTCATGCGATCGCATGGTTATGTGACACCATTAATTCCAGACGTACCGATCTGTCTTCTTCCCAAACGGCGAAGGTCTACCGCCCCGTGAGGCAGGCTGAGGACTATAGCCATAGTCCCGCTCCTCAAGCTCCTCTTCTTCAGAGAAATCACCTTGCATATTTTCAGCCACATCGCTACACTCCGGTTCGTGAGGAGTGTGTCGGGGTCGTGGGCCTGAGTGAGCCGGTCCGGCAGAGGGTTTCGATGAGTGGAAATAGCCACCACTTGCTCCATCGGCATATCGTGAAGCTGGGGTCCGGCTCCGGTCTGGCGTGCTAACAACCTTCGATGCTGCCCTTTGTCCCACCTTCGACGGCCCTGAGACGGAGCTCTTCAATTTTGGCCTCGGTTGCCCTCCAAATGGTTCAGCATCAGAATGGCCCGATAGCGGGCGTACTCCTCAGCCTCCTCCTCCTGAAAGTCATCGTCTCGATCCCCACGCACTCTGGCTTGAAATGTCTCATCGCCCTTTTTGGCGGACTTCAAGTAGGCCTCAAATTCCGATGTCGTTTCCGCTACAGATCGGAAGTGTTCGGCGGTCAGGATGGCTGGCAGGCCGTTGTCTTTGCCTGACGTCTCTTTGTCGTACAAGGCGAGGCCAGCGGCAATCTGCACCGCGTTGCGGATCTGGCGCCCGTTCCAGGGTCCCTTTTTCTTTTTGTTCGCCCTCGAGTATTTTCTATATTCGTCCTCCACGAACTTCCTGATGGGTTCGTCTAGAACCCCGATGTATCCGTTATTGGAAGACTTGTCCGTTGCATGCTCAATCCTGGGTAGATGATTCAAGTTGGATTGGAGAATCGCGAGGGTGTCGTCCAGGCTTAGATGCGGATAGCAGAGGCTCAAGTGCACGCGCGAGCGGAAGGCTTCGTCAAGGGCTCCCACTCGGTTTGTGGTGAGGAAGAGGATTCCACTATAGTACTCCAAGACTCTGAGAAACACTTGGGCACGGGATTGTCAGCACGTAATGTGTCGTTTGAAGGGGGCCGTTGGCTGAGGGAATGTCCTACCTCCTACGAGGGCGTTGCGCTCCAAGTTGCCACTGTTCCGATCTCGCTGCGTGAGGAAGACGTCGGCCTCATCAAGGAGCAAAATACAGTCCCATAAGTGGGCATAACGGAATGTGTCTCGTAGAGACTTGTCGACTGCGCTGGGCGAGAATCCCAGGTCGCCACAGGTGATGGGGAAAAGCGGCTTGCCGTTCTCAATTGCGACCGCCTCGGCCGTGGCCGTTTTACCAACGCCGGGAGCTCCATGAAGAAGAATCACGAGCCCCTTCCCCTTTCCCTGGACAACGTCGAGCTGAATGGTTGACACTCCCTGCTTCTCTTTCTGCCGTGCCTTGAAATGAGCCGAGACTGCCGACCTGATCATCGTTCTGCGGGGCTCGGGCATCTGAATATCCTGCAGTGTGATACGGCTCTGTTGCGAATTCAAGTTGATGCCTTGGACTTCGAGGCGGGCGAACCTTCTCTCCCTCAAGACATAGCCGAATAGCCGCTTTGGTAGAAGAGCCAGGTCTTCATCTGTCCACTCATCGTCTTTGATAGCGATAGCGCCCTCCCTGGCAATGAATTTATCATTAGCAGCCCATTCCTTTGCTTCTCGGCTGTATAACGTGTCCTCTCGGGAAAGAATGGGGAAGTCATAGGATCTGGAGCGCCTGAAACCACCCAAACCATTGGGATACTCTTCCCAGACCAAGAGTTCTATTTCAGCGTACTCCGTTTCCCACCATGTACTACGTGAGTTGCATTCGACGACGCTGGTCTCCCATTTAGGGCAGTTCCGAAGAGTCTCCTTGAAGTCAATAACAACTTCACTTTCGATGTACTCAGGATAGTTGACGGGTTCTCCCTTGTCGTCCACCAAGGGTTCTGCCCGAATGCCTGCGATGAAAGTCCACCCTGAGTAGTAGAGATGCCTCACACTCTCTGCAATGCACGACTTGAAGGTTCGTCCCAATCTTTTTTGTTCCTCGAGGAGTGCAGCATAGTTTGGGTGGAATTCCAGAGGGTAGCACTTGAGGGACGTAATATCTCGCTCGCCATTGAAGAAATCGAACTCGATATTGGTCCAAACTGGCAACAGCTTCTCGCCGTCAAAGTCGAGACAATACATACCCCACGATGTCTGACCGGCATTTTCGCGAAAATATCCTTTCGCTTCGTCGAACGCGATAGAATGGTCCGATACAATGCATGAGGCCATCCTCCACACCTGTTGCGCAGCAGATCGGTGAAGAGTTTGGCCCGACTGGGCGAGAGGTAGGAAGGCCAGTGACCCAGGGCGGAAGAGATATGGGATTTCTTCGTACCTGACACGGCGATGTGCTTTCTTGTCCTGGTTTTGGAACTGGCTGCGGATAGGTAGTACCACCTGCTCCACGAAGTCGACGTAGCATCGCATGTGTTCCAAAGCAGTCTCGGTTGATCTGTCCGACTTTCTGTCGGCCTCATCGGCTTCGATAACGTCACTTGTATCCTCTCCAAAGACCTTGGGTTTCTCCATCTGGACAGACTCAACCGAACGGATCCCAGCTATCCCTTGCAGAAGGCTGCCTAGACCCGTGCTAGGTGAATTGCCTTCGGGTTTCTGTGCATCCTCCATCTCGACCAACTTTCTTTTCATGTCGCCGTGTAAATCTTCAAGAATCCGAAAGGGGCGGCAAAACTCCAGCGTTGGTTCGGTTTCTATCTTCTCACACTCGGATAGAGATCCTAGAGCACGAAGGATCGTCTCTGATCGAATCCGGATCCTCTGGACGCGCCCCTCCTGTGGTGATTTAGAACCTCTGGATAGCTTCAGCTGCGCTCCAGAGATGCCTTTGGTCTTGTCGCTGTGTTCAGGGCAGCTGCGTTGAAGTCTTTTCTTCGTCTCGGCTTTGACGTCCTCATGCCAGTCGGCCTTGGCGACGAGGACTTCAATGACATAGTCTCCGTCGTCTCCATCCATACGGTTCATGAATCCTTGGTAGTTGTAGTAGCGCACCTCTGTCGTGAGAGGCCGTTCCTTCATTGGAAGAACCCCTTCTCCATCTTCATCTTCGCTTTCACTTTCTTGGCCCTGTTCCTCGTGGTGAGATCCCCCCTGAACAGATTCGGCGTCTCGTTCCGAGACACCGTTAGTTCCTCTAGGGGCTTTGCCTAGACGGTTCCCTGACTTCTCTTCGTTCTGTAGAGGAGTGGGTGCCGTGGAAACTGATGAGATCTCTTGAGGAGACGTTGGGGCTGCGGACGATGAACCAATGGTAGAGGCTTCAGTCGCCATGGCAGTGGCAGTGGCTGGAGGTACCTCCTCAGCCATGATGATGGAGCGTGAGAAGAGGAGTTGCAAAATTTGATGCTGCTTGTGGGATACAGCTAAGACAGTAGGATTAGGTTGCTCCGTTCAACCTGAGCGGGCTGGTATCTAGATTGGCGAATATGAAAATTCCTTTGGCTTGAGAGGGGTTTAAATATTCTGAAATCTCTTACGGCGGGGCAACGGTGGACTTGGTGTGTCGAGTTTATCTCAACTCCCCAAGATCTAGCGAAGAATGTCACACAATCACTCACGCCGTCTGTCTCGGAGCTTTCTGCTTTGATGGGGGTAAGTCGAGGAACTTGTTCAAAAGGATACACAAGGCCAAGGGGCGGAGGCCTCGGAGCAACCCAACAAAAACAACATAGTCAGAGTAAGTCGAGGAACATCGGGTACATTAAGCCTGAGTGTGGATTCCGTTCCTCTAGACCCTCTAGCTAGTTCATACCCCCATGAAAGGGAGCCCCTCCCGGGGTCTGATGTACCTGGTCAAGTATCCGTCGTTCATCTACATGAATTGAAGACCCTGGTCCCACTCAAAAGAGCCCCCCCCCTGATGTTTCATGCCAACAAACAATGCACACTGAAGCTTTAAAGTCCATTCACTGGGGGAGCTTCCAACTACCACAAGGGTATGACCGCGTCATGTTTGGGAGCCGTTGTGTCCATTGATAGGACTGTTTAGCCGAACATGTCTCCGCTGGTGTGTTCGTGATACGGGCGTACGGGCGCTTACGGTGGGCTTGGGTGATGGATTTCCTTGGACTTACTCGTACTCCTCCCTCTACCTAAGAGACGTGGATGTCGATTTTCAAAAGCGTTACCCTCTTCTTGGTTCTCATCTCGCAGCTCGACACCAAGTACAGACTGTAGATATTCTACTTGTTTCTTGCGTTCGAACCCACAACAGCCATGAGAGACAGCAACAGCCCGCCTAGGCACTCGTTCCTCCGGCGAGGCCTTCTGCGTTCAAAAGCCCACAGCAGGCCCCCAAGTCCTAAGATGGTCGACAAATTCCTCCGACAGCGCGTCGACAGCTTTCGTGCCGCACCTCCAGGGCCAAGCCAGTACGACGATCGGGAAGAGAGGTACAAAGCTCAAGATTCCATCGCAGTAGAGTACGTGATATCTGCCCCTCTCCTGATGCTCAAAAGCCTGAGTTCCCTAGGGATCTAAAGCAGATTCTCGATGCCCACGACAAGGACCCTGCAACAGAGCTGAAAGTCTCTGGTAGCTCATGGGACACAGTCTTCGACCAGATGGCTGACGCTAAGCGACGCCATGAAAACAAGACGGACTATAGCTCCAAGGCGGAAGTTGGCATCGATATAATGTCGTCGTACATCAATATCGTCCCAGATGAGTTCGGGCTCGGGGTCCTTAAGGGAGGCCTGGCACTCATTTTCAATGTACAATGGCCTGTATTTAAATGCCAGTGGTTCTGGAGATGACTGACTGGCGAACGCTAGGCCACAAAGACGCATCGAGAAAACCGAGAAAGAATCCTCAACACGCTCGAAACCCTCCCCGAAGCGATCGTCACCATCAACATGGCTCATGCTCTCTTGCACCCGGAGCCTAAAGACACAGCGCTTCAGATAGAGTTTCTCAGTATGCTGATTAGAGATATCCCAGCCTTAGTAAAGATACTGCTAGGAGAAGAGACATGTAAGCATGAGCCTAGTTTTTCACTTGACATGTCCGATTAAGCCTTAGGGAAATCATACCTGCACCGGCCCGGTGCGAATAAGATACGTTATGTAAGCTCACATCCCCAATTGCGCTCAGGGCAACCGGCTTATAGAGGCAGCGTGCAAAGGCAGTTTGCAACGGTCTTCAACGACAGTTTTCAACAGCTTGCAACAGCTTGCAACAGCTTGCAACAGCTTGCAACGGTCTTCAACAACAGCTTGTCACGGTCTTCAAAGGCAGCTTGCAAAGGCAACTCACAGCGCCCCCTGGCTGTGACTAAGTGTGGCTAAGTAGCTGATTTCAATTTAACCTCTGATTAGCTCTGCGCTGCTAGCTTGTATAACATATCTTATTCGCACCGGGGCCGGTGCAGGTATGACTTCCCAAGCCTTACACACTCTTACTAATCATTTCTGCCGCCAGGGTACCGCAAAGTCGTTGACCTTCTGCTGCTGGATATTCCAAATACTTCCACCATTGATGACATACTGTCACGTTGGGGACAACGGATAGGGCAGCTCAAGGAACACGTGGAACAGCTGAAGATACGGCTACAGGATAAGTTTTTCGCTAAGCTGGACCGCATTGAAGGGAAGATGGAGGCGTCGGAAACGGGGATACGTGATTTATTGGCTGGGAATAAGTCAATGCAGAAGTCTATGATGGAAAAGTGGACGGAGCTTACGGCTCAGATTCAGAAACCAGTGGCTGACATCTCACAAGCCACGGAAACCTTTGCGGATGTAGCCACCAGCTTCCGAGAGGATATGAAAAGCCGGTGCCGAGACATAGAGTTGGAGGAGGAGCTCAGACGGGAACGCGACATGCGGGACCGCGAGCGGGAGACCTTCTCACGGGAGCGGGAACAGTTTCTTCGGACAGTTGAGAATTCCCAGACGAGACAGGAACGGCTGGAACAGGGTAAGTGAGGTTCTGGGGTGTGCCAAGTTTGCCCAGAGTACTGATGGTCAAGCAGAATGCCTCCATCTCAACAACCAAGTCGAAGAACTCTCAAGACAGGTTACAAAAACACGTCTTGAGCCTCGCATGGCCATCGAGCCGATCCAGCTCCTGGGAGTTCTTGGTCTCTCCGTGTACGATCCCTGGGACGACCTCGACGTTGTCTTGCGTCACGCAGAACACTACGATGCAAGTTTACGGGGGCAAGCGCAATGGTTGGTCCAGACAGCTGAGTTCCAAAGCTGGCTCCACGAAGATAGCTCGTCGGTTCTTCTTGCTGACGGCTGTATGGACCCCGAGTTTATATCTCCCATGTCGGGCTTCTGTTGCGGCCTCATCACCAGCTTCATGGACAACCCAGACTTGGCTGTGACCTTCTTCTTCGCTGGACTGCACACTAGCAAGACACTCAGCGGGCCAACGGCCATCATGCGGAGCCTCATTGCGCAGCTGCTGCTCAACCCGAACCTGCCAAAGCCTGACCTGGGGTTCGTCTCCGAGGCAATGCTGGAGGCCTGCGCCCAGCGGGACTGCCGAACCCTCTGTGACGTTTTCGTCAGCATCGTCAAGCAGGTGCCACCGCAAATGGCCGTCTTTTGCATTGTTGACGGCATCATATGGTACGAGCAGGCCCCCTGGGTGGCTGACATGAATTTTGTCGCCAGCATGTTCGAACACTTGGCAAAGAGGACCAATCCCGACCATTCGGGGCTTGTCAAGGTGTTGCTGACGACCCCGACCCGGAGTATCAGTATTGTGGACATGACGACAAGGAAACAAAGCGTTTGGTGGCATGTGGCCTTGGCCAACGGCGATGTTCATCCTGGCATGGCACCTCAGTTGGTGGAGTATTGAATCTGTTGGGTCAAGTATGCATCCTCCCCGGGAACTTCTACACCTCATTCAAAGAAGGCCCCTTTTGATAGCAATTAATTAATTAAGCGATATAACTATGCCGTACCTCAATGTTGTTGCCTCATTAATACATCCCGCAATACTAACCCACGACACCAAGAACGATGACGCTGTGATTATGACTGATCACGCGGCCTTGTACCCCTCAGTAAGCCGCCTCAGCTGAACTGAAGCAATACGCCATTAGTTTTTGGTCTTGGTATAGGGTTATGCATCAGGCAATACCATCTAAGAAAATACCGCATTTTTCCAGATTTGTCTGCCTTAGCCACTCCTAGTAGATAGCCAACTCCTAAATCTTCGTATTATGTGAGGTAGGCAAGATAGTGAGGCCAGCCATAACTAACATCTGCAATGTAACTCTAACCATAATTCGATGGATTGAGAAGTTAAAGACGCACAGTAGGGGCAACGGAGTAATTTGCAAGCTAGTCCAAGCCAATGGGAGCTATCTGGCCATTAAGAACATGTGTTGAAAGGTAGACCAACTGTTAAAACTAGATGCCCGGTTTGAAACTCTCCTAGATGGTACCCATCATGTTGTTTGATCGGGCCCGCAGTCGCAGCCGCTAGGTCTTCAGGACCACCAACAACTGATCAGGTTCAACTTTCTGATGTCTTGCTGAGCGATAGGCAGTTTGAGTCTAATAAGCCCGCGAATCAAATCACAGAATCAGAGTTTAGGATTACCGGCGACTGGGAGCATCTTCACGTCTAGACTTTTTGGAAATACGTTTCCCGCTGAGCCGCATGATGGTTCACAGCATGCATAATCTTTGAAACCGTGAGGGCAAAGGCAATCATTTTGATCCACTAGTTATGATCTCACTTCAATGGAGAACAAGAGAGCTTGACTCTATATGCCAATGAAAAGATTGGACATGCTGAATGCGTGAGACTTTCAGCCGCAGCCTTGAGTTTCGCCACCGCATACTGAATTGACTTGAAGGCATCGCTGAGTAGCGACAAATCTATAACTGGGCTCCCTCCAACGGTTGAATCAAGAAACTCATACCCTCTCTCATATCGTTGCTGCTGGTTCTTGAAGCATAGGTAGCTCGTTGCCATCCGTAGACGGTAAAGACAGCTGGGCAAGCTAGCATCGTCCTCGCTAAAAGCAGACCCTGGAAGAGACGCTACACCAAACTCTTCAATTAGCCATCGAGATAACTGTTGGGTGGTCTTGATGCCGAGTGCTTCCAGTTGCTTGGTGTAAGGGTGAAACGATGGGTAGACATGATTAGCACCCCGCAGCTCCGGAACAGCAAACCTATAGTCACAAAGAGCTTTTTATATCTCAACGGCTCATTTCTCATGGACAATAGTCGCCTGATTTGAGTACAAATCCACCTCGGGATTCATATCAAACGTAGTTGTTGTTTCTTGAGTTGGAGTCGATGCAGGGATGAGTAGACGTATTTACCGATAAGGAGATATTACTAACCTTTCACACTTTTTATATCGCAAGTTTTTCCGTTCTTGTAATTGCGAGGCTGACTCTTGCCCGGATGGATCCTTCGGCGGTCAGACAACAATATCTGCCGGTATCCGGATACGGAGTCCGGAGGCTAAGGGAGGCCCGGCCGGAGGCTAAGAATCCAAGCTCCTAATTGGCTCGCTCGGAAGCCCATCGCGCTGATTGGTCAACCTTGCGCCGAGTGAGTAACCATGCCCCGGCGATCTCGTGCGGAGCGGGAAGTATATCTATGACCTTGTGCCGTGCCAAGGTCTGCAATTCTTCAACTCATCAACCTTCCCTCCAAAACATACCCCTCAAGCCAGTTTTATCTCTTCACATTCACCCTCAAGCTAAAAGCCCAAATTCCATCACCATCATGTCCGAAGACATTGAAACCAGCTTCCAAGCTGCCATTGATTCCGGCAAGATCAACGGCGCTACTCTCTATGCCACCGACGCCAATGGCGACTTTGTGTATAACAACGCCATGGGCCAACGCACTCTACTGTCCGGAGAGAAGCGCCCCCAGGAACTCGATGATATCCTGTTTCTCGCCTCGGCAACCAAGTTGATTGCTACCATCGCTGCTCTGCAGTGCGTCGAGGATGGTCTCCTGTCTCTTCAGGGAGATCTATCAGCCATCGCACCGGAGCTTGCTGAGAAGCAAGTTCTCAAAAGCTTTTCCGAGGAGGAAGAACCCATCTTGGAACCGGCCGCTCACCCTGTCACTCTCGAAATGCTGCTCACGCACAGCGCTGGCACTGCCTACGATTTCCTGCACCCTCTGATCGGAAAGTGGCGTGAGAAGTTCTCTCCCCCTGAGCCAGGTCGAAAGAAAACAGTCGAAGAGCTCTTTGTCTACCCACTTGCACATCAACCAGGAGGAGGCTGGATGTATGGACCTGGGCTGGACTGGGCAGGCCGCATCGTGGAACGAGTGACCAAGAGCACACTTTCTGAGCACGTCAACGAACGAATCCTGGCCCCTCTTGGACTGAAGAAAGACGCTCAGTTTTTTCCTGTTACCCGAGAAGACTTGCGTGGCCGTCTTGTCGACCTGAACCCTGATGATCCGGAAGGTCTTGGTCGTGCCGTTCTTGGTGGTGGTGGAGAGATGAACCTTCGTGGCAAGGGAGATTTTGGAGGCCATGGCATGTTCATTCCTGGCAACTATTACATCAAGATCCTTCAATCCTTGCTCGCCAACGACGGAAAGATTCTCAAAGCCGCCACCGTTGACGATATGTTCCAACATCATCTCTCTCCCGAGTCAACGGCTGGCCACCAGGCTGCATTGGCGGGTCCCGCAGGTATCTTCTTCCGTTGTGGTGTTGATCCAGAGACAAAAATGGGTTATGGACTGGGAGGTCTCTTGACTCTGGAGGATTCTGATGGTTGGTACGGTGCTCATACACTCACCTGGGGAGGCGGTCTTACCCTTACATGGTTCATCGACCGAAAAAATGATCTATGTGGTGTTGGTGCTGTTCAGGCTGCCTTGGCTGGAGGAGTGGACGGGAAGTTGGTGTCTGATCTGAAGCAAGTGTTCCGCAAAGATATCTATCGCAAGCGTTCGGCATGGAAGGAAAAACAGTAGATAGGAACGCAAGCATGATATCGTGAAGAACGCTGGGTTATAGATATTTAAACCCTAATATGACATGAAATTGTTTAACTCGAGCGATTCACATCGACTACTCTACAGGCGGTGCTGCTTCTTTTGGGCGAGAGCCAAAATGGCATTGCCAGCCGTCAGGTCTGTAAGGCTCACATCAATGCTCTTGTATACCACAAATCCCTCAGAGATGAAACGAACTGTATCCTCGACGTGCTTGTCGCTCAGAGGCTGAACCCTTCCCTTCCTAAGAGCAACGATGTGGCCTAGCTGCGGACCACCACCTCCGCCAGCATCAGCTCCGCCTCCTTGTAGTTACCATCCACCATTAGGCACACGCCCACCCGATGCCGGAGGTCCGTCTCTTTGGCGGCTGTGCCGTGCGCGACTCCGGAGCCGAGAACAAACTGCGCATGCGGTAGATACACAGCGGTGGCCCGGCGGTCTGAGAGGTCGAGCGTCTGGAAGACGTCAGCCAGGCGCACGACGGCCGGCGCAACCAGTCCGGCGAGAATGACCCTATGACTCTGCTCAGCATGGCTGACCTTGCGTCCGCGTACCGCGAGCAGGGCCGGTGGAAGGAGGCCGAGAGCTCGGGGAAGCGGGTGCTGGCGACACAGAGGGAGGTTCTAGGAGAGAAGAACACTGCGACTCTGAGCACTATGGCAGGCCTCGCGTGGACGCACCGAAAGCAGGGCCGGTGGGACGAGGCGGAAACGAATGGCTCCAAGGCCTTGGCTCTGCAACGGGAACTCGTCGGCCCGGATCACCGCTCCACGCTCGAGATGGCTACAAATCTCGCCAGAACGTATAGAGAACAGGGGAGATAAAGCAAGGCGCAGGCTCTGACGGAAGAGGTGCTGCAAGCTCGCAAAAGACTGTATCGAAAAGAGCATCCTCTGGTACTGGAAGCCATAACCCTGCTAGCATCCCTTTACAGGAACCAAGGCCGATACGCCGAGGCTGAGAGTCATGGGGTATGGGTCCTGGACTGCCAGAAAAAGGTTCTTGGAGATGAGCACCTTGCCACTCTCGACAGTATGGCTAGTCTTTCGCGGACGTATAGAGAACAAGGCCGCTTGGAAGAGGCCGAGAGTCCAGCCCAGCAGGTTATCGCTGTCCGCAGGCGTCTCCTCGGCGATGAGCACCTGCGTACCTTGTCCATTCGATATCAGCTCGCGTGGATATACAGAAAGCAAGGGCGTCTGGATGAGGCGGAGAGGTTGACACGGCAGGTCGTTGAGTTTGATCAAAGGGTGCTGGGCGAGGAACGCCCCCTGGCCCTGCACAGCCTGTACGGCCTGTCCCAGACCTTGACGTTACAGGGGCGTTGGGAGGAAGCTCAGAATCTGGGCGAAGACCTCCTGGAGGTGCAGAAGAGAGTACTTGGAGAAGAGCACCCATGGATGTTGGAAAATATGGCCAACATCGCCATCACGTACCGGAAGCAGGGGCACTTGAGAGAAGCCGAGACCCTTGCCAAGCGAGTAAATGAGATACAGACGAGGGTGTTTGGCCAGGATCATCCATGGCTGCAGAAGAGTCTGGAGACCCTAGCACGGACCTTGAAGGATATGGGGGATTGGAAGGGGGCTGAGGATCTAGGGAAGCAGGTGCTAGAAGCTAGGGCGAAAGTCCTCGGGGGGGACCATCCGTCTACTAAACGCATGGCAGGCTTCTTGGCTAAGCTAGATGAGACGAGGAGCTAAGGGAGGCAAAGTGGGACTTATTTATACATCTACCTAAGGAGATGCTATGGATATGGTTAGCTGGGGCCACGTGGCCCCCTTCCAAAGTTTAGAACGAAGGAGAGCGTTCTCGTAGCCCTGGCAGCGGAATCCCAAGTTGTTTATTGATCCGAAACAGTTCCTCAGCAAGCTCAGGGTAATCGAGATCTGACTTTGGCCGCCTTTCCATGGTCAGTTTCTCCTCCATCGTGAGCGGCTTGCGTTCCCAGATGTCCCGGTAGATGTTGTGATGGGTGATGGCAATCTCCGAATCGACACGGATACGATTTTGCGCGCTACTCAAGACGGGCAATGGATTTAGCTCAGGAGGAAGAGAACTCGTATCGGCAAGTAGGAAATTGACGAGAGCCTCTTGTTGATCGTCGCGGAGTTGATATACGCGATGAGTCTGACGACGGCGGCAGGAGTGAAAGTATATGTTGGGGGTGGTTGTTGGATCTTCGTCGTTACGGTCGAATACTGCCACACCCCCAAGGATACGATCTTCAGCCCAGTACCCAACAATGTCAGCCACACCCTCGGGATAAATGTCTGCGTCGAGATATGCGTGATGGTTGAAAAGGGTTGGTCGTGGAGGCACATCGACGAGCCCCTCTATAGGCGGCATCCTCCAATTTACGATGCTGTCTATATCTCTTTGATGAATTCTCAGATCAAGTTGAAATAGCAAGGCTCCGACTTGATGTAGTGTCACTGCCACAAGCTCAACTAAACGCAAGTTGAAGGCCTTGGAGCCAAACTCGGCAACCTGGTAATCCGCAATCACCTAAGCCATGTTAGCACCGGGGGGCTAGGTGATATCTATTACAAAGCATACCTTTGGATCAAATATAAGGATCTCGGGATTCCATTGTTTGTAATACTCATGGGCTTTCTCCATGGCACCAGGGCACAGCTCCTCATGATCTGAGTCTATGGGATGCTCGCCAAACACGCCAGGGTATCTACGGTCGAAAGCAACGTCGCCTGTGGGAAGACCATCCAGAATTTGGGCATATGTGAACTGCGCGAGCTCGGTAGATAAGGCATTCTTGATGGCGCGATCCAGGGCATTGCGATGGCGTTCTGAGCGAATATGTCCAAATGGAACTCGTTGCTCATGTGCAACGCGAGCTACGCGTCGTAACTTGTCGGTGTGGGCTTTTAGTTCGTTAGGGTCCATAATGTGCAACTGCAATAAATGCTGCACTATGAAGGTGTCAGTGACTGAACTTGAGGTCGGACAATGATCAGTTGGCGAGAGAGATTCGAGGCTTGGGCATGTTGGCTGACAAGTGGTTAGGCTGACTAGAAGGAGAATTCAGCCTGAACCCCACTGAGTCAGGGGGGTAATATGGCGTCACATCAAGTGTCGCATCCATCCTTGTATGCATTGTTACATTAAGCTGAAGGACAGAATTAAAGAGGACAAGAAGATGGTCCCTTTGTAAGCGGGAGCGATGTCAATTGAATCCCTCTCCTCTTTTCCGGAACTGTCTTCACCGTCATCTCCTCTTCCAGAGAAGTCCAAAGTGTGATATCTTTCAGCCTTCCTCAATGTTTCAGTATGTGCCATCCGATTAGATATAGTATCTATCCTTGTTGACCGGGTTGACGACTGTCTCTTGTGCGTTGGTGGTCAGAGCAATACGACCAACTTGAGCTTGTGGCTCGACATCTCCAAAGAACAATCTCAAATCCTTCAAATTTCTTGCCCATGTTTCTGAAGACCAAGTTGAGAGCCCAGTTATCCCCTCAACTTTGTTATGGAGAAGGGCCAGAGTTGAAGATCCCAGAACGTCTGGGGCAAGACTGATGACACGTAGAAACGCACCAACAAGTACAAAGAAGAAGGCGGTGAAGGATGCCAGAAGCAGGACTGCGAGCCATTTCTTGTTACAGTGGATAACATCTTCTTTGAGAGTGTTGGTTGCAGTTATGTTGATAGACGATGTTAGCAGCATGTCCAGTGCCGAGGTGTTGAACCTCCCAGTGAAGCCCGCTGGATTGATACCTATGTAGAGGATCGTGTTGAAAATCTGTGACAGACGCATCCCAAACACATTAATCCCAACAGTGTGTAAAGGAATGTCATCCAACGGGCGACCAAGAATCTGGTATGGCGTGGTGAGATAACTCAGAATCGGCTGTTTTCCGCCCGAGGTCTGAGCAAGAGGGAACAGACCAGTCAAAAGTATGAGAAAACCTTGAGCATCGAATACGAAGTCCATATCGAAGACGGTATAGTTGTAATGAAAAGTAGGCTTGAGGGAGTGGCGGACGGCGGACGGATTACAGATGTTCCCAGATGAGCTCCCTGTGCAGGATACATTGACGTCGACAAAGGTTGTAGTGAGGCTGCGCTCAGCTCTGGTAAACAAATCACCATCTGCGTCCCATCGAGATTCCCATATCAGTTTCCGGGCATGGCGAGTTACACCAGGGGCCATCCGCTCGACATTAGGGCATGGCCGAGAAATGGCTATCTGGTATTGAGTTCCTCCCTTTCTACTAAACCAGTCGCAGTCATTACCCCTGTCGGGAACAGGACCGGCTGAGGCGTTGAAGTTGGAATAATCTGATTGATCAGAGCGCTCCAAACTCGAGCACGAGATGAACAGATAAGAACCTGGAAGAATGAAAGAGGTATTCCCTGATGTGGGCAAGTTGTCGATAGGCGTTCCAACAAGAGACGCATAGGTTGGGTTAGTAATTCCAGTTGTCTTGAGCCAGCCTTTGCCACCATCTTTCTCCAGTGGCTCAATAGCAGGGAAGCGAATGTTGCCCCAAAGATCTTGGTTACGACCGCTGAGTAGCAAGGCCGCCATCATGGAAGAAACAGCAGGGAATGCGACTTCTGTGGAAGCTTGAGAGATGCCTTGAGCGCTGCCAAAACGGTATTCCATCAACGTATTTTGGGCTGTTAATTGGGTCAAAGTGTTTGGGTAGCTAGGAATGATGGAAATGACACGCAATGAGGCTTGACTGCCCAAAGGAGATAATCACCATAGACAGATAATAAAGAGGCCAGTAGAGTCCGGGCCGGCGGGCTTGCCATGGGAACGGTAGACAAAGAACCCAAAAATCGCAAAGAGGAGAGAAATAGACGCGACCAAGAGGTCCAAGAGAAGGCGGAGGCCAGTCGTGAACCAAGAGTTGTCAAGACGATTCGGTTGGAGCTGAGTTACCGAGGAGTCTTGCTCAAGAGGCTGCTGTGCGTCCTCAGCAGGCACAACTTTGTAGAGAGGGGGTTTGGAGCTCTGCATTTTCCGGCAATGTGAGGATGTTTGAAGTCCCCGGAGTACCTGTTTGGAGGTTGTACGCCCACAAGTCGGACATCCTGGTTAATATGCATCCATTCACTTGGCACCTAAGTTTCAGCCGCAGCCGCGGCACAATTCCGCTTCCTTTTTCTTGATCCCCTCAAGCTTGGTTAGATTGAGAGATTTTGATCCACTAGCGGATAGCCTCTTCAAGGGTGAGCGCTTCCACAGGAATCAGGCTGGCAAATTGCAGACCTAGACGCCCCTGCCACGGCCATGGATCTGCATTTTGCGCGGGGTTTGGTCAACTCTGTACATGCAAGCGATATCGCGTAGGAAATGGCCGAAGCGAGCCGAGCCTGATCAGCTTTTAGCTGCTCTGAATGGCCCAGTTCTTAACCGACATGGTGCATACAAAGTGGGTTGATGCAGCCACTGGAGGCTACCGACTTACCAAGAATTGCGCCTTAGATAATGCCTTGGTGGAGTCTTTGGCCTGCAGTGGCACTGGAAAGCCATCAGTCGACAGCAGCCATTGTTCCCAGAGGGACAGTCTACTGCCTGGTCTCATTGGTGTCACCATTGAACACATGCGACAAGCGCAGGGCGGTCAAGAAGGAGAGTTATGAACACTTAAAATTGTAGAGTGTCATGTTGATTGTCAATTTAAAACCTAATCAACATTTACAGCGACAGAGCCTTATTACCTCCAAGGGTAGCCCCAGGTTCTCCATTTCCGGATTTGTTGTTCTTGCCTCTTACCAGCGTGAAACGAGGCGCGTTTTCTTCATCGTTGAAAACTGTCGCAACGAATCCATGGTATTAAGCCAGACGAACGCAAACAAAACTGTGAACCGGATGATGGATGACTGCGCAAAGGGCGGCTGGATAAAAGGCGGATGGATAAAGGGCGACTAGGTAATCGAAGGTCGATGGGTTAACATGACATACCTTCCAACCTCTGTTGGTGGTGCAGTTTAGAGATTGGCGGGGGGGGCTGGTGGGCTGGACACCTGTGTGTGGGGGGTTGGGGGTAGTTTCAGGTGTATTTTGGGTTGCGCGACGGGTACGCTCAGAGAAGGACTCTTCTTCAGGACCCTGTGTTGTAGATAGGCCGAGTAACTTCTCCACACCTGAGCGACTTAGTCGGTGCTGTTGATTTTCGTATGGCGCAAAGTCGTCACGCTTATAAGGCCCGCATTCCTCAATAACGATGTAGGAGTACAAGCGCATCGGAGGGCCATCCAAGTCGAGTTCTGGCACTGTTGGCGGTGTAATGTGTTTGGGGTCGAAGCCTTTGTTGGGTTTCCCTCCCCCAATGTAGATGAAATGTTTGATCTCTGGTCCCGGTATTTCGTATTGTTGTTCAAACTTCTTGAACTTTGGACGACTCGTGAAACTGTGTCCCCAAAAGAGTTCCTCTCCATTCTCATTCCATCTGGTCCTCTTGATGACAAAAGGATGGCCGTCATTCTGCCTCTGGATAATGGATCCAGGAGAGAGATCAATGGGTTGCTTAGCCTCCTTATCATCGTAGTCAAGGTTATCGCCAACCTGTCCCTCATTCTCGGATACCAGACATGACAGGGGCTTCGTTGGCCCAAGGGATGCAGAAGGGAGATCCATGCGACCGTGCGTAGTTTGAGACATCGTGTTACTCTCGTCACGACTTATGGTAGCTTCGATGGTGTCCCCTGGGCGGCGGGTTCGTTTCGCGACGGTAGTGGCGTCTGTCGGATGTGGAACGACGTGTACGGCGGCGTAAAGGGATCGTGGTACTGGTTTCCAGAATTGCCGTCGGCGGCGTATCGTTGTGACGATTTACAATGATATAGTTGATAAATAGATTCAGTTTCTCTGTAGATTCGATGCAAGTGAAGTCTGTTGTTTGTCTGCTTCAAAATGGCATCCCGTTAGGCTTAAACATCCAGAAGGACGATGCCCAGGTTTGGGAGTGACGTGAAACGAAACAGGGATAGAGCCCACTAACTCGCAGCAGCTTGGGATGACGACCATTCCTTGTTTTTCTGGTAGACTTCCAGGCAGACTTGCGGGCATACAGACCAAAGGTGGCGGTAGTGTAGTCTGATGCAACCCCATCATGCCTCACGTGGCACTTGATGGGGTACAGAAGTCTCTTCGGCGAAGCTCAATTGGCCGTCTTTGGCCTGTCCAAGGACCGATCCTTGAAATATCGGCAGCCCTACCCAATCTACGGAGTCCAGATGGCATGGTGCGTGATGTGGCCGCGTTGGTCAGGGCTGCGCCTACAGCCTGCAGCCTGCAGCCCCAAACCAAAGCGGCAATTGGAACCATTGCGAGTGCAGCCAAGGAGCAAAGAAGCAAATGGAAACTATGGTACGTACATTCTCACCTCGCAAGCCCTGTCCGGTGTCATGCTCCGTGAAGATCCAGGCTGTGAAGCAGATCCAGGTTAGGACCTCCTGATTTCCTCATCCCTGGCCTCATCACTGCTAAAAGCCACCTATTTTCAGCCGGTCACGGCGTGTCGTGGGATTTAAATTATCTGGACTCTTGACTAACGGCGGCATCCCCCCGCCTGTCTTCCATGGTTCCCGAGAAGGAGGGGCACGGCCTGTGCCGAAGATCGCTGACATGGATCAGGCTCCCCTCGTGGTCGTGCCGGGCTACCTCCAGGAAATCCTACCCACCGGGTCTGCAGCAGCCTGAAGGACAGGCATGGCCACACTGAGAAGCTTGCAGAGTGGTAGTAAAGGCCAGCAGTGCATACCTATTAGGATGGTGGAGGGTTGCCAGATTCTTTTTCTTTTGTTAGTGTCCATGAAATCACCGAGTCTCCTCGGTATGGAGGTCAGCAGCGCGCACCTCCAAGGCTGCACTTGTGCAGCCATCACATACCTAGCCCCACTGTTAGAGTACCAGTTGATCTTCCAGAAGACTCAGTGCGAGCCTGATTCCATCATGTCGTAAGTAGAGGACTGGCTCAAAAACGGGTCGTGGTTGGCTTAGAGCCCTGTTCAGTGCCCGATGGCAGCACACGCGCAGCCTAAGATCAATGCTATTGACTTCCTAGATCCCCAATCAGTTAAATGCCTCGGCCGGAACAGTATCACGGCCTTCGACAACTAGATCGCTCTAACCCGTGGCGTCGTAACGGGTCATGGTTTGATCCTGGCCGATGATGGCAGCGACTTGAAGCCTCACTTGCACCAGCGTGTCGGTAGCTGGCCTGTTAGCAGCTTCAATTGCCCAACATATGGTTCACAAGGAGATCACTGCTCCCAAGCTTCTCATTACCAGCATAGCTCCCGAGTCATTTGATCAAGAAGATAGATATTAAACATCAATGCGTTAACGAAAGTCTAGGTACATGACAAAATCCAAATCCCGCCTCCGTGCGGGTTAATGAGCGTGCAATACTGTAGCCTCCAAACAAAGCAACACCTTTTCGTTCCCATCGTTTCTGGTTTGTATTAAACAAGCCATTTCGGATAGTCTCGGCATCATTCTTTTTTGAAATTCAGTACTTTTTTTTTTATTCGTCGAAGATGAGATGGTGTCTTGGATCCATCGTGATGGATCAAGAACACCATGTCAGCGGCGAATCATCATAAGAATGGAGATGCCAATTGATCTGATCATTGGCAAAACCATAACCTCTGAGATTAGCTACTCATGTCGAATCGAATGAAAGAAAGAGTATCCGAGTTATCGGTCAAGACATCACCGAACATCTCGCGAGATATTCGGCGTCCGTGGCTAACACAACACACTTGGGCTCTCTCCGTTGGCAGTGATGCCTGGAGTAGGGCGGACACCTGTGTGTGCCAGATCGAAGATTCTTCCAGGAAGATTCTTAACGTGAGCATTCCCGGTTGCGCGACGGGGACGCTCTCAGAGGACTCTTTTTGCAACCATGTAGCTGACATTGGCTCAAAACCTCGTCCAAATCTGAAGAAGTTAACTGGCGCGGCCCACCCGACAATTTTTTAAAGTCGTCAGGTTTGAAACGGCCGTACTCGTCAAGTTCGAGGTAGGTAAAATAGCGCATTTCGGGGCCTTGGATCTCCAGTTCGGGTTCAGTTGGCAATTCAATGCCATCGGATTTGAACCCTGCTGGATTAACCTCCTTTCCCCCAAGGTAGATGAAATTCTTCTTCCCCTGATCCGGTTCCTTATACTGCTGTTTGAGTTTATCGTACTGGGGACGGCTCGTGCAAAGACATGCCCGAATGCATACCTTCCCATCCTCATCCTGTTCGATTCGGATGATGAGATAAGGGTGGAGGTCATGCCTTGATTTTCTCCGGACAAAGGATCCCACAAAGAGATAGTCAGGTAGCTTGTCCAAAGAAGATGACTGTGGCGGCGAGCCAGGACCCTCAGTATTAGGGGTGCTATGGCTTGATGCGGCATCTGTCTTGGAGTCCTCTGAGCTACCCACATTCTCTTGTGGCGAAGAAGGGACAACAGGTTCAACGGAGTCAACAGCGACGATGGTCGAAGCTCCCTCTCGCTTCTCTGGGCTCGTATGAGGATTTATGGTGGTATATTCCTCATCCTGGCCAAGTTCATCGTCGACTTGTTCCTCATTCTCAGAGGAAACGTCATTTGAACCATCGCTGTCGCTTGTTACCAGATCCTCATCTTCGGAACTGGAAGAGGTGTCGCCAACATTCGCCTCTACACTACGCTGTGGGCGAATGGCGGAATTGGGGGTGTCCTCCACCTCGTGGTCTTCACCTGGGTGTAGCGGGCTAGCGCTGAGAGGAGCATCCCAATTCTCGTCCGAGTCGGATGGTCCGGACTCAAGATCACTGTCCTCGTCTTCATCTCGATCAGGTGTCTCATCCGAAAAGTATACCTCATCCGAAGAGGATAACCCGTCTAAGGGAGATATCTCATCCAAAGGAGATGTCCCATCCAAAGAGTATACCTCGTCCGAAGAAGATGTTTCGTCCGAAGAGTATAACTCATCCGAGGAAGATGTTTCGTCTGAAGAGGATGTCTCGTCTGAAGAGGACGTCTCATCCAAAGGGAATTCTTCATCCGAAGAGTATACCTCATCAGAAGAGGAAGCCTCGTCCGAAGAGGAAGGAGTACCATGGTGATCTCCGCCGTCGTCTGAGTCTGAGTCGGCCGTGGTATCCCTATGATCCGGGTCCAATATGGCATGCAAGGGGTGTGAAGCATCACCATGATCCTTAAGGCTGCCTTTGTTTGGGACGGCGGATGTATCCCTAGAGGCTCCGGTCAGGAGCCCTGGGGAACAGGGTCGAAGGCGACGGAGACTCGCGGTCATCTCCTTTTCAGAATCAGACAGGGTAGTAACGTCGAGGTCCTCATCGTGATCTATTTCTAGACCGGAGAGGGCGTTGCTGAGATCGCTACCATGGCTTCTGTCCGAGTCAGATGGACTAGAAGAGATATCGGTGCAAAGGCCATCATCGTCTTCATCTGCGTCAGGCAGGGTATCGACGTTGATGGCCGTAGTCGGAAGCTCTTGCGAATGGGGTCGGGTGTCGTGGAAACCCGCGGTCGACTCTCCATCTGAATTAGATGGGGTGCCGACGTTGAGATCCTTATTCCCAGCTGGTTCTAGACTAGAGAGGGGTTGGTTGACATCGCTATTGTGACCACCACATGGATTAGATGGGGCGATAATATCGACGTCCTTTTTTTGGTTGATGTCTAAACCCGCGAGGGTTTTACTGACATCTCTCTCATGGGTATCGCCCGAACCAGATGGGTGACATTTGACATCTACCGAGAGGCCATCGCAATCGTCGTCCGAGTCACTCGGGGTGGCGACTTTATGTGCATCGACTTGAGAATCGTAGGGGTCCTCGACGGCCGTGTGGGAGCTTGCCCGGGAGCGTGACGACCCGGACTCCGTGGGCTGTGACGTGTCGAAGGGATATGCCTGTGGCCGTGGATGGTTTGAGAGATTGGTCCGCTCTCGTCGAGAATCGGGGCTCCGGTGACGTCCCTTCGGCCGTGTGTTCGTTTCACGACGGTGACGGTGTTCATCGGGCTCAGGCCGGTGTTTGCGATCGCGCAAAGGGGATGGCCGTCGCTCTCCGAAGATCGACTGTTGGAGACCAGTGAAATGGACAAAGTGGACTGCGAATTTCCCTACTTTGTCCTTCCACTTTTCTTGGGGTTGTGCCTCTGTATTCTAGTCAGTTATCCCATCAAGGACCGGTCTTCAACTATTAAACAAAAAACACAATACCTTTAGGCGCTTCATAAGCCTCCTCAATTCCCTCCCATCGGTCACGACTGTGCCACCCCTCGCATCGGGGTCGGTTGGGATCACGAAGGCCGTCCGACATGGAGACTTGGCTTGTGACGGCAGCGAGGGGGGAGGAATGGCGTCTTGTTGTGACGAGGTACAGTGACTGAGTTCATGAACAGATTTGGTTGTACAAATTCAAAAGCAGGGTGTTGCTTGTCTGTTTCAATGTGGCATTTCTTTGGGTTTAAATGCCAAAACCGTCCGGAGAGACGATGCCTAGGTTGGGGGGATGAAAATAGCCTCTGCTTAGACGGGATGAAAATAGCCCGAAATACGAGCAAGACCCACTAACTTTGCTGCAGTTGCAGCTGTTGCTTCAGTTGAGAGCTATTCTGGATCTTTCCCGGTCTGCAGACCGGCCGCATTACAGTGACCCAACCTGATCACGGCTCGCGTGGGGGACGCCATACAGACTCAACATGTTCGGTGGCGCTCATGGGCTTGCGCTCAATAGCCGGGCGTTCAACGTATCCACCCACACCACCCAATCTATCGAGTTGATGCGGTCTGTGTGTGTGATGTGGCTGTATTGTTTGGATACCGGTGTGCCAACAGTCTGCAGTCCCTAAGCGAAGCAGCAAACGGAGACCCTTGCAACTGCTGTACTGCACAGCCCCAGAGCGAAGAACCAACTGGAAGCTACGGTACGTACATTATCACCCCGGAGGCCGCTGTGCGACGTCATTGGCGCTGATGTCGTCAATCTCACGATCTGTCAAGCTCCAAGCCGTAAGGCAGATCTTGGCTTCGCTCTCAGGGGTCTAGGTGCCTTGAATCTATCATTCTTGGTCTTGAGGCAACCAAGAGTCAACCGTTCTCAGCTGTTAAAGGAGTGTCGTGGGTTTTAAGTTGGGTTTTTAGTAATAGACTTACAGCAGCGCCCCCGGCCTAGACCATCTCCGTTCCCCGAGGAGGGGCTCCGCCAGTACCCAAAGCCACTGACATGATCAGGTTCCCCAAGAACTTGTGTCTGCCTGCAAGGAAGCCTAACCTCTTCATTGCTAGGCATGACCAGGCTGAGAAGGCCCAAAGTTGGTAGCGACGTTGGCAGCGCATGCCTATTTCGGCTGTGTTATTTCCCTTGGGTCTCTCAGAAGTCCACCCCCACGGCTTCTTCGAGCCCTTGGCCAAGCATCCCTATTACGATGATGGACAATTGCCGCTTTGTTTTCTCTCTTTGTTGATGGCCATGAAATCACCCAGCTTTCATGGCGATGACCTCCATTCATCGTATTGTACTCTCTGTAGCTCGACGCGCACATCTTAGGCTGCGCGAGTGACTCATCACATGTTGGCCCCATTGCTAGAGCGCTATCTGATCTTGCAGAAGGCTCAGTGCGAGCATGTTTACATAACATCGTAGCTGATTGTCGAGGACTGGTTCATAGACTGGCCATCTACACTACTCCTTCAACCGCAAAATGCTCCATAAGTTTCTGCTAAGATGTATAGCATTGATGCACGACGTCGTAATAAACTCTCATGTTGTTGGGCAAATCGGACCGCGCCGTTAATTTTTTCCTCCCTGGGAGCGACCCCGGAGCCTCGCATACTAGGTAAGCGGTAGAATAGTACAGCATTATTAACGACGCGTAACGGGTGCACCTAAATAATAAGATAAGCTTTCATTCTCTAAGAACCACCTAGCAGTCGAAACTCTTTCTTCACAACTTGTACTATTGACTGAGTTTCACCCGTCGCGCCAACGGCCATCCTGCGTGAGGAAGCTGACCGTCAGCTAGGTCCTGTTGCGCTGGATGAGGACATGCCGTATGGCCAGCCTTCAATAAAACATAGTGTCAAGGTTTCAGGGCGAGGGTCAGGCCAACATTATTCGTATTAATGTCACTCGGCTTCAAAGGCAGTGCTACTTATCATTGCCCAGGATGCAGACTCAACTAGCATCACAACACAGGCGAATGGACTAGCAGGAGGGTCAAGTACACTGGTCAATTAAGCATGAGGAGATTGCCTCTGAAAACAAATACTCCGTTGAAGAAGCCAGGCAACGAGATACATGTAGTCATAGTTTCCAGATCCAAGCAAACAGAGTCTTTCCAGCACCATCCGCATCCCCCTTTAGCCATTGTTTCCAGTGGCAATACCCCAGAAGTAACCACACCAACTTCCCAGGATCAAAAGGATAAGAGAAGCAAAACAAAACATGGAGATCTTCTTGTTTTTGCCTCCATTCTCCTCATAGAATCTCTGCTTCCGGGCGTTGAGAATATGACCTCGAGCAATGCGCATCTCCTCGTCCACTGCAAGTGTCCAAGATCCACAGATCGCCAGGCGATGAACCCCAGGATCAAAGAGACAGCGACTGAGCACCCGGCAAGAATGACATAGACGATGGTGACTCTATCGTACGAGTTGTTGTCAGCATCCTGGATTCTTCCAGTGATGACTCGCACGATGATGTTCATCCTATGACACGAGTTAGCAACTTGGCATGTCATGATCGTCATTTGTCTTACGCATTGTTCAGTGTGATCTTGATAGAGTAGGCCGAGCCAAATACTGTGCTATCCCACATGGATGTGCGAGTACTGTCGATGATGGTGGTGGGTCCAAAGCAATAAGCAAAGGCGAAGACACCAAAAGATGCAGCGGTGCCTTTGACAGCCCCGGAAAAGTTGACGAGAAGCATGGAAGTGAAGACTCCCAGACCGCAGAAGACCACTGGGATATTTGATTAGCATGGAGTTGTTCATTTAAAGATCTCGGCGTAGCACTCACAGATTGAGATTCGGTGTCCATAAAGATCAATGAAGATTCCCAGCAAAGGAACAACGAAGAAGCCTGTCGGGAGAGATTAGCATCCAGTGCGATCTAGCGTGACCATTTTCACTTCTTACCAGCATACTGCAAGACCGAGCTATACCAGCCGGCCGCAATAGAGTCAGTTCCAAACCGCTGTTCAGCAAGTTCAGTAGCGTTCTGGAGGAAAACGATGGCAGTGCTTGTTTCGAAGAGAGAAAAGGCCATAACTGCCCAGAAGGACCATGGCAGCTCGAGCACCTTGCGGATCTCAAACTTTTTGCTCTTCTCACTCAGCTTCTCGCCAGTTGCTGGATCGTTGATGCCGTGAAACTTGCGGTTGGCCACCTTGGTGAACCAATAGAAGCCAACAGTCATGACATTGGTGAAAATGTTCATGAAGACGGCGACCCAGAAGACCCACGCAAAGTTGCCAGTCTTCTTGGCAATGATGTTGGCGGATGACTTGCCGGCAAACGCACCCATCTTTCCGACGCCCAGCTCAAAGCCGAGGGTTGATCCAAATCCGTTACCAGGGGCAAACCAGGACGAGAAAACCTTGTACTGGGCGATCTGGGTTGCGATGTCTCCCAAAGCTCGAACAACTCGTCCAGCAATCATGAACTTGTAGGATCGACTTTGAGCTGCACCTGCAACCAGAATCGAGCCGACAGAGTAGATCAAGTTTCCATACAGCATAGCACCTAACATTGGGTATCAGAGAGTGTTACTTCAATGTCAAGAGACTTCTTACCAGCGCCTCCGATCCGGTCAGTAACAATACCGCTCACCATCATGAGGGCCGTGACCATGAAATCCTCACTGGCTTCCAAGAGTGAGAACTGCGTGTTAGTGATGCCCATTTCTTTCTTGATAGTGCTTTTCATGGCAGCAGTGATGCCCGAGCTCCATTGAGATCCGAAACCGATGGCCGTGACGAGGACCACAGACGCGATCTTCCAAGACAAGGGAACCGGTTGAAGGCCATCAGAGCTGGAAGCATCTGAGTCCCCAGATGCCTCAACTACTGCTCCTGCAGTCTCCTTTCCATAGGGTTGCGCCAGGCCATTCTCAGGCTCTATGTTTGAGCTGGAAGAGCTGGGAGATGGAGGTAGAGCCATCGGGGCCGAGGTGTAGGACAAAACAGAAACAAGTGCAAGGATGGATAATGAAGAGCACAAAGGTGTCGGGAGCGGTGTTGTTGAGAGGCAGGATGTCGATCATGTCGAGGAAAAAACACTACTTTTGAACCAAACGAAGAAATCCTAACTGACAAGTTTTGATCCACTAAGTCGAGGGTGGATAAGCCTAATCAGATGAGATTGATAAGACAGAACGGGGCAACACCACCGACACTAGCCCTATACAAGGCACGCCGTAAACCTAAAACTCCACTTTGAAAAGATCTGATAAGTTTACAAAGACAGGGATTCTGACTAGGGGTCCTTCTCTCACCGTGAGAAGCCTCCCTCCCTGCATGTCCGATGTCGCTAGTGGCTGCCGGTCCGATGGGAGGCTAGGGACGACCCTGTCGGCCTGAGCTTCGCGAAAAGTTTGCGGATGAGAGATGGTGATGGTTTTTGCTTAATCTATCTTTCACCTTCGTCACTTCTTTCCTTAACAACACCAAAGCCTATTGTTGTTAGGTACCGACATCGCAATGCATGGCAAACAGCACGCTAGGGCCACGCCTGACGAAGAGACACCACTCATGCTCCATGAGCAAGGGCGACCAGATTCTGAGCATGGAATCATCCAACAGCCGACAACACAGCCCTCCGATGAGGCGAAAATCCCATCATCTGTTTCCTAGGCATCCATGCCTTGCAAAGCCCAGCTAGCTGTCATAATGCTTGTCCGCCTCGCTGAGCCAATCAGCGAGCGATCTCTCACAGCATATCTCTTCTACCAGCTGCAATGGTTCGACAAGTCCCTAGATGCGTCGTCGATCGCGAAGCAGGCCGGGCATCTGACTGCAGCCTTTGCTGCTTCTCAATGCGTAACATTGATGTGGTGGGGACGAGCAGCCGATAGCCCGGTGCTCGGTAGGAAGGGCGTTCTTGTTATTGGCCTGCTAGGCTCGGCGATCTCAGCACTTGGCATGGGTTTCTCAACTACATATCGGTCTGCCATGTTGTTTAGGATGCTAGCTGGTGCTCTCAATGATAACGTTGGCGTTCTCAGGACAATGGTGTCTGAGGTTGTTGTTGACAAGAGGTGAGTCGCGTTCCCATAAGTTCTCTTCCTCTATACTTACTCTTTTGATTCTAGGTCCAACTGTCGGGGGTACCGTCTTGGGATGGGGGCTGTCAAACAATCTTGTTGGAATTCCGTTCTGGGGAATGGCTTTACTTGCTTCGTTGAACTTCAGTCTTCTGTTGTTGGTGAAGGATTCGGATGCCTCATGAGTGGGTTGTTGGGTCATCTGGTCAACACTAAATACATCCTATGAAGTCCTTTGAGCTCCAAGTTCTCGTCCAAGTTCTATCTACCTGCATTCTTGGTTTCAATCCTATCATGCCGAATCACTATCCACTCTAAACTCCGACATCGCCGAACCTTGTCACTGATATGGTCCGATCAAAGCTCGTTGTTCGATGACTCGTAACATAAAGTACCAACGTGAGTTCATGCCCATCAAAGCCCACTAGCCCAAAACAACCCCTGCTGACAGGGATCTGAGGCACATTTGTTCTCTCACGGTGAGAAGCCGGTTCATTCGGCCCACTTTTCGCTCGGTCATGCCGCCAGTCACGGTATTTTCTCGGATTGGGGCATGGGGGTCAAGCGGGATGGTGATCAACTCCAGATTTCATTGCCGCGTAATCTGCATCGACATGAAGAGAATCATGCCATATCCACATTCTAGAACATTAAGATTGGAGTGTTGAGAATCATATGAGGTCAAGTTCGAGGTTTGCAAAATCTTGTGTCCTGAGTGGGCACGACTTGTTCAACTCTTTACTGTCGAAAATAATTCTGTAGACCTCTAACGAGACGCACATCTCGAAAATACCTTTAAATTACCAGGTTCCATTAAATCTTCATATCAAATAGTTACTAGAGGTTAACAGCAATAAAATAATCCTAGGTTTATTGATCAAGTGTCATCCAACTTAGAGAGCTTGTTGTGCTCCATCATTACCCTACACCCACGTGAGATCAGGTTTCTTCCCAGGCACCATTATCCTCAACGGCCATCCCTTTAATTGGTGAATTGCCCCAGCCACCGTCTTTAGCCAACTCGTAGCCACTATGGGAATCCCATATTCGCACCGTTGACTTCTAAGCATGTCTGCCGCAGTGTCCCATGACCTCTTGCCATCTTCCACATCGCCCAACTCGATCTGAGTATGAGCAATGGAAAGGTGGATAACCACCGCGATGAAGCCATACTTGGCATGGAATGCTGTGAACTGCTTCATTTCTTGCAGCGTGGATTTCCATAGATGAAGAGCGTCTTGGAAATGACCTTTTTGGTGGGCCACGCGAGCTGTGGCCATGAGTCTTCGCATACGCAGTAACTGGTCGTTCATTTCTTCTAGCCCCGCTGGTTCGATCATAGCCAGGTCTTGGATGGTAGAATCAGCAATATCTGTTCTGCCTTGTCCAATGTTGGCTTCCACTGATGCCAACATTAGTCTTCGGCAGGGCCGGCTCCTCTTGTCAGGCTCTCGCATATTCTCCAACTCTGCCCCGAGAAGTTCATTTGCTTTGTCGTACCAGCCGATCTCACAATAAATGTCTGCTAGTCTGGCGACGATGAGACGCCGTGTCGTCGTTCGGATGGGCTGGACAGCGCCAAGATTTAAATATTGCTCCAGTGATTCTCTTGCATTGTCAAAATCACCCATGGACTGAAAGAAACTCGCCGCGACACCCTGTAGGCGACGTGTGACTTCAAGCTCAAGGTTCGAAGGTGGGTGTTCCGCCTTCCATTCGTAGATGCGTAAAGCTGTATCGCTGTCGTGGCGTTGGATCTTATTCTCGATCACAACGAGGTGAAGCCTGCCTTTTAATGCATGGTCCCTGCGGGTGATAGGACGGCGAGTTTGGCAGAGAAAATGGCGTATGTGAGCATCTGACTCTATAAAATCTCCTTCAAGGCGATACACGAGACTTTGGAACAATGTCACCGAGGCATGTAAGTAATACGGCATCGAGGGCCGCAAAAAGGCCCCGGCAATATGGGTGGCCAGGCAACGAATCGAGAAAGAGTCCCGCTCGGAGAAGTAGAGCAGGGCATCAACAAATTGATCTTTAAGTGAGATGGTGATCTTGTTGTTTTCTTGGATCAATTTATGCATCAAATCCCATACTAGACTCTTGGTTTGAGGGGACCTACGTAGCAGGTATTAGTAACTAAGAGTTGACGTTGATGATAAGGGCCTCTTACCAAGTGGTATTGCCTTCGTAGCAAGGTGGACAAGCAAAGCACAAGAGTTTAAGGGCAACGCTCCTTAAAAACTCAGCCACGTCGGGTAGAAGATTCGAAAAAAGCTGGGGGTTGGACACAGGGTCAAGGGACCATGTTACAGTCCCATCGTCGAGTGTGTGCTTCTTGATGTATACAGAAGTGAGAGACTGGGCAAGCCGGGTGTTGTCTGATAAAACATCCACCAACTCAACTGGTAGGCCATATTGAGTGGCATCGGTAGTCTGTATCTCACCATCCGCATTCCACCGCCTTTGAGGAGAACTCACGCTCCGTAGAAGAGTATCGGGGATGTTGTGACCGCCGAGGGCTTCTAGCAGAAGGAGCAGTATATCCGTGTCCGCTAGTACGTCGGCGTAATTGACAAAGAGATTGTGGTACGATAACGGTAGCGAGGGATCTATTTTTGGATATGAGCAAAAAGACAAGTCAAGTGGAGCGGTGAGTATACCCTTGAGTTGGCCGAGAATCAGGTTCCGCACAAATTCATCACGGCTTGGGGCCCCTGAGCAAATAGACTTCAGATGAGAAAATATTTCTTCATCGTTGATATTGACATATCTCTCGTATCTGAGTTTGGCTGTTAACTCGACTCCCGATCTTAGGGGGCGGTTATTCACTCACGTGGAAAACGGGATATCCAAGGGCAACCACAAGACCGACCCGATACTGCCAAGCCGACGGGCCATCTTGATATACTTCCTGCCAGCATGGCGGAGTTCTGAATCTTTCTGAACCTCGAAATAGCGAGCAATCCGGGGTGGCACCAAGACTGAAGCGTTTAACTCGGACCTGAGGAATATGACGATGCAAGCTAGCCGGCGATGTAATTCGACGTGGGCTAGGGTATCAGAGGGTGTCCAGAAGCCTTCCAAGTCGAATCTGAATCTTTCATAGACGTCATTGACGCGATCCGAGTTGCACGATTGTATGGACAGGATCTTGGCTGTTCGTTGATTTGTGGGGATGATGTGATATTGAGTGGTCCGAGCAAGCAATTTCGACTTGGATAAGATCGATCGAACGGCTGATAGATGGTGATTAAGCTCAGCAGCTATACTGTCGGCCTTGGTCTCGTCATATTCTTTTGCCAGTTGGCGGACCGTATTACAGAGACACATGATTAAGGGTGATGTTGGAATAAAGCTCATGGGCCGATTCTCGGAATTGCATCCTAGGCTAAAAGAAAAATTATGTGAGGTCCATGCTGAGCGCTAAGCTCGCTTCGGATCGGAGGTGTTTTCCCTTTTGCTAGACCGAGTGTAAAAGCTCTCTGACGCTGAAGCTGGAAAAGTCTATAACCTTTGATGTCTGGATTATTAGTATCCAAGATGTCCGTCTAGTTATCCCATCCTTACTATTCCCTGACGATTATGATGATCAAGCGACCAGAGCCAACTGTTGTTCCCGTGGGCTTGCTCCTCCAAGAGGTTAGCCCATCTTGGTCTGCCAAGACTGAAGCGTCTCAGAGAAGTGGCATACCCCTGTCAGCTAACCATCCAATTTCCCACTTAACGCGCTGGAAAAGGGGCGGATCCTTCGCGATTATCTGGAAGAGGCGTTATTTACCTTTCGGCGCTGCTCGTCGTTAATACTTTGTCGCCCACTTCATGACTGGACAGAAGGCTCTGTCAATATGCCCTCACCGATGGGCCTCGTCGCCCCACTGCTCGCCTTCATACTAGCCTCTCAGGCGCTCGCCCAGGAACTAGACGATATCATTGTCGGCTGCGACGCGGTCCAATGTCCTGTGGTCGAGGATGAGCATCACTGCAAAGTTAGAAACGACACATTCCTCGACATCGGGCTGACCCGCATTCCCGATGTCCCAGATTCCCTAGAGGATTTCTCCATCGTCCAAGGAGTTAGCATTGCCAAGACTAGGAAGGACGAAGACCTGTTCACCAGCGTCTACTATCTCGGGACCCCCCAGAATGTGTCGCTGGATGAAGTCCACGGCTGCGCTGTCTTTTTCGACCCTCCCGGGAGAAAATTCCCAGAGAACACCACAGGCACCTGCTCTGATATTATCGATCCGAAATGCATTGCTGGCATCCAAGAAGTTGCGGAGTCCGCACTTAGTTACAAATACATCGATGGTATCTGCCGAGATGTACAGGATGCGCTTGAGGACAGCGATATCATTGCCTGCAGGAATTACACTGGCACGGGCGAAGGCATCGAAAGAAGCGTCTTTGCCATTAGCCTCTCCAACCTCACCAATATCGAGGCCAAGGAAAACGCCACCAGCGACTGTTGGCCTATCCTGCCCAAATCTGCCAACCTGGCACCGCTTTTCTATGCCATGAAATCTTGGGATGTGAGAAATATCTTTCTTGGCTTGAAGTGCACCACTAACTCTTGATTTGCAATAGGGGGGTCCGTTTCCTCAATCCGCGTTCGATGAAGTGCACAAGATTACTCCGGTGCTCACCCTCTTCATGGCCAAATCGAACAGCAAAAATGTAGTGAGCCAAACTGTTGGACAAATGAGCTGTATTCAGATCGAAAGTACTTGGACTCCTGATACCAGTGTTGCTGCACCACAAAGACTTGTTAGTATGTTGGCGATTATCTGGGCATTTGCTGCGTGGGCTGCGACGCTGTAAGACAGCTAGATGCAATAAAGGAATAATGACACTGAGATGCACGTGTACCAACCAAGTGCCTGAAGGCCTGCGAATCCAATTGACAACTTGCGCAGCTCTAAGCCACTCCTGTGGAGAAGTTAGATGGGCATGAAATCATTCTTTGCGCCCAAGGCAACCTGGCTGGCCCTCTGGCGGTCACGGAGGTGCCCCTACTGGACATACGCCTGTTGTGTCACCAACGTGTACATATGGAGAGTTGGCCAACAAAGTAGCCGCTCTCGAAAATTCTATTGTCATCACGCGCCCACAGAAAGAGTTTACCTCCCCCTGAGATTGGCATTTGTCTGGCTCAAGGTAATTGTGAATATCGCTTATTTTGGCTGTTGGGGTTTGCGCTCCAAGCACGAAGCGTTTGTTGGCCAGCTTTCTGATGTCGCCAGCAAGTATCGTGACGTCGCTACAGATCTAGATAGAAATGAATCCTGCGTTTCTACCCGCAGGAGCCGGAGAATTGGTGAACAAATTTGAATGGTTATCACAGTCCATGGTGCATGTTGGTTGCTCTACACCACAGCGATTCTGTTGACCTGTACAAGGAAGATGAAGAGGGGAAAGAGACAACTCGGAAACCCCTCCCGTGACCGAAGATCTCATTGATGAATTGATTCACCGCCTGCAGCCACAAGCGCTTCGTCGCCGTCGTGGTGCCAGGTGAGTGGTGCTTTCATGTTTGAGAAGTGGGCCGAGGAGAGAGCCTGATTTCCAAGTCTGCCTACCTGGATACCAAACGCTCGGTTGGTAACGCAAGTCTGCTGCGCCGCCTTCAGGCGTCAGCATAGCCCTCTAATGCTGAGCCTGTACCCTCTTTTCACTCAGCATAAAGGAGCCTAGTGAACTTGGAAAACGACACCACCTTGACCAAGGCCTAGTCAGATCAGATCTTCAGCTACGACCATTCCTGACTATGGATCCCCTGTCAGCCGTTGGGCTTGCTGGCAACATCGTTCAGTTTATTCAGTTTGCCGCCTCTCTTTTTGAAGCAACCAAAGAGATTCACCAGTCTGCGACGGGTGTCTCGCAGAATCATACTACCCTCCAGGTTATTTATGAGAGGCTCTCGGACTTTTGCAACAAGCTCGAAACCGATTTCGATGAGACTATTGATAACGGGGGAGTTCCAAAGAGCCAAGCCAAAAAAGGTTCTTCATTGTCTCTAATAGAACTCGCAACTGCGTGTCATCAAGAATGCAAGCAGCTTCTGAGCATCGTTGACTCTCTGAGAGCCAAATACTCCGCTCGATCAAAACCTTGGCGAAGCTTCTGCGTGGCATTGAGGGGAGTTTTGATAACCAAAGAGATAGAGGGACTTGAGGCACGGATCGCCTCCTACCAGGCACAGATGGTGTTGCATTTATGTTCAGCTACGAGGTCAGTACACTTGAATCTTGCTGCTAGCTTCATTTGTCTCACCGCTTATTAGAGGGGCGATTAGGGACATCGGTGCTCACATCCAAGCCTTCCGTTCTGAGGGACAGTCGTTCCACAACTGTGTGACTTTTCAGCTGGGCGACATTTCACGAGCGCTCGGCAACCTCACTTCCAGAGTCCAGCAGATGGAAGATAGAAACAAGATAAAGAAGTTTCAAAAAGGACTGTACGAGGATGATTATGAGCCGCTGACGGCAAAAATCTCTGAGCTGTCCCTTCAAAGCCAGAAGTGCATCAACGAATATGAACTGCTCTCTAGCCTCAACTATGAGCAACGGCTAGCACGACATGAGAACATCAAAAACGCACACCACAAAACATTCTCTTGGATTTTCAAGGATGATGGCGGCAAGACCGACGAAACTCGCCGCCTTATATCCTGGTTGAGAGAGGGCTGCGGAATATTTTGGGTATCCGGACGACCTGGGTCCGGGAAATCAACATTCATGAAATTCATTGCCGGCCATTTGGAAACAACAAGTCTCCTGTCGTTGTGGGCTAATGATAGGGTCATGATCAAGGCCAGTCACTATTTCTGGAGCTCCGGTACCGACGTTCAACGTTCCCAGGAAGGGCTCCTCAGGTCTTTGATCTTTGATATACTGGGGCAGAGTCCCGCACTGATTCCAATTGCATGTCCCGGGAGATGGTCACGGATCATCTCGGGAGATATGTCACATGACACTTCATGGACGATGCGCGAGCTACGAGAGACCATCCAGAGGATCGCAAAACAGACCAGGCTTCCGATAAAATTCTGTTTCTTCATTGATGGCCTGGATGAGTTTGAAGGAGACCGCCCTGAACTGTTGAAGTCACTTGAGGAGTTGTCTGAATGCCAGGACATCAAGCTTCTCGTTTCAAGTCGGGCGTGGAATGATTTTGTTCAGCGGTTCAGCCAAAGACCAAAACTGCACCTGCACAACCTCACTCATGGTGATATTCGGAGATTCTCTGAAAGCCAACTACTAGAGCATCCAAACTGGAAGGATCTTGCCTCCCAGGTTGGTGAGACCCAGGCTCTTACACTGGTTGACGAGATCAGTGACCGGGCTCGAGGTGTCTTTCTCTGGGTCTTTCTCGTCACGAGGCTACTTAGAGAGGGGATGACAAACTATGACACCTTTTTCGAGTTGCAAGACAGACTCAAAAGTGTACCGATTGATCTCGAGAACTTCTTCAAGGCCATGTTGGACTCTGTTGAGCCGTTCTACCACCCGAAAATGGCCGGGACGCTCCAACTGGCCATCACCGCAAGAGAACCGCTGCCTATTACGATCTACAGTTTCCACGATCTGGGATACGAGAGGCCCAACTACGCTATGGACGAACAAGTGGAGATGTGGAGTGCTGAGGATGAACAGAAGTTTCAAGCCCCCTTTTCGCGCCGACTTGCGGCAAGGTGCAAAGAACTGCTGGAAGTCCAGGGCAACAAGGTCGAATTTCTGCACCGCACGGTTCGGGATTTTCTTCGCTATGCCGAAATGAGAACATATCTGGCCGGAAAGGCACCGGAGAATTTTGACGCTTCTTTCTCCATCTTCCGAGCCTTTTGTGCCTGGACCAAGCACACCAATTTCCTTGGCATGACAATCTTTGACCTCGATCAGAAGCACCTTGTGTCTAGGCTGGACGATATGCTTCTCTACATCAACGGGAACTCTTTTGCCGAGACTGAGCAGGTATATGATCTTCTGGACAACCTGGAGACGTCCCTGGAGCAACTATTCGACCAGTGGCTGGAGCGGGGAAACCAGGATCCAGACATCCACCAAAGACCATCAATTTTGTTTCGACAGAGAATTCTAGTTTCTGATCTTACTGGATACATCACCAAGAAGATGAATCAGGACTACTGCTATTTGGATGACCAACTTGTCTCTCCACTGTCTGTTGTTCTTCAGATGGAGGGAAGCGCTGACGCCACCGAACGAGGCTGGACGAAAAACCGGGTGCAACTCCTCCGATACCTACTTGAATCCGGGGATTTTAACCCTAACGAGGTTCACCTTTGCTCCGAAGGAAGTGTTCGTCAATCTCCATGGGCCTCTTTCCTAGCCACCATCTTATCCGAAGATTCTCAGTCTGGAGGATCCATGACTGCAATCCTGGAGGCGGGCATAGTCCCATTACTCCTTGAATATGGTTCTGATGTCAACATGACGTTGAATTTACCGTACAGAAATGGCGAGCTGCGACTACCAGTTTGGGCACAGTTTCTTAGCATCATTTTCCTGCCCAACCGCCTCTCTACCCAGACAGCTGCCTACATTCAAGTTCTGGAAAAGGTATTGGAAGGTGCTGAGCTTGACACTGCCAGTGACTTCATAGATTTTGGATCCTGGCAGGATTTTCTCAAACTGGATGCGGGAGAAAATGGAGATGGGCCGCGCGAGATGACTTGCAAGCTTGCCATGTTTCGTATCATCACAAGTTCCTTGCAAAAGATGTCGATTGGTCCGAGGCGGAATCACCTGGACATCCAGTTGATTGCCAGAGCGATTGAGACGTTCTTAAAGCACACGAACCAACCACCCGAAGGGCTGAGCGAACTCTATGCAGCCATTCAGAGTGCATTTCCGCCCAACTTGGTGCGCCGTTTCCGAAGGTTTCTGGAGACCACTTCTGGAGATGACATGCTGGTGCAGTGCGAGAAGAGAGGTTTACTGGATGAAAACGATGAGGAAGCAAGGGGTCGGGAACTTAAAATTCGAAGGACAGTTCCTAGACGTTGAGGGTAGTAAACTCAAGAAGTGGAAAACAGAATGGGTATAATTATTCTCCTTTTCAATGACGTACTTGTCAGACGTATAATTATTACTTCAAGAAGGCAGCAGTAGACTTGTTCTAGCGGTGACTATCTATGTAGCTCACGCTTCCCCCTCCAGAGCCTATTTCTATTGTTACTCATGTTAACAATGGCATCTCTCAAAGAGGGGATCAGCTACACTATTTAGCAAAGGACCCGAGTGCCAACATATAACGGCATCAAAACCCAAAACTAGCTCTTTGGTAGACGGATAATTCGTGATATTGATGTCCGGATCTATACTTTACATTCTGAGTACTAGTCGCTGCATAAAGTAATTCAACAGATATTCCGTAATTAGCTCGGAAGTGATTGCGCTCAAATGTTACTGAGCTGTCGGGGCCTCAAGATGACACAATGAGTCATAAATCTCCCCAATAGAATTCTGAGAAGATGGCGGGATCAGTTGGGGACGTGGACCCCTCAATTGGCTTTACTCCGACCAATGACAGATGCGCTATTTTCCTCAACCATCCATCAGACACCATCCCTCCTTGTCCCGGTACCTACCTACTTATCAACCGTCGATACGCACGAGGCCTATCTGATACTACCAAAATCACGCTTGTTACTCACAAACATGGCCATTTATCACGTTGGTAGGTTTCCTTCTTCGAGGCTACCCATGAACCCAAACTCCAGTGCTCACTCTCGCAGTCCTCTTCAAGCTGAAGCCCAATGTGCCTCAGCAAAGCATCGATGAGATGCGCGCTGCCGGCAAAGCTATGCTTGGCGTCGTGCCAGGTCTGAGGTCGTTCGAGTTCGGCTCTCCGCTCGCTAGCACTGCGCACCGTGCTCAAGGCTTCGATCTGGGCTTGATTGCCGTGTTGGACACTGAAGCAGATGTCCTCGCTTACGGCCCGCACCCAGCTCATCAGGCGTAAGTTTTCGTTATCTTTTTTTAGTTCTTAATTGGGCGCTGATGCTGGGTACATAGGGTCAACAAGATTCGTGAGGCTGTTGCTGCAGAGACGTTGGCCTACGACTTGGAGGTGCCTGACGTTGCTTAGGTTGACAGCCAGATGGCACGTATTGAATGTCTAGAAAGTCGAGTAGCTCAGTATACGGAGAATGGAATTCCGATAAACAGTCTCGAGTTTTTAAACGCCAAAACTATATCCCAATATTGTGTACTTCCATGAAAAGTGCTTACACTTAAGGAAACTCGCTGTGCCGCATCAGCTTGGGTTCTAGATACGAATGAGGTACGAGCCCGACTTCGGGTTTATTCCATCTCTCATCAAGATGACACCGGGCCCTGGATCCGCCAACGTTGGCCCAATATTGTATACATTATCAGAATGCATGGGTTTGGTGAGTTTCTCGCTGCGACGTAGGTGGGCATCAACGCAGAAGACGATGGCATACCCAACATGACCAAGGTCCAGGACGATTGGCTTACGACCAACATCCATGTTGGCCCTCTCGGGACCGAGTACCCGCTCATCAAGTTTGGCATGGGGGGCGATTCGCCAAGCTTCATGGGACTCATCTCGAATGGTCTATCGAATCCCGAGAAACCTGGATGGGGTGGTTGGGGTGGTCGATATAACCGGATTACCTGGGCACATGACCTGAGTTCTGAGTGTGGAGTCTCTCCTGACACCGTGGTAGCCCCCAGCGGGAAGCCATATATGAGCGTGCAGTCAACTGTTTGGCGCTAGAGAGATGCCTCGCAGGACGATTTTGCAGCTCGAATGCAGTGGACACTTCATCAAGACTGCGGTGCAGCAACACATACGCCCCTTGTCGACGTTGACGGATCAGTTGGCCTAGAGGCCTTGCACATCGTGGTTCCTCCCAAGGCATCCACGACCCTCGATGCAAGCCAAACTGTGGACTTGGATAATCCTGGGGATATTGAACAACTTGAATTTGAGTGCTTCTTCTATCTTGAGCCAGGCTTCCCACAGGCCACTGGAGACAAGAAGATGGCTGAGTACCTCGGTTTGGAGCCGTTGTCACCCCCAAGAGGAACAGATGGAAGGCTTTCCAGAAATGAAGCTGGTTTTGGCAAGGTGATCCTGGGTCCAAAGGTTTCTGTCACAAATCTTGTGCCGGAAGAATGGGATCTGCGCTCGCGAGAGTGGCACATCATCCTGTAGGTCAAGACAAAGAAGGGCCCGTATCCGATCACGAGGTATAAGAGAGTGGTCTTGAAATCAGAGTAAATACATTGTCGCGACTCTATTCTATTAAAAGCAATTACTGAAGTTTTCTCACGTAAGCAACTGGACCCTCATAGCGTTCAGTTCCACGGAAGAAGTAGTAGACCAGCGAGAAAAGCACAACAGCGCCGTAGATCAAGATGTTCCAGTTCATCTCTGCGGGCGTTGGGTTAGGGTTGCCAGGCATGAAGGCCAAGACAAAAATGACAACCAGGAAGGCTTCGGAGGCAATGTTAATGGCCAGACCCCATTTACCGAGGGAGAACTTTCCGCGGAGCATGGGGCTGTTGGTCCATCGTCGCCAGATCATGCAGCCAATGGAGACGATGTAGCTGGAGAGAAGTGATGTTGTCGCCAAGGATGTGATTGAGTTAAGGGCGACAGCCGAGCCGATGTTGATAAGGGAAAGGAGACTCGAGATGAGGAAGGTTGTCAGGATGGCGTTGAGAGGCACATCCCATCCTGGTTGGACCTTGGAGAACCAAGGGCTGAATGGAACAGCATGGTCTCTTGCGAAGGCGAAGAGTTGGCGTGAAGATGTTGCCACCATGGTAAGGTTAGAGAAACCGGTCATGGCGACGATGAACGATGCCATAGCGGTAGCACTGCTGGTCGACTTGGTCGAGTTGTAGAAAACCTGCATAAAGGGTTGGCCGGTCGGTGACATGATGACCTCCTCTAGGTTGCCAATGCAGAAGCAATAGGTGATGACCATGATCCATCCGAAAGCTCCATTGAAGACTGTTGTCATGATCATGGAACGCGGCAGTGTGCGACTGGCATCGCGAAGTTCCTCAGACATGTGGACAGCAGCATCTGCACCTAGCAGTGGCAGAATGCCCGCAAGAATACCGACAAGGGTCGATCCTCCCAGGCTGCCCCAGCCTCCACCATCACTGAACTCAGTGAACACAGCTTTGGCATCGGCTGTCGGGGAAAGAACCCAGAGAGTGACGAGGATACCAAAGAAGGCGAAGATGTGGATGATGAGGACGAGGGCTTCAATCAATGGCAGCTTCCTAGCGAGGAAGGTATTAAAGAGGACCGAGAAAGCAGCAACAGCGATAGTAAGGAGCGTTCCATGCCAGGGCTCAGGAACGTAGTTCGGGTAGTTGAGGACAACAAGGCCTTGGATCTGGGTGCCAGCGATGAAGGACGAAGAGGCACATGAAGTCTGCCAGCCGAGCACACACATCCATCCCATGAGATAGCTCATGAACTTCTGGTATTGGGGCGGCGCAAATTCCGAGATCCAATGGTACTGTCCTCCGGTCGTTGGAGCCCTGTAGGAAGGATTGCGTTAGTGATGCCGCCATGGGTGTGTCGATTGTCTTGGAAATTGGGCACGACTCACATTGAAGCCATCTCGGCCATGGAAGTGTTCACCAGCAGGAAGCCCGCCCAGCAGACAAAGAACATCCAGATCAAACCAGCAGTGCCACCGTTGACAAGTCCGATGGTAGAAACACTGTAAGTAGCAAGCTTGGTCAGTTGACGAACGGCCTATGATGCCTTTGGGAGCCCGACTTACCTCAGGGAAAACTCCCACGACGCCATTAGAATCATGGAAAAGCCAAAGATGGACAAGAAGCGAAAGTTTCTCTATGCCATGTCGTGTCAACCCAATTCCAATATCAAGAGCTGCTGGTACAAACCCTCATTTCTTGCACCTTGCCCATACGGTACATGTCGGCGCGGTCGGCCGCGTTTCCTCTTTTCTCGTCGACATGGTCTTCGTTGAGGCCAATGGCAGCATCATGGGCGCCGGGGGATTCTTTGTCGCCAATTGACATCTTGGAGATGTTTCCTGGTGACTTTTGACAACACCGCGTTTTACCAGAAATAACTGAAGAAAAGAAAGAAAAGGAAGAGAACGAATGAGGTGAATATGAAGCTGGCAATCGGCTTTGCGCGGAGAAAGTCATGCAAGAACGGGGGATCGCACGGTAGTCATGCATGACCAGACAAGCCACAACGAGAGCAACTGCAACGATCAGGTAGGGATCACGGCATCTTCAGCCGAACGCGAATCCGACCCATCAGGTCGAGTCCTCCCACATTACCTGGTGCACGGCGTGTTCATCCTGGTCCCTGTGCTGTGCCACAGGCAGTTGTGGGACCATGGTGTAGCATCACGCAGGGCTTGCAGGCAGTAAGGGGCCATACTTCAGGGTAAAAAAGCAAGTCAAAGCTGTCGGGATCGTTCCAGATGCCGGTGGATGCGTCGCCCTGGACGGCCCGCGGAGCTATGACCAGATGGGGGATCGCCATGGCCTCAGTGATTAGCACGGTTATTCCCCACGACTTTCGGTTGTCCGGTACGGGGTATCTTAGCGAAGGAACACTCGGAGGGGTTGGTTGATGTCTTATTAAAGTTCCGTAACGACTCGGGCGAATCCATGCATCAGGACAGCCAACACAATGGATCTTGTTGCTTTTGTTTGGCGCACCATGGTGCAACGAACCCACGCACCCCCCCGTTTCCATGATGGACTAGAAAACCTTCACACCCTGGACTCGTATGAAAAAGGCAAACTCTGCATTTAACCGGGACGTGAACAGGCCGCTGTCTGACCTGATTCCAGGGGCCCGGATACCAGTGGCGTCGTCCTGCAGCATTAGTTTGAACCTTTCAACATTCGTTAACGGGCGTGTCGGAGTTTTCACCACCTGTCAAGCCGATGTTGTTTGTACCGACCTGCCTGGATGAGCCACGCCGCAATGATGAAAGCAAAAAAAACAAATTAAGACTCTTGCGTTGTCGCTTGAGAACAGTCTGCTCCACGTCTTTTCTTGATTGTGAAATGCTGTCAACTCGTCGTTTCTCTCCAACCCGATTCACCCAGCCATGAGTTCAGAAATAGGAATACCGGAGGATGGCTCGCATCGGTTCTCGCCTGTTACATTCAACGACCATGCCGGACAGCTGTGGATCGTGACGATCTTGTCGCTGATCTACAGCGCGCTCGTGGCAACTGCAAGGGCATACATCAAGTACCAGATGTTCGGGTTCGATGACATTTTGATTGCTTTGGCAACTGTAAGGGAGCGACTCAATCTGGAGCGCATTTTATGTCGATATTAATCAAGTTGTGGTCACCTAGGTTTTACAATTAGCTCAATCGATTGCCATATTTGTTGGCTTGAGTCATGGCCTTGCCAAGTACAACTCCATCACCTCGCCAGAACAATGGGCGACATCTTCAAAAGTGAGCCTCTCCGTAGCTTGCCAATACCATCACCAGCTAACATACCCATCACCAGTCCACTCTCGCATCCGTTGTTCTCTGCGTTTTATCCCTGAGCCTCGCCAAATGCTCCATCCTCGCCCTCGTCCTTCGCATCATCGGCACCAAGACTGGAAAGAATAGAATATTTTGTATCGGACTCATGGTGGTCAGTGTAGTATGGGGAGTAGGGTCCTCCATCGCATTTCTTGTCAACTGCCGCGCTGATACTTTGTTGACTCCTGACAACGTCAAGCAATGCCCCAACCAGGTACGCAAGAGACATGTTGTAGCCCCTGGGATCTCAATATCAGATATCTAACCTCTGGGTCACTTTAGGTTACGCGCTGGGCCGTGGTCAGTACGGTTGATATTTTGACCGAGATATTTACCTGGATCCTCGTTGTGCAATTGTCTTGGTCTGTCAGCATGTCGTTTGCCCGCAAGTGTCAGGTCGCCATGGCCTTCTCATTCCGCATACCACTTATCGCCCTCTCAGCCATTCATTTGGCATATATCAGCAAGTACCCAGATGCGACCGAGCCTCAATTCGCCGTTACGAACAGTCTACTATTCCAGCAAACGATGATCGCTTGGTCCCTGATTTCTGCTACGGTGCCGAACTTGAAGAACTTTTTGAAGTCATTTTCTATAGGCATGGGCTTTCCGCTTGCCTTTGACCTCAGCATATACGGATCAAGCAACGTGTACGCACTTCAGTCACTGGGAAACGATCATTCCCGGGTTACTACGTCTGCAGCAGCACACGATGTTACATCGACTTCTGTTAGGGTCCACCACTCTGATGGCGAGCCCCATGGCCGACCGCACAACTGGAGGCCGGACCAGGTCTCGACGCAATCGACGGCAGCGCATAACTACGGGAACAATACTCGAGACAACATATCAGAAGAAGGGGAACTCTCCAGGACTGGTAGTCAAGAGATGATTATCAACAAGGAGGTTGCGTGGCAGGTCACGTATGAGGGTCACACATAAATTAGGATACTGCTGCTTAACAGGTAATGCACTGGTACGAAGGGTTACAGGGATGGGAAAAGCATGTGTCCATAGAATAGATTTCCATTTCACCAGCTTCCATGTCACCAGCTGCAGCGTCTTCTAGCGCCAACAGCCATTGCCTGAGGGATCCGCTAAGTGGCATGGGGAGAAAAGTAAAAGTTCTTTGACGGCCTAGCCAGGCTCGCGGAAACACCTCCGACGTTGGCAACTTCGCTTGGGGGATCTATCACAAGGGTCGGCAGCGGCCGGGTGACCAGGGCATAAACGCCCCGGTCCAGTCGGATGCAGTTACATGACGGGTGATCCCTGAAATCGCGCACTGCCACCACTTCAGGTCAGGGGAGTGGAATTTTGCCGAGTGACTGGACAATGCTTCAAGAGGGTATGAGTCCCCTAAAATTTGCATTGCGGTGGATGTAGAGGATGCATGTGAAAATAAAAAGTCATCATCAGGAGAACGACACGCTCCCCAGCCGCACCATTCCACCACCAATTCTTCAACAACACTCACCTGGTACAGATACTCGTGCAAGACATGTCTGAGATTGTTTTACGTGATGCACGCTACTCGGAACTTCCGGAGATTGCCCACGTGATGGCACAGGCATTTTGGGAGGATAACCTGTTTGGCGAGCTTATACATCCTCATCGCAACGAGCATCCTGACGATGTAGACCTATACTGGCTGCGGCGGGCACGCGTCAACTTTTGGGATTATCGATGGAAATGGCTCGTCGCCGTGACTAAAGATGATAGTGGTCAGGACGTTATTGCTGGGATTGCGCAATGGGCGAGATTGGGAGAAGGTGGCCGGAAACTGGAGTGTTGGGCCCTGGATCCTCGTGAGTTCTTGTCTCCCATGGTGCATTTAGTTGATCCAAGCTAAGCCAACGTCCAGGAAACCTGCTCAAGCCTCTGTCTTCTGTTGCCATGAAGCTTCATGCTTGGATCTGGCCTAACCGCGCAAGCAACCCCAAGGATGAGGACATCATAGAGCGGGCGTACCCTTACTTTGAAGACATATGGAGCGGCAAGCGCGCTGAAACGTGGTACCTGGAAGGATTAGCAGTGCGCCCAGACTTGCAGGGGAAGAAAGTAGGACAGAAGCTTGTGCAGTGGGGGCTTGAACAGGCCGAGGCCGAGGGGATCTGCGCTTCCGTGGTTAGCGCCTTGGGCAAGGACGAATTCTACACCAAGTGTGGGTTTAACGAGCAGTACGGCTGCGCTAGACAGGGCGAGGGAAATCCTCTAGCAGACACCGAAGGTGCTAACATGTTCTGGAAATGGCCCAAGTCTAAATAGGAAGTTTACGATGACTTTCTTTTCAGACCATGAATGGAGCCTCACGATAGGTTTCGAATGAAACATATGACGTCTGGAGGCGAGGCAGCTTGCGCAATGGGCAGCCCGTTCTAACCGACCTTCCATTTCGGTTTTAACTCGTCTTAGATAGAACCTAATGGTAGGTCTTGAAGGATTCATTAATTATATAACAACCAGCTTTATGATTGGTTCTGGTGGTCGCGTCAGGATTCAACTCACACCAGCTAACCTCTTTGGAAATACCCCTATGACTTCATACCTGCAACCTGTGGGCTCCAGCCAGCCACAAGTTAGATATAGCATAGATCATATGTGTTGTGAAATAATGTGCTCGAAGTTCTGGCTCGTCTATAGAAATTCCAAAGGTCAAGTACCTCAACTACATCTGATCACATCGTCATCGTCTACTACCCTACAAGTCATCTGTCTCATCTCGATTTGTCACTATAAGATTTATTAACAGCGAAGCGACCTTCTGCCAGGGGCACTGTCGCTGTCAAGCTACGGCAAGCTTCAGACTGTCCGTTCGCTTGTCGTCATCGGATGGACACTCGACGACCTGGAACCACCTTGACTTCCCCATCAACTCCCGTAGCGAGATTTTACCATAACTCAAGCCTATATCAAAGCAGGGATTCTTTGTTCGCTACCGGAAACGTCTCCTCCAGCGTTGTTCCCGTCAAGGTGCTAGTGACAGGAACGGCCTCTAACGGGAAACTCCGTTATCTGGGAAGAAGACTGCCATTCTGGTTGAGTTGACGCGCCCAGACTGACGTACCACTACCGTCGCTTGGTACGCGAGGTAACACTGCTACGGGAACGGTTCCAGGAATGACAGTGCAACCACGATCTCGTCTCTGGCTCGGGAGCGAAACGTTGACTGTGCCGTCCAGGTTGTCCAAAAGGGATATTGCCACAAGGTCATACATCAGGTTCTTATTGATGCCCTGATCTATAGCCGCAATATTGCAGTTAGAATGATTAGGTGTCAGACGTGACTCTATGGACTCCACAGGACATAGAACTATAAGCAACAAGCAGGTACATGCGTGTGGGGAAAGACTACAAAGCAATGAAGTATTGGTAAGTTCGGGGGCTTTGATGCTTCGCTGTGGTGCTGTATGAAGGAGACCAGTAACTCTGCTGTGACTACACTATCAATTGGTACAGTTATCCCATTGACATTCGGGCTTCGAGTATAACAAAGAACCCAATAGATGCGTCTTCACAGCGTCTGGCATCGTTCTATTTATCAAACGACTCTTAATCGCATTTAATTGCTTCAGGCTCGACTTCGCAACCCTAGACCGAGCCACCAGTCATCAAAAAGGCTCAACAGTAGAGCCCTCATCACCGGCATCATCCCCGTCAGAGTCCGAGTCTTCACCAGACTCAGAAACCTCTTCGGGTGCAGACACTTTCGTTTCCTTCTCATGAAGGGTTTTTTGCACCCAACCATCTACAGCGGCGATAGCACCATCGGGATCTTCTTGATGTGTCAAGAGGAATCCTTGAATAGCGGCGGGACTAAGGGCTAGATCGGGAATCTTCTTTCCAAACTCCAGTGCCTGGGATCGCAAAGACGTGCTCCCAGTCACTTCGCCTCCACTGATAGCCTTCTTCTCTGATTCGGGATCTTCGCCTTCCAAGCCTGGGGCATCGTACATCTGAGTGAAGAGAGTGATAGCCGTCTTCGAAGTCGCAAGCCCAAACTTGATAGTAAAGTCAATCCTCCCCGGACGAAGAAGTGCCGGATCGATGTTCTCGGTGTGGTTCGAAGTCATGACCAATATGCGCCCCTCTTGAGCCGCGACACCATCAATCGTGTTGAGTAGGCCCGAAAGGGAGATGCGTTCTCGATCTCGCTTCTTCCGCCTCTGGAAACTCGGGTTCGTCGTCTCCACGCCCCGTTTCTGAGTCAATCCTGTGGCATCGATGTCTTCCAGTAGCACGACACAGGAGTAGGGTAGCGACTGAAAGAGCGACGCAAGGTTGTCTTCATCCAGACGGGGGGAGTTCAAATTAACCATATAAATGTCTAATCCCATTAGGCCAGCTGCCGCAAGAGTTAGACTTGTCTTGCCGGTACCGGGAGGGCCAGAGAAGAGATAGCCGCGGCGATAAGGGATGCCCCTATTAGCATACCAATGCTTCGTCTGGGGGTCGAGGTATCGACGAAGGTCCTTCACTAGGCCCTGCTTGAGAGATTCTTCAAGGGCGATGGTAGACATCGGCCTTGTCGCTTTCGACATGCATCGCGTCCATGTCATCTCATCATCTTCGCTGATCTTGGTCGCCCTGAAAATGCTCGTTCTCCCCTTTTCCTTCTCCAGAAAGTCAATGCGGGCATTGTAAAGCAATCGCTTGAGCACCGTGGCATCCCGTCCAAAGCACGATATGGAGAGCCTTTCAGGCTGTCGCGGCATGGATGTATAGTTTCCGCTCTCGAGAGACCTCGTGAAAGCCAAGATGCGGTTCTCATAGCGGAAGAAGTGCGTCCCAAATGCCGGCGTCCAGTGCAGTGGTTTGGCATTATACATCGATACCTTGGGTCGCAGGTCGCTGACTTGTCTCGCCACAGGGTCACCCTCATCGTCGTTGTCGACATCACGTTTCTCTTGCCCGTCATCGGCCCAGTTGAAGCATTCGTTGGTGAGGGTGGTCGATGCATGCAGGCGGTAGTTATCCTGCGAAAGGCTGTTTCGAGAAACCCAGTTCATGAGGAAGTTGTAGGTCTCATCTTGGGCGCGGATCTCGATGGTTGAGATGAAACGGGCGGTAATGGATTCAGACCAGGACTCGAGGATGTACTTGGCGAGGAAACTGAAGGCAGCAAGGTACGGAAGGTATGTTAGGCCTGGGAAGAGCATCTCCAAGAGCCCGATGAAGAGGCCCTGGCCCATGACACCGTCTTCCATGCTGGGTGAGGAATGAGAGTCCATCATGTAAGACTCAGTAGGTTGAAGGATGTGAAGAAGAGAGGAGTGAGATATGAATCTGAAAGGCTCTTTTATACCTTTCACGTAGACCATTTGAGCCATTGCTGCCTGGTTTCACAGATGACATGAGGCAGGACTGCATAATCGACGATCTTGTTAAAAGCCCGATTAGGAAATACTCGTATGCCCTCGGCTAATGGGGCGCAGGGCATATGACTCAGACCGGTCCGGTGAATACGAAAAAGCCAATCACATGGAGTCTTCAGGAGCCGTGAATTAGGGCTCCAAGCTTGAAAGGGGTTTAATGGCTTGGCTTATGTGGTTTTCTTTCTAGGATATGGTGGTTTTCGGTATTTGGTGTAAACGCCAGCATGTATCGATAAGCCCCATTCTTTATCGTTGTGGCTGATGGCTTATCCTGGAAGTCTCACTAATTTCGCAAGTTTATGAGGTTGCGAAAAAAGAGGAAGACAAAAAGTGAATTGAATTTTTTATCATCAACTATAGGAAGCCTACCTAGCTTTCAATCCGCTTATAGAGTTATACCAGCAATCTGTCCAACAAGCCTCTGGCACACCCCTGCTTCCTTACCGATGAGGCAAGGGTAACTAACAAGGCTGCTCATTAAAGAGTTCATCTTCAGAGTCATAGCCACACATCTTGCGGCCAAGATCGTGTGAAGACTCTCTGGTAACTATGGTACTGTAGCTCTGTTTCAGCTGGTGGATAGGCATTCTCATCGGCTGGTCTGCCGTGCAGCTACTCTGCCAATGGAGTAGACTGATGATAATGCGTCGACTGCCATTATTATTATGATTTTGACTAGGAAAAGCGGCCCAGGGTCTCTAAACCATCAATTATCTTGTTCTGGCGCTCAATGTGGCATGGCTTATTAAAGTTCCGCGATGTGGTACTTGAGCTGTGGCCTCCTTTAGAACCTTGGACGTCGTGTGGAAGTAATCTAACTTATACCGCGGCCTGAAAAGAACCCGAAAACTACGGTATATCAAGTGAAACCTGGGCGGTTACTTCGTTGGTGGGATGGGAAGTTCAGATAACTAGCAAGCTCGGCAGTGAGGTCCGATGTACTGCCCAATATCGATACCTTCCCAAGGAAAGGTGGATCTAATTGAAGCCGGTATCTTATACTGCAAGATTCATCACCTCTGTTTCTGAATTTCTATACTAACAGCCATACGTAGTCGTGATATCCAGTTTACGTGATGCAGTCAGATATTGATAGTATAGCCCTTTGTTGGTGTAACTGATGCCCTCTTCCGCACCAGCCATTAGCGATGCCCGAGCAGAAGTGTTCTTTAGTAGATACTGCTGACCGTATTTAGTTGACCGTCTTGTGAGAAGTGCCAGGTTGAAGCGAGAAACGAAACAAAGCCTCAGTACCCCGCTCAGATTCCTCCGACGTCACCGGTCTTCTGCATCGGACTTAAAACCACCCCGATCGCCTCTTTGTTCGGCGAGTAGTCCGGCTCGAGCAAGAGGGGATGTGTTAATAAAACTCCGTTTTGAACTTCATTTATTAAACATGGATGTTGGCTTTTGGCATAGTTTGACAAGCCGCTATCACGAGAGACTCAGCACCTGTCTCATGCCAACAACCCTCGAACGCAAAATGACAGACGATCAGAGCCCACCATCTCTTGACCACCGGCAAGATCTCGCGGGGAAAGTGGCTATTGTCACAGGAGCGAGTAGAGGAATCGGTTATGCAATTGCGTTGCATCTTGCCAAACGCGGTGCAGGGATTTTGGCCACATCTACCAGTGCCAGCAAGCACATCGATGAATTGCGTGGCGAGATCGAGTCTGTCTACGTGCACTTGAACAGTCTGCCTCCAAAGATCGCTCATCAAGTTGTCTCCTTGGAAGATCCGGAAGCACACGTCAAGGTGGCTGACGCAATCAAGAGAGAATTTGGCGGCAACTTGGACATCCTTATCAACAATGCCGCGATAACAGACCGCACCTTTCCTGGCGAGCTTGAGGCAGCGACACTGGACAAATTGTTGACCTGCAACATTCGGACCCCGGCACTGGTGGTAGATGAGTTGGTCAAGAGACGGTACTTCAGAAAAGAAAGCTGAATCATCTTTCTCAGTAGCGCCGAGAGCGTCAACTGCGAGCCTGACGTTGCCATATACGCCTCGACCAAAGCAGCCAACGAGGCTATGGCTCGCACATATGCCAATGCCTTTGGTGGAAAAAACGCCGCCTTCGACTTCATGGCTGGCACAACCGCCAATAGCGTGCTCACAGGTTTGACAGAGACGGGAGGAGCCCAGCAGTATGGACAACAGGTGTGGCAAGAATTGCAAGATTTTTGGGTGGGAAAGCAAGTGATACCACGCCTGGGCAAGCCCGAGGATGTGGCCGACGTGGTGGGATTTCTATGCAGTAGAGAAGGTAGATGGGTCACTGGAAGCAAGATCAGCGCGAATGGAGGAAGTATCGCGGTTATCTAGTTGTTCACCACAGGTGCATTAGACTTGAATTATTACCGGCTCATGTCTTTTTGTGCTAACCCAGTATTGCCCGCACCCGATTCAAAACATCTTTGCAGACCGCCGCCGGGTCTCTTTGCACGTCAAACGTGATTGCATCAACTTCGTCCACTGAAGGTTCTTCAAGATCCTCCAACTGGCTGCGTACCATGGTCTCCTTCATATAGTGGCCTCCACGTGCTCTGACCCTTGCTTGTAGTTGTTCCTCGCCAACTTTGAGATAGATGAAACATAGTTGCACCGTTGGGTCATGGTAGGGCACGACTCTGAAGACATCACGATATTTACGTCGCAACGAAGAGCAGGTAACAATCACGGCATTTGAACTTTTTAGCTGTTCAGTAGCCGCATTGCGTAGTGTGACCAGCCAGTCCCATCGGTCGCCATCAGTCAACGGTATGCCATTGCCCATCTTGGCGATGTTGGCTGAGGAGTGGAACTGCGCAAAGCACGTCAGTACAAGCCCTGAGAAATAAATGCCCAGCCGAGAGAGAAGGGACGGCGTACATCATCTCCCTCAAGATATGGAATTACGGATTGTTGAGAGACGTAGGTTGCGACTGTCGACTTGCCAGAGCCAGCTGGGCCGCTCACGACAAACATTGTTTTCTTTGAGACAGATTGCACTGTCATGGCTTTCTGTAAAATTGAGTTGCAGTAGACCGACTTTGGCTCACAGAATGACCGAAGGGCAGAAAGACAGTGTGGCATAGTCTCACGTATCATGAAATTCTGGACCTCGCTAGATTATATCCGACATGCAGACCAACACAATTTTGCAACCAAGCTGGTCAGATGAGTAGTCTCGAAAGCCAGCCTCTGGACGATGCAATTCCTCGGCATAGTGGATCGGACATAATAATCTTAGGTGGGCTTGAGGCGACTGTCATTTGTTGAACAAGGTTAGTGCGTGTGGATTTCGTGTGGGTGCCAAGATCGGACATAGCAGACTCCAGCTTCAACCATCGGCTGAAATGTAGTGGAAAGGAGGAATCGGACATCCATGATTGAGGAGAATATGAGGGGTCAAGAGGATCTAGATGCTCCAGCTGACCTCCAGAGGCCCAATATGGTCAGATGCTACCCACAAACAAGCGGAGATGCCGCTCGCCTTTCGCCGGGGTTAGGGAATAGATCGGGGGAAACGGAGCGGAACCCCGGATTTTGTCTGATCTAGCCGATGGCTTTGTTGACAGAGAACATCAACCGGCAATAATAAAAGAGATTCTGGGGTATTCCAATCGTTCGAGGATTTGCCTGCATCATAACGTATCCTCCCTCTCTCCTTTTTCTTGCTTCCCACGCTTACGTGCACATACACCCATACGCAAGATGGCCTCGCAACCTCGTCTCAAGATTGCCTTGATCGGTCTCGGCCGTCTCGGTGCCATTCGCGCTCGTATCCTGGCCTTCCAACAACCTCGCATTGAGCTAGTTGCGGCATGTGACACAAAGCCGGGTAGCGACAAGTGGGTGGCTGAGAATCTGCCTCCCACTGTCAAGTATTATGCCGATCCTGAGGATTGTATGAAGAACAGCGGTGCTCAGGCTGTCCTCATCTCCACGGCAACCGCTACACATGCTCCCTTGATCATCTTGGGTCTTGATCTCGGTCTGGTTAGTATTTGCTTGAACAATTGAATTCATGGGAAAACTAACGGACTGCTAGCATGTTATGTGCGAGAAGCCCATCTCTGTCGATGTCATCACTACCGAAGAGGTCCTTGCCAAGGCAAAGTCTAAGCCTGAGCTCAAGTTCCTTGTTCCTTTCTGCCGACGATGTGAGTTGTACCAATATCTATGATCCACTGTAAACTCATGTTGCTAACTTACGCCGAGACGATGATTCATACCGTGCCGCCAAAGAGTTGGTCGAAAGTGGCTCACTAGGCGAGATTCATGCCGTCGAAACCAACTGCCTCGACCAGCAGGATCCTACTGGTAAGTCATGCTTTACATTTACCTTCCTTTTACGCAACAGACGAACTGATCGCATCTTTCAGGATTCTTTGTCACATTCTCCGCTCAATCAGGAGGTATCTTTGTCGACATGGGTGTTCACGATGTTGGTCATCTCACCTTTACAGTTCTCAAGTAGGACAGCATCGCTAACGCTGACGTGACTGATTAGATCGATATCGGTCGATACTACCTCGACGTCAAGTCAGGGCTCTCGAACCCCAAGAAACAGGTCAACCGTGTCGTTGCGATGGGTCAACAGGCTGTATATGGAAAGCTCGCCGAGTATGGTGACTGTGATAATGGATGGGCGTTGGTTGAATTCGCCAACGGCAAAGTTCTCACCTCTCACTTGGGACGCACCCTCACGAACGGTTTCGAAAGCACCACTCGCGTGTGCGGTACAAAGGCACACTCTGTCATCAACGGAAACTCAACCATTAACCGCGTCGAGGTTCGTGATGCCCACGGTGTGCGAACAGCCACTACTCCCGATGCGTTTGTCCTCTACGACAAGTCCTTCTTGAACGATCTTGCTGAGTTCGCAACTGCTGTCCTCGACAACAAGCCTCTCACGTGCACACCGGAAGATGCATATGAGGCTGCCAAGATCGCGACTGCTCTGCAGTATTCTTTCCGAAATGGAGTCCCGGTTTACTTTGACGACGAAGGCCGACCCATTTTGGAGACACCCAAGGTGAATGGGGCAGCATAAGACAAGGAACAAGGTTGAATCAATGGCCAGGTTGAAATTATGGGGTTCTTTATCGACAAAAGCAGAGATATAAGGCAAATGAATATTCTTTTTGCATCCTTTCATATCGATATCGTTATGGGTTTATGATCATCACCGTGACTAAGATGGATTGGGCATATTGTCCCACCACGTATTCATCAAGGACTGTAAAGTGTGTAAGCAACGTGAGAAGCCAATGTCCAAAGCAACATGAAACAATTGGCAGGTTTCATAGGCGCGAAAGGCTTAACTTACGGTTTGGTGGTCTTGAGAAGGGCCAAAGACATCTTGCAAAAGCACGGGATCCCAAAAGTCATGTAGCTGTGAATCATGTTAGCTTAGAACGTTCAAGTCCACAAGAATACACCTTACTAATTCATTTGTCGAATCAAGGTTCACAGCAGGCAGAGATGGGTTCGAGTTGGCCATATCGGAGAGTCCCACCTGGCCTTGAGGGTGGAAACTATTCAGAGACGTACTCGTGACGTTCATGTTTGGTGACACGGATGGGGTCTCAGAAAGGCGAATGGTCCTGATCGTCTTTTGGTGTCCTTGACCCATACGCTCAATGAGCCTGGTACGCCAACCGAGCAACTCGACATCCTCATCGTCCTCTCTATCCCCGTCGCCGTCCTCACCATCATTCTGTCCAGCCGCATCCGTGTCTCGCCGCGAATTACCCCCCTGCAACGCGGGTACTGAGGAGATTTTTGACAAAGCACGAGTGCGTAAGTTCAAAAGCCACTGCAAATTGCGCTTGTAGCGTAGAGGGTGGGCGCCATGCTGGAGGAGTGAGGTGAATAAGCTAATGGCGGCATCGATTTGCGTCAGAGCGAAATTGGCCATGACGTTGGCCGGGTCGCGCAGGACCAACGTACCAAGGCATAAGGCTGAACCAAAGACGTGATACTGGCGTAAACGTAAGCATTATTAATACATGTCAAGATGATACACTCCTCACCCAGAAGTTCCATTGCCTGGTGGCGACCGCCGGGAAGCGGCTATGGATGTCGGTGACAATACTGATAATTATCTGCCCATTATTAGCTCGTTATCGGCAGACGGCGCTTGATACATATTCTTACGGCACAGCGCTCTATTACAATGTAGAAAGACGGTTTGTATACTGACTCGCCGTGGTCGGCGTCATGGAGTACTCTTGCATAATAAGGTCGGTGAAGGTTGATGATGGTCTCGGAGACATTTAAAGCGAGGTTTGTTTGCTATTTACGTCATGTGAGCGCGGCATCTTCTACAGAAAAAAGCCACTGACCCGGAAAGAAATGGTAAGTGACATGCGAGATGGTTCTGGAGAGGCACTGATCGCCGTTTCAAGTTGAGGGTAGCGAGACGGAGTAGCCAAGAGCGCTGCTCTGCAGCGGAGAGAATATGGGATGTTGTGCTCGAACTCGGAACTGTGGTCATTCAGCTTTAGGACATATGTAATTGCAGAGTACCTAGTACATACAGTCTAAGGTCCAGATCGGTGACTTCGGAATATGCTGGCCTCCGCACCTTCATAGCCATATTGAGAATCCTGAAATTCAGTTAGCTCCCATTGCAACCCAAGGACGCGCAAAATGCAGACTCACTCTGACGAAATTTGAGACAGTTTGAATCGGAGGATCGAGTAACTCTTTTCTCCGTTGGGCCTGACTGGCTCGGATGGAAAAGCGGTATCGCAATGCTCGGGATTGATGGCGGATCTGTCTTTAGTCTTAGCCTCGGAATAACATTAACAGATAGGTATCCAGATATTATAGACTTACGGTCGCGAGAAGCAGTGCGCCTGAAAGATGTCGGCAGAATTACACTCCCAGAATACTTTACGTCTTTCTTCGACAACATCTTGAGGTAGATTCCAGCGATCACCATCCCTATGCATACCCATCTGTCCAATCCTGTCAGCTTGGGCCAGTGCCCGAAGTAAAGAGTGCAACTATACCGCTTGGATCAAACGCATGACCAAACCCCATAGCGGCCAAGCACTATCACCGCGTCGGCCTTCATCAAGTTGCCTGCTCACAAATCAGCACTGCAGGAGTGATTAGAGGATACTACGCACAATCGTAGGTGCGCCATTAGATGCTACAACATTAGCCATGGATCAGAAGCCAGCCATCGGTTCAACACAAGCTTACCAGAGTTTGCAGTCCAGCGACGGTATTGTTTGACAGAAATTCTCCTTTCACTAAGGCTCTTTCTGAAAGGTGTAGCCACTCTTCAGCAGACGAATCGCAATTGGGCATCTCGATATTGAACATAGTTCCTTGGGCCATAATGATGAAGACAAGGGCGATCTCCTGGGAGTTAATGGGCGGAGAAGAGGAGCCACTTTCTGCACGATTAAAGACTCGATCGAATGTCTTCTCGAACGATGGTTTGGGAGCTACATTGTGACTGCGTTTGTTAGCCACGAACTAGGTCTTCGGTTCTGCAACACTCACTGCCAGGCGCAATAGCGATAGTACGATTCTACCAGGGTCCATGCCTCGTCTCTTGACGGCAGGCAAGCTAACAGTTCCCGAGTACTGATATGAGCCGGCGACGCGTTGAAGGGAAACCCAACGATGGTAGTGCCAATACTTAGGACACTAGGTTGGGCAGCAAGCAAGTCTTGAGGGAGCACCGGAGAAGGGACACGCGTCATGCATGGTGTGTCTGGTACATCTTGTGTTTCCGACTGCCACGAGTAAGCTTACTTGAACTAGTCAAACAGAAGGGGATGTTACCTCTTTCAACCATTCACTCCCTGCTGTTGGGCCAAGATACTTTGATCGACCTCTCTTCCCCAGCATCAAAGTGCCGTAAGAACCATTTTCCCGTTCATCCTCGATAGTATAGCGGGCAGGGTTGCTGGAAGCACTGGTTCCAGTGTTGATGCTATGTGCAGGCTCCTCCAGCCTGCCAGAAGGCGCCGAAGCTGGAGTGCGAGGAGATGGAGCCTGAGTAGTGTATGGTTCGAGCGCGTGAGCAAGGAGAGTAAGAGGGTTGACTTGGTTGGGATCGCTGGCGTTGGAGCGCGAAGGTATGTGATGCGAACGATTTATGGTGTGTTGATTCAAGTTCGGATTAAACGGCTGAGCGTTTTCGAGACGAGTTGCGTTCGTATCGAGCGGCTCTTGAGGTTCTGGTTGCTTGGTCTCCTGGAATTGATCATTCTGAGAATCTTTCTGGTGCCCAGGCTGTACGGCGGAATCTTGGCTACTGCGCATTCATTCAGCTCAATGATATGTAATTGACACAAGAGAATGGGTGAAAAGCTGACTTGGAGGTTCCTGGGTTACTCGTAGCGGCGACGCAGAATTCAACGCGGTGTCGGCGAAGGCAATTGGAGCACGGCACTGCAACACTATTCTAGCCTCTGAACAATCTCAAAACGTGCGTTATAGTGTTCGTCTACCTTGTCGATCACACTTCATCTTGAGTCTCCGACATTCTAGGTTCCCCAGATTAGCCAGCCTCCCTTGCGCGACTCAGACACTCCCAAAGCTCGTCTCACCTGCGCAACTGAAACACGGGCGCTGTTTGCGCTGCTTCCGAGCCCTGAATCCCTCTTCGGACCTATCGTCATCGTCATCGCGGAGGCGTCGCATGTTGTGTCCGATGCAATGGGCTGATTGACAGTTTCTCCGGTCATCGGTGTCGGCCGTGTTGAGATGAGAAGTTGCGGACCGGAGATGATGGGCGGGGGTAAACGAATTGAATTGGGTCACGAGCCTGGGGCAAATCAACGCCATGACCAGTTGTGGGCGCTTTTCCAAATTTGATTATCTCCGGTGGGACCTCTGCGCCATCGGATTTGACTAGACTTGGACATGTCAAGTGACCATGGAACAATTCAATGGATTTGAAGATCAAGAGAAGATTGAGATTTATTATAGACATGCTCGTTCCAGTTTGAACTGTCTGAACCACCATCTTCTCTCGCAAAGCAGCAGCCATGGCACCCTACATCAACAGCCCCCAATCTGGCATTGACATCAAGACCGACATCGCCAACCTCAAGGACAAGGTTGGCGTTGCCGGGGTCAAGCTTGAGGTCAATGACAAGCCCCCTGTCGCCGATGATTACATGTACGACTTCAAGTTCAACCATGCGCTCCCCACTACCGATGTCCTCGGCATCGAAATCCCCGCCGATGCCGATCCGCAGAAGGAAGCCCAAGGCATTGTCGATAACCTTTCCAAGGTCCTAGCCAAGGGTGATGCTCAAGGCTTCGCCGACTTGTTCCTGGACTATGGTATGTCATGAGATCACAATAACTTGACCACTGGCTAACTTGGCTTTGTAGGTGTTTGGCGAGACAAGCTTTCCTTCACTTGGGATTATCGCACTTTCAACTTTAAGCCTGCCATCCTAAAGGCCGCCACCGACCTTTTCCCTACAACCAAAGCTACTAACTTCGAGTTCCTTACGCCTCCTCCCAAGATCGACCGACCGTACCCCGATTACGCACAGTTGCAGTTTATCGTCTCCTTCGAGACCGAGGTTGTCAATGCCTCGGCTGTTGCCAACGCCGTTTTGACCAAGGATGGCTGGAAGCTCTACACTTTGCACACTGTTGCGGAGAAGCTCAAGCAATTCCCCGAGATTCCTCCCGCTGACGGACACATGACTGGAGCTATTAGCTGGGAGAATCAGAGGGCTCAGGATGTCGATTCTGTCGAGCCTGAAGTTTTGATCATTGGAGGTGGTCAAAAGTATGTGCCCCCATTACGAATGCCCATTCTACATCACTAACGCTTGCTCAGTGGACTGGCCTTAGCTGCTCGACTCAACGCCATGGGGATGAAGAACCTTATTATTGACCATGCCGAAGAGATTGGCGATGTCTGGAAGAAGCGCTACGAATACCTGTCTCTTCACTTTCCTCACTGGGCTGACGACTTGCCCTATTTCCCCTACCCCAAGCACTGGCCCACCTACACCCCTTCCCAGAAGCAAGGCGTCTATATGCAGTGGTACGCTTCGGCCCTGGAACTCAACGTCTGGACCAAGTCATCAGTCGCCAAGGCAGAGCAGGATGAACAGGGCAACTGGACAGTTGTGATCGACAAGCAGGGCAAGGAGGCTCGCACCTTGCACCCCAAACAGGTCGTCATGGCTACCTCGCTGTGTGGAACTCCCATGCTTCCTGATGTCCCTGGCATGACCGATTTCAAGGGTACCATCCGTCACTCCACTGCCCACGACAGCTCTCGCGACTTTGTCGGCAAGAAGGTCTGCGTCGTTGGAACCTCCTCCTCTGGCTTTGATACGGCCTATGATTGCGCTCGACGGGGCATCGATGTCACTCTCCTTCAGCGATCCCCCACTTACATCATGTCGTTGACTCACTCTGTCCCACGCATCATCGGCAACTACGGCCCTGACGCTGAACAAAAGCGCCCTGGTCTAGAGGAGCAGGATCGCCTGTTCTTTGCCACACCCACTGGTCCAGGAGAGGAGTTCGGTAGGCGCAACGCAAAGATTCTTGAGGACCTTGATCGTCCCTTGCTCGATGCTTTGCATGCTCGTGGCCTGCGCACATGGCGTGGCCAACGCAACACTGGCAATTCCACCCTGGGCCAGACTCGAAACGGTGGTTTCTACTTCGATGCGGGCGCATGCGAGCACATCATCAACGGCAACATCAAGGTTGAGCCTGGATACATTGAGCGCTTCACCGAGAACAAGGTTGTCCTGAGCGGCGGACGTGAGCGCGACTTTGACCTGGTTGTCTTTGCAACTGGATTCACCAACACAATTGACTCTGTCCGTTCCACACTGGGCGATAAGATTGCCGATCAAGTCACTCCTATCTGGGGCATTGACGATGAGGGTGAGTTTAAGACCGCGTACAGGGAGACAGGTGTCCCTAATCTGTGGATCTTTGTTGGCTACCTTCCCTACACTCGATTCCATTCCAAGTTGCTTGCGATGCGTTTGAAGGCTCTGAAGGAAGGCATCTCTCCAGCTCCTTATACAGCATAGATCTGTTTGGCTCCAAGGTCCTGAGTATCTAGTTAAAAGCGAGAATTATGAGAAGACGCGAGCGATCTAGCATATTGTGAATACAAACTTGCACACATATTGCCTTGTCTCAAATGACCTTTGCTTATTTCCCTACCCTTAAATACTCCCGGTGGCTAATCTCCTCTTGTGCTATCATCACGCATCACATTGCAGACATATTCCCTGCAGCTATTCGTAGATTCCAGTTAGCTTGAATGAATTAAATTCCCTGATATACGTTCCACAAGATGTTTCAATCTTGGTCATAATTAACCCTACCATGACCACCTTCGCATATCTGTGTCGAGATTGGTGAGTGAAAGTCACATCCATCACAAAGTTCAAACCAACATTGAATAATCATTACAGATGATTTGACATTTCACAAAAGCATTGTAATGAGTTGAAGTATAGGTAGTCAATTCTCCTTTTATGTTCCTATTGCTACGTCTCCATGCCGAGTTCATTCTGACTTCACGGGGCCATACCAGTCAGCGAAGCCCAGGTCGAATCCCCAGAGAGGAGTGTTAATACGCTTGGCCTTGCCTTTACTAGCCAAGCTATCGAGTGCAGCCACGTCCTCTTCGGATAGAGAAATGACCTCCTTGTTGGAGGAGATACGCTTCTCCGTTACCGACTTGGGAAGAACCACAATGCCCTTGTTGACGTGGTAGCTGATGAGAATTGTAGCAGTTGATACACCGTTCTTGTCGGCAATCTTTTGGATTTCGTCATCCGACATGATAGGTGCGCCTACAAGGTTCGGTTCGTTAGTCTCGGTCAACAACGTCCTATCACTCGTGCCATCCATTGCACCGCAGACTTTGAGGTACTTACCAGTGGATCCAAGAGGAGAGTAAGCCTCAAGAAGGATGCCCAACTTGTCGCAATATTCTCGGAGTTCGTGCTGGGGGAGAAATGGGTGTAGCTCAACCTGGTTGACGGCTGGGACAACCTTCCACGTCTTCTGAAGCTCCTCAAGATAAGGAATGGACCAGTTGGCAACACCAATGGCCTTGACCTTGCCGGACTTGTAGACCTCTTCCATTTGGCGCCAGGTCTCGCTCTGGTCCCAGGATCTATCAATTGATCGAGTACCATCGGGGTTCACGGGGAGGAGCTCGCTTGTCTCGTTCTATCGATTTCGTTCCAATTAGAGTCTGGGTAGCTTGAAAGTCAAAGGATAAGATGCTTACGGGAACCAGTCGAACAGGCCAATGAATGAGCTGGTAAGCAAGTTGTTAGCCTAGTTTGAAGCGATGTACCGATTTCCAGGAACAACCGGGCTTACGTAGAGATCGAGGTAATCCACGCCTAGAGCATCAAGAGATTTTTGTAGTCCCTCAGCAACGTTGGGCTGATGCGTGTTCCAAAGCTTGCTGGTAAGGAAGATCTCCTCACGTGGCACACCACTATCCTTGATGCCCTGGCCGACTTCGTTCTCGTTACCGTAGATGCTGCATCATGTCAGCTTGAGTGAACTGACCCGCCGTGGGGTGGTGTCGCGATGGTCATTGTAGGAGAGGACGGAGGAGAGGCATGATTGGCCAAGGAGAATAGGGATTAACCAAGCCGTTACAGGAATTTGAACGTACAGTGCTGCGTCAATATGACGGTACCCATCCTTGAGGGCGTAAGCCACAGCTTTACGAACCTCACCAGGCTTGGATTGCCATGTACCGAGACCAACAGCGGGAATCTTGGCGCCCGTGTTGAGCGCGAAATGAGTGGAAGGGGCCATTATGCTGAGCGTGATTGTTGTTTCTCTACCGTGGTTAACCGAAGCTGGAAGAAGACGCAATATGAAATGTGTGAAAGTCTGGACCTTGGTTGTTTCGTCAAAGAGGTTGTCGTTTTAGGTAAAAACGACATGGGTAATCACAAACATCGGACATATGTCATCGGGCATGCATTGGGTGAACAGGTGGACCCCATCGGACATTTGCTCCCTTGTCGGCCGATTTCTGGGGCACCAAGAATTATGTCCGGTGTGGAGACTGGGGGATACCATTGTTTCGGTGTTAGAATTGTTGTCTAGTGTGTGCCACAGGTTTAGGCGCTGGTGAAGTCCGGGAGGGGATGGCACATCTATTATGTTCATGACATTCAGTTAGTTCAACCGGGTTTAACGAGAAGCATGAATATGATTGACTCGGGGCCACTTTCACATCCTTTTGCTGCTTCAGTCAGTTTAGCTTTGCCACGCACCACTCCTTGCCCTGAACTCCGACCAACATCATCTAGCTCCGTTCTCTGTAAGCGAACCACTTTGTTCACCATGAAGCCCATGCTTCTGCTCTCGGGTGACAGGGCCAACTTTACCACCGTTGCCGTTGACCTGGAGAAGGGCGAGTTAAAGGTTCTCGCCAATTATCCAGCACCGTACAATGTTTCCTGGGCAGAACCCGTATCTTCACAGGGAAGCATTGATCGTTTGGTCGGGTTGTCAGAAGGCATAGAATCTGGTCTCTTGTTCACTTTCGAAGTCGACCATGCGGAAGAAACTTGCCGCATCACGAGTCAGCAACCGACCCTGGGTGCACCTGCACACAGTAAGTAGAACTTGAGTCTATTATGTTTGGCCAGCCATGCTCACTATTTAGTCATTACGCTGCACGACGAGTCCGCCCTGGCAATAGGTACTGTGAGTAGTAACTCAGAGATTATTTCTCTTGCCTCCCACGCTTACACTCTCTAGTATCTTGGAGGGTCTGCTGCTCTCTATCCCGTATCTATCACCGAAAACGACGGACTCAGGCTTAAGGATGTGCCTCGAACGGAGCTCCTACTTGACTTTCCCTACAAAGCGACTGGGCACGGGCCTAACAAAGGTCGACAACGTCAATGCCATTTACATCAAGTACTTGAAGACAAGAGAGGATTGCTGTATGCACCCGATCTAGGTGCTGATCGCGTATGGATCTTGTCTCGGAAAAACCTGGAACTGGAAGTATGCGGCTGGCTCCAATGCCCCCCTGGAATGGGTGCTCGACACGCTGTTTTCACACCTGATGGTACGTCAACAGATTTTCTTCCATTTGACTTGCCAAATGACAAATAACTAATGTCTGATAGAGAAAATCATGTATGTCCTTGGAGAGCTCTCACATGAAGTTGTCGCCTTTGATTTGTCGCCCTGCCCTGCGAATGACGTCCAGCCTATCGACGGCTTTTCAGTTAACATTATCCCACCGACTGTTCACCGCGATCATCAGTTCATGATGGACTCGGCCGAACTCTCTCCCCATCCCAAGATCCCAAATGTCTTGTACGCCAGCAACAGATGGGAAAGACATATTGCGAAGCGCGAAGCGCATCTGAAAAACGTTCCCACAGAACTGCCGCAAGGCGATACGATTGTCATCATTCTTCTCTCGGACGACGGCAAAAGGGTCCAGGAGACCAAACACGTACGAACCAATCTCGATACGATTCGTGGTTTCCGGCTTAGTGATGATGGGAACTACGCTGTAGTAGCGGGACAAGAGGGAGGCGGGATTGAGATGTACCGGGTTGGAGGTTCACGAGGCGACGTATGGACTCTTACAGCTAGTCTGAGGGAGGGGCTGGACAGCGGTATCAAGCACGTAGTCTGGCTTTAAGATTCATGATTTCGTTACTGGGACATACATGATCTGCATATACCTCGGTTTGAGCGATTATCGCGGCTTCAAGTCCGCCCCTATTTGCCCTCTGTTTGTAGGATTGCGCCAGGTGACAAGATGTCTGCTGGACTTGAAAGGTCGGCCGAGCTCCCCCGACACCTCGTTTTATTGGCCTTGATGTTGGTATTGTGGACGTAAAATGTTTCTTAGGAGCGAAAAAGGATTTTCAATGACCAGATAACCGAAGAATGGCTGGCAGGATTCAACCACTCGCTATTCAAACCACGCCTAGCGACTCTTAGTTACTTACGCGACATCTTCCATACGTGCTCCTGGGAACTGCTGTCTCGACAGAGAACACATCTAGGGTTGGAATATTCAAGCTAGCTACAGTAATCGTACAAAAAGGTTTGATATCCTTCTCACTTGGCCAGCTAAGGCACTTGTCTTATTTGCATGTTGCAATGAGCACCCCCCGAAAAGGTCCGCCGTACTGCAACAACTCTAGTGAGCCCGCGATTCCAACTCGCCTTCCTCATCCTCGAGTCTATCACCAAAAGCACCCGCAATCTGCTCCAAGCTCTTGCCCGCAGTCTCCGGAACGAGGAAGAAGGAGAAGATAGAAGCAGCAAAACAAAAGCAGCCAAAGAACAGGTAAGTACCCCAACCAAGCTTGATCTGCATCTCGGGGACGACCACGCCGATAATGAAGTTTGCAAGCCATACCATGGCCGTAGCAGCTCCGACTCCCTTTGCTCGCTTGGAGCTAGGGAAAACTTCTGCAGGCAGAGTCCACGCCAGAGGTCCATAAGACGAAGCATACGCAAGAACGTAGATATCTAGACGATTAGTAAAGTGTAACAACAGTACGTGGGATGTAGTGGGATGTGCTTACAGATGAGAGCTACGCCAAACCAGCCCATACCCGGGTTATCTGTCCACTTATTGTTGTATTTGTTGACGACGCCGGCCATGATCATATGCGGGATACCCATCGCGATACCTCCAAAGATGGCAAGCTTGCGTCGGCCAACCTTGTCAAGGAAGAGGAACGTAGGAATACCGGCCACAAATTGGCAAATGTTGACCATACCGCTCAGGATAAGAGACATTTCGTAATCCTGTCCGAGCGCGGAGAAGAAGATGGGTGCGTAGTACACAAAAGCGTTGATACCTATGTGCAGGTTAGCGAAAGGACGAAGGAGAGACTTCGGGACTGTTCATAATTACCGGAAAACTGTTGGAAGAAAGGAATTGCAAGTGCAACAGTCGTGCGTCGAATGTACTTGGGCTTGAAGAGATCGCCCCACTGCTGGAACTCGAGCAAGACAGGGTTTTTCGCGGCACCATGCTCACGATCCAGCAAGAATTCCTGGATTTCAACCTCGCGGATAATTCCCTTCCATTCTTGTTGAACACGAGAATCAGTCTCAGGGAGGCGACGAAGCTTGGAAAGGGAATCCAAGGCGTCCTGGTTGCGGTGACGCATGGCCAGCCATCTTGGGGAAAAGGGGAAAAACTGAATGCCAACGCCAACTGCGAGTTCTGGAGCCATCTGCAGAAGGAATGGCAATCTAAAAGCCCAGTCGCTCGAAATATCACGACTGCCGTATGTGATCCAATATGCAATGATAGCGCCAATGACGATCGAGATGGCTTCGAGGACAAGGAGAGAGCCTCTCAGGTTGGGAGGTGCAATCTCAGAAATATACAATGGTGCTCCCATGGCGAGTGTGCCGACACCGACACCACCAATAGTACGTCCGGCCACAAGAGTGCCGTAGTTGTTTGCAGCCGTCTGGATGATAGCACCGACGCAGAAGAACGCCGTGGCTACAGCAAGTCCCAGCTTGCGAGAGTATCGATCGGCAAGCATAGGGAAGAACAGGCAGCCAACGAATGCCCCGAATTCCAACATTCCCGTCATAAAGCCAGTGTTGAATCCGTATCGAGAGTGACCTGGGGCTATTTCGGGGAAGGTTTGTTGGAATTGAGGCATCGTGAGGATAATGGAGATGACTCCCTGGTCGTCCCAGCTCCATTAATTACTCCAGTATCATCGCAGTAAGGCCCTTCCATAGTCTCTCAGATCTTCCGCTTCTTTCGAGCAGACTCCACAATCTGCTCTGAGTCCACGTTCTCCCTCTCCTTCAAAAGGTCCTAAACTACTATCAGCTTCTGTAACGTAGCAAGTGAGGGTAGAGATTACTTACAAAGTAAACATGGCAATAATTCGCCCGTTTGCCCTTGTTCCCCAAATGCTGGCACAGCTGCGCCAACTTGGGGTATTCCTTGCCGCACATGCGACAGCGAAACGGGACGAAGTCTTGCGAGGCAACCCGCAAGGTCTTGAAGTCTGACACAGTGTCAGACAAGGCAGAATATGCCGAGTCTTCCTTGGCTTGGTGCGCTTCGGTGACTATGGCTTCATGCTGGCTGTCGATACGCGCCCAGATCTTATCCATGGTGGCGTTGTCGATATCTATTGAATGATTAGTGCCCACTACTCCCATCCAATGACAAGTTCTGCAAGCAGACTCACCGAACGAAGAAGAAGAATCTACCTGAGCTGCATGCTCAGGGGCAAGTGACGGAGCCGAGACTGGTTCATCCTCCTCCAACAGCTGCCACAAAGGGGCCAGCTCGTCCTCGGCAGCAGGCATTCCGAAAATCACGACAGGCTCCTGCTGGCCGTCGGGAGTGGTGATGGTGATGTAGGGTAGCTCGGAAGAAACCATTTCGAATGCGATTGGACTTGGCGATTTTGAAATACAGTAATTAAACAGAAAAACGGGCAAGTCTAGACGGGCAGATGGCGGGTGGTGGCGGATGGTGATGGCATCAATTGGCAAGTACCTACGGGATGAAACCCCGATGGACACCTGAGGACCCCAAGGCCAGGCAGCCCTGGGGTCCTCGTCAATATTCTTGAGGAAAGTACGCGTTGTCGTGGGGCTGGATACTGTTGGGGCGGGAAGGCGCTCCTTCCCAGTATCGTCTTGGGACGGAGACATTGACGTCACCAAGAGGATGTCCAGCGACAGCTGGAGGTTCCAAGGTTCGTGCAATTGGCCAATGGAACCCATTGAGCTCAGAACAGCGGCGCACTAGAAGAAAAAAGTATTCAGGTGAAGCC